CATGAATGCGCACCACAAGAAACTAAGTCCTTTGCCGACGCTGTCGAATCGCTTATTTCGATGCCGGCTCGTCTTTTGACGACTTCTCTTCCTTGACCTCCTCAACCCTCGTGTCCTTGCCTAAGTCTTCTTTCTCTGCCTCTGCGAGTAGTTGGCGGAGACGTTGAGCGGGAATCTTCTTGCGTGGTGGGAGTTTGACGGGAAGCCACTTGGACTTGTCCGTTGGGCATTTATGGTCGCGGCTCCAACCGGTGTTCCCACACTTGAAGCACCGTTTGTCACTTCGGAGCTTGTCGATCTCCATCGGCTGCCCGGCACCCCCATAGGTTGTTCCCATGGCGTCCTTCTTGTCGCCACTAGAACCTTGACCGCTGCTCTTCAATTGATTTTGATTGCCTCAACCCGAACTGCCTTGGTTCGAGGAGGACTTGTTGCCCAATCCTTGGGCGACCCCGTATCAATAATTGGCGTCTATCCTCAGAACTCGCACCTTCCATTGTGCATAGGTTGTGGGGCGCTCATTGTCCCCATGCATAACCATGTTTCGCACTGTTGGCCTTATCGCCGCTTCGACTGCTTCGAACATCTGCTTCTCGTCATCGAATTCCTCGCACTTGTGGGCCAGCCGTTCGAACTTCGCGAAGAACTCGACAGCTGACTTGAAGTCGGATTGCTTGACCTTCTTCCACTCTGCCTTCCATATGGCTAGTTCCGCTACCTCCCGGAATTGGACGGTGAGGTCATGGGAGAATTCTGCCCACGTCGGAAATCTCCAATGACCTTGCGGATCCCGATAGCGGTAGTATTGGTCGACCCACCACTGCTGCGCTTCCCCACGAAGGTACCCCTGGGCGAACGTGATGCGATAGGGGTTCTGCCCCTCGTCGTTCATTGTGTAATACATCGGAAAGACCTGGAAGTACACCTCGCAGTGGTGTAGAAATCGAGTAATATCGGAGGATACCCCCGTAAAATACTCCGGCTGCGTGATAAGCTTGGGCTTTACGTCATTCCAGGGATTGTTGACAGCACCCGGCGCTAACTGCCAGGGGGGAATTGGGTCTGGGGGCAATGGGATGTGCGGGGGTACCGGCGGCTTGGGTGGTCGCAAGAGCGACCGGAGATTCCAATTTTCTCCTGGAGGTGGATATCCTCCAGGGTCTGGGTGACGCGGTGGTCCTGACGATGGCACTGGCGGGACAGTGGATTTTTTGCCTTTGTCAGGGGCTGAGGGTCCAGCGCCCGCGTCCGCGTATTTGTCGTCATCTCCCCCTGCTCCTCCGAAGAACCCTTCGGGGAAAAAGTCCGACGGGTCGAGAGGGTGAGGCATCGGCTGGAGGCACTTGTATGGTTCACACCCGGGTTGCGGTGCCTCGGGGTTCACCATATTCCAGACAGTGGCCGCTCGATGCCATGTCTCTACCTCCAGGATGTTTTTCATCAGGTACACGTCGCCCATCCTTTTTGCACCTTGATAATCCTCCCCAGCCTCGGTGAACAACCACTGCGGGTCCTTCTCCATATCCTCCATCATGATTTCGTACAACCCATGCCACGGGAGTAGGTTGAAGATATCAGGCCGCGGAGTGGGCCCGTTAAGCAGGACCGTCCTCACCGCCGCCATTACCGTCGGTTCTAGGGCCTGGTTTGGAGGGCGGCTTGGCATCCTCGGCCTCCTTCCTCTCTCTGGCGATGCGGTCGATCTCTCGGTTTCTTCTCCATCTCCCGATGTCTGAGTCCTCATCGCTGATCTCGTCCTGGTAGGAGTTCCAGGCTCTTCCTCTCGCTTCCAGGTCGCCTCCGGCTCGTCGGGCTGCTCCTGTGTACCTGACGGCTGCGGCTCGTATTCTATTCTCGACTTCGGCGTCGGTGGCATCGGGCTCGAGGGATAGGTCCCACCAGCCTCCGGGTCCTTGGAGAGCGTCTTCTTCTGCTCGACGAATGCGTGCGTCGTGCGCTCTTCCTCGGTCCATTCTGGCCTGGATTTCTGGGGACTCCCGGGCAGCTCGAGGGACTCCGAGGGACTCGACGTACGTGTGATAAAGGAGCGGCCATGGGCGCTGAGAGGCAGGGACGGGGTCGGCGAAGGCTTGCGACGCGACGGACGGTTCCCAGTCGGAGACTCCGGCGAGGCGCTCGGAAACGGTAACTGTTCCAAGTTCCTCGGAGTCGTACTCTGGGAACTCGCCCCAAAGCTCCCTATCCGTCGGCTCGTGCGAGGGGATGGCGGGAGCGAGCATTGAGGTCTCGGTCCTTTCAGGGACCGGGTCGGGCTCTGGTCTGGGCACGACTCGGGCCACAGGAGCTTCTTCCCCGTTGTCGGCATAGACCCAGCTGGTGTCGGGGTACCAGGCGACTGGGGGACCTCGGTCCGCATCCCAAGACACTGGAACTCGTCTTGGTCCATCTGTACGGGTGGTCGTGGCGGCGGAGGCCCCAAGGGTAAGCTCTCTGGAATCGTCCTTGAAGTCATCTCGAGCCTTTCCTTTTCCGTACCTCCTTCGCTCACTTCCCCAGTCCGCATCGGTCCACTTATTCTGGGAGCGTCCGCTCCAACTGTCTCCGGTATAGCTTGCATCCTCCTCCTCGTTCGGATAGAGCTCGCCGAGGAGGGTTTCGAGTCTGACCCTCTCGAGGTCGGTGAGCTCGTCGCCTTCGTACTCGGTGTCAGGGCTTTCTTCGCCCGTGACCAAAGGCCTGGTGCCTTGTCCTCGGGCTCCGTCGGTGCTTGACTCGCCTTCGACTGGAGAGACGTCGAAGAGACCTGGTAGGGGCGAGTCTCCTCGGTCGAGGAGTACCCCCCGGGTATCGGTGATATCGACGGAGTCGTCTGACTCGGCGGTAGCGCTTCTGTAGGAGTCGGTGCTCGACTCTGAGGATCCCGAGCTGGATCGCGACGATCCGTAAAGGGACTCTCCAGATCCTCTGGGTGTGATGGGTCAGCCATCGTGTAGGGTTTGCTGGGATGCTGCGGGGATGAAAATCACAGGGGGTGGATAAGCCGGGGTTGCCGGCACGTAATGGAATGGGAGTTGTGCCCGCACTCGTCGTTGTTGGCGGCAGCACCAGTGAAGCTGGAACAAGGAGATGGACAAGAAACAGAGAATAAAAACGGCAGAGATTATGGGAATGGCGTCGGATAAGGGCATCCGTCCGTTGGCTTATCTTTTGAGAGGGCCGGTGGTAAGGATGGACTATACAACGGTCAGGGCGAGAATGGTGAGGGCAGCGAGGGTCGCGATAATCAGATTGAGGTCAGTCTCGTAAACGGGACTGGTCATCAATGAGGTATCGTCGTCGAAGGATGGGTCAGTCAATGTCAGCAGGATCACTGCTAACAGGGAAGCTGACTTTAGAAATAGGTTGAAAGGTTTCATGTTGGCCTTAGACAAGGGGAAAGTATCCGCCGTACAAGGCTACTAGCAATCCGGCTAGGAGTGGTGCGGCGATACAGACTCGTATAAGGGCAAGGGTAAGAAATACAGTTACTAAGACTGCAAATATGGGGTCATGGATAATGAGAGGTAAAATCCAGGCGATTACTGCAGCTTGAAGCAGTAGGTCAAAGGGGGTAACCCAGAGGGCTACTGCGACGAGGAGGTGTATCGGATGAATTTTGGGATAGATCGTCTTGTAAAGAGTTGGGCAGTGCTCTTTCTCAGAAGTGACGCTGAGCAACGTAGAACGAGCTTCAGCTAAATGTTAGCCACTAACTCTTATCGACTTAGATCAACCAAGGATCGCCACTCGCACTTCGGTGGACGATACACTTAGAGGTCAAAGGCGATGAAGGGAGCCAGTCGCGAACTTAGATAGTCACGAAGGACGGAGTTCGATGTTAGGTAGAATAAACCTTAGCCGAAGCTGGGTTTTAGCCCAGCTGAGGCTCTACTTAAATACACGTTGAGTAAACTAAAAATAGTACTGTGAGAATGTCCGATCAGGATCGCAGGCGAGCGTAAGTGAGGATGAGTAAGAAAAGAAAAGAAAAGAAAAAAGAATGAATAAAGTGAATAAACCGTAACACCAAAAGGACGTAGATGGACCTGCTCCTGTGACAAGTGTGATTCCTCGAATGCTGAACATGGTGGATTGCTGACTAGTATTCGAGATCACAACACAAATAGAGATAATGTGAGAGAACATTTGGTATAATCTTCCCAGCCTTTAGGTCACATCAAGGACATTGATCATGGGACATGTTATTCACCCTGAAAATGAGACGCTCATTTGAGATATGGGAGAAAAGTATGTGTGCTACGTTACTCACTTTGATTCAACAATTAATCTCCCAAGAGAATATGTCTGTACGCACTAGGTACAAAGATTTATCCGTGTAGGATACTATTTATAGATCGGCAATGATCCAGGACCCGTCAACTTACAAGCCCATATGGAAAGCTTTAGAAAAGGAACAGGCCATCTCATGGATCTCGGTCCCTTCCTTCGAACGTAAAGATCAAGTGACCTTGGATTGCCTGCATGGACTACATAGTATTGAGATTAGCTATCTCGATTCGTGTACAATGAGTTTTTTTGTTCATACCTTATGTACTCTCCTATAGCGATCGTTCCTTCAACCCCATTTCGAGATTTTGGACGAAAAAGAAACAAAAATAACCGTTGAATTTACTGAGGGATGTATCGCGCAGACCATGCATGATGGCGAGTGTTTGATAACCCCTTATCAATGTATAGAGAGTTACACCCAAACCAGTCACCTGCTTTGGACCTGATGATGTTGGTGTTGGACTTTGGGTTCGAACTTTGTTGACGCAGGTAAGGCAGAATGGCCCGGGATATCCACTGAATCGTCTTATGTCACTCTGTTGCTGGCGGCGAAGCACGACCACGTGCCTTCCTGGCACCTCAGGTTCGATTTCCAACGACCCTGTCCTAACTTCTCCCTGCATCCCGCAAAACACGGTGGACATGGTCTCGCATTCAAACAAGATGAATAAGGAATATGTATACCAAATCGCCCTTGTAAGTCATCCCAAATGCCTACGGCATCAAATCTGAAGCGGCCAAAAACAAGGTAATATGGGCCAGGCCGCTCGCTAAGCTCATCCTTCTCTGGGTTGTAGGCCAGTGGCTTTCGAAAACTGATTCAACTGCTGCTGTGCTCCTTGTCCTCACCGCAAATCTCGGTAGCCTCCATTACATGGATGAAAACTGAAAGAAGATGGATATGAAAGCTGCTGAAATCGAAGTATGCTTCATTCACGCCATGTCTTGATAACTCTGATTGATTACTCTAGAAATTTGCGCATAGCATAATAAAATTTACCTTGAATATGGAGGGTCGGCACGTCTTATTTGAAGCAGATGCTTGGTTGAATGTGGAAGCGATCCAACTTTGCTCGTCGGTCATCATTATGTACGTACATTTCTCAACATTGGAGCTACTTTCTGAGATGATATATCAAGGCATTGTCTCGAGCTTAAGCAGCAAGCAGAAGTGCTGTACTCCGTTGCGCTGCAAGCCTCGATGTCCTTGCGCCAGCTCGATTTGATGAAACAGAAGTTGTGGCTGCAGGGAACAAAGATAGAAGGTCTCATGAGGTTCTATAGAGAGTATAAGATATCACTCATGGTCAACTCGGCGGGAGTCTAGCTCGAAGAGACTCCCCAGGAATGGGTGACTCGCATGAACAAGATGTTTGCCTCTGGTTGATGAAGGTTTTTGTGACCGACTTGGATGCAGTTGAATGAGAGGGTGAATAGGAAGCCCATATAGAATTATAGCATGCAACTATGATTGAAGACTTGTACCACATCTATAGAATATTTGTAGCCCATCAAAGATCACTGTAATTATTCGAAAGACTTCCGGGCGAGATGAAAAATTTTCAACATCAATTGCAGATGATAGAGATCCTTACACTACTTTACTACATTCTGCCGCAGACAGCTGTTGCATTTCCTTCCTGGCCTCTGAACATACTAAGTAGTGGTTTCTTGGAGAGATTGATGAGGTTCGTTGTCAATGAGAGAAAGAAAGCAACACAGAAGTTTCACGTCCTTGGTGCTCCTTGAATGGAAAAAGGCGAAGACACGAGTGATTATTTCAAAGCACAACTACAATGACAATGTGACAAATTTTTATAGGTTTTATGAGACCGAAGGATAGAAAAAGGCTCAACAATCACGGTAATTTATTTTGGGTTTTATGGAACGAAAGAGTAAAGAAAATGTCGACAATCGTTAGCGCGACGAAGTGAATTAAGTTCTCTATAAAGTCGGAGATGGTTACAGCAACTGATAATTGAGAGAAGAGGCTGACCTTAGGCGCTGAACCAGGTCCCTTGAACTTTCTGCATATTGGTGGCAGGAGTAACAGCTGATGCAAGCGACCTGTGAATCTTCCATCCACGCCTGCCCCTAGTCGCGCTAATGCTCAGGTTACTGTCGACCGTCGCAGAAAACGTATAGGAACCAGTCAAATCGCCGATATGCTCATAGGTCAACGTAACCATAGTGAAAGAGTAGAAGGGTGGGCCGTAGGCACTATCTCCTACAGTGGCAACGAAAACATACTGCTTTCTGTCGATGTCGAACACTGCGGTGAACGCATCACCGGTATTGGACACAACACTACCTCTGACGGTCTTGACTATAGGCACCATGGTAATGTTCATGCTCGACTGGGAAACATCAAGTCAGTACTCGGCGTTGAATTTGAAACAAAGTCCATCACCATATGCATGGCCAACTGCACCGTCGAAGGTGACAATGGAGCACGTTCGCATTCACACTCACGCAGGCGGCGGAGGGTCCACAGTTGCGAGGTGTCAGCGTTCGCACACTGTTTAGAAAGGAAGACCTGATGAAATGTTAAGTCAGAGCCTTGGGTACCAATATAGAAGTGGACGACATACATGAGTGAGGCCGTTAACTTGGATGTCAATGCTGGACCCATATTCGTTATCGGATAGGATCCTATTGGCGGCAAGGATCAGCATGGGTAGTAATGAAGAAGAAATAAGATCCGAACCTGTATACCCCATCATCCGCCTCGTTACCGTATAACTTAACATACCAAGTGGTAAGGAACAACGAAGGAACAATTTGTGGCCGAGACTCTTACAGACCCATCTTGAACTCGATGGACATTAGGATCCATTAGAAATGTTCTGGATAGAGTATCCGGCGCCCAAAGTCGCAAATTCCCACTGGAAAATATTAGAAGGTGAACGGTAAAGCCTGGATGGTGTTGTCATGCCTGTTGGTCCTATCCATCGTGGAAAGGGTAGCCTGTGGAGCGAAGATGAGGGGGTTAAAAAACAAGATGGACTTAGACTCGTACCGATGATAGTCTTCGAGTCCTGCCCCGAGAGTTCGACCATGTAGGCTTTGCGTCTCTCTGGGTTGTTGTCCACGAGCTGGATCGTATAAACACCGGGCTTCAAGTCATGCATGATGGCTGGTGAAAGAGTCGTAACTATTCGTGGGCATTAGATGTGTGCGGGAGAAAGGCCGTTTAGAAGACTCACTGAAGTAATGGGAATGGGAAATGGTAAGTGGGGAATGGAGTGAAGAAATTAGATGCTCGCATGTAGCTTATATAGTATTAGAACCTACAAACATGATCCACACATTAGTAGACTCCACGGATGCAATAAATGGGTCCACAAAGGTCTTATAAAAATGATACGGCGTTTAAATCGCTTCTCCATCATGTCCCTGGTGTCGCAAGTCTTCACGGAGTGTCAACTGAGAAGGGACGCGGGTACAGGCTGCAGCCGTCCGAGCTAAATTGATGTCCCTCATCGGATTCAAGCTTGTCAGAATATCGAGGTAGAAAGTCACAGCCAACACGTCGAATAGGGACACGAAGACTTGAACTTCCAACAGCAGGCTGTAAGAAAACGATTTTATGACTATTCGGACTTGCATGGCAAGAACCAGTACATCTGACAGCGGCTGGTACTGGCAGATATCTGTGTCCAACGCGTCGTCCTTAGCGGCGGTAAGATGTCAAGCCAGAAGCGGAGTAATATGAGTTCGTATGGTCACAGACATATCAGGCGTTCTTCTATCAAGTTTCGTGGCATTGAGTGCCAGTAGGGCCTCCCCCCCTCAGATCTGGCATGCCAACATAGACTGGTGGTATACTAGATGACCACTGGACCGAATTTTAATTTTTTTCTCTGATACCAGATTACATTTGGACTGATTTGTCGAGTGAGCCAGAAATTTGATTGTTGAATGTCCTGAATCGAAAGCGCAAAGTGAAGTACTGTTCAGGTGACATCACAGTCACAGTCACAAGGACATTTTCAAATCACGTGCGAGTTGAACTCGGCAAATCAGGCCGACGTTGAACTTCCGTCTTGAACTTTTCCTGCTACTCACCACCCAGCCCATGCTTAGCCATTCCATCAGCCTCTGGGGCCTGCGCACACTGCTGTCACAGGGTGAAATTATCTAGCCAATTGAATGGAACAGTGTAAATGTACACCAGCTCTTCGAATATTGAATGTCTGCGGTAACTTTTAATTCCTACTTAGTTGACTGATACAATGCCATAGGTGGTTTAGTTGCGCAGAACAACTTCTGTACGACGTACATGGAATTATGCGGGTACCTTGCCGCTTGCGAACCTGTAACGAACTCAGAGCACAGCCGCTTCTGGCATGACACCTCGCCGCTGCTAAGGGCGGCGGGTCGGGTGTAGATATCCACCAGCACCTGTCGCTGTTACAAGTACCTGCCCTGGTCATACAGTCATCAAGTCATTCTTTGAGTCTGCTGCTGCTGTAATGTCTTGTTCGATGTGTTGCCTATGACTGCTTTGCCCAGAGGTTCCGACGAAACTAAATACTATGGAGAACATCAACTTGGCTTAGACGGTGGCCGCCTGTACCCGTGTGCCTTCTCATTTGGAAGTCGTCTACTTTTATGACAGAGGACGTCGCGGCGAAGTGATTTGAATGCCGTGCTACGTTCATGGGACCTTCACGGACCCACTTACTTACATCCGCAAATGTGGATCATTTTTGTATAGGCGGTATATAATCTGCAGGTGAGTAGCTATGTTCTTCATTCCATCCTCCCAACTGCTCGTTCCAGTTACTTCGGTGAGTTCTTCATGAGCAGTCTTTTCCCGCCCACCTGAGACCTCTAACACGCTCGAATAGCTACGCCTCTTTCACCAGCCATCATGCACGACTTGCAGCCCGGTATCTATACTATCCAACTCGCGGATACGAACCTAGAGAGATGCAAAGCCTACACGGTCGAACTCTCGGGGCAGGACTCGAAAACTGTCATCGGTACGAATCTAAGTCCGTCTTGTTTTTCAGCCCCCTCATCCTAGCTTCACAGGATATCCTTGTCACGAAGGCAGGAATCAACAAGTATGGCATTGCCATCCCTTTCTAGTTTACTTTCTGATTACCAGTGTCAGTGGGAATTTGCGACTTTGGGTGCAGAATACTCTATCCGGAACGTCTCCAATGGATCCTACCTGTCCATCGACTTCAAAAACGGTCTGCAAGAGTTAAGACCACAAGTTGTAGCTTTGTCGTACCCTGTCATTTGGTATGTTAAGCTGTACGAAGCCGACGATGGAGTGTACAGGTTTGGTTCTATTCCTTCGCAGTTATAGCCCAAGCTGATTCTTGACACCCAATAGAATCCTCTCGAACAGTGAATATGGGTTCAGCATGGACATCCAAGCTGATGGCCTCGCTCCCGTACATTTCCTTCTTAATCAGCACCGAACTTTTGATCAAATTTCATGTCATCAGGTCTTCATTTCTAAACAGCAAGCCAGCGCTGACATCTCGCAGCTGTGGACTCTCCGCCGCCTGCGTGAGTGCGAGTGTGAGCATGCTCCGTTGTCACCTTCGACGGTCCAGTTGGCCACGCATATGGTATGGAACTTTATCTCTAAACTCATGAGTATTAACTTGATGTTTCCCAGTCAAGCATCAACGTCACCATGACGCCTACAGTCAAGACCGTCAGAGGCAGCATTGTGTTCAATACCGGTGATGCGTTCACTGCCGTGTTCAACATTGACGGAAAGCAATACATCTTTGTCACTACCATAGGAGATAGTGCCTACGGCCCACTCTTCTACTCTTTCACTATGGTCTCGTTGACTTATGAGCATATCGGTGACTTGACTGGTTACTACACATTTTCTGCGACTGTCGACAGCAACCTGAGCATTAGCGCAACTAGGGGCGGGCATGGATGGAAGATTCACGGGTCGCTTGCATCGGCTGTTGCTCCTGCCACTAATATGCAAAAAGTTCAAGGGACCTGGTTCAGTGCCTAAAGTTAGCTTCTCCTCTTGTTATTTCTCAGCGACCGTACTCATCTCCGACTTATAGAACGCTCCATTCACTTTGTCGTACTAACGACTGCTGATATTTTCCAAACCCTTTTGTTGCATAAAACCCGAAAAAACTATTTACCATGATTGTTGAACCGTTTCTATCCTTCGTTCTCATAAAATCTATGAAAAATTGTCACATTGTTATTGTAGTTGTGCTTTGAAATAACCACTCATGTGTTCGCCTTTTTCCATTCAAGTAGCTCCGCGAGCGTGAGATCACTACCAGAGACTGTATAACCAAATCTCTGTGCTGCTTTCTTCCTCTCATTGACATCGAAACTCGGCGATCTCTCCACGAAACTGCTGCTTAATACGTTCAGAGGCCGGGAAGGAAATATAACAGCTGTCTGCAGCAGGACATAGTAAGGTAGTGTAGGGATCTCTATCATCTGCAATTGATATCGAAATTTTTTACTTTTCCCAGAAGTCTTTCGAATAATTACGGCGAACTTTGATGGGCTACAAATATTCTATAGATGTGGTATAAGTCTTCAATCGTAGTTGCATGCTATAATTCTATACGGGCTTCCTATTCACCCTCTCGTTCAACTGCATCCAAGTCAGTCACAAAAAACCTTCATCAACCAGAGGCAAACATCTTGTTCGTACGAGCCACCCATTCCTGAGGGGTCTCTGCGAGCTGGACTCCTGACAAAATTTCTAGGAGTGATATCCTATACTCTCTATAGAAATCCATGAGATTTTCTATCTTCATTCCCTGCAGCTGCAACTTCTGTTTCATCATATCGAGCTGGTGCGAGGACGTCGAAGCTTGCAGCGCAACGGAGTGCAGCACTTCTGATTCCTGCTTAAGCTCGAGACAATGCCTTGATATATCATCTCAGAAATCAGCTTCAACTGTTGGGAAATGCACGAACATAATGACAGCCGCCGAGCAAAGTCGGATCACTTCAACATTCGAGAGAGCATCTGCTTCAAATAAGACACGCCGATCCTCCATATCCGAGGTGAAATTTACTAGTTTATGCGCAAATTTCTGAGGCAACCAATCAGAATTATCAATACATGGCATGAATGAGACATACTTCGATTTTTGCAGCCTTTTTATTGGCCTTCTTTCGGTTTTCATGCATAAAATGGACGCTGCTGAGATTTGTGACGAGGACAAGGACCTCTGCAGCAGTTGAATCCGCTCTCAAAATTAACTGGCCTACAATCCAGAGAAGCATGAGCTTAGCGAGTGGCTTGTTCCATATTATCTGGTTTTTGGCCACTTCAGATTTGAAAATTTGACACCGTAAGTATTTGAGATGACTCACAAAGGTGATTTGGTATACATAGTCCTTAGTCAACTTGTTTGAATACGAGGCCATCTCCGACGTGCTCTACGGAATGCAGATGGAAGTTAGAGCAGGGTTGTTGCAAATTTGAGAATGATGTATGCACGTGGTCGCGCTTTGCGGACGTTCCAGCGGATATCCTGGGCCGGTCTGCCTTACTGTTCAAGCCTGCAGTCCAGCAGGTCGACTGGTCTGGGTGTAACTCTCCATACAACGATAAGGGATCATTAAACACTCTATATTATGCACAACCCACGCGATGCATCCCTTTATAGTTCAACGGTTATTTCAATATTTCTTTTTCATCCAAATTCTCAAAATGAGGTTCATGGAACAGTCGCTACAGGAAAGTACATAAGGTATGGACAAAAAAGCTTGTTGTACATGAATTCTGTTTCATTGCGGATATTTCGAAAATGTTACATGCTTTTTATTATAAGCGCCATTCGCTGACGTTCTATCCGGGTACTCTAATTAATCTCTTCCACCATGCCCAACTTGAAAGAATCTTCTTCAGCAGGGCACACAGCAACTGGAGGAAAGTCTCCGTCGGTATCTGCCACCCAACGCTCAGCAGCTTCTAGTTGTCGCTCTGGTGCGTAGGATTGTAGCCTCGTCTTAAGCCTCGAATAGCTCCGTATGACACCCCGTATGCGTGCATCCAGCACTCTCAAGTCAGATGAGATCTGGGCGAGCTCATCCAAGGTAGCCGAGGCCTGCCGTGCCACAAAATACAGGGCATCTGCCTTTTGTGTCGTAACGGACAAACGCCTTGATGAATTAATCTAAGATGATCCACCAGTTACTGATAAGGAACGTACTATGTGATGACCGATGAGCAGAACTGGAGTGCCTCCGTGTCCTCCGTGTACACTGCAAAAGGGAAGCGTTGGTTGATCATGTATAAGTTGAGTCTGCGGGAAGTCGATCTAATTTCCTAAGACCAATGAGATTTATCATAGTTTAGAACGGATAAAACATACTTCGAGCTTTGCCTCCCTTGCGGTGTCCTCTTTCAACCATCGCGAGAAATGGTGGACAGCGTAGACAGCGATGATATAGGCAACAAGTCCAAAAGGGAGCCATTCAGAACTCAGAGACGCGTTGAATACAAGAAAAGTAAAAGTGGTGATAGGGTTTTTGTCTATAATCTGGTTTGCGATGGCATCAGAAAGTACAGACGACTGTCCAGAAATTCACAACTTATGAGGACGGCGGGGTACATGTATTTCTTGAACACCTTATTTACAATATTAGGCATTGCCAGGGTATCTCAGGAAATATAGCTTCGAAAAGAGCGTTCAAGGTCACTAGAAAAGGGCGGTCGAGGTTGGGGTGAGGAGTAACGAGACGTGAACTAGGGCCAAGGGGAAAACCCCCAGAGGGTCGGTCCCCGGTATAATACCTATTGCGGTCTTGAGGGGGGTTTTATACATGTATTATACACGGTATAATACCTGATCATGTGATGCATGAAATATTCGAATTTTGAAATTTTCTTCATCCTTTTTCGGGGATTTTTCAGGATATTCAAGTCATTTTGAGTCTTACCAAGCGTAAAATTAGTGCCAATTACCATGGAATTGGAGCTATTTGATTGCGTAGGCAGCTACAAGCTCTGAGAGCTGCCAATTTGATTGTTATATCAGGACTTAATGGCTTCACGTGATTGGGTATTATACATAACTAAACCCCCTCCGAGACCCCTTAGGTATAATACATGGTATAATACCTAGTATAATACTGTATAAAACCATTTTTGGTAAATAACCTAGGTTTTCCCCTCGGCCCTAACGCGAACCTCTGAATGACCGGTTTTCCATCACGTGAGATTGAGGGCAGGCTTTTTAACCGTGAGTGAAACAAGCTAAGAACGAATTCCGAATATCAATATCACTGCTGAGAGTGCTGATGCGTTTTTGATGGCCTAAAAATAGGTTTCGGTTTCGGTTTCAACTTTACTTTTTCTGTCGTTTTTAGCACTGTAAAGCGAAAAAGTATGTACCTCAATTCTATTGCTCCACAGGTGTGGAAGTTTTGCATAGCTTTTTGCTGACAGTCATTTCAGAATCGAAGAAGGCTTCGCCAGTGAAACAAACCCTTTTACATAAGGTTTCGTTTTACGAGCTAGAATGTACTGGTTTCTCCCGTGTTGATAGGTGATTGGCGCGAACCTCAACTCATCTTCAGGATCAGTTTCAACATTCTCTTTCTCGTATTTCCCCTCATCTGATCATTCCAAAAACATATGTCAATGTCCTCGAGCATAGTCTACTGGCTTGATTCCGCAGCGCCATCTTCAACTCCGTTCTCCAATCGCTAGAATCGTCGCAGGTCGCCCTGTTCATGAGTTTCAGACAGTGTTTGAGGCTGTAATGTTGTCAATGCGGGCTATTGGACGGTTAGCAGTCCGTCTCGACGGAATTGAGGTGGAATGCCTCACCAGCAGATTTCTTTTTCGACTGTTTTTCTTGGGCAAAAATGGATTTGCAGCGGTTGTCGATAACAACCTTGGAATTATTTCCTCGAAGTCGTCGAAATCATGGATCCGGCTTTAGTCGACTCAAAAATGTAGTTGGAGAATATAAAAAGACGTAGATGGAAGAGGTAGCTGACTCAAATGAGGCGCTACCCACGAGGTGGTCGCGTACGACCATCATGTATCAGGGGCTGCTAATAGTACATGACAAGGACCCACTTCAAGTTCCTTGACATCCCACTCCAACCTTCATTTCTCTTTTCGTTTCCATTCTATGTTTTCTTTCCTTTTTATACGCAAGGCATGGTCGCTTGAAGCCTCACCTTCCTTCCATCTTCACCTTCTGGTTCAATATGTTCACCCGCTTGACTCTTTTTGCGTCCTTCGCTGCTCTGTTAGCGCCCCAAGTTCTTGCTCATCCTGTGTTTTCACAAGTACGTTTTATTCCTCAATACCGTTATTCGTTTTGTTAATCCACTGTTTAGCGCGAGGTCATTGCACGCTCTCCGGCTCCTCTGGATCTCGTCAGTGCATACACTGCTGATGTGTCCAAGAGAGAAATCATATCCCCCGAGATCCCGGCCAGGAGCATCGATGGTATCATAACTCCATACAACAAACGACAAATCCCAGTGGAAGACCCAGTCAACAGTGCTGGAGGGTCCGACACCATCCCTTACCCTAGGCAGGACATCCCAGCGGAGGTGCCAGTCAGAGGTGCTGGGGGATCCGTCATTCCTTACCCCAAGCGAGATGTTCCTGTCGAAGGCCCCGTCGACAACCCTGATGGGACCACCATTCCCTACGACAAACGACAAATCCCAGAGGAGCAGCCAGTTAAAAGTCCTGGGGGGTCCGTCATTCCTTATCCTGGACCTAAGCGAGACGGAAAGATCGAGCTTTATTAAGTGGTACATCTCCCTCCCCATGGCTACCTCCGAATTCTGATAGTAAAATTAGTGGTGCATGTATAATTGTGTTACAAGTCAACGGAGGTGCACTGGCGGCACGAGATTTTCTTTTTTGTATATATATAAGAGCGCAAGTGATTCCTGAGCACATCACAGTGCTTACTTCCTCTGGCACCTACTCCTTCTTCCTCCTTCCAGGCCATCACTGTTCTGACACCGTCTTGTCGTCTGGGTCAGTGTTCAAGAGCGAATTGCGACGACGATAGGGGTCAAGTTTCTTGGATCAAGATGCAAGATTACTAAGCTATGACATTCATATTTCATCATATCATGTGAAGACCTTGGCTTTTAAGCGAAGATTTTAGACCTAGAGAGACCTTGACAAGCAAGGTAACAGTACTTGGTTGGTCTTGGTTGTTTCTCGTCAAAAGGCCGGGGTTACTACGGATACGGTAACCCGGACCTGACACGGGATTTCCGACAACTTGCTTAGGTCAGCTACCTGTCTTTCATTGAGTTCAACTTCTACTCTTATTGTTAAACGGTAACGTACCATCATAGACGCATTAAGAAATCGACTCCTTTCTACTCTCTTTTCGTTGTCATTTTACGCGTTCTCGACGCCCTCCGAGGTTCTACGGGGTTCCCATTTCAGTTTCCCACTGGGTCGAGGCACCGACTAAAAATTGGAAACAGTGTGAGCAACTCCAAGTTCTACGACCGGTTTACATATGGTGACGCCGCTTATTACAGTGAATTTATGGTCTCTAGCCTCGTCTTAACTATTTTACGGCAAGTTTCCTGATATCAAGTCGGACTTGGGGCTTTGAAGTCGACATGGTGGTAAAGCAAGAAGTTGTCGATGACATTTCCATCCACATGGAATCCAATGAACGTGTACCTTCCGGGTTCTCCAGTCTAACTCCAGACTGTCCGGCGGAATCTCACATCGCACCAAAGACTGAAGATATAATCTCTCGGTTATCTACGCCTCTAACTCCTAGCTTATCCAGTATCAAGTCAAGGTCGAACTCTGAGACCCCCCCTCGCAGGAAGCGTCGGGTAATGATAGTTGAAGTTGTCGTACCCACGTTATGTGCCGTACTTGACAAGCTTCCTGCTGAAATTGAGAAAATCAAGGGGGATGACAAGGAGATAATGCAAAAGCTAGTTAATGTAAGTCGGTCAATTCGAGTTGTTGACTTATCCTTATATGGCTTCCCCAGCCCAAAGTAAAGAAAGCCCGAAATTTAGAATTTTCCTTGGATACTGTCCGGAGTCGTCTGAAGGGGATCGAGTTCTATGAAGTCCCTTTAGATAGGGACGTTCGGGACGTAGTCGTCACTCGACTCTTCATGTCAAAAGTCTACGGCGGCAGCCCTCAGGAGACATTCCCCCGAGTGGCCCAAAATTTTCTGCGCGTGCACCATATGGATGATTTTATGTATTTGAATCTTGACATGAACCCTCACGCTCCCCAAGTGCCCGGAGCACCAGGGCTGTTTTTTGATGCAGACGAATCCATCGACCAATTTTCCAAAATTAGACGAGTCTTTTCTCGAATTGGCAGCTCGCAGTGGGAATACATGGGGCAGTACGAGATCAAGCCCGTTGCCTCGCTGACGATGGAAGAATGGAATGAACAACGCAGTACCGTAAGTAACGCCACGTAATTGCACGATATCATGTTAACTCGGGGATTAGGTTCGTTTAGTTTGGGCATCTAAGCTCTCGACCACAGGATGGGGTGTTCCCTGCAGGGGTGTTATGCATCTATATGAACAACTCGGTCGGAAGCCGACCAAGAGAGAAGTCAAAGAGGCCCTCCAAAGTGGAAATCAATTCAAGAATGTTAGCAGGGAGCAGATAGCCGAAGGGTTTCTTAAAGGCTGGGTGGTAAGGCGATGGCTTTCCGGTTTCCAAAATTAACAACGCGTTCATTTAGACTATGGCCGTATGGACAATGAAGTGCGTTGGTTATGATGTCGATTTTCAACGTGAGCTTGTCACCGAATATGTGAATTGGACTCCTCCCGACGAGCCCAAGCGCCTGGCAACGCCGCAAAGGGGGAGAAAGCGGAAGCGCGAGGAGCATCGGGCTCTTGATGAGGATGATCTTATTTATCATCCTAGAGGGACAAAGACACGTCCTATCTAGTATAATCATACATGCTTCTGTCTGGAGTTCCATTTACCTCCCCCAAAAAATTCAATCCCCTTTTATAATATCATCTCCTGCTATGCTCACTTGTTGGAGCATTTTCTCCGCGTTCAGGTAAAAAAGCAAGTCATCCGCGTTCAAGCAGTCAAATTTTGCGGGTACACAGTCCTCAGGGAAGAACCGCTTCATCATTGACACGATGACCCAGAATGCACCGCTTGCATGTAAGATCTTGGAGAGGGAGTAGTGAAACTGTATGAGCTTGCGGCTTGGTCGGAGTTCTGCTGGATATTCCTCGAAGTTGACGGCTTTGATGTTGCGCTTGTACACTGAAGTTGGAATGCCTACCAGAGGTTCAGAATGGTACTGGTCGAGATGGACAGGCTAACTTCCGATGAGCATTAGAACATAGGTAGGAACGAAATACTTGCATCGGGGCGTAAGGTCCAGCAAAAGTTGTCGAAAAATGTATGAAGACATAGATCGAGTGTTATTCCATTGCGAACGCAATTAATATTAGCGTCGAGTTCATTAACCTCGTCCTCCGATAAAGCAGCAAAGTGGCGTAGGATATCCCAGGTAGCGTACTCTGCCGAAGATGTCTGCGTTCAACTTTGTTAGACCACATTAAATTTGACTGAAACGGGTTTACTTCGCTACGCTTTCCAGCTCCTGCCACTCTCTTCAATATATGGGTCGGTTCGGTAATTGTCATAACATCAGGATTTACCGACATATCCTGCACACGCGTAACGACACAGCGATTATCATCGCGCTGCTTCACCTGGGAGCATGCCTACTTAACGATTCCACGATTGCAGATGAAGTAAACTGACAGCATCTTCAAAGTGTGAACGAGAGGCGGCTGAGGTTCGGGTCTCTTTGATAGAGGGCTCTCGACATCGACATTCATCAGCTTTGACTGAGCAAACCAGAGTTAATGGTTGTTAGGATTGCATCAATGAAAGTTGCTCCTCACAAGGCCAGAAGAGGTACCGAACCCAGATATTGGCCAGTTCAATTAACTGTTCATCTTGAGTGGCGGCAGTAACAATCGCACAGGCGACGTAGCGACGTGGAGCGGTACAAGTATCATCATCAGTGGCATGTATGAGCATCGCGCTCAGTACGGCTTCTGGATCAATGTCTTCATGCACCGTAGACGGTCTGTAAATATCGAGCGAGATATCTCCTGAAACAAATCCCCTTTCAAGGCATGAGACTTTCGTCTCTGCCAGAGCAACGAGAGAGAAGGTGGGCGTGCTGCTTTCGATTTTTTCGGTGACAGATTGGCGGAAAGAGTCGGTAAGAGTTGTCCATAGCTCCGTTGCAAATTCAGTACATGTACCCTCGTTACTCATGTCAGAGGTAAGATAGGCAACGCTCAGATCGGCGCAATGCGCATATAATAGTCGTTTCTTTGGCGAAAAGGCGAATTCACAGGCGACAGTGATTAAGACCAGGTAAGACACCCGGGTCTCGGGCCAGCGGTTAGCGCTTCAGCCGAGGCTCGAAGCAGGCCGACGTAATTTTTTTCAACGTGATAAGAGTAATCAGATTTCCTGTAGTTGTGCAGTTGTATAAATATTCGCATCTACAAAAAGTAGAACCAATGATAATGTACAGCTTCAAAAAATGTCGGCACGAGAGACTTCAACATAGAAAGTAATCAAGAATTCCCGGTATGATCAAGCGAAGTATTTACCGGTGAATATTTGTAGACCAGCAAACTAATCGCAGAACATATACAGAGGGCAAGCACTTAGTCCGCTTCTTCAGGATATAACTCGTGCGCAATTTTGTCAGCCTCGGCGTCAGCTTCACCTAATGGCCCAGCTGGTTTTTCCGCAACCGGGACCGGTTCAGGTTCAGGTTCAGCAGCTGGTGGGGCCGGGTCCTCATCCTTCACCACCGGCTTCTCCTCAGCCTTTTCCACCGTGACCTTTTCCTCCGTCTGAATCTGCGTCTTCGCCTCCTCCTTGGTAGGTTGTCCCACTGAGCTGATCTCCTTCTCCTCAGAGATCTCCATCTCCTGCTGCACATGTTTAGCAGGCTGACTAGGCACGTCCTTCACCGGTGCCCCAGCAAAGATGTCTCGTCCTGGCTCAGGCTTGCCTACGCCGATAGTCGTCGTATGCTCCTCAGGATTGATAACCTCCGGCTCCTGTGCGTTGTCTTCGACAATGATAGCTGCCCTGCCGCCTGGCTCACCACCGATGGTCGCCACCGGGATGTTCGATTTCTGTGGTGTTGGTGCTGCGGCCGTACCGTATTGAGAATACTGCGCGAGTTTTACCATTAGTTATGCAAATGAAGAGTATAAAGAAGGCCTTACGTCGTTCAGGAAGTCATTGCACGAAAAGTCCCATGTTTTTAGCCACTTGGAGCTCTTGCATTCGTCCTTTGTCCATGTGCTTCCGTACGCCAACGGGCTGAAGTGCACAAAGGCCCAGATGGAAATGATGATGAGGACCGCAGCAATTTGCAGCCGCACCCTTGGGCGCAACGTCGACGTGATGAGATCAAACACTCCGCATAATAGTAGGATGGCGAAATATAGTGCGGGGAAGTAATGATGCAGGAAGAGCTGTCGCCCCATTAGGAAGAAGGGGAAGTAGTGGAGAGACCAGCCTAAAAACAGGAAGCCACAAAGCGAGTCGTACTTGACGACCTTAGCTGGAACAAAGTATCAGCACGCTGAGAATCAGATATGGGACAGTGAATACTTACTGCTGGCGAAATCCTGATATCCTCGCTTTGCCCGGAGAATGAGGAATCCCCGAACAAGAATATACGAGGCGACGGAAAGTGTACTCAGCCACCATATAATGGGATTACCAATCAGGTATATCTGACGATGATCTTTGACCCAAAAGTTCTAGTATTCAACAATGTTAGCCATATGAGTCGTGGTATCACACGTTGTACTCACGATACCACGTCGTAGACGAGGCCAAGAGCCCGGGCGAGAATCAAATGTGTGTCTATCTGTTAGTCCAGCATTTGTCGTCCACATCACTTGCTGCAGTTCCATGAACTTGGCAAAGAATCCAGGCAATCTATAATTGACCTTCGGTGCGTCCTCAGGCACTGGCAAGTTCGTCAGCGGCACATCATAGAATTCCGGAAACTGCGCTTACGTGCAGGATGCATCGCGGTCTCGATAAACCACAAGGAATTAGCCCTCACAGCATTTTTGTTGCATGTAACTTCCTGTTGTTCGTATCCCCATTCCGGAAGCTTGACCTTGTGCGAGAACAGGTAACATCCCTGCAGAGCATGTCGCAGTCTGAATGTCGTCCTGAGAGTTCGCAGTCTTTTACTGGAGTCTCTATCGCGGCGGTCGCCATGCTCGATCTCCACGATCCAATCATCGTTGCCGTCACCTTCAAACCCGGGCATCCCGTAGGCCGAAACCTCATTCTGGAAATCGACGTCTGAGACGGGAGGACGGACGTCGTGGGAATGGAGAGCTTTCTCCGTGGAGACGTGGCGTAGTCGGATTCGGGCACCAGGATAGATATAGTTGAGAGGCTCCATGGACCAGTCTGCTGGTTCGTGGTTAGCGAAGCTTGCATTAATTATCTTCCAATCGTTGTTGGAATCTCGGTGGGGATACAAGGTAATCTGTTGCTCTACCATACACCGTTAGTCTTGGACATATATCAATGGGGCACATCGTACGTTTGGAGCCACCAGGATAATTGTGCGGATGCGAGTGTAGATAACCACCCTGTGTATTGACATGTCGGATGCTCACGGTAGAGCCAATGGCAATGTCGGCATAAGTGTCTGCCATACCACGACCTCCAAGCGTGTGCTGAAATTCAGAACTCATAAAACCATCTCCCTCGCCAGAGCTTCCAAGAAGCATGAAGTGAATCTGGAACATGGTCATGTAGAACAAGACCGGGAGGACGATGAGACAGAGAGCGCGAGCAATGAAATGCTTCATGAACAAGCGCGGTGATACTTTCAGATCCCCAAGGAGGTACCAGAGCTGTTGCACGGTGCTCAGCCCGACAGTGGCAATGGTGAAGAGTCCAACCCATTTACAGCTGACGACAGCACCAAGGGATAGGCCGGACAAGATAAGCCATGACCACCACGTGTCAGTAAATGGTTTATGCCTATCCTCATTGCAAAAGCCAACCCAAAAGAAGATGGTAAGTGCAGTGAAGAAAATGAGGGGAGAATCGAGGAGAATATGCCTAGATTGGGTGATCATGCCGTTTTCGAATGTTATGAAGAAAGAAGCCAGCAGTGCCGTTGTCGCACGACAGTCCAGAGCGCGTAGGGTAAGATAGGAGAGGGGAACTGTCGCGACACCAAGTACTGCAGGAACGAGACGCATTGCGACATAGGGTACACCATCATATACTCTGCTCAGCCATAAGTCGACAGCTCAGTGATAAAGTAAAAAAGCACACACTTTCCGATATCCTTGAAATCAAAATGCCCGTCGTATCCGAAAACAAATGCAGCCAATGTAATTAACAATTTCGCCAACGGTGGATGCACATCCACAAAATACTGCGTCTTGATGTATCTGCTGGCAAATTTGCCAAAGTGTACCTCATCAAAACTACGTTATGTCAGCACAGCACTTAAAAACTAGAGAAGGCGCGCACACTACGCTGTTGGGACTTGATAGGCGGAATAACCGTACAGCAGCGGCGACGATGATGATTACGAGCAGCAGCTTCCATTCTCCAGATGTCAAGGCAAGTCCCCCTGGTGAATGGCTCTTGCCTCTGCTGGGAATGAATCCTTTCGACGCGGCCTCCCTTCGTGCATCCGCATCCAAGTGGTCCTGCCGAGAGTGAGGAAATCGCTGGGTTGCCGCATGAGGTATTCCTGGCGGAGGAGACGCTGGCCGCCGCGCTCGAAACGACATCAGTGCTGTGGGTGTCGACCAGCAAAAGTCGAAGAGAAGGAGAGAAAATTTGGTATTAGATGGAAGTAAGTGGTAAAGTGACGTTTGGCCGAATTTGGTACACGTGTGGCTGCGCCTGCGGAAACAAGTTTTTGTCTAAAAATACATAAAAATTCAAGAAAATACTCATAAAACCAGAACTAAAAACTCCACTTTTTATTTGTGTATACGCATTAATATTATGACTCTTGCCATATTTCACGCTTTCGTTTGGCGCATATTGAAGCATTACACGATCAAAATAAACACGTTACAGTTCCTGGTGGCAGTGCAAGAGAGGGCGTGGGAGGTCATTTCCTGATTGAGCTCTCCCCTACGCGACGTCTTTCTTCCTACTCTCACTTTCTGCTCGTTCTCTTGAACCCTTCGAGTTACGAACCAGCAATGTCGATGCAAATATTTGGAGGACAGGTGCGTAGTATATCTTCAAGTATTCAAGGCTGCAGTATGAAGTAAGGATTTTCCAGGCGACAGAAGAAAAGGCCGAAAATGCGCGTCTCTCTTCGTTTGTCGGTGCTCTCGCTCTTGGGGACCTCGTAAAATCCACACTCGGCCCTAAAGGGATGAACAAAATCCTTCAGTCAGCGTCGACTGGGGAAATCAACGTAACGAATGATGGTGCGACGATTCTGAAAGCCATTCAGCTGGATAACGCTGCTGCGAAGATTCTGGTGAACATCTCCAAGGTTCAGGACGACGAAATTGGCGATGGTACGACGAGCGTATGCGTGCTGGCTGCAGAGCTACTGAGAGAGGCCGAAAAGTTAATCGCACAGAAGATACATCCTCAGACTATCGTTGAAGGGTATCGGATTGCGAGTCTAGCAGCATTGAAGGCATTGGAGGGCTCTGCTGTGGATAATTTGTGAGTCATACGTTATTGATGAGGCGAGCCTGTTGCTGAAAGGCATGTCCTGTTCAGTTCGGACCCTACAGTGTTTCGCCGAGATCTTTTCAACATTGCGCGTACAACTCTATCGTCAAAAGTCTTGTCGCAGGATAAAGATTACTTTGCCAACCTTGCCGTTGATGCCGTTCTGCGGTTAAAGGGATCCACAGATCTTGAACACATTCAAATAATCAAAAAAGTCGGCGGCAAGCTCACGGACTCGTACTTGGATGAAGGTACGACGCCTTCGTTCTCCGTGGGAAAGGGCTGACCGTCCTTTATTTCTAGGTTTCATTCTCGACAAAAGTATTGCCGTCAACTCCCCAAAGCGACTGGAGAATGCCAAAATCCTCATCGCCAATACCTCCATGGATACTGACAAAATCAAAATCTTCGGTGCACGAGTGAAGGTGGATGGTACAGGAAAACTTGCCGAACTAGAACGAGCTGAGAAGGTGAGCGCATCTCGGCCCTTATGGAATGACCGTTGACTAACGGAACAATATAGGAGAAAATGAAAGCCAAGGTCGAAGCTATTGCTGCCCATGGCATCAACTGCTTTGTCAACAGGCAGCTGATTTACAACTATCCGGAGTCTCTTCTCGCAGAAAAGGGTATCATGGTGATAGAGCACGCTGACTTTGAGGGCGTCGAACGACTCTCACTTGTCACCGGTGGAGAGATCACGAGTACGTTTGAACGACCAGAGTTGGTCAGTCTTGGACAATGTGATCTCATCGAAGAGATTATGATTGGTGAAGACAAGGTAAGTAACTGAATCTCGTCTTCGTGCAGATCGGCATCCTGATTTCGTTTATCCGTAGCTCATCAAGTTCTCAGGCGTTGCTGCTGGTGAAGCCTGCACAGTCGTCCTCCGGGGATCTACGAATCAGATGGTCGACGAGGCAGAACGGTCACTACACGACGCCCTCTCGGTGCTCTCGCAGACAGTGAAAGAAACGCGGACTGTGTTAGGCGGTGGTTGCTCAGAGATGCTGATGAGCTGCGCTGTCGATGAGGATGCTCGGAAGGTGAAAGGAAAGAAGGCTATTGCTGTCGAAGCCTTCAGCAGGGCTCTGAGACAAATCCCGATAATCCTAGCTGATAATGCAGGATATGACTCTTCAGACTTGGTTTCGCGGCTTCGGGCAGCGCATTATGAAGGCCAGACAGATGCTGGGCTGGGTACGTGTTTCATTGAACATCTTATTTGTTCGTTCATTTATCTCGCGTCACTGTAGATATGAACGAGGCAACGATTGCCTCGATGCGCAAGCTAGGTATCACGGAGAGCTACAAGTTGAAGCGTCAGGTGGTTCTCAGTGCCAGTGAAGCTGCAGAGATGATAATACGTGTGGATGATATCCTGCGCGCTTCGCCCCGACAACGCGAGGCTGTATAGTGTGTTTGTTTAGAGTAATTTGATAGCATTGCTGAATTCTACTTTGTAATATTTGATCGAATGTTCCTTTTCACGACTGGGTTCCTTTCTAGCAGTTGTAGACCGTCTGCGTCATGGCGTCTATCGCTACTAGATTCGACACGGTGTAAGTGGTGAGGATACTTAGTCACTTCCAGCTAGTTTTTCACGAAGTTCTCCTTTGAAAAGTTCAAAAGAAATGATAACAAGAGGCATTCAATTCCAAACAAAGAGTAGAGGACAACCCCATAAGTGTTGTAAATGCTGCAACGTTTTCAGTGCACGTGGTCGTGACACCTCGGGCTGAACAGGCCAAAAATATAAAATGATTTTGTATCCGTACCACCATGGCACCTCCAGCAGAGATCGTCTCACTGATTCTTGAAGAACTCTGGGCCCATCCCATTGTGCACTGATGTGCGGATCGACGTTTTCACAGCTTGCAATCTCGTTTCCAAGCAGTGGTCGGCGATGCTGTCAAGGAACTGGACAAGGATATTCGCAGATCTCTTCGGGCGACACTCCGTGCCAAGTCGAGCCCGCCCCCTGATGAGTTTTTGAAGAGTTCTGAAACGTTCCTAGGGGCGTGGAGCGATTATGAGGAGGCGAGACGTACCATGCTTCTGAAGCCGGACTTAAATTTACAATACAATAGATCCCGCCTATTCCGTTTCTATCGCCTGAGGAGGAGGATTATCTCGTTGAGGAATTTAGCCACCAGGGCTTCAAAAACAGTAAGAATTTCGTCCAAGTTGATCGTCATCAAATAAATGTTCTACAGCTCTCCAGTTCTACACCACGGGAGTAAGTGATATATCCGCCATCTTCAATACCTTTCTTCAATGATTAACGTTTCGCAGAACCGACATGGAACGTGGAAGTTTGCCAACGAGCAGGGCAATCACACGCTGCCGCAGCCTGTCTTGGCCATTTACCCCACACATGTATGCCACCTGTTTAGAAGCTGTTTGGCCCACTGTCTGATCGCCTGCCTCCCCAGGATCCTGTAGCCGACTGGGTCAAAGCCGCGGAACTGCTCCAATCCGAAAGCTTCTTACCACGTCTAACGACCGCAGTGAGTGATGTCATGATTTGCGGTTGATTGCGACTAAACTAACGGATTTCTATATAGACGGTGGAAGGTTCGCACTGGATACAAATGGAAAATCCGGGACCATTTAATGCTGCCTTGAAGAACTGGCTGGAAGCTAACTTTGGCCGCTCGAGCCGTGCTGAGGATGAGCTGTAATTGTTCTGTGTATTATGGATGGATGAAAAGGAAGGAACCGACCTCGACATGTACCACACTACTATACCTCTGTCATTCTGTGTACATATTCTCTATCTGCTATTTTATATATGCATTCGAAACGGATGGAACGCAATTGGAATTCAAATGATCTAATGTCCTGATAGTAAAGAGTGTCCAGTCACTTCAACAGACTGCAAAAATATTTGTTGGGGTAACAAAATGTCTGTGGATGTCCATTTAGTGTCCCGCGGAAGCGCAACCAGAATTTGGGACGAGAGACAAAGGTGTCGTTGGTATCTTGGCCGAATAGCTTATTCGTCTGACCGCCTCCAAAAATTGCTCTTCCGAATCCAACCCGGAAAGGTCTCGTTTCAACCAACCAGAGGTAGTTGTGTTGTCAAACAAGGTACCGACGATGGGGCATACGGTGTCTAATTCCGGGAGCGTCCCGTTGATGAAGTAGTCTCTGATGTAGCCCTGTGTGCAGGGCGAGTTGGCAGAGATCGAGCAGTGCTACGTTACTGAGGCATTAGGAGTAGGACACCGATGAATATATTATACCACGCACCCCTGGTGAATCCTGGGTTAGGACGACAGAGCCGTCGAAACCGGAAGCCACCTTTTTGGCACTAGGAATGGATAGGTGAGTTGGATAGATTATCTGGGATATTTATTGCTTACGCAGCGAGAGGCGCGACGGGATCTGTTATTACTATTGGTAAGGTATCCCGATGGGACGTTTGCTATGACACTCACCCGCTGTGTTACCGACGAATAAGATGGGATAGCTTGTATTACCCGTGAATGGACCTGCCAGTTGAAGAATGTAAGCGTCTGTTTTGCGAATGCGCCGGTAAGTCATCACCTCGGAAATTGGTTTTCGGATAATCTGGCCATCCTCTGGTGGAATAGTGCGGTCAGCGAAAAGAAGGCAGTAGATATACGGGAACGTACGCGCATCCGATTCTAACACCAGTCCAGATACTCGCCCATTCAAACTGAGCAGAAAGATTTGCATAATACGCTTCTGCGGATTCCACGTCCCTAGGCACGGGTAAGCCGTCGTTGCATATAACGGCGATCATGGAGTCTTGTACAGAGCTTGTGAGCAATGCGGAAGGATCGTCACAGGAGCATTCGAATGGGGTATGGGCGGTCAAGTTGAGGATGCCCTCTCCATTTCCTTGGGCCAACTCTGACAGTCCTTTTGCCAGAGTCCAGTATATACTCTGTGGTATGTATAGAGAGGAGAAGACCGCGTAACGCAGCCGTGCGTAGTCGACTACGCCATAGGCTGTAGGCAAACGAACCGGAAGCGGTCTAGCACGAATGGTATCATAGAGATTGTCGAGGTTCTGCTTTATTGCATCAGGACTCGAATCGTAGAAAGGACACCCGTCGGGACCAGCTTGATAGCATCCGTCGAAGAACGCCTGCAAAGTCTTGTTAGAATCCGTCAAGTTGTCAGACCATAACGCTAAACATAGTCAGTTGACGAGTTACTTCTTTCTATTCAAATGACTGACTGGCATAATAGTTTTCTGTGTCAACGACGCCATCCAGAACCATTCGTTCAATCTTGTCCTATTGAATATTTTTCTCCGAGTCAGACCAGACATCAGATGTAGAATCTTCCACTTACAGGAAACATAGCAGCGAAGGTCGCACCCAATATAGTGCCGTAACTGCGCAGTTCAAAGGGATTAATCATTGTGATTATTCAGAGAACCTGATGAAACGTACGAGAAACCCCAATATTGCAGCTTTTCTTGTCCGTATGCTTCAGTGATTTTTAGCATATCACGGGCAGTCTGATCGGTATTGATATGTGCCAATAACCCGTTATTATCTCGTTCACCAGCCAACTGGCCAGTAATGATAGCCTGCGCCCAAGCGTTTTCAATACCATCCGGGCGACCCAGAAGCTCAACCAAGATGTTATAATCCCACAAAGCGCGCTCGGCACCCGTTTCGTAGAAAGATACACGTGTAGACCGCGCGACACCTGGAGTTCCAATTCAATTATTAATTCGCGGAGAAATTGGTGGGAAAATGACGCGTACCACGGGGATCAAAGCCGACAATGTCATACTGATCCTGAAACATCTGCGAATATTGGGCACCTGCCTCTAGCACGTAATCAACGCCACTTCCACCAGGTCCGCCGGGGTTGAATAAGAGTGGACCTTTGTAGTCGGTAGAGTTCACGGGAAGGGGCGAAGGGTATTGAATGATAGCGAGAACAATCGTCTCATTATCCGGACTGGAGTAATTGAGAGGAACCTGCGTGTCATTTGACATGAAGTGAGAAGCAATGGATATGACGATCCAAGATGTGCTTCACCTTTAGATTTGTGCACTGAAAACCAGTGTAACAATCCACCCATTCCAAACTGTCGCTCGCTGGAAGCTGGGGAAAGCGCTCATGTAAACTGTCTGAAGAAAAGAAATAGGTATTTACATACATCCAACCACGCAAACGTTTGGGAGTCTTGAGCTAGAGTTGAGGCGAATGTACAAATCGAAAAAATGCACAAAAGAAGGCCACGACTGGAGATTTTCATCATTGTGGCAGTCGCAGTCCTCTTGAAAGGAATGTATGCCCGGGAGATTCGATGTCAGTCGCGGTTGGTATTGAGTGAAGAGAACTGTGGTGTATTCTTAGCTTTTCTCTTTTAAATATAGGGCGTGTGGAGTAACACCATGTGGCATGAAGGTAACGACAACGTATTTGCCGACGTCGTGCTGTCCCTGAACTTGTACCAATATTCTATGCATATGTATCAGCTCGGTGAAGAGCTTCAAGCACTAGAATAATTAAAAGTGAGCTCTATTTCAGACTTCTCACTAGGAAAATCATTACACTTGCTACGACCAGGGCCTTGGACTCCGCGAAAACTTGGTGAATGATGTGAGGCAAAGAAATTGGCCGTCGGTTGGTCGGTTGGTCGGTCGGTCGGTCCGGTTAACTTTTGTCGTGCATGATTACGTGGTCCGATTTCTCTCTTTTTCTTCTTCGCCGCGGAGCAAGAACCTAGGCCTCAGACCTGAGCGCTTCGCGCTTGAGCCCCAAGGGGAAGGCTAAAATCCGGCAAAGGGGGTAAGGGTATCGCACTCCTGGCAGGTGACAGCAATGCCGGTCAAAATGCAAGGGCCGGGAAACAATTGGAACACAGATAATATTTCGACCCAGGCTTTTGACCACAGCAAAATGTGTCGGTTTTACTATCAAAGGGAATCTCGACTCATTTTGCTATGACCGAAAGCCTTAATCAGAATTTGGTCTGTTGTCCACCCATTTTCCCAGGATTTCGTCCGGTTTGAAACAGTCGCTTACCATTCGGTAAAGAAATCACTGAGCATCTTAGCTTAACTGATTCCACTATGTCGAGCGTTTGCTGGAGGAGACGCTATACAGAAGAACTACAGACAGCGTTTGAAGAGAACAGAAATGACAGACGAAAATCGTTAACACGCCATCATGCTTAATACCGACTTCCTAGTCATTCATAAAGATATACCGGTTCTTTCGGCTAACGCTTACTACAGTGAGTCATTATTCAGCATATTCCGACAGTCTTCTAATCCTCAGTACCAAGCATTGTTAGTAATCACACTCGCAGTGAGATCACTTTCACAAACTTTTAGAAATCTCGTACTTGATACGTGAGGTCTATCGAGCTTCGACTTATCAATGCATTGAGTTGCCTCGGATCATGTTCAGCACGCAACTCTTTGATGCCATTGCGTACTCGTACCTCGTCAACCTGTGTGATGATTGATACATACGCAAAAGCATACATAAACCCTGCTCTTTCATGCCAGAACACTAGTTCAACATGTCTTCTGGTGTCGTTGCCGACCTCTTCTTCATGCAATCACCCGCTAATGGCGAACGGGCATATATCAAAAACAATGCTGGCCCTGACGCGAGAAACAATCGAAACTACATCCTGGAGCCAAAAACCGTGACCGTCGAAAATTATCGGACAAAGCTGAACTCAGAATCCATTACTCTCGATACTGCTGGATTCCAACTCTTCTCCAATCGTCCCACGCAATTTATCAAAGACGGGGAGGTGCAGGTTGAAGGATACTATGATGAGAGCATCGCGCTTTTGAAGGAGCTCACCGGAGCTAGTAAAGTAGTTATATTTGACCATAGTAAGCTTTCCGCCTTGGTCCAAGTTCGAAATTGTACTTAGATTATAAATCCACAGCTATACGCCGTCGCCGCCCAGGTGAATCTGGGGATAATCCAGATAAACGTCAGCCGGCGGCTATCGCCCATGTCGACCAAACATTCAAGGCGACCATTGCTCGTGTCCATCGTCACCTTCCCCCGGAAGACGCTCCTGGGCTGTTGGCCAAGCGTTTCCAGATCATCAATCTCTGGAGACCGATTGAGAACCCAGCGACCGACTGGCCTCTGGCGCTATGCCATTTCTCTAGCGTCGACCCAGAGAAGGACGTCGAGCCTATCGATTTGATTTACCCTGACAGAAAGGGAGAGACATACGGTGTTAAATACAACGAACATCAGAGGTGGGGTTACTTTAAGGATATGCGCGACCCGATGAGTTTGTTCTCATTAAATGGTTTGTGCTTTACTTTTCCCATTCTTTCCGAGCTCTTATTGATATATTCGGTTCCTAGTAATGAGTCTGTTCAAGACGGAAGCGTAGCTCTATACACGCCCCATACAGCCTTTGCTGATCCTACCACCCCGGAAGGAACACCGTTCAGACAATCCATTGAGATCAGAGCATTGGTATTCTATGATTAAGCATCGTCATGTCGGAATATGTCTTTTCTTTAATCTCATAGGGCGGGTATTAGTACGCAATAGTATATCTCATGTCACTTATCAGAGTACTTCCTTCAGCTCATACCGAATTTATGGGGTTTATATCCTGCACGGCTTAGGAGCAAAAATGTAGGCATGTCGTAGGTAAATGTTTGTGAGAAAGAATAGGTGCTACACGGCATAAAAATGAGAAATGAGGGAGATATAGCGACGCAACGCCACACGAGGAAGAGTTGCGTGCTGAACATGATCCGAGGCAACTCAATGCATTGATAAGTCGAAGCTCGATAGACCTCACGTATCAAGTACGAGATTTCTAAAAGTTTGTGAAAGTGATCTCACTGCGAGTGTGATTACTAACAATGCTTGGTACTGAGGATTAGAAGACTGTCGGAATATGCTGAATAATGACTCACTGTAGTAAGCGTTAGCCGAAAGAACCGGTATATCTTTATGAATGACTAGGAAGTCGGTATTAAGCATGATGGCGTGTTAACGATTTTCGTCTGTCATTTCTGTTCTCTTCAAACGCTGTCTGTAGTTCTTCTGTATAGCGTCTCCTCCAGCAAACGCTCGACATAGTGGAATCAGTTAAGCTAAGATGCTCAGTGATTTCTTTACCGAATGGTAAGCGACTGTTTCAAACCGGACGAAATCCTGGGAAAATGGGTGGACAACAGACCAAATTCTGATCAAGGCTTTCGGTCATAGCAAAATGAGTCGAGATTCCCTTTGATAGTAAAACCGACACATTTTGCTGTGGTCAAAAGCCTGGGTCGAAATATTATCTGTGTTCCAATTGTTTCCCGGCCCTTGCATTTTGACCGGCATTGCTGTCACCTGCCAGGAGTGCGATACCCTTACCCCCTTTGCCGGATTTTAGCCTTCCCCTTGGGGCTCAAGCGCGAAGCGCTCAGGTCTGAGGCCTAGGTTCTTGCTCCGCGGCGAAGAAGAAAAAGAGAGAAATCGGACCACGTAATCATGCACGACAAAAGTTAACCGGACCGACCGACCGACCAACCGACCAACCGACGGCCAATTTCTTTGCCTCACATCATTCACCAAGTTTTCGCGGAGTCCAAGGCCCTGGTCGTAGCAAGTGTAATGATTTTCCTAGTGAGAAGTCTGAAATAGAGCTCACTTTTAATTATTCTAGTGCTTGAAGCTCTTCACCGAGCTGATACATATGCATAGAATATTGGTACAAGTTCAGGGACAGCACGACGTCGGCAAATACGTTGTCGTTACCTTCATGCCACATGGTGTTACTCCACACGCCCTATATTTAAAAGAGAAAAGCTAAGAATACACCACAGTTCTCTTCACTCAATACCAACCGCGACTGACATCGAATCTCCCGGGCATACATTCCTTTCAAGAGGACTGCGACTGCCACAATGATGAAAATCTCCAGTCGTGGCCTTCTTTTGTGCATTTTTTCGATTTGTACATTCGCCTCAACTCTAGCTCAAGACTCCCAAACGTTTGCGTGGTTGGATGTATGTAAATACCTATTTCTTTTCTTCAGACAGTTTACATGAGCGCTTTCCCCAGCTTCCAGCGAGCGACAGTTTGGAATGGGTGGATTGTTACACTGGTTTTCAGTGCACAAATCTAAAGGTGAAGCACATCTTGGATCGTCATATCCATTGCTTCTCACTTCATGTCAAATGACACGCAGGTTCCTCTCAATTACTCCAGTCCGGATAATGAGACGATTGTTCTCGCTATCATTCAATACCCTTCGCCCCTTCCCGTGAACTCTACCGACTACAAAGGTCCACTCTTATTCAACCCCGGCGGACCTGGTGGAAGTGGCGTTGATTACGTGCTAGAGGCAGGTGCCCAATATTCGCAGATGTTTCAGGATCAGTATGACATTGTCGGCTTTGATCCCCGTGGTACGCGTCATTTTCCCACCAATTTCTCCGCCAATTGAATAATTGAATTGGAACTCCAGGTGTCGCGCGGTCTACACGTGTATCTTTCTACGAAACGGGTGCCGAGCGCGCTTTGTGGGATTATAACATCTTGGTTGAGCTTCTGGGTCGCCCGGATGGTATTGAAAACGCTTGGGCGCAGGCTATCATTACTGGCCAGTTGGCTGGTGAACGAGATAATAACGGGTTATTGGCACATATCAATACCGATCAGACTGCCCGTGATATGCTAAAAATCACTGAAGCATACGGACAAGAAAAGCTGCAATATTGGGGTTTCTCGTACGTTTCATCAGGTTCTCTGAATAATCACAATGATTAATCCCTTTGAACTGCGCAGTTACGGCACTATATTGGGTGCGACCTTCGCTGCTATGTTTCCTGTAAGTGGAAGATTCTACATCTGATGTCTGGTCTGACTCGGAGAAAAATATTCAATAGGACAAGATTGAACGAATGGTTCTGGATGGCGTCGTTGACACAGAAAACTATTATGCCAGTCAGTCATTTGAATAGAAAGAAGTAACTCGTCAACTGACTATGTTTAGCGTTATGGTCTGACAACTTGACGGATTCTAACAAGACTTTGCAGGCGTTCTTCGACGGATGCTATCAAGCTGGTCCCGACGGGTGTCCTTTCTACGATTCGAGTCCTGATGCAATAAAGCAGAACCTCGACAATCTCTATGATACCATTCGTGCTAGACCGCTTCCGGTTCGTTTGCCTACAGCCTATGGCGTAGTCGACTACGCACGGCTGCGTTACGCGGTCTTCTCCTCTCTATACATACCACAGAGTATATACTGGACTCTGGCAAAAGGACTGTCAGAGTTGGCCCAAGGAAATGGAGAGGGCATCCTCAACTTGACCGCCCATACCCCATTCGAATGCTCCTGTGACGATCCTTCCGCATTGCTCACAAGCTCTGTACAAGACTCCATGATCGCCGTTATATGCAACGACGGCTTACCCGTGCCTAGGGACGTGGAATCCGCAGAAGCGTATTATGCAAATCTTTCTGCTCAGTTTGAATGGGCGAGTATCTGGACTGGTGTTAGAATCGGATGCGCGTACGTTCCCGTATATCTACTGCCTTCTTTTCGCTGACCGCACTATTCCACCAGAGGATGGCCAGATTATCCGAAAACCAATTTCCGAGGTGATGACTTACCGGCGCATTCGCAAAACAGACGCTTACATTCTTCAACTGGCAGGTCCATTCACGGGTAATACAAGCTATCCCATCTTATTCGTCGGTAACACAGCGGGTGAGTGTCATAGCAAACGTCCCATCGGGATACCTTACCAATAGTAATAACAGATCCCGTCGCGCCTCTCGCTGCGTAAGCAATAAATATCCCAGATAATCTATCCAACTCACCTATCCATTCCTAGTGCCAAAAAGGTGGCTTCCGGTTTCGACGGCTCTGTCGTCCTAACCCAGGATTCACCAGGGGTGCGTGGTATAATATATTCATCGGTGTCCTACTCCTAATGCCTCAGTAACGTAGCACTGCTCGATCTCTGCCAACTCGCCCTGCACACAGGGCTACATCAGAGACTACTTCATCAACGGGACGCTCCCGGAATTAGACACCGTATGCCCCATCGTCGGTACCTTGTTTGACAACACAACTACCTCTGGTTGGTTGAAACGAGACCTTTCCGGGTTGGATTCGGAAGAGCAATTTTTGGAGGCGGTCAGACGAATAAGCTATTCGGCCAAGATACCAACGACACCTTTGTCTCTCGTCCCAAATTCTGGTTGCGCTTCCGCGGGACACTAAATGGACATCCACAGACATTTTGTTACCCCAACAAATATTTTTGCAGTCTGTTGAAGTGACTGGACACTCTTTACTATCAGGACATTAGATCATTTGAATTCCAATTGCGTTCCATCCGTTTCGAATGCATATATAAAATAGCAGATAGAGAATATGTACACAGAATGACAGAGGTATAGTAGTGTGGTACATGTCGAGGTCGGTTCCTTCCTTTTCATCCATCCATAATACACAGAACAATTACAGCTCATCCTCAGCACGGCTCGAGCGGCCAAAGTTAGCTTCCAGCCAGTTCTTCAAGGCAGCATTAAATGGTCCCGGATTTTCCATTTGTATCCAGTGCGAACCTTCCACCGTCTATATAGAAATCCGTTAGTTTAGTCGCAATCAACCGCAAATCATGACATCACTCACTGCGGTCGTTAGACGTGGTAAGAAGCTTTCGGATTGGAGCAGTTCCGCGGCTTTGACCCAGTCGGCTACAGGATCCTGGGGAGGCAGGCGATCAGACAGTGGGCCAAACAGCTTCTAAACAGGTGGCATACATGTGTGGGGTAAATGGCCAAGACAGGCTGCGGCAGCGTGTGATTGCCCTGCTCGTTGGCAAACTTCCACGTTCCATGTCGGTTCTGCGAAACGTTAATCATTGAAGAAAGGTATTGAAGATGGCGGATATATCACTTACTCCCGTGGTGTAGAACTGGAGAGCTGTAGAACATTTATTTGATGACGATCAACTTGGACGAAATTCTTACTGTTTTTGAAGCCCTGGTGGCTAAATTCCTCAACGAGATAATCCTCCTCCTCAGGCGATAGAAACGGAATAGGCGGGATCTATTGTATTGTAAATTTAAGTCCGGCTTCAGAAGCATGGTACGTCTCGCCTCCTCATAATCGCTCCACGCCCCTAGGAACGTTTCAGAACTCTTCAAAAACTCATCAGGGGGCGGGCTCGACTTGGCACGGAGTGTCGCCCGAAGAGATCTGCGAATATCCTTGTCCAGTTCCTTGACAGCATCAGGCGTTTGTAAACCGAAGAAGAGCTGATACGTCAGTTTAGGAAACACGGTCGTGAGATCTTTGATAGGAACGAAGGGCCCAGCGGAAGGAATATACTACGAAGATATTAGTGTCAGAACGAAGCAGAGAATACAGGCGCGACTGACTGGAACGACGGCCCCAATAACTCCTTGGAAAATATCTGGGCGGAGTCTTCCCGCTTCGTAGCAGAGTACGGAGCCCCAATCATGCCTATGGCTGATCAGTTATCCGATAGTGCGGTCGAGGCTATAGAGGCTTTACCCTAAGCAGATAGCGGTATCCACTTTGGCGTGCTCTAGTATACATGCAAGGTCACCGACGTGGTCGAACATCGTTCCAGAGGTTTGCACGTCTTCAGGGTGTGAAGAACGCCCGAATCCACGCAAGTCGGGCACAATCAAGCGATAATCATGCTAAGAAATGATCATGTTAGAGTGTCGGTAAAATCGCTTAGCTAGGAAAGGTGTTCACTTCAAGCGCCTGTATTTGATACGCCCAGGTGCTCCAGATACTGGGCCAACCGTGAACGAGTATTATCGCTGTTTTGGCGGTAGGGTTGATATCGACGTAGCCTGCGTCGAGAGAATGGTTGAGTGCTGTAGAGATGGGTTACGACAGAAGACCCACTAAGCTCAATGTCGACAACTGCATGGTCGGCGTCCCGCTTTACGGCTTTACATGCCGCTGTAGTTCTAGTATATGTGGTAGGGTCGAATCTTGAAGAAACACCGGAAAGCAAGCAACCGCCTAGAAACAAAAATGTTGAGAAACAAAACTGAGGACGCATAGCAAGAAACGTGGAAAAGATCAGAGAGGATTTCATACATTTATACCTATTTTATATGGGCGGTACCTTTTAGATGATGATCATGTTCCGCTTTTGAATATCTACGATGTGTTATTTTTAAACTGATCGGAGCCGGAATCGGCACCAAGCTGGCAGTACGGAAAGACTAACAATGTTTACACTCCGACAGCGCGACTCAGTCACGGCTAAATGGCTTGCTCGGCCCGAGCACTGACAGTACATGGGCCTTTCATTCCAAGTTCCAACAAAGTTCAGTAACCGGAGAAACAATTAGTCCACTCAAGGCTTCAGTGTATGCGTATTTCCCTTCACTTCATTTCCAGAGCCGGGAGGTTCGAATACCGGACACATACATGTGCAACTTGAGAATATCGTATACTTCAGAGGCAAATGATTGGAAGCCGGTTTGTACGCCGTTTGTTCGACAGCCAGTGATGAAAAGACGAATTCCCCCTGGTTCCGATCGGATCTTGCGAGTGGATCGTTCGTGTACGGAAGGAGCGGGAGGTCCAATTGAGGCAGGGAAGCTCAGATATACAAAGCCGATACGAATGGAAAATCCGTTTCATGCGACCTTCTCCTTTCGCTGGCAGGAAGGCTAGGCCATCTCGGAAATGAGCGCCGGGACTGACTTGAAAGGCAGCTAATGTCAATGCATATATCACCGGCGGTGAATAGAATAGATAGCTACTAGGACGACCTGCCGGTTCTCTCCTACAATAAGCGATGCCAGTCCTGACAGGCCTTTTTGATCGTGATAACATAAACCAAGGTCGATATGACCACTTGGCTCTACTATACACCGAAACGAAATCAACAACTGACAGTTAACAGAGACTAGAATGCATTCTTGTTGACTCTACTCTGGGGCGAAAGCTGAGCGACATACCACCGACCCATCCAGGGGAGGATGGAACTTCTTTTCTACCCGGATTCTAGCTGCGATCTCCTTCTGTGACAAAGGTCAACGTCTGACGTTCCGCACTATATGCAAATAGGCAGTGAATTGCAGGCGATACTTCCCTCGAAAATACAAAGCAGTTGACGCCGTCACACCCACGATCATGATCAGAGAAGTTCGTTCGTGGCTTGGGCGTGTTCTCGCATCAGCAGCTGTGCAACTTTTCAACAGTCATCAGTCGGTTATCAGGTTTTCCGATTAAGATGAAAAAATCTGTTTTAATGTCGAAGTCTACATGTCCTGCTGTACGTATACTTCTAAGCGACGAAAGCCTTGCCCTTCTCGATGTTCTTTTTGAGGTCAGGCAAGCAAGCGGCAAGTAGTTTCTCTTCTTCTGGGGACAGAGGGCCAATGGGGTGGATCTTCTCAACACCGTTGGGCTAAATGGGCTAGGTATTAGCAAACAGAACTACAGATCAATATGTTGAACTTACGCCAAGTTCGACGTTAGAAGAGAAGAAGTCAATTCCCTCGCTCTCGAACAGAGGGCTCTTGACGAAGGTAGGCGTAACGACACCCTTTTCGCCGCTCAGGCCACGGAGGAGAGCATCCGTGAACTTAGCACCGGCGTAGGCCATGGACAGGGTAGCGCTTCCAGCACCATCTTTAGCCTTAACGACTTCATCACCACCGAATTGGATCCGGTGCACGAGCTTCTCGTAAACTTCGCCCTTGATGGCCTTGCCATAGGTCGACTGTGAGAGGAGAGGAACGATAGTGGGACCGCTGTGACCACCGACGACAGTGATGACCGAGTCGGATGGCTTGACGCCCGCGATACCAGCTGTGAACCGAGCGGCACGAACGACGTCAAGGGTGGTAACACCGAAGACGTGGGCGGGGTCAAAGACACCCAGTTTTTCCAAGGTTTTGGCAACGATGGGGACGGTGGAGTTGACAGGGTTGGAAATGACGAGGATGTGAGCCTTGGGGGAAACACGTCCAACTGCTGTCGCAAGGTCACGGACGATAGAGGCATTGGTCTGCGGAATGTATAATCTAGTCACGAGAGTACTGAGAAAGAAAGGAAAAACATACGTTGAACAAATCGTCACGGGTCATCTTAGGGTGGTGTTAGAGCGGTAAATGGAGAAAACATATTATCGCGACTTACGCCAGGCTAAAGGGTCCGGTCAGCCAGCATTCAATGGACAGTAAAAGGATGAACTGACCTTCCGAGGTACACCGGCGGGAATAACGACAACTTCAACGCCATCCAGGGCCTCGTCCAACTTGTCTGCCTCGTAGCCTTTGACCTGCAGAAGATAGTCAGTCGTGACGCGACACGGCAGCAAGTAGACGGGTGCCTACCTCACTGGGAGTGTCGACATGGCTGACATCTGCAGCTACACCAGGAGCGCCACGAATATCATACAAGTTGAGGGAAGAAACCAAAGGATTGCTCTTCAGGAGAAGAGACAAAGGCTGCCCAATGCCTCCACCAGCTCCGAGAACAGCGACCTTGGTATGACGGGCCGAAGACGAGGAAAATTGGCGAGTAGACGGCGTCGCCAGGGCACGAGCAGCAGTTCGGGCAAACATTCTGGGAGGGATGATGATGGTAAAAGACCAGGAGGGTGGAAGAAAATCTCGACTCTCGGGAAGGATACGTCACGAGCACCGGGTGCGGAGGGGTCCGGGATTCCGTTATTTCATTTCTTCCCACCATCGTCATCGCCGACCGCAATGGCAACCGACTTTTGGGCCAGTTCCCACTAGTGAGGCCGCCCTTTCACGACTGTCGTGCTCGTTATCTCATTCTGCAGCAAAAGATGGATTACCGACCGGGCGACCCTCAAGCACGCGAGGGCTGAGGACCTTCAGTATGTCGACGACCCGGAGCATCTTGAATTTCTGGATATCTATTTCGCGAACGGTGCGTGTTTCGGCATCTAATGTGGCACGGGGGCTCACGAGGACTCAGCCATCGCGAAATTGGGCAGAAAATTGCAGCTACGGCAGAGGGCCATCGCGACTGCGACTGTCTTCTTCCGGCGCTTCTATCTCAAGAATGCCTACTGTGAAACAGATCCATTCCTTGTTATCGCTGCATGCTGTTACGTTGCCGCAAAGGCTGAAGAATCCCCCGTGCATATCAAGAATGTCGTTGCAGAGTCGCGCACCTTGTTCAGTCGTAAGATTCTTCTATGTTTTCGAGTACGTTGTGTTCACGGTTCTGCAGACCACTACAATATGAAACATTTCCCATCCGACAATTCCAAGCTTGGCGAGATGGAGTTTTATCTAGTTGATGATCTAGAATGTGACTTGACAGTGTTCCATCCGTATCGCACCCTCTTGGCACTTTGCAAGAAAGAGTCGAGCACCGATGAGGACGATGAGACAGAGGCAGGGGAGCTCGGTGTTGGAGTCAGCACTGACGAAGGTCAACGATACTGGGGTTCAAGTGAGGACAAGCTCGAAATGTCCGAAGCGGCATTGCAAATGGCTTGGCATATCATCAATGATACGTACCGAGGATCTCTCTGTCTGCTTTACCCTCCACACCTAATTGCCATCGCTGCCATTTATCTGACGCAAGTGTTTCACCAGCCCTCGCGGGATAATCTCTCGACCCTGCTCCAGCCTCCTAGTTCATCAGCTCCACACCCGCGTCGGTCGTCCCGAAATGCAACCGAATCAAAAAAACACCAGGATCCCGTCACATTCCTCGCTGAATTGAATGTTTCGCTTCCATTGATTGCCACAATTTCCCAGGAGATCATCGCACTCTATGCTCTATGGGACCGTTACAAAGACGATAGCCTCCCTGATGCGTCTGCCTCTTCGCGCCAGTCACCACTGAGTGCAGCGAGCGGAAGCGCGAGCAGAAGCAGGAGCAGTGGGACTCCGCAGTCTGAGGCTGCGGATGACAACCGTATCACGCCGGCTTTTTTGTCAAATTTGCTGATGAAGATGAGGGAAAATCGCTTGACGGACCTGGCGCATCCACCTACTGGGAGACCAGTCGCGGTAAACAAGATGCTGGAGAGGACCCAAGCAGCCGGCTAGTCCACCCTCCCCGCCCTAGCCTGCCCGGGGCCCCCGCATCTAGTACACCCCCATAGAGCAACTCCCGTGCCTTCGTCGTGTAAGTGTAATCTAAACCGTTTCAGAAATTCAAAATGGACTAATAAATGCTCTATGTTCGGTGCCTACAGGTAGTTTGCATGTAGTGTCATGGTACTATACATTCTTGCAAGTCTTGGAGTCTTTGAAAGCAACCTTGGCTCCATGTGAAATGCATTGGGGCTGCCTCGTGTTGAATATTCATTTATCTGCAACATACTTAAAGGGAAGCGTCCGCTGGTAAGAGCCACAACATTCGTTGCGATGGCCAACCTCCCACCAGGTATCGTTTACCTCGCTCAGCGTCTACCTTACTTTTGCTTTCCTCTCGGGGTGGTATATGCCCTTTTGACCGTCTTTGAAGTCGCGTTGCCGAGATGGGCCCGCTTCATCTGTTATGCGCTGAGCTTCCCGCTGAGCCTTATGATTCAGGTCCAGTGCACGGATTTTATTAACAACCGTGCCGCGAAGAAACATGGGGCCGTTATACCTCCAAGGACTGGTGACCCAAGCCTAGGCGGTGTATTATCGCTGTTGGCTACAATCAAAGCATTCAAATCAGGATATCCTGGTGAGCTATTTTTCTCCATTTGTTAACAAATTTGATCTAATACATTCAATGAAGGAGATGGGCTGAGCGATATTTTCAGTCGTGTTGGGAACACTATTAACATGAGAATTCTCTTCAAGGATCGGGTTAGTAGATCTACAAACTTGGGCTGTGTATCTTCTAAAAGTCCGATTATAGATCTTCACGACAGAGCCAGAGTATATAAAGGTACTTTTTGATTGCGGTATTTTTGGTGTTTGATGTGTGATACCATGTTTTCATTAGGCGGTCCTCGCTACGCAGTTTGATGAAGTATGTTCCTTGTGCCAACAATAGCTTGTCTTAATTGACTGACTGACATCTGTGCCTAGTTCGAGAAAGGTCTGCGGCACCGAATGTACAGCCAAGAAGCGCCTGATCTAAACCTGTTTCTATTCCAGGAGCTACACTTTGCGATAACTTTCATTCATTGTTAGGAACTGGCGTTTTCGCCTCCGACGGTAAGCGCAGTTACGTTGTAACCTATACAGCCTCATGATTAATTTGCACTCGATTTCCTTTAGGTGATATGTGGAAGTAAGCCGTGCCCCTCTAGCCACACAGAGTACTAACCGTCCGTCCCGGACAGGTTCCATCGATCTATGACGCGACCGTTCTTCAGCAGGGACAGAATCAGTCATTTTGATATCTTCGACAGACACGCTGATGATGCGCTCAAACTTATGAAGGCACGCTTCAGGCAAGGGCATCCCGTTGATTTCCAGGATCTCGTGGGCCGATTCACGCTTGATTCGGCTACGGAATTTTTGTTCGGCAAGGATGTGCGGTCTCTTTCTGCGTCCTTGCCGTATCCTTTCTTTGCGCCGTTATCTCAGTCTGACTCAGAGTCCGCGAGTAATGAGTTCGCGCGTGCATTTGGAGAGGCGCAGCTAGAGACTGCGCTTCGTACGCGATTCGCGGGTTATTGGCCGCTTTTCGAGTTTTGGACCGATAGGACAAAAGCGAAGATGATCACTGTGAGAAAGTTTTTGGATCCTATACTCGCGAAGGCGGCAGAAAGTGCAGGTAAAAGGCCGATTGGTAAGGGAAAAACGAGGGAAGTGCAAGAGGGTGAAACTTTATTGGATCATCTGGTTTGTTACACAGACGGTAAGCTTTCCGTTTCATGGAATGATGCGAGGCTAACCTGCGAGCTAGACCAGAATGTTCTAAGGGATGAGATAATGAATCTTGGTGTAGCCGGCCGGGATACTGTTAGTACCTTTTGTGTGGTCTGTCCGTTCAGCGCCTCCTCTGATGTCCATGCGCTCGTAGACTGCCGCCACTTTGACGTTTGTTGTGTACATGCTTTCCCAGCATCCTGATGTCCTTCGTCGTCTTCGCAACGAGATCCTTGAAAGGGTAGGCATGACGAACCGACCTACCTACAACGATTTTCGGGACATGAAGTACCTCCGTGCTGTGATCAATGGTGCGTGAGAATTGCGTGGAGTGGATCAGAAATAATGACGACCCGTTTGACAGAAACGCTGCGGTTGTACCCACCGGTGTAAGCGAATCCCACGTTTGATTGACGACTTGGTGCTGAACTGAAATCTGCTTCCAGACCGTTAAATGCTAGGCAAGCTTTGACAGTTGTTTTGCCTCCTTTTGTGAGCTGAAACTGATTATTACAGGGCTTGCAAAAATGGTGCCGTTTGGCGCTCTAAGACTCCCGGCGGCCAGGACTATTACATCCCTCCAAAAGCGAGGTGCGTTTAAAGGCTACATTCCTGCCGCTCTTTGGCCTGATGACTGGTAGAATTGTGTACAGCGTCTTTTTAATGCACCGTCGCGAGGACCTTTGGGGTCCTGACGCACAATTGTTTGATCCGGACCGATTCCTCGACGATAGAATGCAAAGATACCTAACTGGAAATCCGTTTATTTTTCTGCCATTCAATGCAGGCCCCCGCATATGTCTAGGCCAACAAGTATGCGCCGTCGTAATTCTCTCAACCATTTCTGATTATGTTATAGTTTGCCTACCATGAAGTATCATTCTTCCTCGTGCGACTACTCCAGAGTTTCTCCGAGATCAGGTTGAACACCGAAGCGCAGCCTGCAGAATGCCGGCCGCCGCAAAGTTGGAAGGAAGAGAGCAGTATCAAGGCGAGAGAGAAGGTCATGCTCAAGACCCACCTGACGCTCTACAGTTATGTGAGTTCTATCTTGTGTCTCCCCCGAGATTTGATTCCTGGCATGTTGAATACTTCCTCAGGGAGGTTTATGGATCGATATGAAGGAGGCCAGCGCTGTTGAGGAGGTTTAAACGAACCTGAGTCTTTTATGTATTGAGCGGGTACTCACAATTTTGAAATCCTTCCTGGACCCCCAGTAATGGTGCTTCGGAGCGGGCCGACATCCTGAGAGTCTACTGCGCCGCAATGGCACTGGTGACTACAGCATAATCCACTCGTCCGAGATGCATCGCAAATGAAGCTTTGAAGCTTAAAGTCAAAAATATCTCCGCAGCTAGGGCCTCTGTGAAAAGCTTTGGCGCAGTGGGCTCAACTGAAGATTATCGGACACTTCCATCGAATTACTTCAGTGTCGTATTCATCAGCGGAACTTTACCTTGTTCTGAGGGATATTTGCGGCCGCCACCATTACATGCAGGACCCAGGGTCGTCACGATACCTTTCCTGAATTCCGGTATGTGTCGTAACGCGATGAATGATGTCGAGGAATGCTTGTAAGCTGACGTTCATTCATTTTCATGACGCAAACTAGTAACCACTCCAGGCAGTTCGAACTAGCGCCGGCAACTTGAGGGGCATACTGAGTGATGTAAGTCTAGTGTCTAGTGTCACGACTGAAAAAGGTTGACGGTTATCGCGTCTGTGTGCTCATATTCAGACCCACAGCTGAGGATGGATGGTCTGCGATCTTTACATAATTTACGAGTCTGGACCAATGACCAAGCGCCCATTTGCTCACAACGATCCTCGGCAACTTGTCTACTCTTCACGACTACTTCAACGAAGCGATTTCCACAACCAATGTCGCACGCTCGACCCGGCTTCCTGGCTTCAGAGTCTCGGTGAGTGAATACCGCTTACTGTTTCGAGATGAGTGAGTATCACTTGGTGTTTCGAGAAAAATAGTGAGCTTCTGCGGTTATTTTTTTATGCTACGATAATACTTCCACATTCTCACTCCACCGAGATCTAGATTCTACATTCAAGGAAGGATTCACACAGCTGCGCTTTCCCGTTTTCATAATGGGTGGCAGTCACCCAGAATTTAGAACGGCGCCGTTTTTTTCGCTGGCATCGGAAGAACGGTCTTGATCTGCATTACTCTTCCGGTATTGGACTTCCGTCCTCCAATTCGTATTGTGCGTATCGACCACATTGACATGGTTTGAAGGATAACGGCTGTCGTATATTGCTAAATTCCTTATCAGTCTGAGCCGAACTTCGGATCTCTAAATGAGTATACTACAACTATATAGATGCTTCTTTCCACTCTGCACGTACGTGAACCACTTGTGCGATCAATGGATCAGGATTGACTGGGGCTCAATGTAGTACTGAGTCCAACCTCTGCACGAACAACTTGCAATCTTTTCAGCTAGGAACCTGTGCAGATCTCTGCAAGCGGCGGCTGATGGTTTGCCCAAAGAGTTCTGATGTGGTCGTTAGAACATATACGGAGGTTTGGTAAAAAAAAATTCAGCGTCTACGCGTCTAACATAGCTCCGGCTGCGTGCATTTCTATAATTATACTCAAACATCTAGTCACTCGAGAGCGCGACTTACGCCTGCGCAGCACTTAGATCGAACAATTATCGGAGTCTCAAAGCGGCGCTCCCCTTCGATCTTACAAGAATGCGCTCACCGGTATCTACTCAGGTACTACACTGTTGAGACAGCCCTGAGTGAGCTGCTTGCTTCTTCAGTAGCTAAGGGCTTTCAATTTATGTTCTCCTTATGGACCTTCAGCGAAGCTATAGGAGAAGCGCAGTTCTCCGCGTCTTGGATAGCATACGTACACCTTAGCTATACATCCGACGCCACCTTTGGGGTACTGTCCATTCATGACAATTCTCAGGGAATAAATTGTATGCGCAGCATTTTGGCCGCTCTGTTACTCCTTTGATGCTCACTTAAGCGGTGTCATTTTCACAGGGTGCTATCAGATCTGATCAAGTTTTGTATCATGAAATTATCTACCGGTTCCCCAGCGAAGCGCGTCTTCTTTTGCCATATGGTGTACCTTTCCCTGCCATCAGACAAAGCCGTCTAGGTCTTCCGACGTTCGCCTTCCGTGTTCTTCAACAAATTGCACTGCACGAATGTCGGCATCCGTGTCGCTGTATAAAACAGAGGAAGAGTTTCCCTTCATTTCATTATCAAGATTTGTGTGTTATAGTCGCACTCAGTCTACTCTCCTTCTTTTCTCGACTATGCGTCAATCCTTTTTAACATTTCTTACTGTGGCTTTATATGTGGTCACGACGAGCGCGACGATCAGCGCTTCTGGTGACCTTGTCATTTCTAACGTCGACGTCGCTCCGGATGGTTACAATCGCACTGCTGCCGTGGCGGGAGGATCGGTTGTTGGAGAGCTAATTACTGCAACTACAGTTGGCAACGTTCAAATCCGCCCTCGCTCCTCTTCTAATGCTTGCACTTTCAGGGAGACACGCTTCAAATCAATGTGGTCAACAATTTGGACAATGATAATATTCTTCAAAGCACTACGATTGTATGTCTTCTGCAGCCTTACTCCAACATTTTTTGACGCGCGCCTGGTAGCATTGGCACGGACTCTTTACAACGGACACGAACTGGGCGGACGGCGTTGCCTTTGTATCGCAATGTCCTATTGCCAAAGGAAATTCGTTTCTGTACAGTGTTCCGACAAGCGGTCAAGCCGGTACATTTTGGTATCACTCTCATCTGGGTGAGTCCCTCTAATCCTATCAGAAAGAAACTGCGAGCCTGACTTGGTATCAGCTACGCAGTATTGTGACGGTATTCGTGGCCCCCTCATCATCTACGACGACGATGATCCTAACGCATCGTTGTACGATGTTGACGATGGTCAGTCAATCTGCAGCCATTCGAGTGTGTATGGTTAATTGACATTGTGCATGAAACATTCCAGAGTCTACTGTCCTTAGTCTGTTTGATTGGTATCACTCCTTCGCGGAGACGTTGACTCTCCCGTACGTTTCGGTTGCTCTCCTTCGCTTTGGTGTGGTATTCAGCAGTCTTCAGTACCCCTGATTCGAGTCTTTTCAACGGAATGGGAATGTAAGTGTATCGTTTAAGTTACTCATGTACATCTTTAACGAAGTACGACTAGTTGGTATGAAAATGCAACTGGTGATCTTGCAGTGGTCACAGTGGATTCTGGTACACGGTATGCTTTGATCATTGTAACAACTTTCTTTTCCTCTCTGATGACTTCTATCAGATACCGGTTCCGTTTGATTAACATGGCTTGTGATGCGAACTTCGTCTTCCAAATCGAGGGGCATGACATGCGAGTCTAATTTTCCCAGGGCATGATGGTTGTTACTGACTTTCGGTTAGGACCGTAATCGAAGTTGATGGTATTAATCATGAAGCATACACAGTTGATGAGATTCAGATATTTGCCGGTCCGCTGTCTTCTCTAATATTGCAACAGAGGCTAATTTTAACGTATGCAGGTCAACGATATTCGTTCATTGTAAGCTGTGTTTTCAAATCAAGAAGCCGACGCGACATGACTTATCTTCTTATTCGCAGCTGACAGCAAATCAGACTGTCGACAATTATTGTATGAACTGAATATCTTCAATAGCTACTTACTAATCGATTCTGCTCTCCAGGGATTCGATTCAACCCTGATGTGGGAACCACGGGATTTACAGATAACATCAACTCGGCTATTTTGCGCTATAACGGAGCCAACGAGACGAACCCCGCAGATGCTGATGTTACAAGCACGAACGCTCTTGACGAGGCTAATCTTGTTGTATGTACCTCTCCCTCGACCCTCAGCTAGATGAAAGGCTCATACCAATCCGAATAATAGCCGCTAGACCCTGGAGTGGTCAGTTTTCTGCTGGCTGGGCTCACCTGCAGGTTCATCTGACACGATTTTTAGCCGGGTACTGCTACCGCTGGAGGTGTCGATGATGCAATCAACTTGGCTGTGGCATTCGTATGTTGCTCGATGGTATCTTCAGAACAGCACTCAAATTCACTCCGCAGACAACCGATTTCTTATTTACCGTCAACGGCGAAGCATACACACCACCAACCATACCTGTGTTGCTACAAATCTTGAGCGGTGCTGAAGACGTATCAAGCCTTCTCCCTAGTGGCTCGATCTATTACCTACCAAAGAACGCGAGCGTTGAGCTCTCAGTTCCTGCTGGTGTTGCTGGGGGACCAGTGAGTTTTAAACATGCATCATGCAGAGAATTCAAAAAAGCTTACTGTAAACCTAGCATCCCCTCCATCTTCACGGTGTAAGATACATTTTTTGAGTGACACTTAGCAGATCTCTGATGGTTCATATGTTGACAGCATAGCTTCGATGTCGTCCGTGTTGCAGGAAGTGACACGTACAACTACGATAATCCTGTTCGTCGCGACGTTGTCAGCCTTGGTGTAGCTGGAGATAATGTCACGATTCGCTGGACGACTGACAACCCCGGACCATGGATCCTTCATTGGTATGTCGCTGAATCTCGATGGTCTATTTTGTACTGATCTATCGTTCCCAGTCACATTGACTGGCACTTGGAACTGTAAGTTCACATCCAGTTTGCAATGAATCAGACTCATAAGGAATCCAGTGGTTTCGCCATCGTCTTTGCAGAAGATACCGGTGACTGGAATTCGACTGAGTCTCCATCCAGTTCGTGACTTTCTTTTATGGATTCAATCCCTATTAACAAGCCTCGTTTCAACAGCTGCATGGGATGACCTCTGTCCCATCTACGATGCACTTGATTCGTCGGATTTATAATTAAACTGTCCTAAGCTTTATCTAAGGACTATCATTGTAATAACTAACATTCGTTTCTTTTTAAATTCGCCTACGTTATGACTATGTTGCCGGACTTTCCTTTACTTCAACTTTACCTACAGGGTAGATTATTTATTGACTATTCTGTGAAAGCATGATGGCATTACCTCGTGTTTCCGATATTATAAAGTCTACATCATATCTATCTTTGAAATCCTTACAAACGTTTCCGAAATCTCCAAGTCATCCAACAAATTTTGTCAGATCAGCACCGCCACTTGCCCTGGTTTGATACTTGACTACCTTCCTTTACTCCCCTCCTTCCTTCTTAGTGATCCTCGTTCTGAAACATCGCCCACCAAAGCCCTCATGGATTCTTTCGGGTCTACCTACGACAGTTATGAATGGCATTACTCAATGTCTTTGAGCGACAGTTAGAGACAATTTCTCGGACAGCCTTAGTAATTGTACCCGAACGTCCTGGTCAATCGCTCGGCGCGTCTTAGAAATCGTGGATAAATGGAGTCGATCTTTCAGTTTCCACGGTTCTTCGACTTCTTCGTTCGTCATCCTGCGGCGAGACCGTTCAGGTGACTGCCGCACTACACAGCACGCCACCTTTCCGTGAAATTGCGTACTTATGTGGGTGCGCCCTTTGTCAGCCTACACAGTAGTAATACGCACGCCCGGGAGTATATAACCGCTGCTCTTTTGTGTAACGATTTTCAGTATAGCCCATCATCATGTCTTCTGGTGTAACCGCCGACCTCTTTTTCATGCAGCCGCCTGCTAACGGCGAACGAGCATACACTGCGATCAATGCTCAGTCTCCTGGAAAGCGAGATAGGAATTACTCCCTCGAAAAAAAGGCCATACACATCGAGAATTATAGGGAAAAGCAGGATCCTATAACTCTTGACACTGCCGGGTTCCAGCTCATCTCCGATCGACCTACTCAGTTTATCAAGGACGGAGAGGTGCAGGTTGAGGGTTACTACGAGGAGAGTATCGCAGCTATCAAGGAGTCGACGGGAGCGAGCAGAGTCGTTCTATTCGACCATAGTAAGTTCATGCCACCATTTACCATATGTCGTTAATCAATATTATCAGCAATACGCAGACGTCGTCTGGAAGAAACTGAAGACACCCCAGAGAAGCGACAGCCAGTTGCCAGTACGCATGTCGACCAGACCCCCAAGTCAGCCGCTACGCGTGTACATCGTCACCTTCCACCAGAGGACGTCCCAAAACTGCTGTCTAAGCGGTTCCAGATCATCAATCTTTGGCGACCCATTCAGAATCCAGCTATCGATTGGCCTCTAGCTCTATGCCATTTCGCCAGCGTTGATCCAGAGAAAGATGTCGAGCCGGTGACTTTGAAATATCCTCACATGGACGGGGAGACCTATGGTATTAAATACAATGAGCGTCAGAAGTGGGGGTATTTCAAGGACGTCCGACCTGACGAGTTTGTTCTCATCAAATGGTTCGTTCCCTGTCTTCACGACGAAACAAGTCCCACTAATATCCTTGAATGCTAGTTTTGATTCTGTTCGAGACGGAAGCGTAGCCCTCTTCACACCCCATACGGGCTTTGCGGACCCGACGACCCCTGAAGGGACGCCGCTCAGACAATCAATTGAACTCAGGGCTTTGGTATTCTATGACTGAGTTGTAAACATAAGTACTTCACCATTATGTTCGTCTTGTAGTTCTAAGTCTTCGTCAGTCAATCAGAATATAGCTTCTCTTAATAACAAAACATGGACGTGATCTTTTAAATTCGTATCTGCTAGGGAAGGCACAGGAGAGTTTCTCGAAGGCACTGAAAGAGTTGCAGCATTGTCGACGAAAACCGTATTCATCTTAGACGTAGGGGGTTCATTAGCATCGGCAAAACGTCCTGCAAGTTCGGCGGAGAAGACTACTTCGAATTTGAATTCAACGGTGATTCGCGAATGTCGAACAGCAGAAATGAGAAGCAGGTAGGACAGTCTTCCGCTGGGAGAAATCAGATTTCCCAGATAGATAGCGTCGGGGATACCGGTACTATCGGGAGGCAATTAGAAGCTAGTTGAAACTACGGAGAAGAATGTTTTGAAAAAAGGTCAGATGGCCCGCAGACTTCGTCGGAACAACCATCGGCGAAAGACAGATAGGCCATTGCGGTTATGACCATGCTACCGTTCCACGGACATCGGGCGGTACTTGCTTGGCGCTTGCTAGGCTGTTATATTCGACCACACGGCTGCAGTCATTAGAAAATTAAAGTTCACCTGTCGCAGCAGAAAAGAACATCAGAGCAAGGCCTTGGAAAAGCGAGAACAAGAGAAACGAACGAGTTGATGTCGTGAAACGCCACAGACGCGTGATGCCGGTTGAATTCAATCTGATACCGCAGTCTGACCAGTGCAAAGTGCCATTTTAGTTGGAGCATCCGAGTCGCACGTGTACCGAGTTCCATGGGATGGGGCGCAGGCGAAAAGTCTATTCGCTGAAGCTACAAGTGAAATTTTACCAAAAATGATCCACATTTGCCGGGACCAGTAATGGACATCACATGAGGTGCTGACGTTCTCATAGTCGACGAGGTCCGATCGTCATATATGTAAGACTAAGCTTTTCAGTTCAGAAGCATACATTGTCCGTTTCGAGAGGGTGACAACAAATCTCTATAGTCTTCGGCGATTGACCAACCCTGGATGTGTGGCTCCAGGTGATTAGAGAATCGCAGGTTTTCGCATCCCGGTTCGTGAAATGTCCCCAAGGACTTCCAGAGCTGAGGTAAGCTTGGGGGTTGACGCAAAAATAGAACTGAGAGAGAATACTCGTATTAGTGATAATGCAATTAAAAGACGAAACGTTGCGTTCTACACTTTGGTACAGCCTATAGGCTTCCGCTGATTTATAATACAGGCGGGCTAACCAGGCATACTGAGAAGAGTCAACAGTAGTTGTCACTGGCGAAAAAAATGATGTCTCAGCTGTCAAGACCTATAAGTGTCCTCTTACCAAGTTCCAAACGAGTTCGGATATAAGGATGGTCCTCTTCAAAGACCTCCATAATAGTCTGTTTGTGCTCGAGGTACCAGGAATCGAAATGGGTCCCTACAAGTTCTCTGGAAAATGCTCGTCCTACAGCGAGACAGAGCGATTGATACGGGTCACATTCTGCAGGAATGCTATACACTCTGATTCCATTAGTAGCAAGAAAGTATCAAGAACCAGAGAATACGAACGATCTCAAGTCAATCCAAGCCCCCAGTAAAGTTCCAATGTCGGATAATGCATCTTCACCATATTCACGGTCCCAGTCCGGGAAGGAAGAAAAATTCGGGTCGCAGACTAGCTTCGTCACCCCTCCTGCAAGGAGAGAGGGGATAGATTTGATTCGCTCGTCTGTCGATGACGCGGGATCAATGCCATTGAATAGTATCACAAACTTCCTGGTAAGCGGATCGATGTAACCAACAGAGCCCTACCGGAATGGTCTGCTCGAACATTGGAATATCAGGTTGCCGCTGAAAATCTATTACACTTAATGATTAATATGAATGACAGAGAGACCAGTGGGAGCCGACCATGATACGGCCTGTATAACCAAAATGACCTGTCTCCAAACATGACGTGGAGCGCGTAGTCGTTTCCTACATCCTGAAACGGAATATCGTACCTCTTGCATACGACAGAGGTCTGGGAGGAAGCGGAAACCGAGGTTTCGTCGAGATCGGTGGTCAACGAAACAAGATGTCGCCATTCGTCGCGAGGCGCTATCAGGCGCTTCACTATCGCGGGTATAGCACCCATGACAGTCAGATGGCTCACTCGCCGGTCGACGGCTAATCTTTCACAAACGCAGTGAAACGTAAAACTCTCTTTCCGGAAACTTCGAGGCACCCAACGACGATAGTGATAGACAATTGTCAGGTGAGTAATTTGAGGGGGGATCCAGAAACTGGGAGTATGGAGCTGGAGATCGTCAAGATAGTTAACATAGATATGAGTTGCACTTCGAGGTCGATTCGGGTCGCAGAATATCCTTCGAAGCGCTGACTCTACTCTCTTGTTGGCCTCGACGGTGGCTCCGCAAGTCATGTACCATATTAATAATTGTGGCATGACCACGTACTCCACTGTAAATGTTATAGTACGACAGAGCATCGGGTTAGAAATAATATGCATCGACCTGACGGTATACAAATGTGCTTTGTCGAAGGAGAAAGGGATCCAGGCATGCACGGAATTGACGTCCTTGAAGATGGCCGACCACTGTTTGGAAATCAAGTTACAAGTCCGGTAAACATTGATCCTCTCTTCAGTGGTAAATGGATATGCCCAGAGTTCTGCGAGAATAAAGGAGACGAGCTCGACGGGAGGTGCCATGGTGGAAGGTTGCCAAGCATCGGTTTGTGTTCAGTTCGGGTGTTCGGATGGTCCGGGCCGCAGATACGTCGCGACGCGTATTTGGGTTCAAAGATAGGGTTGTTTTATCCGACCATAGTAAGTTCATGCCACTATTTTGACATTTCGATAACTAATAGAAAGACAGACAGATCTCTGCGATTGAGCTCATGCTGCCGTTCCTCGGACATCGAGCGGTACTTACTGGGACCAGAGGATCACAGTTCGGTGTGAAGGGTTGGCAAAGTTCGCCTATCAGAGCAGGACCTTGAAAAGCGTTTAGTATTGTATAGGACTGGGAAATTTCGGAATGGTCTGACATTATAGGTTCAAGAATAGGCCAGTCGTCGCCGAGTGGAACACACAAAACAAGAAAACAGTAAAGAGTTTGTGAAAGAGGTAAGTGCGTCCTTGACAGATCCCGGACTCTCAATGGTATTTCCTGGTCATCGGGTAGATATAGCCACAAATCCGACAGCAATGACTTCTTCAAACATTGGGATATTAGGGTTGGTGATTGTCTTTGAAACAGGTCAAGTCATTAGTGCCCAAAGAAGGAGATCCATGCAACATACCTAAAGATGATTTGTAGAACCTATCCACCCGGTTGTCTGGAACCCCAAAAATAGCACGATGCAGCAAGTCGAACTCTATAGCCTCGTATCGGCCCTGGCAGTTTGCCAACAGATGGCACACAATGACAGTGACGAAAAACTTGTTTGTCTACTATCCAGTCAACTATACATCCAAGAACGAACGTGGTAGAAGATTATCAGCTGCGTGATTTGTGGGGCAATCGCAAATTTGGGGACGTGCACGCGAGAGTTGTCCAGATAGCCGACATAGATATGATTTCTGGGCCCGTAAGGTGCATTAGGGCTACATAATAGCTTTCGAAGTAGGGACTCTGTCCCCCTGTTGGCTCTGATAGAAGGGCTCGTACCCGGTACCAGAACACGCTGGCAGCGTGGTCACGTAGTCCAAATTAAACGTTAGAGTGCAGCAAATAGTCGGATTCGAAATTCATGTCGAGGACAGTGGGACCCTGTATAACTGTTCTCCGTTGTACGAAAAGGGTATCCAGAAGTGCATTTGAGTTCACTTGATAACGCCCGACCATTCTCTAGATTCGAGCTGCAAGTCGCGAAAGTTTTGATGTGTTTTCTCAATGGAAGTTATGCTGGTCCACTGGGTATCGGTGAGGATATGTTCGTGAAAAAGATTCTACGGCAAATGCCAAGCATCGGTCCTTACTGATCTATCGCTAGCTAACAGTCCGCTGTTGACTCGACAGTTCACAAATTTTTCTTTGTTGCACTTTAGAAGAAAGGACTCTGGTGTCCGAAATTGACCTTCTTCATGAAGATCAACGGGTTTGGAAACGAGATTACAAGCCGTCAAGGTGCTAATACGCTCCTCAGTACAAAATGGATGGGCCCAAAGTTCTGCGGGAATCAAAGAGACGAACCCGATTAGAAGTGCCACGGAAGAAGAGTTGAAAAGTGCATGGTCAGAACCCAGGTTTGGCTCCATCATGCTCTGAGTCTCCACTGTAGTTGTCAGGGTCGACTGCCGTTATAACTTGAACATCTTGCTCGAGGACTATATTCGTAAACTAGCAGAACTATATTATATGTATCCCAAAGAACGGACTTGTACAAGCAGTGAGTTGAGTCACTAGCCAAAGCCGATATCTGTAACAGGGAGAAAAGCGCGGATAGGTATGAAGCCAAGGGGGAGTTCGGTACGTGTGAGATAGGATCAGGGTGTCAAGGGAGTGTAAAAGTACATTTTGTCTGCGAGTTGAAATGCAGAATGTAGGGATACAATCGTTGCTGAAGTCAAAGCCAAAATCATGATAAAATGAGCGAGTGAGTGAGTGCAGGTAACAAAGTAAGTAACAATTAATAGATGGAGAGTGGTCAGACGATGTCCCAGAGTTCTTCGAGTGCGCAGCAAAACTAGTAGAAAAAAGGAAGTCAGTGACATTCCAAGTAAAAGAGATGTTTTCTAGACCTTGCCGCAAGCAACACTAGCACTCAATGGGTACTCGCTGATACTGATCTTTTCGTCAACGTAGGCATCCGCAAAGTCGTCTCTTCCACGGGCCATAGCGCCCACGAAAACGGCAATGTTATGTGTTTGAGGTAGTGTCGGTAGGTATTGCGAAAGGCGCTGCGTCTTGGCATCGCCAGACAGCGTCAGTTTAATAGTGTTGGGTGGGAAGTGGTCGACAACGGGGTTTTTGATGACCTTTAACAGCTTCTCTGGACCATTGACAGCCACGAATAAATAACTTGTGGAGGAGTTGGACTGATTGAAAATCCCTTGTTCAGCAGCCTAAAAAAGGAAAGAGTGGAGGAGACGCACCCATCAGCCCACTGAACCGCTTGAACGTCCTCGGTATCCTGACATGCGGATTGACTTCGATGAGTACGCCTTTCGCAGTATGGATATACACTTGAAGAAGGCCAGCTTTGTTCAAGGGCGAGTCCAGTAGAGTCAACAGGCACTAAAGAAAGTTTAGTCGTCAAATACAACAAAAGATAGAAAAAAAGACATACCTGGTGAGTAATATCAGGCCTGGCATCTGCGATATCCCTTCCCGTCTTGGCGAGGATACCCTGATGGTCAGTCGCAGTTGAGCAAGGTATACTTGACATCGCCCTCTCCTCCCTTGCCATGTCTGCCCGCCTTTTGCACTCCCGCTCGAGATACGGTAAGGCCTCCAAGCAGGCCTGCTCCAACACGACGAAAAGACGCCGTTGAGACGCTGCTGCTACACCCTTGGGCACATGTGCCTGCACAGGGAGCATCAGCGGGTTGGGGTTGGGCACGAAGGGCTCTGCTTTGAGCGGTGTCGGTGCAGCTATCTTTTTCGCCTTTGACACAGGAAGCGGTCGAGTAGGCCTATCCGTCGTCGTCGCCGCCCTTTTCAAAATGGTGATTCCACCAACACTGCTGTCGCTCCCATCCTCGTCGATCTGCATATCGTGCGCCTCTTCTTCTGGTTCAGATTCTGAGCTATGAACAGGGCTTTTCTGGCGTCGACGTTGCAGTGGGCGTTCGACAGGGCTGGATTTAGGTCGTGGTGGTGGATCAAGTTCATCGGGATTGACCAAGTGAGACAGGTCACGGTGACCGACTCCGGAATGGCGGCGGCGACGGGCTGGTACGACTTGGTTCAAGGTCATGACAGGTAGCTGGAGACGGCGACGGCGACGACGACGACAACGACGGGCAAGGGAATATAAACAACAGGCAAACACAGAATGGAAGAGAAAGGTATATAGACGTAAAATGCAGTCTTTATTATTCATATACTCACGCCGGAATTTTTTACACCCAAAAAGGGGCATCTTGATCACGTCAACAGCGCCACGAACGAGTCAAAGCGGAAGAGTTCCTTACACATTTCTCCGTCAGTACAGTGTTCTGTCTGCATAAAGGTATATTCAGGACTTTGGATGTGACTAGTGCAGAATTAATGAAAGAAATACTTTGGTATGCTTGAGCTCTTCAAGTCTTGAGTTGAATCCAGATTTGTCGGCGTCCTGGTCCGATGAAGAATGCATTTTACTGCCACACAACCTCCACGCGAAGATCTGAGAGCCAATGGAAAACAAAAGAGCCATCGATAGCGATGACTTGACCACTTTAATAGTTTGTAGAAAAGAATGACCGCACACAACTTCACCAAAAAAGAGTAGAAAAACTTGGGAGGCCGGTGCCGACGGAGCCTTGATGATCCATGCTCGCTGTCAATAGTGATGCATGATTGAACAAGACAAGCGTGATGCTGTATGGAACACAGCTTGATGCGAAAGCCGAGGTCCCGAGAAGGTCACTGACAGAATGGACAAGGTACAAATCCACAGAAAATGGCCAGAATGCCCAATAGGCGGAGGATAAGATCACCGTTTATCATCCAGAAACTTATCATTCCGGTCCATCATAACCGTGAATGGTCGAAATGATGTTGCGAAAGTTTCTTGAGTGTAAGAAGAATGCTAGGCCAACAGATGACACCACACCGGGCGCACTTCGTGAAACTTGAACAAGAAAAGGTCCAACATGCTGCGCAATTCGAAGCAGAAGGATGCCGAAGAGAAAACTCAACTTATCAGCCTCAAAGGACAATGTCCTCGGAAGCGACAGCGATGGCCCGAGTCGCTGATCACCACGATACTCGGTGGTTGGCGTCGGGAATAAACAAGGCCGACTGTTGATGCACCTTGACGATTATCTGAGGTCGGGCCAATGCTTTCCGCCTTCTTGCAGCTGGAGGGTTTCGAGGAGGCCCTCGAGGATTGTCTGCTGACCATTTCCGTTTCCGTTTGGACAACGAATCAGATTGTGCCGATGCTAACTTCCCTGTGACTCAGGCTGAGCGAGACGAATTGTTGATACGGACGCCGGAGAATCTCAGGGCAGTGGGAATATTATATGGGCCTGAATGCCAAACCAGTGATGACTGTTTTAATGATCCCCTCCCTTGTCGTCTTGGCAGCACATTGATGGCAGCGGAGGCGCCAGACGAGCTACAGGAGCAGAACGTGAGGACCAGAGAATTAAGGAGTAATACGGAATGAATGAATACTGAGTCAATGAGCAAGAAGTCTCTGACTTCTTGGGAAGGAGAGAACTTGACCACCAGGATGTTTAATAATCGAGAATCACGGTGTCAAAGTACGTACAAGACTTACGCCGAGAGTTCAGGTGTTCAGGACACCCGAGTTACTGCTTATTGCGCTTGACTTGGGCCACAACTTGAACCGTTCAGACTTTGCATCAAACTTGTACAAGCGGGGTCATGAGTGAAGGTAGCGAATCAACTAGGCGCAGAGAGAACGTGAACATATGTGCATATATGTGGATTGCGACTCACCTCAAGAAGACATGACCGCATAATCGTCAACGTCCTCTAGTACCTGTCTTCTGCTGATAATCAGGTACCTATAATCCTCCTATAGTGCTTTGTCGACCTTGTCGCAGAGCTGGTTTGGTTTACAGATTGCAAGAGGCTCCACAATGCCCCTGATGCGTTCCTTAACAGGGGAAGAGATTTTGACGAATCTTGGTGCATTCCTCCAAAAAGGCTTCGCACATCCCTGAAAGAGACGATGTCTTCGAGCTGTTCCGACCTGAGAAAGAAAGAGGTGTGAGGATTGATTTCTCCAAGGATGTACTTGACTGCAGTAGCGTTTGAAGATATCAGTACGTGGTGCGCACGTACAGGTCAGTGTTAATTTCCTTTCGATGGCCGCCAAGGTATAGCTGAAGGACATAGCTTCACATTTTATCCAGGTGACCCAAATGACTGGAAGAGGGTGAGTATATGCACCGGAATAACGCGATAGACGACGAACCGGTGTATCGCGTACTCATAACCTCACGCAGACTTCAACTCTTCCAATGATTTCGTCATACCATGATGTCCATGCACATGTTGTGGTTATCGTTGGTCACGGCCTAACTCGGGTATACAAGACGACGTCGACGGCGAATTACTGGTACACCTCGTTGACGATCAATGGGCCTGCGGATGATCCGGTGTGAGCCTGGTTGATGCTCGCCGGATAGTTAGTGTCGGTGGGATTGGCCGTACGCTTGTAGGCATGGTGGGAAGAAGGGAGGAAAGGGAGGGAGAGGAGGAGCGCGATTTGATGTGTTTATATAGGGACGGGGGTACCAACGACGCGTGGGACGGCGCGCAGTATGACGTATCGCGTATCATCGTCGTTGATGTGACGCTGGCGGTGGTGGTAAGAGGAAGGGCAGCAACGTGATGACTAAGGCCGTAAGTTCGTCGGCTTCGATCAACGTATTAAGTCAGGCAGGCTTTGAGGATAATTAATAATTGTCCTTGCTTGTGGTGGTGCTCTGAGAAATCGATGACAGACATGACCATGAACACGGGCCGTTGTATATGTTACACGTATGCGGTAGATAGTACAGAGGTCGAATACAGAAACAGCAGTATGTGTTACACTGTGCACACATTTTAGTTCGTTCAATTTATGTAAAAAAAAAAAAGCAAGTACTGACTTTCTTGATAATCTGCAGCCAAAAGCCTGGAAAAATATGATAAGCGAAAGGTATGAAATGGCAGCACGAAAGACCTACAACTCTAATACAATCTCCGGAGGAATTCGTTCAAGAAACTCGTTCACAGGTACCTCCTCCTTAGGACCAACCTTTTCATAGTGTGCTTTGAAACACATGTACTTCCAAGAGTTTTTGGACGATGAGGCCACTGAGAAGGAGATATGTGAATGCGAATGTTGATGATAGGACAGTTCGACGCGTACCGGTACTCTCTTGCTACGTAAGTTTTGGATTCCGCTTCCGAGAAACCGCCTGTAGAGCCTATTCAGAACTGTCAAGATGGTATCGAATCATAGTGGCGTACTTTCAGTGTCAAGAGAATTTTTGATTGTTCCACTGATATTGGCGACGCGTCGTCGAACTAGAAAAGAAAACCCATCGTTGCTTTCAATTCGCACCCAGTCCTCGTCCTTGGATCCAGTCTATCACTAGGGTGAGACTGAGTGCGAGGACCAGCAAAAGAATACGTGCACGCATTTCTACATCGGTCATGGTTGTTGATTGGTTGCAGGTGCGGCTGATACCGGGCCGGTTGCTCCACAGTCATCATCGAGTATTTCCGATCTCCCCACGTTTTGCTCCTGATCTTACCGAGTTTTCTTTGCCGTGTACGCGCGGGACGACGGCTGAATAATTCCCATCTATCGTCTCTCAGGATTACTTATTCTGCTGCTGCCTCGACGCAGCCTGGGTAGTCGGCCATGCTGCCGAAAGTCGCCACTACCTTACTACATTCTGGTTCTCGAGCAGCGACCGCTGTACAGAACCAGTCCCATACTATCAGAAACGTTCTACAGCTCCAGTCGAATTCTGGACCCAATTCGAATCGCGGCGGAAATGGTCCTAGTTCGGGAGGTTCGAGGTATAACACTGGCAGTCGCAGTTACCATGTACGTCGATGTCTGTTTCAGCTTCCGTCGTCGTCGCTGATGTCGTCGGAAGGGGTCTGGCCGTGCCGTGACTCAGGCGAACACATTTGTGCTCAGTGATGTCTCCATTGCCCAGACAGACGACAGCGACGAGTCTTTTCCAGTGAAACGTGTGTCAACAGCGACGACAACCCGACGTAGTCGTCGACACAGCACCAGCAATTCGCCCCTCGTTGCTGCTGACCGACACGAACCGCTTGGTGTATACAAAGCTGTGCAGTTACATGCACGGTCCCGACATGCATTCGCTGCGGCACCGGTAGAGTCTCCAGTCACTACTCGGTCCAGGAGCAGCTCGCTGTCTGCCATATCTGCCAGCGATGGTGTTCCCGAAGATCCTCCCTCCGCCAGCTCCTCCAGCTCCTGAGGCTCGCGATCCCAGTCCTCTCCCGGAACCGCTGTTATCAGCCCAGCCTGCACCCGATGTGTTTGTCTCCGAGGACTATAAACGTCTTATGGATGCAAGATCGCTGGACCCCAGCGCCGCTGCCACTGTTGTACTCAATTTCCGTCAGACCACTGTCACCCCGACTATCCAAGAGTTTAACGCCGCCGTTGAGGCCCTCTTTCTCACACGGAGACCCGGCGAACCTCTTACCCTTCTCCTCGAAACGTACAATGACATGATTCAGCGCGGCCTCGTTCCCAACTACCGGACATACGTCACTCTCATTCTCGCTCTTACGGACCGTGACAGTGAGTTGCAATGGGCCATTGAGGGCATTCATCAGCGCCAAAAGTGGAATGAGCTCGGCAATCCTACCATCAAGTTCAACGCCAAGGAGGACCTCAACCAGCTTCGACTCTTCCGCAATGAGGCCAATCTTCCATCGATTCTCGCCCTCTTCCGCGCGATCGCGGTCATGAAAACTCACCCCGGCAATCAGATTCCCGTCTTCGTCTATCGCAATCTCTTACGATCATGCGCATATCATGGTGATGAACCCGGCACAGTTGATGGGGCCATCCAGATATGGTCACATTTGGAGAAGAATTCTAGAGCTATACCTGCTGTTTGTTTTCAGTGGATGATTGCCGTCTATGGTAAAGCCAAAGATCTCGCAGGTGCCCAGGAGGTCTTCAGGGAGTTCCGGAAGATGGCCGACGATCACAAGGTTATTTGGACGGATAAAGAGGATAGCTCGGCGCGGCGAAACCTGATATCTGTGTGGAATTCGGCAATTACTGCCTACTTCCAGTGCGGCGAGCCTCATTTGGCCGTTGCTCTTCTGGAAGAAATGCTAGATGCGGCCGCGAACCAAACCCCGAAGGATGAGATGAAAATGGCATTTGGAGTGTACCAAGCACTTTTCTACGGTCATTTTCCTCCCCCGCCTTCGTCTTCCACGTTTACAGCGATCATCCAAGGTTTCGTTACAACCGGCGATATAGATTCGGCTTGGAACTGGTTTGAGCAAATTGTCAATCTCCCACATGGTCCCGTCGCAGCACACATATCGACACTCACTCCTACGCGACCAGACGCCTTTACCTGGCGTCTCATGGTAGAGGCATTGGTCCAGCACAACCGCGTAGAACAGCTGAATGCGCTTTTCGCTCATTACCTCAACATTGGCACTAAAGATAAAATAGAGCTTCGTCTCGTTGATCAAGGATATATCTACGTTGCAAATATCCGCGACATCGAGCGTCTAGCAGAAAAGCCGGGCAATGAGGAAGCGATCAAGCGACGATTGGACACACTCTCTGCCCTGCAAGATACCAAATACCTTCCTTTCGACGGTTGGGACAGAGTGTGGAACTACTACTTGCAGTTTGGTTGGTTACGAGAAGCCGTCCAACTGTGTGATCGTCATCTTCGCCACGTCCTTCAGACCGGTTATGATCCTCGTCCCGCCGCCACGAAGACTCATCTCGTGAATATGACGACGGCTGTTTATTCCAAGTATAAAGGACAAATACCGTTTGAAGATGCGCTCACACTTGCTCGTCTAGCACCCACAGTGCGGTACACATATCCGGTGGATTACTCGACCTATCTCCTGCAGTCATATAGTCTCCAGACACCTGAGACTCTATCCAAATTGGAGATTCCCGACTGGGTCGTCGTCCTGCAGGCCGCGGCCAGTCTGGAAGTGATGCCGGCATCCGTTCCCAAGGCTTTCGTTCGAGACTATTCATTCAAGGGATTATTCGACTTATTGGGGGATCTGACACGCTATTCCCCCAACTTCGAACTTGCAGGTCATTGCCAAGATGTCTCCCGTCGCTGCTGAACACGATCATTTCGGTGGCTCTGCAGGTGCACTGGAGAGGAAAAGGTGGAGAGCAGTGTTCGAGTCGCTGGGTCCCTCGTTTATGGCGGAGCTCAACAGATATCGAGAGTCTCTGACATCGAGCGAAGTGAGCGAAGAAGATGCCAGTTTAGGGTTCTCACTGGAGAGTCCAACGACGACAGCTACTACCTCGCCTATGCTTGAGGAGAAGGGACAGACCCTCGCAGATCCCGCGTCCGTTTCGTGGATAACCGATAGACAGCTTTCTGATAGACTGCGAGAGCTCCTTCGACTGGAGAATAACGCTGTGGATGAGGCCTTCCGAATCTTCATGGAAGCAATCCAACATAACCGGCTCCCGTATCGACACATCACGGCATCTTTGATCACTGCTCTTGGACGCGAGCGTCGTTTGGGGGACATGAAGCATGTGTATGACCTGGTGCAACTGAGGGAACCGCCGCTGGAGTCTACCGATCCCCAGAAGTTCCAGTCTTGGATGGCTATTGAAGATGCAATGGTTCATGCCCTGGCGCATATGGGTGAGATCGAAGCTGCCCATGTGCACCGTAGACGGATTCTGGAGCAGGGCGGGGTCCCGTCGCCGGATGCGTATGGTGCGTTGATCTACTACGTCAAGGATACCACGGATGACGCTTCCAATGCCCTCGCGCTCTTCCACGAGTCCCAGCTCCGTGGTGTACGCGCTTCGCAATACCTGTATAACAATATTATTTCCAAGGTGGCAAAAGCGAGGAAGGCCGATCTGGCGTTGGAATTGTTCACGCAGATGAAGGCTGCGAGTGTTTCGGTGTCATCTATCACGTATGGGGCTGTCATTGGAGCGTGTGCACGGGTTGGGGATGTGGCATCTGCGGAGACGCTGTTCAAGGAGATGACGGAACGGAATTCGTTCAAGCCACGAGTCCCTCCATACAACACGATGATGCAGCTCTATACGACGACCAAGCCGAACAAGGAGAGGGCGTTTTATTATTACAATGAGATGTTGAAGGCTGGTGTTCGTCCCTCGAGCTATACTTACAAGGTAATGTCGGCGTTATTTCCTGACGTCGGCGTTATCTGACATTTTCTCTTCCTTTCCTTTCCCTAGCTGCTCATCGACGCGTATATGCTTGATCCTCATGATATCGCCAAGGCCGAAGAAGTTTTGGACATTGTTCACAAATCCATGCACGCCCGTCTCGAGCCTAACCATATCGCGGCGATGATCAATGCGTATGGATGCATACTCAAGGACTTGGACAAAGCAATTGCATTCTTCGATCGGGTCCCTATGCTGTCTAGTGACCGTCTGTACGACGCCACGGTGTTCGAAGCGATGATCAACGTACTGGTTGTTCATCGTCGGCCGGATCTGATCCCCAAGTACCTCAAGAAGATGGAGATCGTGAACGTGCACATGACGGCGTATGTGGCAAATGTGTTGATCAGGGCGTACGCCGTGGTTGGTGATATCGAGAAGGCGAGGGAGGTGTTTGAGGGTATGGCTGATCCAGCGCAGGGAATGGCTGCTATGAATAACCATGCACCATTCAATCCTCTGGATTCTAGGCATGTGGCTGTTGGTACACCTGTTTACCGGGAGGTAAGCTACTTCGTTACGTCTGCTTTGCGCAGTAACTGACATACTTCATAGCCATCTACGTGGGAAGCGATGGTCCGTGCGGAATTAGGCGAAGGACACCGTGATCGTGCGCTCGACCTTTTGGAACGGCTAAAACAAAGGTCGGTTTTTTCTCTATTTCGGCGGTCTCGTTACGGAAGAATGAACGTTTTTTCTTCACAGGCAATTCCCAGAGGCAGGTCTATAATCGGATAAGTGGCATAATGGTCGACCATTCGTCGCTCCCACCTTGATGCTGAGTCTAGGATTTTGAACTTGTTTGGTTGCTTCATTTATTCCACCTTCACCTCTACTTCATGCTCGGTAATCAACAACGGTGTATCATAGTTTTGTATAAGTAGACATAGATTAAAAGTAGCATTACAAGTTTGATTATTCGCGCAATACAACGACTCGAACCCTTCCGATATTTGGAGTGGCGGGGTTTAAAAGTCGTCTGACACTCTTTAGGCTTCCTACTTTGTTACTGCTCTGATTCACTCGGCTCATTCTATCAGGATTTTGGTTTTGGCTTCAGAAATGATATGAATCCTGTACTAGCGACTCGGCCGTGATGTTTTTATTTTACTGATTGTTACCCTTTCTTGGCTTCGTGCAACCATACCGTTTGTCCCAAGGACTCGTAGTGCACTGTATGGTCAAATAAGACCTATCTTCGAACGCGACATATCTACGGCCCGGATCATCCGAACACCCACACAAACCGATGCTTGGCCACCTTCCGCTATGGCACCTCCCGTCGAGCTCGTCTCCTTTATTCTCGCCGAACTCTGGGCATATCCATATCTTACTGAAGAGAGAATCAACGTATACCGGACTTGTAACTTGATTTCCAAACAGTGGTCGGCCATCTTCAAGGACAGTCAATTCCGTGCACGCCTGGATCCCTTTCTCCTTCGACAAAGCACATTTGTATACCGTCAGGTCGATGCATATTATTTCTAACCCGATGCTCTGTCGCACTATAACAGTTACAGTGGAGTACGTGGTCATGCCACAATTATTAATATGGTATATGACTTGCGGAGCCACCGTCGAGGCCAACAAGGGAGTAGAGTCAGCGCTTCGAAGGATATTCTGCGACCCGAATCGACCTCGAAGTGCAACTCATATCTATGTTAACTATCTTGACGATCTCCAGCTCCATACTCCCAGTTTCTGGATCCCCCCTCAAATTACTCACCTGACAATTGTCTATCACTATCGTCGTTAGGTGCCTCCACATTTCCGGAAAGGTTTTACGGTTCGCTGCGTTTGTGAAAGATTAGCCGTCGACCGGCGAGTTAGCCATTTAACTGTCATGGGTGCTATACCCGTGATAGTGAAGCGCCTGATAGCGCCTCGCGACGAATGGCAACATCTTGTTTCGTTGACCACCGATCTCGACGAAGCCTTGGTTTCCGCTTCCTCCCAGACCTCTGTCATATGCAAGAGGTACGACATTCCGTTTCAGGATGTAGGAAACGACTACGCACTTCACGTCATGTTTGGAGACAGGTCATTTTGGTTATACAGGCCGTATCATGGTCGGCTCCAACGTCTCTCTGTCATTCATATTAATCATTAAGTGTAATAGATTTTCAGTGGCAACCTGATATTCCAATGTTCGAGCAGACCATTCCGGTGGGCTCTGTTGGTTACATTGATCCGCTTACCAGGAAGTTTGTGATACTATTCAATGGCATTGATTCCTCATCATCGACAGACGAGCGAATCAAATCTATCCCCTCTCTCCTTGCAGGAGGGGTGACGAAGCTAGTCTGCGACCCGAATTTTTCTTCCTTCCCGGACTGGGACCGTGAATATGGTGAAGATGCATTATCCGATATTGGAACTCTACTGGGAGCTTGGATTGACTTGAGATTGTTCGTATTCTCTGGTTCTTGATACTTTCTTGCTACTAATGAAACCAGAGTGTATAGCATTCCTGCAAAATTTAACACATATAATAAATCGCTCTGTCTCGCTGTAGGACGAGCATTTGCCAGAGAACTTGTAGGGACCCATTTCGATTCCTGGTACCTCGAGCACAGACAGACTATTATGGAGGTCTTTGAAGAGGACCATCCTTATATCCGAACTCGTTTGGAACTTGGTAAGGGAACACTTATAGGTCCTGACAGCTGAGATATAATTGTTTTTGCCAGTGACAACTACTGTTGACTCTTCTCAGTATGCTTGGTTAGCCCGCCTGTAATACAAATCAGCGGAAGACTATGGGCTGTACCAACACGTAAAACGCAACATTTCATTTTTTAATTGCATTATCACTAATACGAGTATTCTTTCTCAGTTCTATTTTCGCGTCAACCCCCAAGCTTACCTCAGCCCTGGCAGTCCTTGGGGACATTTCACGAACAGGGATGCGAAATCCTGCGATTCTCTCATCACTTGGAGCCACATATCCAGGGTTGGTCAATTGCCGAAGACTATAGAGATTTGTTGTCACCCTCTCGAAACGGACAATGTATGCTTCTGAACTGAAAAGCTTAGTCCTACATATATGACAATTGGACCTCGTCGACTATGAGAACGATAGCACCTGATGTGATGTCCATTACTGATCCGGGCAAATGTGGACTATTTTTATTAAAAGTTTATTTGTAGCTTCAGCGAATAGACTTTTCGCCTGCGCCCCAAATTCGCCCCATCCCATGGAGAGTGTAGTCTGTGGCACGTTTTGTGTCAGTACAGAGCCCCGGCGTTCCTTTTTGGGACCTTGCCCGGTGATCTATCTACTAGCGAGTCGGCCATGCTGTTTTTATTTCATCGATGGTTACCGTGTTTTGGCTTCGTGCCATCATACCGCGTATTCACACGAATATACCTTTATTCGAGCCGCACCTACCACGTCCATTCCTCCTGCCTGTTTCTTCCCAACAGGGTCGAGAGTGCGTAACAACCTGCTTTGTAGCGTTATTTCTGCATCCACCCTTCCGTCCCCTTCGATAGGCACTGTTACGAATTGCATGCATGATCACGATATTCGGCACCCCGCACAGCATTCAACCTCAGGTCTCGGTTGAAAATCTCCAGGAAATGCGGTCGACACCACACACCACTTATACTGAGACCAATGCTCGGAATTTGCCGTCGAATCTTGCTATGGCACTTCCAGTCGAGCTCACCGCACGTATCCTCACTGACACTTGGGCCAGCCTAACTTCCACTGAAGAGCACGTCAAAACTTTTGCGACTTGCAGTCTTATATCTAGAGAATGGCTAGACACCATCAAGGAAGTGTACTCAATGCACTCATGGACCCCCCTGTCGTATTATGAAGGACGGCTATATACCATCAAGTCACTGTCTTCGATTTCAAATCCAATGCTTTGCCGCACTCTTACGTTCAAAGTGGAGTTTGCGACCATGCCGCAGTATGTCGTGGTTAGCGGATGCGAACCTGCTATTGAAGCGAACCGGGGAGTAGAGATCCTGCTTCGAAAGCTATTCTGTGGTCCTAATCTACCTCGCCACGCAACCCATATCTATATCAACTATTTGGACGATTCCCGGGTGCACGTCCCCAGCTTCTGGATCCCCCCACAGATCACACGACTAACAATCCTCTACCACTTTCGTTCGTGGACGGTTCACTGGTTAGACCAACAAGTTTTCCGACACTGTCACTGTCTGCGATCCATTGTCGACCGCAAAGTCCACCATCTCTCCGTCATGGGGGCCACGGCTGAGCTAACGAGACAACTAATCACTCCTGTCAGCGAATGGAAATGTCTGTCCTTGTTAACTATCGACTCGGATGTTCCAGCAATCGATATTCCCGTCTCGTCTCGGATCTGTGTTATTAGGAAAAGTGAAGATTTTCGATACGAAGCTGTAGAGTTCGATTTTTTGCGTCGCGTCATGTTTGGCAATCAATATTACCGTGTGTATTGGTATTACAGGTCAAGCAGTGGTACGTCGTCCTACATCTCCGCATTTGCCAGGCAGCGTATATCTTGACCTGTCTCAAAGATCGAAGAGCCAGCCGAGATATTCCAATGTTTGAACAAGTCATCAATGTCGGGTCTGTGGGTTACATCGACCCAATGACCAGGAGATTTATTGTATTGTTCAACGCCATTGATCCAAAATGTTCGGCCGACGCACGACTTGATTCCATCCCTTCTCTTCTTGAAAGTGGTGTGACAAAGTTGGTCATCAACCCAAATTATTCTTCATGCCTGAAGTGGCATGAGGACCACATTGAGTCGTCCGTGTCTCGTTATCATGGAAGCCTCTCCGACTGTGACTGACGAACCTGGTAGATTGTATGACATCCCTGTCGGAGTTCTCGAACAGGAAAAGTACTATCTTGCGCTCGGAGGAGCTTGCTCCAAGGAACTTGTTGGAACGCATTTTGAGACCTGGCTATTGGATCATAAACAGAATATCCTGGATATTTTCGAAGACGAGCACCCTGTATATCCGAAAGCGTCTGGACCTTGGTGAGTCACCCTGTTACAGTATCTTGTTTCGCAGTGCTGAGTTCTGAGATGATCTTTAAGTGACGACCAGCAATCAATTCATCTCAGTATGCTTGGTTCGCCCATCTAGGTTTCAGTTCCCGCTTCCGAGCCCCGGGGCCTTCCCTCTGGCGCCCGGTAAGTGCATCAGTTCACACTTTGGATTGAGCTTTGCACTCATGATCTTTATTTCAGTTTTACTTCCAGGATAAATCCCCCTGCGTGTTCCTGGAACTCCCTGGGGAGAATTCAAAATGCCAAAAAACTATGATCTCCCCAATCTAGTAACTTGGAGCCATGTCGCTACTGTGGGTCAGTCGCCTATGACCGTACAGATTCGGTGCCAGTCTGTTAGTTAATCCTTCACTGAGTACTGTGTTATGGTGGTGAAAGTAGCTTGCTTCCACGTCGACGGGTCATCTATCGATCTCTTCACCGTTTTCTTGTTTACTGTGCTCCACTCGGCACATTCTTGAATATATGAATGCCTGGCAAGACTGAAATGGCTGACCTCGCAATGGTATAACTGTCGTATAAATGCTTGGTGACGAGCTCGTGAATACATTGATACATGCCGAAGGTGTTCAGGTGGAGGGTATTGGCCGTCGTCGATGTCAGCATCCAGAGGGACCTCTTCCGCTGGACATACGCTCAGCCTTCCATCGAGACCCGTCTCTCCTCGATAAACTGCAGACTGTCATTGTACAGTTGAGTAGCTTGGCTGATACTCTTTCGACTGTGGGCCTGGACGACCGCCTAGCTACGGCGCTGCGCTTGAGGATCGACCGGTGGATGGCATTGCAAGGAAGACATTGTTGATGGCTGTGCATGTCAGGTGGAATGAGCGAGTGGAATGCGGACGGCCTTCCAACGTCGAACAAAAGATATAGAAAGGAGTTTCCTGGATGCGGAGGGCATGCGGCATGCATAGAGACGGCGGGAGACGAGGTAGGTAAACTCTGATACCCTGATGCGCGCATCCGAGCCCCGATGCGTCTTCCGAAAACCCTCATCTCGACTAAATCGATGATAGTCTCAGAGACGTCCCACACAGCCACAGAGGGCCGTTCCAACATCCCACCCCTCCTCCGTTAAAAGTAGCATTATAAGTTTGATTATTCGCGCAATACACCGACTTCCCCTCCGATATTCGGAGTAACGGGGTTTAAAAATCGTCTGACGGCCTTGAAGCCTAAAAAGAACTGGAAGGGCTATTTTCAGTTTTTCTTCATATATTCAAGAATGTGTCGAGCAGAGCACAGTAAACAAGGAAATGGTAAAGAGACCGATAGGTGACCCGTCGATGTGGAACGCTCGTCGGGTCTCTGGAAGTAAGCTACTTTCACCGTCATATCACAGTACTCATTGCGGGACTAACTAACAGACTGGCACCGAATCTGCACAGTCATAGGTGACTGACCCACAGTGGCGACATGGCTCCAAGATATTAGATTGGGAGGGTCGTAGTTTTTTGGCAATTTGAATTCTCCCCAGGGAGTTCCAGGTATGCGTGGAGGATCAATCTGAAAGTAGAACTATGAAAGAAAGATCGTGAGTGCAAAGCACAATCAAGGGTGTGAATGCCGCATTCACCAAGTGCCAGCAGGAAGGCTCCGGGGCTCTGAACCGGGAGCTGAAGCCTAGATGGGCGAACCAAGCATACTGAGAGGAATTGATTGCGGTCGTCACTGCAAACGTCATCTCAGATCTACGAGATACGAAGCCGTAGCAGGGAGACTGCCTTACCAAGGTCCAGACGCCGTTGAATATACGGGTGCTCGTCTCCAAAAATATCCAGGATTTTCTGTTTATGATCCAGCAGCCAGGTCTCGAAATGCATTCCGACAAGTTCCTTGCAGCAAGCTAGTCCCAGAGCAAGATAGTGCTCTTCTGGTTCGAGAAATCCAACAGAGATATCATACAATCTGCCAGGTTGTCAGAGGGGCTTCAATGATAATGAGGCACTAACGATTCGAAGTGTGTGCAGTCCTCATCCCACTTGGTCGGGCGCGGAGAATAATTGGGGTCCATGACCAACTTTGTCACACCACTTTCAAGAAGAGATGGGATGGCTTCGAGTCGGGCATCTGTCGAAGATCCTGGATCAACGGCATTGAACAGTACGACAAATTTCCTTGACATCGGGTCGATATAACCCACAGACCCGACAGGAATGACTTGTTCAAGCATTGGAATATCTCGGTTGGCTTTTTTATCTTTCAAACAGGTCAAGAAATATGCGAATACGGAGATGTATGAGCGTGCCAATGTGTGACCAATACGCCCGGTTGTATTGATTGCCAAACATAACACGACGCAGAAAGTCGGGCTCCACGGCTTCGTATCGAAAATCTTCACTTTCCCTAATAACACAAATCCGAGATGAGACGGGAATATCGATTTCTGGAACATCCGAGTCGATAGTCAACAAAGTCAGACATTTCCATTCACTGAGAGGGGTAATTAGTTGTCTCGTTAGCTCAGTCGTTGCCCCCATGACGGAGAGATGATGGACTTTGCGGTCGACAATGGATCGTAGACATTGGCAGCGTCGGAAAACTTGTTTGTCTAACCAGTAAATCGTCCAAGAACGAAAGTGATAAAGGATTGTCAGCCGTGTAATCTGTGGGGGGATCCAGAAGCTGGGGACGTGCACCCGGGAATCGTCCAAATAGTCGATATAGATATGAGTTGCGTGGCGAGGTGGATTAGGACCGCAGAATAGCTTTCGAAGCAGGATCTCTACCCCCCGGTTCGCTTCAATAGCAGGTTGGCATCTGCTGACCACGACATGCTTCGGCATGGTCATAAAGTCTACTCTGAACGTAAGAGTGCGGCAAAGCATTGGATTTGAAATCGAAGACAGTGATTTGATGGTATATAGCCGTCCTTCATAATACGACAGGGGGGTCCATGAGTGCATTGAGTGCACTTCCTTGATGGTGTCCAGCCATTCTCTAGATACAAGACTGCAAGTCGCAAAAGTTTTGACGTGCTCTTCAGTGGAAGTTAGGCTGGCCCAGGTGTCAGTGAGGATACGTGCGATGAGCTCGACTGGAAGTGTCATTGCAAGACTCGATGGCAAATTCCTGAGCATCGGTCTCAGTATAACGGTGGTGTCGACCAGCATTTCTTCCCGTGTCGATCGCACAGCCACTGTCCGGTATTTCCCGTCTGCATCGATTTTCCTCGACCTCGATTATATGCGTCCCCGGTTGGGTACGTACTAACCAACCAACCTCTTTCTCCGCTCAAAACTGGCTACATTCATATACACTGAGACGTCTCTGAATAATCCCTCCTACTCAAAATCGACAACGTCAAGGCGTGGTTGAATGAACACCTTGTTAAGTTCAGGTGTAGGCTTCCAGACATTGAGGCTTGATTGTTACAAGAAAATGAGAGGTGTTTAAAGCAAGAAAAGGAGGTCTGGATCTGAATCGCGAGGTACGTCCATGTTTTCTTAGAATACCAATGACTGACTGAAAAGATTTCTAGTAGCACAAGATGCAAGGCTGTCGTCGTTTCTTCAGATTCTGACGACTCTCTACCGAATCGAATTTATCTACTTTCAACTCGTCGCTGTCTGTGGTATCTTTCGGAAAGGGACTACAATCACCCTTGTGAGTCGTGCGGCTCTCAATCTAGTCATTTGCTAACCAGATGTAGTACATGGCAGCAACGCGATGTCCACCACACTCTGACTTAGAGAAAAACACAGAATTGCAGCCAACACTAGCGATCAGCTGCTGGTTTCATACCTCCCACTTCACCTACATCAAAAAGACGTCTCCTCGATGAATGGAGTCGCTTTAAGCCGAACTCACTACCTTTTTGGAATAAGAACAAGAAGCCGTCAAGCAGAAGCCGCTACCCCCAACATCATGTTTCAGACCCCCACACCATAGTCATCCACCTTCGAGCATGAGAGTGTGTCAGAGAACAATATGAGACACAGCACAAGCGTACCCAAAGTTGCATTGGTCACACATGTCTCCATTCTTCTCCGATACAGAGCCCTGCAGCACGAATATCCTACTCCTGCTCCTCTAATCTCATCACCCCATTGGCTGAGATGTCTGGATAAAGGCGTTCGAAAGTTCATGCGGTGACGGCAATGGAGAAGAGCGGGTGAGGAATTTCCAAATTACGAAGTCATCCGAATACGTGATCTCCACGCGAATCTTTTGCCACTGACTGGGGGTGGGTACCTCTTTCAGTTTCAGCGTATGGATCCTTGTTTCATCCTCGGGTCAACCGACAAAATTTCCCCTGACTTCGTGGCATGCTGCGTACCATCTTTAGCATGCCCAAGAACGTCGCAGCTCAGAAATTCGTCAAAAGCATCAGCAAAAAGAAATACAAGTCTTCAAACGCCCAATTGGGATAATACTACTCACATGTCCTTTTAGACCACGTACGAGGTAAAGCATAACCGGGCTCGTAAGATGATCCATGTATATCACAGAGAAGTCCGCGTATTTTCTACCCAAGTAGTTCCAGAATCTCTGCCAAACATCACGACGCCTGTTTTGTAGCATTTCCCAGCCGTGATGGAGACTGCTGGGGACGTACGGTGCTATGGAAGACCGGATCAACCAAATGAAAGCGATGATGACCGCAAAGCCAACAGTGGGGAGTATGATCGCCAGTCCAGATGACTGGGATGGAGGTGAGGTGCTCGCTGTCACATTTGAGCCAGACGTCGAGAAGACTGTTGCCACGATTGTGTCATTGGAAGTTACGGAACATTCGGCATAGGTTTCGATGAGATTGGTGACTACAGTTGATGTTTGGCACTGAGCTGTTCCGTCCTTGATATCCTTGTCTCGCGCGTCGTCAGAGGTATCTATGAGGAAATATCCAATTAAAATCACGTCCGAAATTGAAATCGCCTGGCTCACTGACCATGCTGCCCTCCATGCACAGATGTGGGTGTACTATTTGAGTCAACGACAAGGCACGGAAAGTAAAGAAAAAAAGATGTCCACGCACAACAAGACTTTATGGGACAGCGATGATAAACGATGAAATGTAGTGGCGGTTTTGATTCCTTCAGTATTTTCCGGCGAGTGCAACGGTACTCGCAGGTCAGTGAGTCTGGGATGGGAGAGCAGAAGGTAAAAACCCAGGAGGCGGAACACCATGTGAAGCACGGTAGTGAGGAGGGAAGTGAGAGGAAGCCATCCTTGCTAGCGGTCCTTTTTATGGACCGCGCTGACGTCGGTCTGAACCTTGGACAATGACAGCAAGAGTTGGAAGATGGAAGATGCTACGCTCAGGTGAACGATCCTGATCACGTGATTTCCCGATAAGGCCTGAACAGTTGTCCTGATAATGCCGATGTGGTCCCAGACGTGTTGTCGCGTAGTACTCCAGGCAGCCGCGCAACAGCTATGGACGGAGGAGTGAAATCTGCAGGATCAGTTACACCGGGTTCCCAGATAGAATGGCGTTTGTTGGATAACATGCGCACCGTGAGATCAGGCACGTTTGCCTAGTGCAAGGGCGCATCGGGATTGCGGACCGGTCCACACCCCAGTGAGCCTGAGGCAGTCACACCGGGAAGATGGACGTTTGTGACAAACCTGAATATTGAACACAAATGTAACGTTTTAGGAGCATCGTTTGGGAGCCAACGAACTTCAAGATCTAAAGTTCATGCCGCCCAGCCAGAGATAAAATTTGAGAGCACGCAAAATTTATGTAAATTCACTGCCAAGATCGACCTCCTAAAATGTCACCTTTATTGTGCACATTCTGGTTTCTCTCAGATTCTCATCTGTCCGGTGTGATTTACAGACGGTTGGGCCTGAGTTTGCGGGTGCGTCATAAGGTGACTAAGCTCAATGGACCCATCGGACCGTCCGAACACCCAACTTGGCAACCTTCCGCCATGGCACCTCCCGTCGAGCTCGTCTCCCTTATTCTCGCCGAACTCTGGGCATATCCATTTACCACTGAAGAGAGGATTAATGTTTACCGGACTTGTAACTTGATTTCCAAACAGTGGTCGGCCATCTTCAAGGACGTCAATTCCGTGCACGCCTGGATCCCTTTCTCCTTCGACAAAGCACATTTGTATACCGTCAGGGTCGATGCATATTATTTCTAACCCGATGCTCTGTCGTACTATAACATTTACAGTGGAGTACGTGGTCATGCCACAATTACTAATATGGTATATGACTTGCGGAGCCACCGTCGAGGTCCAACAAGGGAGTAGAGTCAGCGCTTCGAAGGATATTCTGCGACCCGAATGCACCTCGAAGTGCAACTCATATCTATATTAACTATCTTGATGATCTCCAGCTCCACACTCCCAGTTTCTGGATCCCCCCTCAGATTACCCACTTGACAATTGTCTATCACTATCGTCGTTGGGTGCCTCGAAGTTTCCGGGATGAGAGTTTTACGTTTCACTGCGGCTGTGAAAGATTAGCCGTCGACCGGCGAGTTAGCCATCTGACTGTCATGGGTGCTATACCTGTGATAGTGAAGCGCCTGATAGCGCCTCGCGACGAATGGCGACATCTTATTTCGTTGACCACCGATCTCAACGAAGCCTTCGTTTCCGCTTCCTCCCAGACCTCTGTCATATGCAAGAGGTACGGCATTCCGTTTCAGGATGTAGAGGTCGACTACGCGCTTCACGTCATGTTTGGAGACAGGTCATTTTGGTTATACAGGCCGTATCATGGTCGGTTCCTACGTCTCTCTGTCATTCATATTAATCACTCAGTATAATAGATTTTCAGTGGCATCCTGATATTCCAATGTTCGAGCAGACCATTCCGGTAGGCTCTGTTGGTTACATCGATCCGCTTACCAGGAAGTTTGTGATACTATTCAATGGCATTGATCCCGCATCATCGACAGACGAGCGAATCAAATCTATCCCCTCTCTCCTTGCAGGAGGGGTGACGAAGCTAGTCTGCGACCCGAATTTTTCTTCCTTCCCGGACTGGGACCGTGAATATGGTGAAGATGCATTATCCGATATTGGAACTCTACTGGGAGCTTGGATTGACTTGAGATCGTTCGTATTCTCTGGTTCTTGATACTTTCCTGCTACTGATGGAACCAGAGTGTATAGCATTCCTGCAGAATGTGACCCGTATCAATCGCTGTGTCTTGCTGTAGGACGAGCATTTTCCAGAGAACTTGTAGGGACCCATTTCGATTCCTGGTACCTCGAGCATAAACAGACTATTATGGAGGTCTTCGAAGTGGACCATCCTTATATCCGAACTCATTTAGGAACTTGGTAAGAGGACACCTATAGGTCCTGACAGCTGAGACATCATTTTTTTCGCCAGTGACAACTACTGTTGACTCTTCCCAGTATGCTTGGTTAGCCCGCCTGTATTATAAATCAGCGGAAGCCTATAGGCTGTACCAAAGTGTAAAACGCAACGTTTCATTTTTTAATTGCACTATCACTAATACGAGTATTCTTTCTCAGTTCTATCTTCGCGTCAACCCCCAAGCTTACCTCAGTCCTGGAAGTCCTTGGGGACATTTCACGAACCGGGATGCAAAATCCCACGATTCTCTAATCACCTGGAGCCACGTATCTAGGGTTGGTCAATCGCCGAAGACTATAGAGATTTGTTGTCATTCTCTTGAAACGGACAATGTATGCTTCTGAACTGAAAAGCTTAGTCTTACATATATGACAATCGGACTTCGTTGACTATAAGAACGACAGCACCTGATGTGGATTATTTTTATTAAAATTTTACTTGTAGCTTCAGCGAATAGACTTTTTGCCTGCCCCTCAAATTCGCCCCATGGAGAGTGTAGTCTGTGGCACGTTTTGTGTCAGCACAAAGCCCCGGCGTTCCTTTTTGGGACCTTGCCCGGTGATCTATCTACTAGCGAGTCGGCCATGCTGTTTTTATTTCATCGATGGTTACCGTGTTTTGGCTTCGTGCCATCATACCGCGTATTCACACGAATATACCTTTATTCGAGCCGCAACTACCACGTCCATTCCTCCTGCCTATGTTTCTTCCCAACAGGGTCGAGAGTGCGTAACAACCTGCTTTGTAGCGTTATTTCTGCATACACCTTTCCGTCCCCTTCGATAGGCACTGCTACGAATTGCGTGCATGATCACGATATTCGGCACCCCGCACACCATTCAACCTCAGGTCTCGGTTGAAAATCTCCAGGAAATGTGGTCGACACCACTTATACTGAGACCGGTGCTCGGAATTTGCCGTCGAATCTTACTATGGCACTTCCAGTCGAGCTCACCGCACGTATCCTCACTGACACTTGGGCCAGCCTAACTTCCACTGAAGAGCACGTCAAAACTTTTGCGACTTGCAGTCTTGTATCTAGAGAATGGCTAGACACCATCAAGGAAGTACACTCAATGCACTCATGGACCCCCCTGTCGTATTATGAAGGACGGCTATATACCATCAAGTCACTGTCTTCGATTTCAAATCCAATGCTTTGCCGCACTCTTACGTTCAAAGTGGAGTTTGCGACCATGCCGCAGTATGTCGTGGTTAGCGGATGCGAACCTGCTATTGAAGCGAACCGGGGGGTAGAGACCCTGCTTCGAAAACTATTCTGTGGCCCTAATCCACCTCGCCACGCAACCCATATCTATATCAACTATTTGGACGATTCCCGGGTGCACGTCCCCAGCTTCTGGATCCCCCCACAGATCACACGACTGACAATCCTCTACCACTTTCGTTCGTGGACGGCTCACTGGTTAGATCAACAAGTTTTCCGACGCTGTTACTGTCTGCGATCCATTGTCGACCGCAAAGTCCACCATCTCTCCGTCATGGGGGCCACAGCTGAGCTAACGAGACAACTAATTACCCCTCTTAGCGAATGGAAATGTCTGTCCTTGTTAACTATCGACTCGGATGTTCCAGAAATCGATTTTCCCGTCTCATCTCGGCTCTGTGTTCTTAGAGAAAGTGAAGATCTTCGATACGAAGCTGTAGAGTTCGATTTTTTGCGTCGCATCATGTTTGGCAATCAACATCACCATGTGTATTGGTACTACAGGTCAAGCAGTGGCGCGTCGTCCTACATCTCTGCTTTTGTCAGATAGTGTATTTTTTGACCTGTCTCAAAGATCGAAGAGCCAGCCGAGATATTCCAATGTTTGAACAAGTCATCAATGTCGGGTCTGTGGGTTACATCGACCCAATGACCAGGAGATTTGTTGTATTGTTCAACGCCATTGATCCAAAATGCTCGACCGACGCAAGACTTGACTCCATCCCTTCTCTTCTTGAAAGTGGCGTGACGAAGTTGGTCATCAACCCAAATTATTCTTCATGCCTGAAGTGGCATGAGGACTGCACACACTTTGAATCGTCCGTGTCTCGTTATCATGGAAGCCCCTCCGACTGTGACTGACGAACCTGGTAGATTGTATGACATCCCTGTCGGAGTTCTCGAACAAGAAAAGCACTATCTTACGCTCGGAGAAGCTTGCTCCAAGGAACTTGTTGGAACGCATTTTGAGACCTGGCTATTGGATCATAAACAGAATATCCTGGATATTTTCGAAGACGAGCACCCGTATATCCGAAAGCGTCTGGACCTTGGTGAGTCACCCTTGTTACAGTTTCTTGTTTTGCAGTGCTAGTTCTGAGATGATCTTTAAGTTACGACCGCAATCAATTCATCTCAGTATGCTTGGTTCGCCCATCTAGGTTTCAGTTCCCGCTTCCGAGCCCCCGGGCCTTCCCTCTGGCGCCCGGTAAATGCACCGTTCACACTTTGGATTGAGCTTTGCACTTATGATCTTTATTTCAGTTTTACTTCAGGATAGATCCTCCTCGCATTACCTGGAACTCCCTGGGGAGAATTCAAAATGCCAAAAAACTATGATCCTCCTAATCTAGTAACTTGGAGCCATGTCGCTACTGTGGGTCAGTCGCCTATGACCGTACAGATTCGGTGCCAGTCTGTTAGTTAATCCTTCACTGAGTACTGTGTTATGGTGGTGAAAGTAGCTTCGCTTCCATGTCGGCGGGTCGTCTATCGATCTCTTTACCGTTTTCTTGTTTACTGTGCTCCACTCGGCACATTCTTGAATATATGAATGCTTGGCAAGACTGAAATGGCTGACCTCACAATGGAATAACCGTCGTATAAATGCTTGGTGACGAGCTTCGCGAATACATTGATACGTGCTGAAGGTGTTCAGGTGGAGGGTATTGGCCGTCGTCGATGTCAGCACCCAGAGGACCTCTTCGGCAGGACATAGTATGCCGGATGACTAGAGTCCGTGGGGATGATGTAGGACGAAGAGAAGGCCAGATTCATGGCGAGGTCGCGATAACTTGAAGATGCGTGCGTGCATTTTTGCACTTCAGCTCGTAAATTGCTCACGTCGCTCTCAGAGACGACCGGCAGAGGGAATGTTTGGCTTCGGCAGGCCGTTCCGATTATCCGCCGTTATTTTTTGCTTTTCGTAGACCAAGGCCCTCAACGTTGAGCAACGTTCGACACCAGGGCTTCCAACGCCTTCTTCTCCGGGCGTAAATCTGATCAGCGATTTGACGACTGCGCAAGATATCTGGTGAAGGGACGCATAGATCGTGGAAAGATTGGCATAAATGTGAGGCCTCGATGTCTACTTCTCAGAAGAAGTGCTCGCGAGCTCGAGGAAGGAACGAGTGACAGATGAGGGAACATGACCTGAGCGCAGGGATATCGACGATGCAGTTAATCAGTTCTTGAGGTAGTAGAGAAGAATCACTCTGTATCTAGAAAGAATATGATATCAGTTTTCAGGATCGACGGTGGTTCCAGCGGAAGACGTGCCTCAGTCTCCATTATTGCCAGCTCATCCATCGAGGGAGTGTCGGTCCAAGACGCAGCGAAATAGTACAGCGTTGGGGAAAATCGGATAAGGGAACACCCGGCCTCGAGGACGTGATGGTTTGATAAAAGAGACGGGATGGAATGCTAGAGGGCGATCTTTATCGGCACGACATCCTGGCGTATCGGGAAGGTAAGCCATACGCCACTATAGAGAACGAGCAGGAGTGGTGCAGGAGCTGCCGCTGCGTATCCAATTCAGGATGGGTAAGGCGAAGGCGAATGTGCCGTGTTCACGATGTTTGATGTAAGGCTGAGATACCAGCAGTAGTAAACAGCAAGAATGCAGAGGCCAAAACGCCGCTGCTGTCTTCAGTAAGAAGAGTTTATGTAAGACGACGAGAGGGTGCTCACAAGAAAAGACACCAGCAGTTCGACCACGACTCGCCCTATACAAGACATCACTCGAGCTTGTGTACGTTCGTCCAAGGTTACTTGACGCGAAAAAGCCGGTCCGTACTGTCCCAATCAAATGATGGACAAGGTCGACAGAGAGGCAATGCCTTCAAGTCGCAGCATCGGCAGTCTTGACGCAACTGCTTACCGAGATCCCGAAGCATCAGACACGCTGTACCAATCAATATTTGGTCAAACATTAATGAGAGCAAGGGCGCGACACAGCAGAAACACATCAAAGTTACATTGGCAATGCATGTCTCCATTCTTCTCTAATACAGCGCCCTGCTCCACAAGTCTCCTATGCCTGCTCATTGGCTAAGATGTCTGGATACAGGCGGTTGGAAAGTTCATGCACACAATGGCAATGGAAAGCTAAGAGCGGGTAGAGGAGGAATTTCCAAAATCCAAAACGCAACTCGAACACGTGATCTTCACGCGAATCTTTTGCCACTGCAACTAGACTTTCAACGAGCGTGGCTTCATTCATTTTCACTGTATGGATCCTTGTTTCGTCCTCGGGTCAACCGACAAGGTTTCCCCTGACATTGTGGGCATGCTTCGTACCATCTTTAGCATGCCCGAGAACGTTGCAGCTCGGAAATTTATCAAAAGCATCGGCAACTTCAAGAAAAAGAAATACAAATCTTCAAACGCCAAGTTCATTCCTAGGTAGCCTCATATCATTGAGGTCAAAGAGATGAAAGCTACTGATGATACCAGCGATGAAGGTTATGATGCGGATCAGACTATTGACTAAAAGTAATATTTCTTCTCACTTGAGCCAATGACTTGTGTACTGATTCTTCATGTCAGGTGGCAAGGCTTCGTTGACGACGAGGCCGCAGAAGAAACGTACATACGCAAAAGATGAATCCGAAGTTGCTGCTTCGGCTGGTCCACCGGAAAGTGAGACTTTACAGGGTGCTTCCCGAGGACGAGACTTGAAGCGGACCCTAACAACGAGGTACGCACATACTCTCTCTATTATTGGCATTCACTGATCGTATGTGTTTAGCAATCTTCATCAAAATATCCTCGGGTAGCGAAAGGAGCATCGTCCAACTTGAAGGAGAAATTGGCCGACCACAAAGTCTTCGACGAAGACGACTTCGCACTAGGGACGAATAATCGCATTCAGTGTGCACGCTATGCTCTGCAGATACTATCAACGCCGGACTAAGATCCCATGCAATCGTAGCTCTCATCGACCGCAACCGTATGCAGCTCTCCTACTACAATCGATCCACCATCATTGTTTCCCAAGCCATTAACCTCGCGAACGAAGACGATGAGACACTTTTCATCGCCGTGTTGATATCATCGAAGGCCCGAAGAAGCTGTTCTCTGGACTCATCGCGCACCTTCAGAGGGAAGGCAAGCCCATCAAGCGTATATTAGGCAAAATAGTCTATCGTCAGCGAGGTCTTGTTGGCCGTGATACGTTTGTCGTCCATGCCACATGTGCTACATGGCCTGACAAGAAGTTGGTCGTTGAAATCAGCTGGCCGAGCAGCTCGCGGATGTCAAAAAGCATTGCTCGACATCGCCAAGGCAAAAGCCGCCGAGTTGGCTGAGAGGCACTGGGTTCTAGATCACCTTCCGGATATGCTTCATGAGCAAGACTTCGAGTTCGATGAAGTTTCGGCGCAAAAGCTAATCGCAGAAATGATGAAGGACAAGTTCGTCGGTCCAAAAAAGGGCGAATACGAATACGAAGAACGCGTTCTTCGTATTACCGTTTTGGAAGAGCTGCTGCCGATCACAAGTCTTCGGAAGGATAGCGACTATGCGCAGGTCTTTGTCGACATACTCCCATGTACGCTTATATCTTTTCTTTTCCCGTATTTCTTGTTTTGACGCATTAAACTGTAGGTCACAAATGGCTTTACGACCATCCCCGGATACTTCATCGAGATATTAGCATGGCCAATCTCATGTATCAGATCAACAGCATGGGGAATGTCACCGGAGTCCTGAACGACTTTGATCTTTCGTCATTACTTCCTGTCGACAAGACCACGTCCTTCCGTCGTATGGGTACGCCGCCTTACATGGCTCTCGATCTTCTTAAAGCACAGGACGATACCCGGCCACATCTTTATCGACACGATTTGGAGGCACTATTCTGTGTCATGTTGATGATATGCTGTCGCCACTCTATCATCAAGGAACCCCAGCCCCGCGGCACGTCGCAATTGGAGGAGATCCCTACAAAAAGCTTTCCCCGCTGGTTTGACTGCGAAACGTCTTGGGATATGTTGAGCGTGTTCAAGATAGCTTTCTTCAGCAGTGCATCGCGCATTCCTGTATCTGAAAGCTTCGAGGCCTTCCAACCTTGCCTTGAACAGATTCGCTATGCGTTTTCAGAAGGGCTCTAAGCACATGCGAGATCGAGGGAGGAGCCTTTCTTGAGGGTGCACTCGGTACTCGAAGATGAGTTCGATCTCGATGGCCCGGGTACCCGACCGTCCCCCGAGTATGTGCCACCGCAGGCGCCATCGCAAACACCATTTAATGATGAGACCCTAGGTGGATTTATATCATATGGGATGTTCCTCAACAACATGTGGAGATTCAAAGGGAAAGCACTCACTTTGAAGAACAAGGATAAGCCCCCGGCTGTGGTGTCCTCTAGTAGATGATATCGTTAATCCTATCGCCGTACTTGTGACATACGGTTCTTTTTGTATTGGTTACGGTTCATCAGATATAAGTGTGGGATACTGATTATTGTAGTTATCATCTAGATGGACGATCATACAGAGTCTTAGACGCGAGAAGATACAACTTTAACCAGGTTGATGCTATCATCATGACGTGTGCCCCTCTCTTCCCCTTGTCCGTGAATACCTTCCAATTCCCTTTACATGATCCATGTCCTTTATGTTCTGACCCCTTCGTGATATCTCTCCGTTACTGGCAGTGGTTCGTTCAAAGATCATACCAGCGGATTTAACAAAGACTTCAGAGCTGAGGCCTCGCTGAGGTGGAAAGGTGAAATCTAGGTTGTAATTGACGATGAAGGATTCCATCCCCGGCGCAGTAAAGATGATCCTGAGTGACATTTTAATATTCACTGAAACCAGGCTAGAAGAGCGAGGAACGACGGAATGTAAACTTTGTAAAAATCTTTCAACTATGAGACTTGTCTTGGTTGAAGTGGTTTATATACCGGGTGAGTTGGGGGAAGGGCAAGGCGAAGGGATCTGAGGAGTTCATGTCGAGCTCGATATCACAGAGACGTGGCGCCTCACTGAACATGAAATATATATCGTCATTTTTGGAGAGCGTGTTAGTGTCGGTGATACGAAGATTGATCTGCTTGAGGATAGGAAGGCAGCGTTCCGTATTCAGACAATAGAAGAAGATCACTGGTGCATGAAGTTTGAAGGATTTCCATCGGAAAGCCTGCGAGACAACGTCAGTGAGGATGCGAATCGTCGACCTGGTGAAAAAGACGTCTTTTTTTTTTTTATTTAAATTTAAAATATTTTAAATAATAATAAAAATTAATATATAATTATTATTAGTCAAAATTGAGATATATGCGAAGAGGCATACTTCCTGAGCGCCGAAGCTGCTCAAGAAGGACAACTTGTGCCCTTATTTGTGGCTTGACGGAGGATAAGAAAGTGTTGTTGAAAATCACTGTACTCCATAGTGCCTTGGAGGATAATGCGACCGCCTTCCGTTTTTGACAGACCCGTGCAAAGAGCCAAGGTCCGCCAGGATAACCACCAATATCCACCATAGCTCTTGTCTTCGACGCTGCAGATTGCAATTTCTAAGAGAATCTCTGGAGGTAACCGCCGCAAAGGAGAGACGATGTTATGGATCTGCCGAAATCTGGATATGCTAGCACGAGGCAAGGAGCGGTGATCGGAGCAAGGTAAGATTAATTAGAAGTGATGTACGTCGTTAGGGAATATAATGGATTCCGGCGAGGGTTCGTGAGGAGACCTGAGTGGTCCGGTTTGTGAAATAAAGGAAATCAGTAAGCGCGAAGCAATTACTGAGGGAAGTAGCCGGTAAGCGCGAAGCTATTACGGGCCGTGGGTGAAGGCAAGTGCTAAGCGTAACCTTCGGGTTGGTATTGGAAAGCGCTAGGCGTATCCAATGGGTTGTTCAGCAAGCGCTAAGCGTAACTGAGGGTTCACGCAGTGTGAGGGTACTGGAAGTAGTAGATTGATCAAGTATCTCTAATACAATGTTATCTACAAGTTTATATACTAAGGAAAGGTTCGAGTCATTGTTATTCTACAATGTTCTATAATATTCTAGTATCAGTACGAAGAATAGAGAAAGTAACAGAAAGTACGAGCGAGTCAGTATTAAGACCGAGAAGGCCGAGTACGGGCATATGTTGACTCATGCACCGAATCAACGGATACCCAATATCCATAACAGACGAGGGATTGCAGCAAGCGGACCACGGCTTTCTGTGTCCTTTCGGCTCGACTACCTGGCTCAGCAATATCCAGTATTCCTTGTGCTACTTTTAGTTCTTCTCTCGCCTTTGTCTCGATGTATTCGCTGGGTTGGTCGTTGTTGCGGTGACAGATACAAAAAGCGGCCTTGTCGGTCCACAGAAACTTGCCTGGATATCTAATGAATTCAAAATAAGACGGGAAATATATATGCTCTCACATATATGCATTCGTAAGTCCTATAAGAATACTTGAAGGAGCTAGCGAACAAGGTTTGAGATGAGCTAGATAGGGGACACTGTCAGAGTCGGACGTCGTGGGAATGTTGACTTGTTCCGATTATCCGATACTCAGGTAACTTTCATCTACGCTGGCTTCCTCCGGCTTCTGTCAACTTGTCTCGGAGAGAAATACAAGGCTGACTAGAGAAAAAAGACGATGACGCTGAGTGTTGAGCAGCTCTCTCACTTTCTTGCAGTGACTGAGGCTGAAGTATATTTAGAGAACCTTACTAGCTTTACAACGTCGTCAATTTTCACCTTTATCAAGTAGGACACGCATCTATTTCCCCGATCGTTCACTTTCCACTCTTATAGACTGCTCGTATCAAGGTACTTTACACTGTTTCTGAGGGCTGCATCCTATCTCTCTATGTTGAATTTATCATATAGCTAGGAACTGGTTGCGAAGCGTCAGCGTTTATCGGAGATCATGGTTCTCCGTGCTCCTCGCTACCTGCATCTCTATTTACCCTTACGGTGAACAGCAGGCACGCAAGATGGCTCTATTCTCCATCCCGGGATGGTTCGGTTCGTGGGTAGCTTCCAACCCAGAAGTTCAAACGATGATATCAACCGATTACAGTACTCCTTCAGGCAACTCTCCGCCTCGGATCCACTTTCTGAATGCAAAATACGTTTGGTTGGTAAGTGCTAATATTGTGAAGAACCAGGTCTACATCTCTAACAGTGCTCAGAGCTAGTTTCATGCCCTCTACACAAGCCTCTCTGTCGTCAGGTGTCAGTCCAGTTCCATTCATCCTGCGTCCGCTCTTTCAACAGTAGGCCCCGCCCAGACCTTCATAAATCAGATAAATAGTACCGTCTTCCAAGACAATGTTTCTACACGTAATCGCCATATTGCACTTGGTCCTCTACAGAGTACACCGGATTACGCGATTCCTGGAGAACTAGATTTTGATAAGCCCGGGTTCAATCTGCAGAGTGGACCGAGACCCACCTTCACATCATCCCCGATTCTATGGTTATTCATCTAGGTGCCTGCATTCATTGACCCGGTTTCGGCAAGAAATTCTAGGCTTTCCAATGAGGACGTTGTTCACGCCCTGGGGCGGATCACAGGTGTATACTTACCTCCCGCAAGGTAGATGGCTTGGCGTGGCGTGGCGACTCACGCGTTGTACCTGCAAGTCTTTCCTAAGTTTGATGATCCACTCCTTACCGTTGCTGTATCGTCACATTCAATAGCTGGACCTGTTTCAGATGCCTACCACCATTGAAGGAAGGAAGATGAGGCATATCTGTACTAGAAATGGTAAATCCCGGCCTGTCCGCTGCTGACCTTTGTTGCGGTATTGACGCACAACAAAATGTATTCCCAGAAAATATCCGGCCCTCTTTCCTGCCTCTTGGCATGCCATCTCAACAACATATCTGTTTTCAACTGTTGATGAGCCATGCGACCCACCGACTCCCGTGATTAAGGACCATGTTTTCAACGCGCAGAGTAGCATAAGGCGGTCGCAAACACAAGCCTTTCGCGTGCGCATAAATTCGACCACATCCTCAACAATGACAGAATATACATCTTACAGACACTCGTTTCGCCTCCTACTTTCGTTCTTTACATTTATACACCTCACTGCACCATACCATGATGTTCTTCACAAGAATCCTCACCTTCCTTTCCGTCACCGCCCTTCTCACCGCTGCTCTTCCGCTGGTCCCCCGAACCAATGTTGGTGAAGGTGAGAGACTTCGCAAGTGTCCTGACGATTTTGACCCACTCGATCTATATAGGCACTTATTACAATCCGGGACTAGGATCCTGTGGTATAACCAACACCGCGTCGGACATGATTGTAGCCGTCTCGCACTTGCTATACGACTCGTATCCGTACGTCTCTTTTTCCAATGATTTTCCTTCCTACAGCTGATACCGACAAGTGGTGCTACTGCGAACCCCAACCTGTACGAATCTAACTCATAACTTGTTTGACCTCTCTCAACTCACACCGTTGTGTAGGAACCCGATTTGCAACAAGAAATTGGTCGCGACCTGTATGTGATTTTCTCTTCCTCATTCACTGGCACGTCTCGATAATACGTTTCCTGTAGACGGAGGAAAGTCAGTTACCGTTACCGTCACAGACAGATGCATGGGGTGTGCCGGAGTGTATGACCTCGACTTTTCTCCCGCTGCATTCTCGCGGCTTGCCAGCACCAGCGTTGGGCGTATCAATGGAGTAAATTGGGAATGGGTGGCTTAGAGGGACTCCCTTGCATATCTCTCCATATACCATCCAGCCGAATCTGTTGTTGGATTCGATAAGCTTTATACTGCATAGGAGATCGCACTGGCTTGCGAATCTACGTATCTATCGTTAAATACCAAAATTTCTTAGAATTTTAACAAAGAATGAAGAGAGGAGAGTAAACCTGGAAGGTTCTTCCACAAAAGTCAAGAAAATGGCTGTCAACCATGATGTTTCCTCAGTTCGCTCCAAATGATAAGGGTCAATGACATAGTTGATGCTCCATGGACGCAGTGGTTTTCGGTAAGCTGACATGCCCCAATGGACACGATGATGAAGGTCTCCGGAGCGTCCTCGGAGTAAACCACAACTTGTTGAGACCCGTGTTTTAGCACTGCAAGAACGAGAGCTAAAATTGAAAAAATGTTGACTAAAGATAAATCAATTCGCGTGAGTTAGGCACGTAAATAGAAATGTTCGTGGTTCTGCTATTCAACGTCGTAGAGATATGAGAAGAGCATCGCGTCTAAAATAAAATGAAATGAAATTTAAATAAATTCTCAGACCGTGTCAGGATCACGTGATCCAATGCATCAAGAATTTGAAAATTCCAGAATCCATGATTTACATCCCGTTCTTCCTCTTTCCGCTCGTAGTTTCCTATTGCCGTCAACGTCATGAACTCTCAAGCAGCCTTTCTCTGGAACTCTTAGCCAACGAGTATTACATGATAATAGAGGAGCATATATCGGAGATAAATAGAGACATGCGTGACCAATGTAACTTTTGGTGCGTTTCTGCTGTGTCTCGCGCTTCCTCTCACTGATGTTTTTATCGGATATTGGTACAGGATATTAGTATCCGGCATTACGAGACCTCGTCGGGCAGTTGCGTCAAGACTGACGAGGCTGCGACCCCAAGGCATCGCAATGGGAAATCTTACCAAACAATCACCTGGCTCAGCCCCGGTCAGTTCTCCTTCCTTTGTAATGGAGAGACGGGGATAAGGACGAAGGATGGGATGTTGGGATGGATCTCTGTGGTTGTGCGGGATGGTCGTCGTCTCTGAGAATCGGGCCTACTCTTCGTCCTACATCGCCCCCGCCGCATCTATGCATGTCGCATGCCCTCCACCCATTCTTCACCATCCCTCCGCATCCAGGAAAATGCTCTCTATATTGTTTGTTCGACGTTGGAAGGCCATCCGCATTCCATTCGTTCCTTCCGCCTGACGTGCACAGCCATCAACGTCTTCCCGCGCTCAAATGCCACCCACAGGTCGATCCTCAAGCGGAATTTCAGCCACAGCGCCGTAGCCAGACCATCGTCCAAGCCTACGTCGAAAGAGTACCGCCAGCTATTCAATTCTCCAGTTTATCGAGAGAGACGAGGCCTCGATGGGAAGGAACCTGTGGATGCTGATCATATGTCGACAGGAGAGGTCCTCTGGGTGTTGACGTTCATGTGCTTGGACGATGAATCGATGAGGGCCAATACCCTCCACCCGAACACCTTCAGCACGTGTCGGTGTATTCACGAGCTCGTCATCATCAAGCATTTTGTACGACACTGTGAACGATAATGGTAGATGGCCGAAAATAATCACTCAAGGTCACTGGGTCGCTGACTATCATCATTTTGGCTTCAAGCTCTCAATATGGCCTATGATTCCGCATATACGAAGCTCAAAGAGTACTTTGACACAAAGGATGCATACTGCGGTTCATTTGAATATGGAGAATAGGCGTGTCGACGAGCAAGAAAGACTACAGCTCCTCGTCAATACGCCTAAGCAATTGTTCAGACACTACTGGTGAGTGATTTCTGTTGTAATTTCGCTCTACAATTGATGGCTTTCATAGGATCGTTTCAGACGTCTGATGGACCCTTTCTGACGCCTGCCGTAGCGCCCGAACCCGCTTGTACCAACACGGCGACTTTCCAGACAATCAAGTGTCCCAGGAGACCGTCTGTATTTCAACGGAAAGGCTACTAGGTGCTGCATTAACCAACTCTACCGTCACCGTTGTCGTCTTTCGCCTGCTGCTACTCTCAAATCTGCAGTTATCCATTAGTATCCCACAACGACGACGACTTCGATTTTCCGGTACATTCATCACACCTGGGATCCCTTTTCCTTCACCAGCAACAGCAGTGTATACGGGGGAGACTATTGCTACGGTCGTCGTACCGCCGTCGCTGCCATCTCCCTATCAACAAGGTGCGTTCTTCTCTTTCTTCCGTTCATCTCATTTTCAAATGAGTTAAGCCAGGCCTCAGATAGCTGTTCTCTCAACTTCTCCGAATGCACGGTTCATACGTACAACCGCCCTCGTGGCTGCACGGTTCCCGGGCCGTAAAGCCGAACTCGCACATCGTCTGTCTCGTCTTGAACTTCAGCATTAATGGCACTTCCATCTGAGCTCATCTTCTGCATTCTCTTCGAACTATGGTCCACTCAATCAGACAGTTGCGAATACGTCCAAACATTTTCAACCTGCTCTCTTGTATCTAAACAATGGTCTGCCATCATCAAGGAGGTGAACTCCACCCACTTCCTGTCATCCCCTTATCATATAGCAGAGATTATCTACATACCATCCGGTCAATGTCATCACTCGCTAAACCACTACTCTGCCGTGCCATAACATTCAAAGTAGACTATATGCTGAAGCCAGATCTCGTTCGGAATTCAGGATGTCGCCCCTCCATTACAGCTAATAGGGGGATAGAATCCGTGCTTCGAAGTCTATTTCAATGGTCCTAATGCCACCCCCAGACGGTAACTCGCATCTTCGTAGACTATCTCGACGATCCGCAGGTCCACGTCCCCCGCTTCTGGATTCCTCCAGAGACCACCCATCTGACCATTGTATATCATCAGCCGGTGGTGGGTACCCGCCAGCCCCCAAACTGCGCACCACTGTCAATGTGTCCAACCGATCGTTAACCGACGAGTCAGCCAGCTCTGCATCATGGGAGCAACGGCCCTGATAGTGGAGCAACTCTTAACCCCTCTCACCGAATGGAAGTGTCTAGGATCGCTGACTACAGATGTACAACTTGATATTCCCGTTCCCTCTTTCACACGGGCAACATATGATTATCCGGTGCAAGACGTAGGGCCAGAATTCTTGTCTCGTGTCATGTTTGGCGAACGGGAGTTATGGCCTTTTTTGGCCGGCAGTGACGATAGTAAGTCATCATATATCTTCACAATCTGGCTCTGATTTTTTCCAGTCTGGAACGATGGGTATTTTCCCATGTTTGAACAGGTCATCCCTCTGGGCTCTGTAGGATATATTGATCCCTTCTCGAAGAAGTTTGTCACATTGTTCAATGCCATCAATCCAGCGTCTTCAGCAGAACCAAGAATACGTCGGATTCCTTCTATCCTGAAGTGGGGTCGGACAAAAGTTGTCACGGACACAAAATACTCCCCTTCACCAGCATGGGATCATCAATACAAGAAGCCTGGAATCCTTGGCAAGCTTGGAGTTTTGACCAAGGAAACATCGTTCGTGTTTCTTCATTGTGACTATCTATCTGTACCTAACAGAAGCAGAGTGCCTAGTATCCCTCTGAAATTCACCGTCAAACAGAAACTTCATCTCGGGCTCGGACGTGCTATTTCTCGGCAACTTGTAGGAGACAGGCGCGGTTGGTCGCGCAAGCACCGGCAGACGATTACGGATGTGTTCGGAGAACGTCACCCCCATATCCGACAGCACATGCCAGAGATTGGTGGGCCGGGTTTCATGCTACGTATATGAACTGCATGGACTGAGGTGTTTATATTTCAGTTACAGCAACAGTAGACTCCCCACAATATGTTTGGTTTGTGCCTCTTAGGCATACTGTCCAAGCCTACACTATGATTTGTGTAAATGCATTACTCGGTCACCTGATGACTTCAGCACTAACTCTTACACAGTTCTACTTTCAAGTCGACCCTCAGGCTTCTCATAAACCTGGAAACCCTTGGGGGGAGATCAAATCTTGTACGACTTGTACTTATTTCGCCCCAGTTCCACCCTCCTGGGCCCACATCTCCACTGTTGGGCAGTCCCCAATGACTGTACAGATTCGTTGTGAGTATGTCGCATAGGTTGGCTGCGTTCCGACATAGAAATCGATCTGTCCGCATTTTCTTGTTCTTGTACTTTAACTTCTCACCGAATAAAGGCTTTATTTGTTATGTACAGTGCAGTCTGTGTCGCAGTTGTCGTTCTCAGCCACCTCGGTCCGATTCTATGTTACAATGCATGCATATATAGCTCACCAAGTGCATTCATAAAGGGGCCGAAGTATAGCTTTACATCGTTGACACGGAAGACAAAAACAATATCATTTTCAACTCCTGTTGCCGAAAGCAAATCAAAGTCAGACTGCGTGAACATGGAAAGAGGTTGTCTTCTCTCTCGCCCCTTCCCAATCCGTATTTAACACACTCTCGAATGTCACCCTACGAAAGTCATCAGGCATGCTTTCCACATACTCGTTGAATGGTAGAGGCCTCTTGTAGTGATACGGCGTCACAGTCCTCTTCCAACGCCCATCCTCAGGATCCACCAGAAGCCTCCGCAAGTAGCATGTGTCCGGACCTCCCTGGACGACGTGCTCCCATTCCTCATCGCTATACTCAGGATTCCGAATGTTCGCCAGTCCAAAGTCAATGATCACAGGGGACCGATTCCCTTCACGCAGAACGATGTTCTTGGTGTGGACGACATTGTGCAGCAAGCATTTTTCTGCCTCGATGGCACGGAATCCATCCAGCACTGCGCTAGAAATCTTCTCAGCCTCCTGCTCGGAGATGTCAATACTGGGTTTGAGATTCTCCATACTCAAGAACAACTCCTTGGACGACATCAGTGATGGGATGAAGAGGAGGAGTAGACTCGGGGGTAATTTGAAGACGAACGACGCCATAAAGACGGGGAATACACCGGCCTTGCAGCCGATGTAAAAGTCGATACGCAGATAGTTCCGTGTCGTAGCTCGACATCTTCCCAATCCAAGTGCAGACCTCCCACATCCAATCCTCCCAAAGCCTAGTGTCAGGCCGGTTGTCGAAATCGTTTATGAGCTCGAACCAATCAGGTTTCACGCCCGCCTGGATATCATGTATGGTGCGTCGGAGATGGTCATCGATGGACGACGTCCATGGCACTGTATCCACGTCGTCATCGTCGGCTAGCTTTAAAATGAACGGTTGGTTGTCGGGGAGTCGTTGAACTAGAAGGACGACGGCGGAGGTGAAAGGTTCGAAGCGCTTGATCACCGTAGCGGCTAGATCTTTGTAGTCTGCAGATTTGTGAGTTTGAAATTTGAGATCAAGTGTTGTCCCAGGTCGATATAGGTCATCGCCTCTGAAGATAAGGGTGAGGGTGAATTTCTGAATATAGGCTGCTATGCACATACGTTTGTGGCAATGATACTTGCTTTCCCGCCACTGACGACGTCAAACGACGATCGCGTGCTACAGACAGATGAGATGGCTTTGAGATGCCCGTAGCCTACCGAGCCAGAAACTGAAATCGTTGTTTCATCTGTTAGTCGTAAGTTCAAATGGTGCTTGCAGCGATGCCCTTTTATGTGTAGCCGAGTGACAAGCAGCTATGATGGCCCCAAGCGAGTCTAGTCCTTTATTTACAAGCTGAGACGTCTAGCTAAGAAAAGTTGCGAGTTTTGATGCTGTAACCGCTGTGTCTGTGAGAGTGTACTTGTCGTTGATGTCCAACTTTACAGCAACACGTGCCAGTTTTGGTTGCCCTGCCAGTGATGAGAGAGTCACTCCTGTGACCGGCCGGTAAGTCCGGGGTTTATTCAAGGAGGATGTAGCTTGACCGAGTCACCAATCCAACGTGAGGAGAGATACTGAGGTAGTGCTTCCGCTGTGACCGCGCTGCCCCAAAGGTTTGGCGATGCGACTCCTAGGAGGCTTGTTCGATGTTCGCCCGTCCTTACTGTCATGAGCCATGTTCGCGGATAAGGCTCTGGTCACATAGCGAGCACCAATGATGTCGAACTCGATATGTACTGCAGAGGACATGTAGCATGTATTTTATTTGTGCGGTGTTTTGGATATGAATGGGTAGAGCAATACGTGAGCTTCATGACAATTACAAGTAATCATCTCTATCCCTCCGTTGTTTCATTTTATTGAGATCTGCGGAGGGAAAATCTGTCACGAGTTGATTAAAACCAGTACGAGCGACCTTACAATTATATTCACTGGCATCATATGTGCCAAAGTGAAGCCGAAAGCCTTTCTCTCTGAGCGCCGCGTAACGAAAGAGAAGTCCATGTGGTACTAGTATGATGTCGGAACCTTTGATGGAGACTTCTTGTAGTATGTTGCGACTTTCCAGCATGGAAAAGAGCAGGTAGATGCTGAAAGTGAAGGAGAAGGCGTCCAACGTCAAGTTTTCGAGGAGGGGGACCATATCGGACGAGGTTGACAGTGTCATGCACTGAAGAAAGTGCTCCTGTATGTACACATCATATACACTGAGCTGTGTCAGTCGAGGAGACGCCTTCAACACAGGAACGAGATCATCGCTCTCGATATGACATGGATAGGTCCCCCCGAACAAAACAAGTACCGTCAGCGAACAAGACGAGCGGGAAATGAAGCGGGAGAGAAACCCCATGCCGGCTGCTTCTTCATGTTGGCCACAGTAGAGCATAAGAAACTGAAGAGCGGGGGCGGTTATGGTGTTTAGCGGCTGGGATGATCCCAGGACCAAAGAGGTGAGATCGGGAAGCATTGATTGGGAAACACTAGCGGTGGGCAACCACGACAAGAGGATACATTCGCGAAGCCTCGTACACCGCCCGAAAAACTGGCTCTCCAAATCATGGCGGGACCTAACGCCATAATAATCATCCCGGTAGTGCGTAAGCTGCTGCCAGGGCAGGAGAAACGGCATGGGTCTGTCCATCAGGGCATCGACACTGTGGAGCCGCGGGGCTTCAGAAAACACAGGGAGGAGAAAATCAAGGTCCTTCGACGGGTACACGCTGAGGGAGGAACACGCGACGTGCTCCAAAATCGGCACACGCCCTCCAATCTGGCACACACTGCGCCGGTCCGGAGGCGGTCAGGCGCAATGTTTTCTAGCGATGGCAATGTGAGATGAGGACGTTGAGGAGCCCTAGTTGGTCGAGATCGTCAAATTTGGCTCGAATATGGAGAGGTGCGTCCCTGGATCTCTGGAGATATTCAACTAGGATGCTCTCTGATGCGGCAGGCATATCTTCGGGAAATATCATGTCTGTGTCGATGACGACTGTGGTCCAAAGATATTTGGAGGACAACGCTACTGCTCTCCACTTTCTGCAGACGCGACCAAAACACCATAGATCGCTGGTTAAGCTGTGGCACGGCGAGTCTCTTGGGAGAAGAAGTGCAATTTCCCGAAGGATTTCGGGGGGGACGCGTCGTAGAGGTGAGAGGACGGATTTTAGGGATTTGACGGCTGCTTGCTACCGCCTGGTGGTTTTATCATTGATCGTCAAAGTGATGGAGGCGTTGAGCTGTTTTTGAGCTGCGGCTAGCTCTTCCTTCGCTTTGGTTTCAATTATCTCGGAAGGAAAATCATTTGAATGGCGAACACAGAAGGTATCGCTGCTGGTCTCCAGGTATTTGCCTATAAGTAGGTAATGTGAGTAAGGGCAAATTGAACATTATTTTTTTACTTACAGATATGCATTCAACACGTTCCGTTATAATATGATTTCTGTGTTAATGATAATGATGCTGATGAAGATGATGATGGAAGGAAAAAGACGAGCGGTGCCTGCCGAATTCTATTCCTCCCGAGCTTCCACCGTAGCACGTGTCTTCCTCTCCTTTCTACAGTTACGCGTTTATACAGCAAGCAGGCTCAAGTAACTCTCCGTATCATAGCCCTATTACGCGATTCAATCGTTCAGTACAATATATAATCAGGTTCTACATAAGAGTGAATCAAATGCGACACTTTTTTTACTGTCCTTTCAGCTTCTGCTCTTTCACCACAGAGTCGTTCCGTCCTTGAGCACATCCTGCGATCTACTTCATACTCAGAATAGGCAGCACACCACTATCTGGCGGAATAGCTGAGAGACCGAGGAGCATAGCGATGAAAATATCCGTGACTTGATCGTCCTTGTCCACGATATCGAACGCTTCACAGACGAGAATAGCAGACCGGTCGTAGTAGAGTGGCTGGGCCTTCCTTGGCGCTAGAAGCAGCCCATGACAGTGCGAACGAAACATTGAGAGGCCGTCCACGGCATTTCGAGCACACCGCATAGACATCTCCCAGCGTTTGGCGGCGTCTTCGCGTTTCTTGGATAGCTCGACCTCATCAATACCCTCCTCATCCTCTTCCTCATCCTCGTCCTCGGCATCTTGCTTGGTAGCGTCGTCCTTGCGGGCCTGAGCATCTTCTTCCGCGGAAACACCTATGCATTACATGATCGAATGAATGTCAAGTAAGTTGAAGTAACGAGTAAAAGAAAATCTTACCTTTTGGCAGAACGCGATATTCAGCGTCTTTCGCGTCGTCCAACCACCGATCATGAGTGGCAAACTGCAAGAAATGCGGACGAACCGACATCCTTTCCTTCTCAGGCTCAGCTGTCATCTCGAACGCCCGCACAAGCATGGCATCATATAAACGGCCAGGTTGTCCTTCACTGGTGCCACTGGCGACCTTGAGGTACTCGTCGGCGAGGATCTGGAACACAAAGTCGTGGCTAATCACGTCGATCTGGCTTCGTACTGTGGCGTCTGTACGCCATTCATCGGGAAGGCGAAGAATGGTCGACAAGAACGCGTCGGGAGGTATGAAAATACGGCCTTGGAGGTCAGAAGCAAGGTAGGGATCGTCGGGAGTATATTCAGAGTATGGATCCTGTGACTGCTCTGTGGAATCATTGGAGTTCATTGAGGAGGAGCTGCTCGAGTGAGAATCCATTTCTTAGTGATGGTGGTGGTGAGCGATTAAGGTGGGTTGCCTTGGTGCAGACAAAGAAAAGACCTTGACCCTCGTGACTGCTCGGTTTCCGGTCCGTAAACCCAGACACGCAGATCGTCCATTGTCTCTTCTTGACATTGATGGTGCTTCCATTTAAGCTCATTTACTGCATTCACTTCGAACTCTGGTCCACTCCATCTCCCACTTGCGATTACATCCAAACTTTCCCTTGCATTCTGAAGGAGGGCCAAGCAAAGGTGATCACGGTCCCAAAATATTCCCCCCTCACTGGCATGGAATTATGAATATAAAAAGTCTGGCATCCATCGCAAGCTTGGAGCCTAGTCCAAGAGGAGACCTTTTGTGCTTCTTCATTGTGAATATCTATCTGTAAGCTGGCTAGCTTGTGGGATTACTGTTCGTTTCGGAATAGCTTTTTGAGATTAGTACTAGAGCGTAACATCATAAACCCTGCTTTAGCAGCCTGCGATTCATTAGATGGCATCTGCCCATTGCTGAGGTGATTTGAAACTAGGCCCTGGCACCTACCCTATGAGGAAAGATCCAGAGAACGCTAAGTTGTCTGCCGTATTGGTGCAGTCAGATAACATAAGCCTTGCACGAGAATCGAGGAGTGTTCACATGGTGTTGATAACCGAATAATAATTTTATATTGACAACAAAGGGTGTTCTGGTTCCGGGTTTAATAATCGAATTCATCCCGTCGTTCCTGCATCCTCCTGAGATCTGCCAAGAATGTCACGTCGACTGACTGCCAGAAATAAGCATCTACTCACACTGGCGCTCATTGGCATTCTGCGTAGCAAAATAGAGCCGAAAGCCTTTCTCCTGCAAAGTCGCATGACGAACGAGAAGTTGATTAGATAAAGTAACGCCCATGCACTTGATCGATACCTGTTGCAATACTGACCCTTTGCTACAGCGACTTTCTAGCATCGAAAAGAGGAGGTACACATCGAAACACCATACATCCAACGATAGGTCCTCTAGGAGAGGAACAAGGTCCGACGACGAGGCGGACAGTGTCATACTCCGGAGGAAATACATTTGGATATTCACACCATACACATGCAGCTGCATCAATTGGGGAGACGCCTTCAGTACGGGAACTAGCTCGTCGCTCTTAATACGAGATCCAAGAGTCGTACCCCCAAACAAAACGAGAGCTGTAAGGGAGCAAGAGGAGCGGGAAATGAAACGGGAGAGGATGCCTATGTCCAAGGTTCTCTCTTGATGCCCATGATGGATCATTAGGAACTGAAGTGCTGGAGCGGTTACGGCATCCAATGACGCTGATGACGCCAAGGTTAAGGAGTATAGGTCTGGAAGCAAGGTGCGAGAATTGTTCGTGACGGGCGACTGTGATAAAAGAGTGCATTCGCGGAGGTGCAAACACCGATCAAAAAACTGCTCTTCTAGCTTGTGGTGTGACATGAAACCGTGGCGGTTATCATGGTAGTGTGTTAGCTGGTTCCAGGGAAGGAGGAAGGGTATCGGCGCATTCATATTAATGTCGACATGTCGCAGCCGTGGAGCATCGGAAAAGATTGGGAGAAGGATATCAAGGTTCGTGGGGGGTTCGTTCCGGGTAGAGAGACACGCGATGCGTTCTAGAATGGGTAGATGCCCACCAACCTGGCAGAGACCAGGCCAGAGATAGTCGGGAGCTGTGAAAAGAAGTGTCTTCCAGCGATGAGAGTGAGAGACGAGGGTGTTGATCAGCACATGGTCGACAGGTTCATCGTCCACATAATAATTTTCAAATTTGACATGGACACGAAGAGGAAGATCTCCGGACCTCTTCAAGTATTCGACAAGAACACGGTTCGCTGGTTCAGGGCGGACCCCGACACACATCATATCATCAATGGCGACGGTAGTCCAGAGATGCCTGGATAATAGCGCTACGGCTCGCCACTTCCTGCAGACACGGCCAAAACGCCACAGATCACTTTCTATTTCGTGGCAGGGCGAGCCGTCTTGGAAGTAGAGCGCGATTTCGAAGAGAATTTCCGGTGGAACACGTCGTAAAGGTGAGAGAACAGACTTCAGGGAGTTTACTGTGGCCTGTTGCGCTTTGGCTCCCATACTTGATGCATCACAGACCTCCAGCTCTTTCTGAGCTACCGTCAGCTCTTCTCTAGCCTTTGCTTCAACACTCTGGGTAGGAGAATCATTTGAGTGTCGAAAGCAAAAGGTTTCGCTGCTGGTCTCCAAGTACTTGCCTGGAAAAATAAGAGAAGATAGGTAAAAATCACGCTACGTGATAGCATCTACGTACATATATGCATTCGTAGTGCAATTTTCGTAGTCACCCTTTTCGGTAGGGGAGGAAAGTGAGGAAAACGGAGAAGAGCGCTTCCTTCACAGCCACCACGTGGTTTCGTAGAGTCCCCGATTCTTTCCGAGATAAGGAGGAAACGACAGAGGGCCCTACATGGAGGGATAACGACCATCCTCCTGCCAACTCGTCAAATTAGGGGCTAAATTTGTCATGATTTTTACGCAAAATGCGCGTCATAGGCGGGCTCGTGAACGAAAATACTCCACTGATAAGATATAATGTGGGGGCCGTCTCACCAACTCTCTCACGGTGAGTCCGAGCCGCATACTTTCTGGGACATGTTTGTCAGCACGCTCAGTTTCAGCTTTTCACTGTCGTTGGCGTCCGCTCTAGTGCTCCAACCCTTTCACTTTAAAAGGGTTTTAAACCATTTATTTTTCCTTTTGTTTTACATGAGGTGGTAAAGGGTAAAGGAAAGGGTAAACAAACAGTAAAGAGTATGCATGCTGCAGATAATTTAATTCTGAATAACAGCACTTGTATGATGCGGTGAAACTGAGTATTGAACTCGTACCGCGATGATATGGTAACAGTCTGTGTGTATGTCTAGATATGGGCATAACCACCTCAGCTTGAGCTTGGTAGTGTCGGTCCGGGCAGACCCATATTTGTCAGCGCTTTTCAATTTCATGTACTTACAAGCTTTCGGTCATGAGAAGTATAAGTAAGTATAAATTTTGTCACGAATACACATACTAGACTACAGAAACTCAATTCAAGGTAACTCAAGGTCGTTACTGGCCTGCTCTGCGCCAGAGTGCCATATCACGTGATACTTACCCTTTATAAAGAGTTTATAAATAGTTTATAAACCTTTTTGAACCCTTTCCATTTATTTTGCTGGAACTGGCAAAGGAAAAGTAAAGGGTTGGAGCACTAGTCCGCTCTCGCGTGCATAACTGTAGTCTTTTGACTTCAGAAGCACGTTTACTGCTAACATTGTCTCTATTATTGGAATTGGAAAGAATCGGGGACCTGGCGCTTGCGCCGCTACCGACATCTCTTCACGCCGGCCACGGTGGCGTGCACCTACCCCTTGTGCCGGTACTAACCCGCTGTTTTCTCTGGACTAACAAAAATTTCTCGCTTTATTCTCGCCATCTTGCTGACATCATACGCAAAGAGACTTCTCTGTGGAGAAACGCATTTATTTTCTGTGCGGTTCAGCAGTCCTTCTGTTATCAGTGAAACTTGAATTCATTCACATCTAGTAAAGAACTATGCAATGCTGCGCTAAGGACTACGCCCCAGCACCCCAGTTCTATGTTGCGTCCAACTTGCCCCGCCACTCAGCCGGTCCCTGTCTTCACGCTACTTCTATCTCTCCCTTAATGGCCGTATTGTGCAGATCATAGGCACGAATGGAAGAATACCTAGGATACGGGGAAAGTTTCATCGCAGGACAAAGAGAAAGGCTTGGTATCGTGCAAGGCTATGACCCAAGCTGGTGCAGTACTTATGTGAACGCCAGCATGCTCAGAACTTTACCAAATGAATTCCTCAACGACGTGAACATATTGTTAGACATCCTCCTACCGTATGGTGACCTCAGGTTCGGGACGGTCTTTCTGGCAAAGGATATCTCAGTCCGTCTGAGCCAACTCTGCGACAGCCAAAATGATATTGCCGATTTCTCGCACGGAACGCATCGAGAAGCAGTTCCAGTCCCATGGATTTAATGTCAAAATGATGCTGACATGCCCTAGCTGACGGCTTGTAGTCTTGTACACTTTACCGGATGTTAGCTTAATAGACCAAGCATTCCCAAAAGGATTCACTTACATATGTTCTTTCATTTCTGCGGGAACTTTTGCCATGTATTTCGCCGTTCAATTTAACTCCCCATGTCGCTTTTGCCAAATATTGTGATTTGAATGCAGTTGCACTCCAGCTGTTAGGCTGTTAGTCACTAGGTAGACAAACTCACGAGGAGCTTCCCTTGCCTATGCTCTGTATTTATACTATTTACAACTAAATCTAGTACTTTCTCCCCATTTCCTCCGGATTCCATCTTACTAAGCATGCCGAGACATGCCGTATCACCGGAATATCACAACACCAAAGATGTAACAATTTTTGCTATTCACTTCGTTTGAGTATGCCTTTGCGATTTCTGACAGCTAGGACCAAAATTATCAAAAATTATTCAAATGTACTTCATGAACGCGACGCGTCGCACCACGTGACGTTGCATTCCGAGTCGGAGGACGTCGATCGTCGATCGAAAGTTCTTCCTCCACACCATTTTCTACCTTCTCGTTACCGTGTTACTGGCAGCACAGGGAGCGGCGCTGACTGTATCGCTCTGTCCAATCGCTGCATCGAATGCGTTCTATTTTCAGACACTCGCCGACACCGTGGCCGGATTTCTCACTCTTTCAAATTCGGGAACGGTCCTCGCAGTTTTCTTCCCCCCCCTTAAACAGGTCAGTGAAATCTTTAATCCTCGATTGTACAGAGGATCATCGAACTTTCCGACACGTTAGTGCTACCCAGCTGCTTTCTTCAACAGGTATCGAGTCGGCTAATGGATGACCACCACTCCACGTCCAATGGTGGTCCTGCGAATGTTCATACGTTTGAAGGTAAACGGCTCGGAAGAATTGTAGTTGACCGAGGCGGCTGTAGTGGAAGTATAATGATACTCGTCATCATGACCTGTTTCCTACCGACTTACCGACTCGGACAATATGCTTTCGTCATCACCATCACTCACTAGCTCCCTTGCTGAATGAACTCGAAGTTTTCAAATTTCCGCCTCGAGACTTCCATGTCACCTAGTAAGGGAACTTTTTGGATCTATTCTAATTTTGACTTCTTGTCCGACTCGGGAGATGAGTTATTTTTGGTCTCGTGGACGGGGACATGTGGACGTCAACCGTTGACGTCGTCTTGAAGATAAAAGCATCGTAGTTCGAGTACACCAGGACACAACCACTCAGCTTTCCATTCATCTCCAACAGTCTCAACAGCTATGACGGACACCGTTCTCATCGTTCGTTGCTCCATTGTTCGCTTTGTACACCTATGCTGATGCGCTTTCAGGTTGGCGCAGGACCTTCAGGTCTCGTACTTGCTCTTTCTCTGATAAAGAATGGCATACCCGTACGAATTATCGACAAAGAACGTTCAAATTACAAAGTCGGTCAAAAAGGCTCTGGCGTCCATGTACGTGGCGCAGTTTCCCATTCCTTAAGGTGACCAAGTAAACATTTCTTTTTACCAGCCGCGAACCATGGAGGTATACAAACTCCTAGGTGTTCTTCCCGATATTCTAGAGCAGTCTGGGAAGTCACATCCTCTCATAATGTACGAGCCGGATGGCGTCAGCATCAGAGTACGAATGCCAATGTCCGAAGAGTTGGAGAGTACTCCCGATCGTCCTATCGTCAGTTTCCTCGATGAATTTTGTTAACGAGCCTGATCTCATCATGCGTTATTCAGATTAATCCTATTCTCATCGGTCAGGACGCGCACGAAGAAGTGCTGCGCAACTATCTTGCAAAGTTCGGCTGCGTGGTCGAAACCGGGACAGAGTTAGTCTCGTTTGAACAGAGTCCCGACCATGTCACTGCCCATCTATTGAAATGGAACGACGCCAATGAGCAGGTTCCTGAGACTGCTGAGGTCGCCTGGCTCATTGGCACAGATGGCGGGAAGAGTACCGTGCGTAAACAACTGGGCCTCACGTTTATGGGAGAGACAAAGTCGGCGGAGCGATGGGTTATAGGCGACATTCAAATCATCAACTCACCATTAGACCAATCCGTAAGTTGCTTCTTATTACATGCATCCATTTGACGAACGATGTGCAGTCGTGGCATGTATGGGGAGATGCTTCTAGCCGAACGTATGATGCCATTACCTCTACCTGAGATTTATGCACTCAATGTACTTCCCACAGGGTATCTCTGCGACCGTACTTGAAACCGGGAGACGACAGGTACTACGTTATCGCTGCGGGTCCTGAGCTCAATCGCGAAAGAATGGCTTCCGGCCGTGAAGGCTTTATCCAGGAGTTCCGTGAAATCTCCAAGCGCAACGATATCAACTTTGGCCAGGTGATCTTCCTTTCCCAGTTCCAGTGCGTCCCTTCAAATTGATATTGAATATTCCTAATCTTATTTCATATTGTTTTAGAGTTAACGTCCGAATGGTGAACAAATTCGGAGTAGGACGGGTATTTGTTGCTGGAGGTACGTTCTCACTTCGTCGTCTTTCTGTGTTGCGGTTCTGATAGCGATTGTAAATTTAGATGCCGCGCATGTTCATAGTCCTACCGGCGGCCAGGTTCGTATTTTGCTATTATATCCGAAGACTTGCTAATAATACATTCATCAGGGTATCAATACCGGCGTATTAGACGCAGTGAGTCCTCATCTCGATGAGATCCACAACTTTTCTCACGCCGTCATCAGAACAACCTCGCATGGAAACTCGCCCTCGTACACAAACACCTCGCTCCACCCTCCCTCCTCGAGACATACAATGCCGAACGGCTCCCCGTCGTCGCTGCCATGCTCGAATGCACCACCGAGCTCTTCAACAAGACCTTCAAACCCGCCGACGACAACCACACCGGGTGGTTCCGGGGTTACATCCTCCGCCAGTTCGGCGTCACCTACCGCGGGAGCCCAATCGTCGTCGATGAGACGAACCCAGGAGATGAGGCGGTCGACCCGTATAGGTCTGGCCTCGATGGACGCGTCCAGGGTGGGGACAGGGCCCCTGAGGCGCCGGGATTGGTGAGCGCCGACGGAGGTAAGGTTGCGCTATTTGACAGGTTTGGGCCTGCGCATCATACTGTGTTCGTGTTTTCGGATGATGTGAAGATGCGTGTGGACGTTCTCGATAGGCTGAAGTCATATTCGTCGGCCCTGGTGAAGCCTATCATCATTCTGCCGAAGAATTCTGCTGTTAAAGCGGAGGGTGATATATTGAAGGACGAGGAGGGGTATGCTTTCAAGCACTACAATATCGAGAAAGGTACGAGTCTTGTGGTGGTCGTTCGACCTGATGGAGTTGTTGGGGCGCGTCTGAATACTGCGGAAGGACTGAGGCTTTACTTCGAGCCAATTTTCTTGTAAGGGCCAAGAAGGCTGACATGGACACTGACATTTCTGTATCCATTTATTCCAAATCTTATCTTCATTGTATTGTATTTACAGCTACCAATGTGTCATCATAAAAAAGCGCTGCTTATCTTCGTGAAAGTGTCATCCTTATAGAAATACACAAGCCCAGGAAACGGACTAGAAATTACCTATGTTATTGCTATGTGCCAAAATGCGATTGCGACGTGACTGTGTGTGTGAGTGCAAGGATGCCCACTCTAAGGTAAGGCTAATAATTCCTGGAGCTGTTAATAACATGTTATTTAACATTGAGTTGCGAGAAGGTATTTATTCACTAGGTTATCAACAGTTAATAAATATTTTGCGAAATAATGTTAATACTTAGCTGCGAAAAAGGCATTTTCTAGCGAATTAATAACAAAATGTTGGTTAAAATTACCCAAGCAGCGGTGATGAACATTAGCGAGTCCCTCTCAACGCTGTTTGAGAGTTCATGAAAGTGACGGCGATGCGAAACAACGAGTAGGAAGACGGGGATGGAAATTTCAAATTCTTAGTGCATCTTGATCACATGATTTCGACGCGGTGCAATTTGAATTTCCTTCCGGGCCATCTTCGACGCGATGCTCTCCTCAAATCCTCATATCTCTCCACTGATCTCAACGCTAGTAGATGGATGTACGTGCGACTTTAAATAATTACGTGGAAGAATCACTTACACTGTATCCTTACTGGGGTTCTAGGCTTATTTTCGTGGATAGGATTTACAACTTGAATTTAACAGCTCGTGAGTAACAGAGGCGGGGCGGCTAATATCATCCAGCCGTGAAGCTTTCAAGGAAGGCGTCACTCCTCACAATGCTTCAGGCCTATAGGGAGATGCGATCTCAGCGAAAGCCGTCCGGAATTATTAGACGTAGGGTTGGTAGTAGACGACTCCGGACCTCAAGAGTCGATTCAAATCCAAAGAAATGCCATCCACCTAGTCTGTCCGCATCCTGTTTTACTATGTAGTAGTCTTTTCGGGCAAACATTCGTATTCCACGGAAATATGAATGTATCTGGAGGTTCAAATACTGCCTTCCCGTTCTTGCTCCTACCATTTTATCTTTCCTTGATAACAGGCGGTCTCCAGCCATGGTTACTTTTATGAGACCTATGAGAACACAGGAAAGAGTTAGCGAACAAAGTTTTCGAATGAGCATAATGGGATAAGTGATACTGGCAGAGGCGGCGCCGTGGGAATATTTGACCTCGGCAGGCCGTCCCGATATTCCGCAGCTATTCTTTGACCAAGGCCCAATGTTTAACGTTCAACGTTAACACTGGGCTTCCACCAGTCTAATTATCTTGTGGAGGATTACGGCGTCGTGTCGATAAGATGATACAGAATGCTCTAATCCATCAGCTGTGTGCTTCCCTCACTTTCCCCGCCACGACACAGGCTCCAAACGACCTTCAATCCTAACATCGTCGTAAAGCAAGAAACGTCTATCGTCCCTATAGTCCACCTACATTTGTGGTCTCGACTGCTCGTATAAATGAACTGTGTGCAGCATTCCATCTACATGTCGGATTCAGCATAGTACAGGCAGGAGTGGATTGTAAAATTTCAGACCCTGTTTTCTTGTATGTTCCTCAGGCTCACTTTTCGTCTCCCTCCGTGTCCTTACGTTTGACAGTACATCCTTTCTGTAGTCTAAAGGAGCCATCTCAATGCCTCAAGCTCATCGAAATGAAATCTGCTTTCAGTCAGCAAGAATGTTCCGGACCTCAGAAGCGCAAATGTAGTCTCAAGCGCGGGAGTCATGATGCGTTGATGGAAAGGAGTGATAAGAGCGAAGGGGCCCAAATCGTGTCCGATGTGTGGGCGTTACGCGATAGAGCTGCTGTCGAAACCTGCTACCTTCTTTGCATGTAAGTATCCTGCCTTCAGTCACCTTGTTACGATAGCTTATCAGCTGTCCTGTCACAAGAAAATGACCCCAAGGACGCTCCGGAGACCTTCATCGTCGTGCACATGGGACAGCATCAACTCATCGAAAACCACTGCATTGTCGGAGCATTGACCACGGGAGGGCACGCTTTTGAGGTCAGTAGATTAGCGTTGAACAAGGCCCTCATCGTATTGGCTTTCTCAATCCGGACTGGTGGTCAATCGCAACAGGCCAAATGGATATCATCTGTCAGAGACCGATTTATGGAGGCGAAAGCGAAAATAGTGACTGGGTCGTTGACTATCATCATTTTAGCTTCAAGCTCTTGATATGGCCTTCGATTCCGCATATACGAAGCTCAAGGAATACCTTGACACAAAGGATGCATTTGAATATGGAGAATAGGCGTGTCGTCGAGCAAGAAAGACTACAACTCCTCGTCAGTATACCATGGGTGAGTAATTTCTGTTGTGATTTCGCTCTACAATTGACGGCTTTCATAGGATTGTTTAGGCGCACCCCTGAGCGAACCAAGACGAATCTCCAGACGTCTGAGGGTCCCTTACTGATGCTTGCGACGCCTGCTGTTACCCACCCACGGCCTCTTCACCTGCCGTAGCGCCCCCGCCCGTCCCGGAGACCGTCTGTATTTCAACGGAAAGGCTACCAGGTGCTGCATCAACCAGCTCTACCGTCACCATTGTCGTCGTTTGCCCGCTGCCACCCTCAAATCCGCGATTATTCACCAGTATCCCACAACGACGACTTTGATTTTCCGGTGCATTCACCACACCAGAGATCACTTTCCCTTCACTAGCAACAGCAGTGTATACGGGGGAGACTATTGCTAGGGTCGTCGTGCCGCCGTCGCTGCCATCTCCATATTCACAAGGTGTGTTCTTCTCTTTCCTCCGTTCATCTCATTTTCAAATGAGTTAAGCCAGCTGGAAGTGATGCTGAAACTTGAATAAAATAGCTATGACCCCACTCGCTGAAAAGTCCCCCCTTGGAATTTAACCTACAAGAGCAAACGGCTCCGCATCAACGTACGTTTCTACCGCTGCGAATGTAGTTCGTGTTTCTAATCCAAGCTCTCTTTTAGTAATGCCGTCGTTCTCAAGGCTCTTGGCCTCAGGCAGCTGTTCTCTCAACTTTTCCGAAAAACAAAACACACTTCATACAGACAAATGCTTTCGTGTTGCTAGTTTCAAACGAGGCCAGAGGAGACCGCGTTAACTCTGTACCGAGGACGATACATACTTAAGTTCTACATACGAAGAACTCGACTGAACGCAACACGATCCTTTGTCGTCCTTTCAACTTCTTCTCTTCTCTTTCACCGCAGGGTCGTTCCAACACGAGCACATTCCCCTACTGCACCTGCAGAAAAGGCAGCACACCACTGTTTGGCGGAATAGCTGAGAACCCGATGAGCATGGCAACGAAAATATCCGTGACTTGATCGTCCTTGTCCAACGCTTCGCCGATGATGATACCAGACCGGTCGTAGTAGAGTGGCTGGGCCTTCTTTGGTGCTAGGAATAGCCCAAGACAGTGTGAACGAAACGTCTACGGCATTTCGAGCATACCATAGACATTTCCCAGCGTTTGGCGACGCTTTTGGATTTCTCATCATCATCTATATCCTCCTCATCCTCGGCCTCTTCCTTGGTGGCGTCGTCCGCACCTCCGACCTTGAGTACCTTCTGCGGGAGCACCTATGTATTGCAAGTCAGGTCATCTTACATCTCGGAATGAGTAAAAGAAAATCTTTACCTTTTGGCAAAACACGATATTTAGTGCCTCGCGCGTCGTCCAACCTTTCATCCCGAGTGGCAAACTGCAAGAAATACGGACGAACCGGCATCCCTTGCTTCTCAACCTCAGCTGTCAGCTGGAACACTCGTACAAGCATGGCATCATATTGCCCTTCACTGATGCCACCGGAGACCTTGATGTACTCGTTGACGAGAATCTGGAACACAAAGTCGCGGCTAATCGCGTCGATCTGGCTTCGTACTGTGGTGTATGTATGCCATTTATCGGGAAGGCGAAGAAGGCTCGACAGGAACGCGTTGGGCATGGTAGTGGGCAATTAATGTCTGTTGCCTTTGGTGTTGGTGTTGGTGCAAAGAAAAGACCTTGACCTCATGGCTGCACGGCTCCCGGGCCGTAAACCCGAACTCGCAGATCGTCTGTCTGAGTCTCGTCTTGAACTTCAGCATGCAATGGCACTTCCATCTGAGCTCATCTCCTGCATTCTCTTCGAACTGTGGTCCACTCAATCCTCCACTTCCGAATACGTCCAAACATTCTCAACCTGCTCTCTTGTATCTAAACAATGGTCTGCCATCATCAAGGAGGTGAACTCCACGCATTCCGTCATCCCCTTTTCATATAGCGGAGATTATCTACATACTATCCGGTCAATGTCATCACTCGCTAAACCACTGCTCTGCCGTGCCATAACATTCAAAGTAGACTATATGCTAAAGCCAAATGATTCAAGATGTGACCCCTCCATTACAGCTAATAGGGGGATAGAAATCGTGCTTCGAAGTTTATTCAATGGTCCTAATCCACCCCCAGATGGTACTCGCATCTTCGTAGACTATCTCGATGATCCTCGAGTTCATGTCCCCCGCTTCTGGATTCCTCCAGAGACCACCCATCTGACCATTGTATATCATCGCCGGTGGTGGGTACCCGCCGGCCCCCAAACTGCGCACGACTGTCAATGTGTCCGACCCATCTTTAACCAACAAGTCAGCCAGCTCTGCATTATGGGAGCCACGGCTATGATAGTGGAGCGACTCTTAACCCCTCTCACCGAATGGAAGTGTCTAGGATCGCTGACTACAGATGTACAACTTGATATTCCTGTTCCCTCTTTCACACAGCGGGTAACGTATGATTATCCGGTGCAAGACGTAGGGCCAGAATTCTTGTCTCGTGTCATGTTTGGCGAACGGGGGTCATGGCCATTTTTGATGGGAAGGGACGATAGTATGCCATCATATACGTTTACAATTTGGCTCTGATTTTTCACTGGCAGTATGGAACCACGGGTATTCTCCCATGTTTGAACAGGTCATTCCTCTGGGCTCTGTGGGATATATTGATCCGTTCTCGAAGAAGTTTGTTATATTGTTCAATGCCATCGATCCAGCGTCTTCAACGGAACCAAGAATACGTCGGATTCCTTCTATCCTGAAGTGGGGTCGGACAAAAGTTGTCACGGACACAAAATACTCCCCTTCCCCAGCATGGGATCATGAATACAAGAAGCCTGGAATCCTTGGCAAGCTTGGAGTTTTGACCAAGGAAAGACCGTTCGTGTTTCTTCATTGTGAATATCTATCTGTACCTAATAGAAGCAGAGTGCCTAGTATCCCTCTGAAATTCAGTGTAAAACAGAGACTTCATCTCGGGCTCGGACGTGCTATTTCTCGGCAACTTGTAGGAGACAGGCGCGGTTGGTCGCGCAAACACCGGCAGACGATTACGGATGTGTTCGGAGAACGTCATCCCCATATCCGACAGCACATGCCAGAGATTGGTGGGCCAGGTTTCATGCTATGCATGTGAATCGTATGGACTGAGATGTGTTTATATTCCAGTTACAGCAACAGTAGACTCCTCGCAATATGTTTGGTTTGTGCCTCTTGGGCATACTATCCACAATGACACGGTAATTTGTGTAAATACTCAGTCACCTGATCACTTCACCACTAACTCTTACAGTGTACACAGTTCTACTTTCAAGTCGATCCCCAGGCTTCTCATAAGCCTGGAAACCCTTGGGGAGAGATCAAATCTTATAGGATTTGTACTCTTTTACCCTCAGTTCCATTCTCCTGGGGCCATATCTCCACTGTCGGGCAGTCCCCAATGACTGTACAGATTCGTTGTAATTATATCGCGTACTAGGTTGACTGCGTTTCAATGTAGGAAGCCGATCTGTCCGTATTTTCTTGTTCTTGTACTTTAACCTCCCACCGAATAAAGACTCTATTTGTTATGTACAATGCAGTCTGTATCGCAAATGTCGTTCTCATGCCCCTCGTTCGGATTCCGTGTTGCAATGCATGCATATATACCTCACCAACTCCGTTCATAAAGGGGCCGAATTATAGCTTTACATCATTACTCTTGCCATTCACTTCGTTTGATGGTTTTGCGATTTCTGACAGTTAGGACCAATATTATCCAAATGCACTTCATGAACGCGACGCGTCGCACCACGTGACGTTGCTGTCGAGTCGGAGGAAATCGATCATCGATCGAAAGATCTTCCTTCACACCATTTTCCATCTTCTCGTTACCGTGTTACTGACAGTACAGGGAGGGGTGCTTAATGAATCGCTCTGTCCAAGCGCTTGCATCGAATGTATTCTATTTACAGACACTCGCCGACCCCGTGGCTGGATTTCTCATTGTGTCAATCGTCCTCGCAGTTTTCCTCGTCCCTCTCTAATCCTTAAACAGGCCAGCCAAGCCTTTGATCCTTGACTGTATAGAGGAGTATCGACTTTTCCAACACGCTGGTGCTACCCAACCGCTTCCTTCTCAATGAGGTACGTCGGTTAATGGATGTCCACCATTGCACGCCCAATAGTGGCCCTGTGAACTGTTTGCTACACCTGAGGGTAAACGGCTCGGCTGAATTGCAGTTCACCGAGGCGGCTGTTGTGGAAGCATAACAATACTCGTCATCACGACCTATATCCTACTGACTTACCGACTCGGACATACTTTCGTTGACACCATCACCCACTAGCTCCCTTGCTGATTGAATTCGAAGGTTTCAAACTTCCGCCTCCAGACTTCGATATCGCCCAGTAAGGGAACTTTTCGTATTTATTCTAATTTTGAGACTCGGGAGACCGAGTTATCTTAGTCTCGTGGACGGGGACATGTGGACATCAAATGTTGACGTCGTCTTGAAGATAAAAGCATCGTAGTTTGAGTACACCAGGACATAACCACTCAACTTTCCATTCTTCTCCAACAGTCTCAACTGCTATGACAGACACCGTTCTCATCGTTCGTTGCTTCATTATTCACTTTGTACACAGATACTGACGCGCTTTCAGGTTGGCGCAGGACCTTCAGGTCTCGTACTTGCTCTTTCTCGGATAAAGAATGGCATACCCGTACGAATTATCGACAAAGAACGTTCAAATTACAGAGTCGGTCAAAAGGGTTCTAGCGTCCATGTACGTTGCGCAGTTTTTCATACCTAAAGGCGATCGATTAAACATTTATTTTTTAACCAGCCACGAACGATGGAGGTATACAAATTCCTAGGTGTTCTTCCCGAGATTGTAGAGGAGTCTGGGAAGTCGCATCCTCTCATAATGTATGAGCCAGATGGTGTTAACATCAGACTACGAATGCCAATGTCCGAGGAGTTGGAGAGTACTCCCGATCGTCCTATCGTCAGTTTCCTCGATGAATTTTGTTAACGAGCTTGATCTCATCATGCCTTGTCCAGATTAATCCTATTCTCATTGGTCAGGACACGCACGAAGAAGTGCTGCGTAACTATCTTGCAAAGTTCGGCTGCGTCGTCGAAACCGGGACAGAGCTAGTGTCGTTCAAACAGAGTCCCGACCGTATCACTGCCCATCTCTTGAAATGGAACGAAGCCAATGAGCAGGTTCCTGAGACTGCTGAGCGCCTGGCTCATTGGCACAGATGGCGGGAAGAGTATCGTACGAAAACAACTGGGCCTCACGTTTATGGGAGAGACAAAGTCGGCGGAGCGATGGGTTATAGGCGACATTCAAATCATCAACTCACCATTAGACCAATCCGTAAGTTGCTTCTTATTGCATGCATGCATTTGACGAACGATGTGCAGTCGTGGCATGTATGGGGAGATGCTTCTAGCCGACCGTATGATGCCCTTACCTCTACTTGAGATTTACCCACTCAATGTACTTCCCACAGGGTATCTCTGCGACCGTACTTGAAGCCGGGAGACGACAGGTGCTATGTTATCGCCGCGGGTCCTGAACTCGATTGCAAAAGAATGGCATCTGGCCGTGAAGGCTTTGCCCAAGAGTTCCGTGAAATCACCAAGCGCAACGATATCAACTTTGGCCAGGTGATCTTCCTTTCCCAGTTCCAGTACGCCCCTTCAAATTGATCTTGAATATTCCTAATCTTATTTCATATTGCTTTAGAGTTAATGTCCGGATGGTGAACAAATTCGGAGTGGGACGAGTGTTTGTTGCTGGAGGTATGTTCTCACTTTGGTGCTTTGGCTCTGATACTGACTGTAAATTAGATGCCGCACATGTTCAGTCCTACCGGCGGCCAGGTTCGTATTTTGCTATTGTATCCGAAGCCCTGCTAATAATACATTCATCAGGGTATCAATACCGGCATATTAGACGCAGTGAGTAGTATTTATCTCAGTGAGATCTACAACTTTTTCTCACAACGTCATCAGAACAACCTCGCATGGAAACTCACCCTCGTACACAAACACCTCGCCCCACCCTCCCTCCTCGAGACATACAATGCCGAGCAGCTCCCCGTCGTCGCTGCCATGCTCGAATGCACCACCGAACTCTTCAACAAGACCTTCAAACCCGCCGAAGACAACCATACCGGGTGGTTCCGGGGTTACATCCTCCGCCAGTTTGGCGTCACCTACCGCGGGAGCCCGATCGTCGTCGATGAGACGAACCCAGGAGATGAGGCGGTCGACCCGTATAGGTCTGGCCTCGATGGACGCGTTCAGGGTGGGGACAGGGCCCCTGAGGCGCCGGGGTTGGTGAGTGCCGACGGAGGTAAGGTTGCGCTATTTGACAGGTTTGGGCCTGCGCACCATACTGTTCTCGTGTTTTCGGATGATGTGAAGATGCATGTGGACGTTCTCGATAGGCTGAAATCATATTCGTCGGCCCTAGTGAAGCCTATCATCATTCTGCCGAGGAACTCTGCTGTTAAAGCGGAGGGTGGTATGTTGAAGGACGAGGAGGGGTATGCCTTCAAGCACTACAATATCGAGGAAGGAACGAGTCTTGTGGTGGTCGTTCGACCTGATGGAGCGGTTGGGGCGCGTCTGAATACTGCGGAGGGACTGAAGCCTTACTTCGAGCCTATTTTCTTGTAGGGGCCAAGAAGGCTGATATGGACACTCTGACATTTCTGTATTCGTATATTCCAAATTTTATCCCCATTGCATTGTATTTACAGCTACTAATGTGTCATAATAAGAAAAATCTGCTTATCTTCATGAAAGTGTCATCCTTATAGAAATACACTAGCCTAGGAAACGGACTACAGATTACCTACGTTATTGCTATGTGCCAAAATGCGATTGCGACGTGTGTGTGTGTGGTGTATGTGTATCTGAGTGCGAGGATGCCCACTCGACATTGAGGCGCCAGTAACCGCGGATACAGAATAGAAGAAGAATTTAGCTTTTAGACATCGACACGAAATATCCCCTAGTTGAGCAACCTGAGCTTCGCTAGTGTGGAATTAAGGAAACATGCAGTCTTGGTGACCGTTGGCTGCTGTTGGTTCGGTTCCGGTGTTTCAAATTCGTGACGGAATGATCGCTACCACGTGATCGTGGAAGAGTCAGAGTGATGATGGAACGAGTCCTTGGCTTGTCCTTGGCATTCCAAGTCTTGAGTATCAAATCCCGCGGCCTTAGTCTAGAAGGGTCCCAATGGTTTCCCTCCTTTTTAGTGCCTTTATAACACATTCCCACAGGAGACTGGCAGAATTGAAGCTCGGCCACTGGTGCGAAAGCCGACATGACGGCAAGTTTGTTCTATCCAAGTTCTATCTCCAAAAACTTCCAGGCGCCTTCCTTGCTATGGAAGGCAGGTTCTCGCGATCCCCGTGTCCTCGTTATGGTACTATTTCAGAGCCTGAAGAGTCGAAGTAACCGAATTCTCTGCTGGGTAGTAAGTATCTCATCGGGGTCGGGTGTCAGCCCGATATACGATGTCCTAGTGCAGACTTTCCTTCCCTTTTGCCGCGCACATCTAGGTACTGCGCCCTATCTGATGAACATCAACAACGATTCCGTATCATGACTGAATCAAAGCATGATTCTTTCATTTCTGGGAAATGGATCTCATCTTTACATTCAGTTTTGCTATTACTTTTGATAGATTCAACTTCACGTCTCTCACACTGACCATTTTCTGACAGATCTGCTTTCTACCTTAGCAACTGGTACATGCATACTCTATATAGGTCCTTTGCGGATCGTAACTTGGCTAGCTATATGTCGCAGCCGAAGTGCTTTCAAATCGGAAGGTGGACTGTTTTGGCTCTGAACTCCTACGCACCGGTGACGTTCGTCTTGGCTTGGCCTCGCGGTCGCACTAATGCTGGTCACGAGGTAGAGGCACTTGCCCCATGCGTTCCCGTTGCATTTCCGAAACTAGCTCTCGTTGGCTCAACGAACATCTCAACCTTTTACACTGTGGCGCGATTCAATCGTGAGTGTTCCCTTCCAGTCAGATATAATACTGAAGTGGCGTTCATGTGCCATAGACCTATTGTCTTTTGAAGGAGAAGGCGAGCATACCGCGGCTCTCGTCCCATGGACGTCGTACTCATTCGGCGTGGCGTCCTTCTGGGCCGCTTTAATATTCCGTAAACATCAAAACCGATTTCTGACTAGACTGCCATTTAACCGTATGCCTTGACATACGACTCATCGTTCACATACCCCGCTAAACTCCGCATTCATGACTCTCAATATCCCCAGGCATTGTTTTTTCATGCGTAAGTGGCCACTAATTATAAGTCAAGCTTGCTTCGAATTCCTCGGCGTTTAGCTCCACGCTTGACGTGGGTGAAACCTGATACAGGTGCTCACCCAGGAGATGAGACTGAACTGAGATATTTTCACTGAGAGAAACAGAATTGGCTCCCGACCGATTTCTGCAGGACCTCCGGCCATTGGAAACTAAGAGATATGACGACCAAATTTTTCCGATACCTACTACGGTATGTTGATACCGAAATTTCGCAGCAAGTCAAGTCTCAGGTCAGTCTCAGAAGTGGCTCGCTGGTCTGTATTATTGAGCGCAAAAGCAAGCATTCAGTCCCCCACCACATTAATGTCTCAAGGCCGACAGTACCGCATAGTGACTCGCTTCTTGTTAGCGAGAATGAGAGTCTTCTGGGGACACAGAAGCCTTTTTACTATCTCTGTAGAGGCTCTGAAACGCTGTCTTTCCTTCAGACTTTTCGGAGAGACGGGGCCCGGACGGCACGCAGTAATGGCGCGTGGAGGCGCAGCTCAGGCGCACCAAGTCGGCCTTTCTAATCCCGCCGAGCCCCGGAATTTCGGTATTGGTTCCCTTCCATTCATTGTATTTTCCTTCCGGAATATAGACAGTTTGAATAAATCATGGACTTCTTTCATATTCTGGGTCGTTGTAGTGGAGAAAAGAAGATTTTTGTCCCAATTTGGACGGGCAATTTTCGGGGATCTGGCCGAAAAAGGAGCGCATAATCATCGGGGTCCTGGTATTACGGCTCTGGCACTGACGTTCACCATGCTTGCTGCCATCGCCTATTAAATTCGACGGGGAGGTCCGGGCCCTTATTTGCCTTCATTCCCTCTCTTGCCGACTGACTTGAAAACGACAGAGCAATTGAATTGCTCTGTCCTACTGTCTCTACTTTTCTCTTTTTCTTTTTCTTCTTCTTTCCTTTACGACAATTCCTCGCAGTCCTGTATTTGATCGGTTCGAGACCTTTACTTGATGGAAAATGTGTCGCACCGAGCCTGGGGTCGACCTTCTGTCTCACAGATCCAGGATTCACCCTCCAAGACAACTCACTCGAGACTTACGAAGCAACTACGACGACAACAGCAGGCAATGGGCACGGAGTACGTTGCATTTTCCTTGTATTACGGCTAGGTATTGACAACGGGAGATATAGATCTACATACATACCGCTGGACGTAACAATTGATGTTACTCCCATCTCAGTGGCCACTGGAGCTCACCTTTCGTCTTTCACCGAGACCGTTTTGGCTACGAGGAGACCATATCGCATGATGAGGCAACGTCCAGAGGCTCTGAATCCGACTTGGCAAGAATGCAACGTGCTCGGGCGACAGGAAACGACAGTGACAAGGTACACAGATTTGTCGTGCTGGAGTACTGTCATTGACTTGGACGCAGTGAATCCACGTGGATTAGCATCACCGTATTCCCCACGTCGGCGACGACGGCTGATACCACGAGCGATGTGACGTCGACAACGACGACTTCATCGTGGACGACATCATCAGACACTTCGGTCGCTGATACATCGTCTGAATCACCGTCATCAACGTCCAATGCTTCGTACGTGGCTTATCTTGTTTGTACGCTTCTACTTACCCTTAGACAGCTCGTCGACGACGATTTCTTCCACAACCTCAGACTTCACTTCATCAATAGCCTCTTATACGACTTCTACCGATTCCCCTTCCGAGTCTGAATCCTCCTTCCCTACTTCGTCTTCATCAGCACCGGCTCCGTCCTTTACAACGTCAAGCGTATATACCTCTCCCTTGTCACCCACCTCGTATTCGTGGGCATCGCCATCGACCTATTGGCCAAATCCAACCACATCATGGTATACTGTCGTGAGCACGTCTTGGGTTACTGATTCCGAGACTGTTACGCGAGCTTCTGGCACCGCTGCTTCTCTCACCAGTGCTAGTCCGTCGCAGTCCTTTGCCTCAACTACCACCATCACTTCTACGGGTCTACTCAGTACTGATGCTCCAGATGGAGGAAATAGCCTCTCACGCAATACAGGGGCTGTCATTGGCGTTGCTGTATCCGCCGCGGTCGTCGTTACCCTCATAGCAATCGGAGTATTCTTCGCATGCCGTAGATACCGACGGTCAACCACAGAGCCATCGACTTTGCAACCCCAGTTCGTGCCGTCATGGCGGCCCCCGCTTGCGGGTGACGACGATAGCAGCCTTGGTGCCACTATTACGGCAACGAGCACGGTTGGACATCGGGTATCCTCAGGCCAGACGCCTTACATTGATCCGCGAGAGATGGGACGTTCACCGCCTTCGTCGGACGGGTTGCCGCCGTCGTCGCATGGTCACTCGTCCAACGAATCATCGAGCCACGCCCTTCTTACCCGATCGAGGTCATCTTCAGTAGGAAAGCACATGCGAACGGAAGAAGCACCACCTGAGGAGGAAGAATTTCGGTTGCGCACGAGAAGGCCTACTCAGGTATCTGATCTCGTTATTCCCCCAGTTCCAAGGATACCTTCAACAATTCAGTTACCCCCGACTTCGCCGATTTCCCCAGCTTCTTCGACTTACCCCAGTTCGTTGCTCAATCCGCCACCTCCACCTCCCCTTGAACCTCCTGCTCCGGCTTACGCTGTTCAGGGTTCGTCATCGTGGCCTCCTCCGCCGATGCAGGTTCCTCCGTTTGGTATGCACGCGCCTGAAGGGCTGCTCCACCCATTGGTTGGCCTCGAGCAAACGGAGAGCGTTACGAGTTTCAGGGATCATATGGATTATTCGAGGCCGATCCTACCGAGGAGGGTGGATAGAGGTGAAGAAGAATCAATATGAATGATCTTTCTTTCTTTTTTGCTTTCTTGCCGCTCGCTCTTTATCACTACTTAACCGTATACCCCCTCGCACTCACACATACACCATACACACACACAGTCACGTCGCAATCGCATTTTAGTACATAGCAATAACATAGGTAATTTGTAGTCCGTTTCCTGGGCTTGTGTATTTCTATAAGGATGACACTTTCATGAAGATAAGCAGTTTTTTTTTATTATGACACATTGGTAGCTGTAAATACAATGCAGTGGGGAAAAAATTTGGAATAAATGGATACAGAAATGTCAGGTTGTCCATGTCAGCTCTCTTGGCCCTTAGAAGAAAATAGGCTCGAAGTAAGACTTCAGTCCCTCCGCAGTATTCAGACGCGCCCCAACCACTCCATCAGGTCGAACGACCACTACAAGACTCGTTCCTTCCTCAATATTATAATGCTTGAAAGCATACCCCTCCTCGTCCTTCAATATATCACCCTCCGCTTTAACAGCAGAATTCTTCGGCAGAATGATGATAGGCTTTACCAGGGCCGACGAATATGATTTCAGCCTATCGATAACGTCCATATGCATCTTCACATCATCCGAAAACACGAGAACCGTATGGTGCGCAGGCCCAAACCTGTCAAATAGCGCAACCTTACCTCCGTCGGCACTCACCAACCCCGGCGCCTCAGGGGCCCTGTCCCCACCCTGAACGCGTCCATCGAGGCCAGACCTATACGGGTCGACCGCCTCATCTCCTGGGTTCGTCTCATCGACGACGATCGGGCTCCCGCGGTAGGTGACGCCAAACTGGCGGAGGATGTAACCCCGGAACCACCCGGTGTGGTTGTCTTCGGCGCGTTTAAAGGTCTTGTTGAAGAGCTCGGTGGTGCATTCGAGCATGGCAGCGACGACGGGGAGCCGCTCGGCATTGTATGTCTCGAGGAGGGAGGGTGGAGCGAGGAGTTTGTGTACGAGGGCGAGTTTCCATGCAAGGTTGTTCTGGAGACGGCATGAGAAAAGTTGTAGATCTCATTGAGATGAGGACTCACTGCATCTAATACGCCTGTATTGATACCCTGATGAATGTATTATTAGCAAGTCTTCGGATACAATAACACGATACGAACCTGGCCGCCGGTAGGACTATGAACATGCGCGGCATCTAAATTTACAATCGCTATCAGAGCCGCAACACAGAAAGACGACGAAGTGAGAACGTACCTCCAGCAACAAATACCCGTCCTACTCCGAATTTGTTCACCATTCGGACGTTAACTCTAAAACAATATGAAATAAGATTAGGAATATTCAATATCAATTTGAAGGGACGCACTGGAACTGGGAAAGGAAGATCACCTGGCCAAAGTTGATATCGTTGCGGTTGGAGATTTCACGGAACTCCTGGATAAAGCCTTCACGGCCGGAAGCCATTCTTTCGCGATTGAGCTCAGGACCCGCAGCGATAACGTAGTACCTGTCGTCTCCCGGTTTCAAGTACGGTCGCAGAGATACCCTGTGGAAGTACATTGAGTGGGTAAATCTAAGGTAGAGGTAATGGCATCATACGTTCGGCTAGAAGCATCTCCCCATACATGCCACGACTGCACATCGTTCGTCAAATGGATGCATGTAATAAGAAGCAACTTACAGATTGGTCTAATGGTGAGTTGATGATTTGAATGTCGCCTATAACCCATCGCTCCGCCGACTTTGTCTCTCCCATAAACGTGAGGCCCAGTTGTTTACGTACCGTACTCTTCCCGCCATCTGTGCCAATGAGCCAGGCGACTTCAGCAGTCTCAGGGACCTGCTCATTGGCTTCATTCCATTTCAAGAGATGGGCAGTGACATGGTCGGCACTCTGTTCAAACGACACCAGTTCTGTCCCGGTTTCGACCACGCATCCGAACTTTGCAAGATAGTTACGCAGCACTTCTTCGTGCGCGTCCTGACCAATGAGAATAGGATTAATCTGGACAAGGCATGATGAGATCAAGCTCGTTAACAAAATTCATCGAGGAAACTGACGATAGGACGATCGGGAGTACTCTCCAACTCCTCGGACATTGGCATTCGTACTCTGATGTTGACACCATCTGGCTCGTACATTATGAGAGGATGTGACTTCCCAGACTCCTCTAGGATATCGGGAAGGACACCTAGGAGTTTGTATACCTCCATGGTTCGCGGCTGGTAAAAAGAAATGTTTACTCGGTCGCCTTAAGGAATGGGAAACTGCGCAACGTACATGAACGCCAGAGCCTTTTTGACCGACTTTGTAATTTGAACGTTCTTTGTCGATAATTCGTACGGGTACACCATTCTTTATCAGAGAAAGAGCGAGGACGAGACCTGAAGGTCCTGCGCCAACCTGAAAGCGCATCAGCATCGGTGTACAAAGCAAACAATGAAGCAACGAACGATGAGAACGGTGTCTGTCATAGCAGCTGAGACTGTTGAAGGTGAATGGAGAGTTGAGTGGTGGTGTCCTGGTCTACTCGAACTACGATGCTTTTATCTTCAAGACGACGTCAACAGTCAGTGATGTCCACATGTCCCCGTCCACGAGACCAAAATAACTCGATCTCCCGAGTCGGACAATAAGTCAAAATTAGAATAGCTCCGAAAAGTTCCCTTACTGGGCGACCTCGAAGTCTCGAGGCGGAAATTTGAGAGCTTCGAATTCATTCAGCAAGGGAGCTATGGGTGATGGTGATGACAAAAAGATATTGTCCGAGTCGGTAAGTCGGTAGGATACAGGTCGTGATGGCGAGTATCATTATGCTTCCACGAGAACCGCCTCGGTCGACTGCAATTCTGCCGAGCCGTTTACCCTCAGACGTGTCAACATTCGCAGGGCCACTATTGGGCGTGGAGTGGTGGACATCCATTAGCCGACTCGATACCTCGTTAAAAGAAAGCAGCTGGGTAGCACTAGCGTGTTGGAAAGTTCGATAATCCTCTGTACAATCGAGGGTTAAGGATTTCGCTGGCCTGTTTGAGGATCAGGGGGGTGCGAAGAAAACTGCGAGGACCGTTCCCGAGTTTGACACAGTGAGAAATCGGGTCACGGTGTCGGCGAGTGTCTGAAAATAGAATACATTCGATGCAGCGATTGGATAGAGCGATACAGTAAGCGCCGCTCCCTGCACTACCAGTAACACGGTAACGAGAAGGTGTAAAATGGTGTAAAGGAAGAACTTTCGATCGACGATCGACATCCTCCGACTCGGAATGCAACGTCACGTGGTGCGACGCGTCGCGTTCATGATGAAGCCCATTTGAATAATTTTGGTCGTAGCTGTCAGAAATCGAAAAGGCATACTCAAACGAAGTGAATAGCGAAAATTGTTAGACATTTGGCAAACGCGACGTGGGAAGCCAAATTGAACCGCGAAATACACAGTTACTCAAGGGGGTACCGGAAATCCGTCCCGGAACACCGGGTAGGTAGGTAGGTCCAGCCGGAGGTCACGAAAAAAAAAAGTTGACCACCATTTTGAGGGTCTAAAAATGGACTTCAAGGGTAAATTTTAGAGAGTACATGATACAATATATACTACTGAGTGTGTTACTTACCTTAGGGCATCATACCTAGCTATACCAACACTCAGTCAATGTCATTGCAGAGTGGCCCTGCTGACTGGACATGATGACATTATGACATCCCATTAGAGCGCAGCCGTGATTTAGACTTGATAGTGTACAGATTATGTTCAAAACACTTTCAATATTAATATCACGGCTATTTCAGGCAAAATGCTCACTGAATTGAGTCGAAAGATACCCAAATTTAGTATAATGACATCATAAATGTCACGTGAAGGTAGGTAGGTCCATCGCCGATGCATGAAATTATTTAATCGACCCACTGTCTTTTAATTCATTATTAGGACCCCCTTGCAGTTACTAAGAAATTCCCGCAGAAATGAAAGAACATATGTAAGTGAATCCTTTTGGGAAGACTTGGTCTATTAAGCTGACATCCGGTAAGGTGTACAAGACTACAAGACGTCAGCTAGCACATATCATCAATTTAACATTAAATCCATGGGACTGGAGATGCTTCTCCGATACGTTCCGTGTGAGAAATCGGCAATATCATTTTGCCTGTCGCGCAGTTGGCTCTTTCTTATGACATCACATACGAGACGGACTAAGGGATATCCTTCACCAAAAATAACATTCCCAAACCTGAGGTCACCACACTGTGGGAGGATGGTAAGAGTATGACCACGCCGTCGAGGAATTCATTTGGGAAAGTTCTGAGCATGGCAGCGTTCAGATAAGTACTACGACAGCTTAAGTCATAGCCTTGCACGACACTAAGGTTTTCTCTTTGTACTGCGATAAATCTTTCACCGTATCCGAGGTATTCTCCCATTCGCGCCTATGACCTGCGTAAGACTGCCAAGAAGTAGCCTGAAGACAGGCACCGGCTGAGTGGTGGGGCGAGCTGGACGTAGCATGGAGCTGGGTGCTGGGGTGTGGTCCTCAGCGCAGCATTGCATAGTTCCTTAAGGCCCCGGGAAGCTCCCGCCAAGGTTTGTCCGGCAAAAACCCTGATTTTTAGCCTCAAATATGCAAAGATTGGCGCCTAAAATATGCTAACTCGGACAAGGCTTCTACCGGTCCGTCCGGGCCGGAAAGCGCCGCAGGTCAAATTAGGCCAAATTTCGGCGTCCTTCGCCTTGCATTTTCTGGATGAAATTTCAGTGTCATTTCCATCCTTCCTTCAGATACCAATAAGTCTTCGCTATGTGCTTCTCCAACTACAGGGATTCCGCCAGGTGCCATTCCTCCAGGCCCCAGAGGCCCTAAAATATGCTAACTACGGACAAGGGTTTCAAATTTTGGGTCTGAAATATGCTATCTACGGACAAAGATTTCGCTTTTTTTGGGCCTAAAATATGCTAAAATCCGGACAAACCTTGGCGGGAGCTTCCCGGGGCCTGTTCCTTATTAGATGTGAATGGATTCAACAGGACTGCTGAACCTCACGGAAAATAAAAGCATTGCTCCACAGAAGAAGTCACTCCTTGCGTGTGATGTCAGCGGGATGGCGAAGAATACTAAAGCGAGAAAATCTTTGTTAGGCCACGAGAAAAACAGCGAGTTGGTGGGTGCAAGCGGGAGGAAGATGTTCCGATGTGCTCTGCCACGTGGTGGCTGAGGAAGCTCTCCATGCCGGAGTCTCCCTTTTCCTTCCTTTCAACTCCCTTACCGAAAACGTTGACTATGAAAATTGCACTACGAATGCATATATGTACGTGAATTCTATCACTTAACGTGATTGTTAACTCCATCTCCTCCTATTTTCCCAGGCAAGTACTTAGAGACCAGCAGCGAAACCTTTTGCATTCGACACTTAAATGATTCCCCTACCCAGAGCGTTGAAGCAAAGGCCAGAGAAGAGCTGGCTTTAGCTCAGAAAGAGCTGGAGGATAGTGAGGTATCAGGTATGAGAGCCAAAGCGCAACAGGCCACAGTAAACGCCCTTAAGTCTGTTCTCTCGCCTTTGCGACGTGTCCCCCCGGAAGTTCTCTTCGAAATCGCGCTATACTTCCAAGACGGCTTGCCATGTCATGAAATAGAAAGTGATCTGTGGCGTTTTGGCCGTGTCTGCAAGAAGTAGCGAGCCGTAGCGCTATCATCCAGGCATCTCTGGACTACCGTCGCCATCGATGATATGATGTGTGTCGGGGTCCGCCCTGAACCAGCGAACCGTGTCCTTGTCGAGTACTTGCGGAGGTCTGGGGATCTCCCTCTTCGTGTCCATGTCAAATTTGAAAATTATTTTGACGACGATGAACCTGTGCATCAAGCGCTGATCAACATCTTCGCCTCCCATTCCCATCGCTGGAAGACATTTCTTTTCACAGCTCCCGACTATCTCTGGCCTAATCTCTGCCAGGTTGGTGGACATCTACCCATCCTGGAACGCATCGCGTGTCTCTCTACCCAGAACGAACCCCCCACGAACCTTGATATCCTTCTCCCAATCTTTTCCGATGCTCCACGGCTGCGACATGTCGACATTAACATGAATGCGCCGATACCCTTCCTCCTTCCCTGGAACCAGCTAACACACTACCATGATAACCGCCACGGTTTCATGTCACACCACAAGCTAGAAGAGCAGTTCTTTGATCGGTGTTTGCACCTCCGCGAATGCACTCTTTTATCACAGTCGCCTGCCACGAACAATTCTCGCACCTTGCTTCCAGACCTATACTCCTTAACCTTGGCATCATCAGCGTCATTGAATGCCATAACCGCCCCAGCACTTCAGTTCCTAATGGTCCATCATGGGCGTCAAGAGAGAACCTTGGACATAGGCATCCTCTCCCGTTTCATTTCCCGCTCCTCTTGCTCCCTTACAGCTCCCGTTTCGTTCGGGAGTAGGACCCTGGCCCGATCTCGTATTAAGAGCGGCGAGCTAGTTCCCATACTGAAGGCGTCTCCCCATTGATGTAGCTCCATGTGTATGGTGCGGATATCCAAACGTACTTTCTCCGGAGTATGACACTGTCCGCCTCGTTGTCGGACCTTGTTCCTCTACTCGAGGACCTGTCATTGGATGCACTGTGTTTCAATGTGCTCCTCCTCTTTTCGATACTAGAAAGTCGCTGCAGCAAAGGGTCAGTATTGCAACAGATATCGATCAAGTGCATAGCTGTTCCTTTACCGAATCAACTTCTCGTTCGCCATGCGTCTTTGGAGGAGAATGGGATTCGGCTTCATTTTGCTATGCTGGCGTGGCTGCACGGTCCCCGGGCCGTAAACCCGAACTCGCAGATCGTCTTTGTCTGAGTCTCGTCTTGAACTTCAGCGTTAATGGCACTTCCATCTGAGCTCATCTCCTGTATTCTCTTCGAACTGTGGGCCACTCAATCTTCCACTTCCGAATACATCCAAACATTCTCAACCTGCTCTCTTGTATCTAAACAATGGTCTGCCATCATCAAGGAGATGAACTCTACGCATTCCGTCATCCCCTTATCATATAGCGGAGAGTGCCTACATACCATCCGGTCAATGTCATCACTCGAAAAACCACTGCTCTTCCGTGCCATAACATTCAAAATAGATTATATGCTGAAGTCAAATCCAGTCATTCCGGATTCAGGATGTCGCTCCTCCATTACAGCTAATAGGGGGATAGAAATCGTGCTTCGAAGTTTATTCAATGGTCCTAATCCACCCCCAGATGGTACTCGCATCTTCGTAGACTATCTCGATGATCCTCGAGTTCATGTCCCCCGCTTCTGGATTCCTCCACAGACTACCCATCTGACCATTGTATATCATCGCCGGTGGTGGGTACCCGCCAGCCCCGAAACTGCGCACGACTGTCAATGTGTCCGACCCATCTTTAACCAACAAGTCAGCCAGCTCTGCATTATGGGAGCCACGGCTCTGATAGTGGAGCGACTCTTAATCCCTCTCACCGAATGGAAGTGTCTAGGTTCGCTGACTACAGATGTACAACTTGATATTCCGGTTCCCTCTTTCACACAGCGGGTAACGTATGATTATCCGGTGCAAGACGTAGGGCCAGAATTCTTGTCTCGTGTCATGTTTGGCGAACGGGGGTCATGGCCATTTTTGATGGGAAGGGACGATAGTATGCCATCATATACGTTTACAATTTGGCTCTGATTTTTCACTGGCAGTATGGAACCACGGGTATTCTCCCATGTTTGAACAGGTCATTCCTCTGGGCTCTGTGGGATATATTGATCCGTTCTCGAAGAAGTTTGTTATATTGTTCAATGCCATCGATCCAGCGTCTTCAACGGAACCAAGAATACGTCGGATTCCTTCTATCCTGAAGTGGGGTCGGACAAAAGTTGTCACGGACACAAAATACTCCCCTTCCCCAGCATGGGATCATGAATACAAGAAGCCTGGAATCCTTGGCAAGCTTGGAGTTTTGACCAAGGAGAGATCGTTCGTGTTTCTTCATTGTGAATATCTATCTGTACCTACTACCTAACAGAAGCAGAGTGCCTAGTATCCCTCTGGGATACAGCGTAAAACAGAACCTTCATCTCGGGCTCGGACGTGCTATTTCTCGGCAACTTGTAGGAGACAAGCTTTGGTCGCGCAAGCACCGGCAGACAATTACGGATGTGTTCGGAGAGCATCACCCCCGTATCCGACAGCACATGCCGGAGATTGGTGGGCCAGGTTTCATGCTACGTACATGAACTGCATGGACTGAGATGTGTTTATATTCCAGTTACAGCAACAGTAGACTCCTCACAATACGTTTGGTTTGTGCCTCTTGGGCATGCTGTCCACAATGACACTGTAATCTGTGTAAGTGTATTACTCGGTTACCTGATCACTTCACCACTAACTCTTACAGTGTGCACAGTTCTACTTTCAAGTCAACCCTCAGGCTTCTCATAAGCCTGGAAACCCTTGGGGGGAGATCAAATCTTCTAGGAGTTGTACTCTTTTACCCTCAGTTCCATTCTCCTGGGGCCATATCTCCACTGTCGGGCAGTCTCCAATGACTGTACAGATTCGTTGTGATTATGTCGCGTAGGTTGACTACGTTCCGATGTAGGAAGCCGATCTGTCCGCATTTTCTTGTTCTTGTTCTTTAACCTCCCACCGAATAAAGGTTTTATTTGTTGTGTACAATGCAGTCTGTATCGCAATTGTCGTTCTCAGCCACCTCGGTCGGATTCCGTGTTACAATATATGCATATATAGTTTACCAACTCTGTTCATAAAGCGGCCGAACTATAGCTTTACATCATTATTTTTGCCACGTTTGAGTATGGCTTTGCGATTTGTGACAGCTAGGACCAAAATTATCCAAATGCACTTCGTCTTCTGTTTACGATGCAGTCAGAGTCGGCAGCCTGGGCATCTATATGATGACGTGCTTGTGCGAGTGTTCCAGCTGACAGCTGAGGTTGAGCCAGGGATGCCAGTTCGTCCGTATTTCTTCGCTCATGGTTGGACGACGCCAAATATCGTGTTTTGCCAAAAGGTAAAGATTTTCTTTTACTCATTCCGAGATGTAAGAGGACCTGATCGTGTAATACATAGGTGCTCCGCCTGCGGAAGAAGGTGCTCGGGGCCATAAGGACAGAAGCGTGGACGACGCCACCGAGGAAGATGCTGAGGATGAGGATGAGGAGGGTATGGATGAGGACGCGCAATCCAAAGACGCTGCCAAACATTGGGAGATGTCTCTGCGGTGTGCTCGAAATGCCGTAGACGATGTTTCGTTCGCATTGTCTTGGGCTGCTTCTAGCATCGAGGGAGGCCCAGCCACTCTACTACGACCGGTCTGGCATCATCATCTGCGAAGCGTTCGATATCGTGGACAAGAACGATCAAGTCTCCTTGCCATGCTCATCGGGTTCTCAGCTATTTCCCAAGACAGCGGCGTGCTGCCTTTTTTGCAGGTGCAGTAGGTCGCAGATTGGGCTCATGCTGGAATGACCCTGTGATGAAAGAGCAGAAGTTGAAAGGACTTGTTGCATTTAGTTGACGTAGAACCTAAGCACGTGTTATCTTCGGTATAGAGATAACGCGGTCTCCTCTGATCTCGTTGGAGTCCAACAATATGTGTGACATGAAAGGAGTTGCGTGTACGAGAGGCCGAGAGAATGGCTCTCTGAGGCACTAAAAGAGCTTCTATCAGAAACGCAGACCAGATTCACAGCGATAGTACTCACAATCCGAAACGTGATTAGGAGACACTGTTCTTGTCGTTGACACTGGAATTCTAAGCAGGTTGAGAGTTTCGATGGGAGGCCTATTCAGCACGAAGTGTCATGGCTGTTCCACTCGACGCCACCCCAGCCGACTTTGCCTCATTGATTTCGTTGTAGACAGAGAAGGAAGAGGGCATCCGATGAGGATGCTGCTGTTGATAGATAGACACGTGGATCATCGCGACGAGTCCTAGTATAGGCCATAGATCCACTTGTGAACTACCGAGCTTGTATGAGAATGAGATGAACGAAGAAAAGAGTAGGGTGTACCTTGTGGTACGTCAGCAATTGCTTAGACATATTGGCGAAGTGTTGCAATCTTGCTTGCTTGACGACACGCCCGCTCCTCGTGCTTAAATGAACTGACATATGCATCCTTCGCGCTGTCAGAGTACTCATTGAGCCCCATATATACAGGATCGTCGGCTTGAAGCCAAAATGGTGATAGTCAACGATCTTCAGTGACCATTTTCGCTTTGGGCTCTGGTAGACGAGATCTATTCCCCTGTTGGGGTTGACAACAATTCCTGACCGATTAAGACACGAGGGAGTGCTTGTTCAACACCAATCTACTGACCTCAGAGGCGCGCCCTCCCGTAGTCAATGATCCGATGATGCAGTAGTTTTCGATGAGTTGACGTGGCCCAATGGGCACGACAATGAAGGTCTCCGGAGCGTCCTTGAGGTCAATTTCTTGTGACACGGCGGTTGATAAGCCATCGTAACAAGGTGACTGAAGGCGGATACTTACATGCAAAGAAGGCAGTGGATTCCAACGGCAGCTTTGTCGCGTAACACCCACGACGTGATTGAGCCTCTTCGTTCTCATCACCCCTGTTCATTAACATATCGTGACTCCTGCGCGCTTGATGCTACATTTCGCGCTTCTGAGGTCCGGGACATTCTTGCTGACTGAGAGCTTGAGGCATTGAGATGGCTGCTTTAATGTACTGTCAAAGTCAGGACGAAGAGGGATGCGAGTCGTGACGAATGTGCAAGAAACAGCGTCTATTGCTCGACGACCCGCTCCTTGTCGTATGCTGAATCCAACATGAAAACGGAATGTTGCGCACAGTAAATAGTCGAGGCACGAATGGAAGATGGACGGCTGGGAGAATATATGTGCTTCTTGCTTTAACGATGTTAGGATTGAAGGTCGCTTGCTCTAGGATATACGTCAGCCTGCGTCATGGAATGGAAAGTGAGAGAAACACACAATTGCTGGATCAGAGCACTCTACGCCGTGATCCTCCACGAGATGATCAGATAGGCGGGGAGGCCTTGGTCAACGAGGAGCGAAGAATAGCTGCGGATAATCGGGACTGGCCTGCCGAGGTCAAATTATTCCCACGGCGCCTCTACCAGTATCCCTTTGTGCTCATTTGAAAACTTTGTTCGTTAGGTCTTTCCTGCGTTCTCATAGGTCTCATCAATGATATATTCAGGTGTGACTAAAGACGGGGACAGCTGGTATGAAGGAAAGATACTAATCTGGTAGGGGCAAGAACAGGAAGGCAGCATTCTAATTTCCAGGTGTGTTGTGTTTCGGTGTCGGATACAAATGATTGAGAAGACTTTTCTGTTGCTCGCGACTCACGAGCTGCTAAACTGTAAATACTGATATCCAAAATCCACGAAAATAGGCCCGCAACCCCAGTACGGATACAGTTCATAATTGAGTGATTTTTCCACGTATTTAATATCGCACTTCCATCTATATACCAGCATTGAGATCAGTGGAAAGATATGAGGATTTGAGGAGACCATCGCGTCGAAGATGCCCCAGAACAGAAATCAAATCGCACCGCGTCGAAATCGAAGTCTTCAGTCGCCTGGTCCAGTGTCGAACTGGGCATTGCTTCACAGGCGAGTACTACAGTCGCTTTGTCCCGCACGAAGGCATTCAGTGTCCCTGTGGAGAGCCTATGCAAACACGAGACCACATCATCCGTGAATGCCCCCGATACAATGGTCACCGAGACGGACTCCGCAAAGTCTCCAGAGACCTATACTTGCCGGACATCTTAGGGACGAAAAGGGGCATAGAAGCCCTGGCAGCGTTCCTGGAGAAGTCAGGCGCATTCACGAAGACTGGCGCCCCCAAACGGCCGCCAATGCGACCCACATTGGATGAAGAAGAAATTAAACCACGCTTGAAGACTGGCTGGGAGATCAGGACCTGGAGCGAGAGGAAGATCCCGGAGGCTGAAAAGTGGTAGAGGGAGGATGGAAATGCTGACGGACCCGGAGAACAACCAAGGAACTCGCTCCATGCACACAAACCCAGTCCCCCATAGCCTGAGTTATGGTGGCGTCAACCCCCCTGGATACCAAGGACTCAACACATAAAGACACTGAGAGATCTATACCATTAAAGATCTGAAAATCCCCTTGTGTACCTACAGTAGCTACTGGGGCTGGCTATGAGCAAGCACCGCCGCGTCTCTGTACATAGATTACGGGTTGCGGTTTCGAAATATAGATTTTAAAAAATAAAAAATAAAAAAACCGCGTCGAAATCACGTGATCAAGATGCATTAAGAATTTGAAATTCCCATCCCCTTCTTCCCGCTGGTATGTAGTTTCCTATCGCCGTCACCGCCATGGACTTTCAAGCAGCCCTTACTAGTATCTGGAAATCTTGGCCATCGAAATGGTAGTATTGGAGGATCAGGCCTAGGGCTTTATATTGGAGACATACGTGGCCAATGTAACTTGGGGTACGCTTCTGCTGTGTCTCGCGCTTCCTCTCACTGGGAGTGATCTGTGTGGAGACGGGGGTACGGACGAGGGGTGGGATGTTGGGACGGCCCTCTGTGTGGGTGGTGGTCGTTGAAGGGGACGGTCGTCGTCTCTGAGAGCGGTGGCGAGTCGTCGGTTTAGTAGATTTTCGGAAGACGCATCGGGGCTCGGATGCGGGCTTTGAGGCGATGGGAAGAGCCAAAAGTGCGCGTGCATGATCAAGGAATCGGAGTTTACCACCACCACACTTATAGCGCTTTTCATAATTATGCGGAATTCCAGTTTTGAAAAAGTTATGTGGTCGTATTTGGATCGCAGGGCCCCGGCCTTCTCTCTTCCCACCACTACCACGCCCCGAAACAGTACCATCCGTTCTGCGATGCCCTTGTCAGGTTTCTAAAGGTGTAGAAGATATTTATCAGCTGTACCCAACTCCTGTGGCATATCATATGGTTGCGGTGTACTATGCAGGCAGGAGCGAGACAAAACCTTCGAGAACCAACATTCAACATCTGAGTCTTCGACTCCTGGATTCGGTCCATTTAATGTTTGCCTCATAGACTGCAGTGACGTTCTTTTGCAAGATAGGCTGATATGCCATGCTGAGGTGCTGACATGCATCCATTGTCGGACTCTGTATCTCCACAGCGGTATTGATATCAGTCTGTCAGACCGTGACTGTCTTCACTCCTGGCAATTCTTTATATTGCAAGTCTGTAATTTGACCATACTATGTCGGCATATGTATTCCAGTGGTAATTATCCCCAGAAAACAAATGATATAAGATCAATATAGGACATAAATGCGCGTTCTGAATGCAAGACGATAAAATCGCCTCAAAGCTGAGTGCTGATCATGAGCGCTTCTCTTACCGGGCCGACATGGGGTGTAAATAGGACCACACAGATTTTTCAAAACAGGGATTCCGCATATTTATCAAAACTGCTGTAACTAGACCTCGCCATGAATCTGCCCTTCTCTCCGTCCTACATCGTCTCCACCGCATCTATGCATGCCGCATGCCCTCCGTCCTCTCCCTTCCGCCAGACCGCATTGAGGAAACTCCCCTCCGCGTTGCCTGTTCGACGTTGGAAGGCCGTCCGCATTCCACTCGCTCATTCCGCCTGACATGCACAGCCATCAACAACGTCTTCCTGCACTCAAATGCCATCCACAGGTCGATCCTCAAGCGTAGGTCGTAGCCAGACGGTCGTTCGAGCCCACGTCGAAAGAGCATCGCCAACTACTCAACTGTTCGACCACAGTCTGCAGTTTATCGAGGAGAGACGGGGCCTCGATGGAAGGGAACCCGTGAATGCTGAGCATATGTCCGCGGAAGGGGTCCTCTGGGTGCTGACGTTCATGTGCTTGGACGACGATGGTACAAATACCCTCCACCCGAACGCCTTCGACACGTATCAACGTATTCGCGAGCTCGTCACCAAGCATTTGTACGACGATGCGACGGATGGCCGCTTGATAACTGCAAGAATGCTCTGGTATTGTCCATGTTCTGATCCCTGCCGACGAAAGGTATGTGTCTCTTGCCTCTCTTTCTTGTTTTTTCTAATGTCATTATAGAATAAATTCGTTCCGAGTGGGAGCATGTTTCTCACAAATAGCGAACTTGATCTTCCCCTTCATTTACATTCCCTTCTGGTATTAGGTATGTCATTGCCTTTCTACTCCTCAATCATTCTATCTTACCACTTGTTTCTCAGTTTAACGATATCTCCAATGCTCGTACACCCATCCTCACCGGCCAAACGACTTCTTCCTTTCTTACCCCCATGAACTTTTCTCCGTTGGCGGCCTTCTCGTTTCCAACTGGGTGCTCTCACATACACGCAAAGAAAACATGCCCCTTCATCACCGGTGCAACACCGAGCAGATATGCTAGTGAAAATGTTCATCGGTGGTACTAGTGGCTAAATGGTACACAGGGAATGGACATCTGCAATGGTATATTATACTTGTTGCCGGGTGTGACAAGTGCATGTCGGTCACGCTCTTCTGGTTAATATTCGATGTCGACGAAACTGTCAGTCATGGTAATGGCGAGACCTGACGCCTCAATATCGTACATCATGCACGGTGCAGTGCGGAAGCGCGATCATGATTCGACTGCTCAGACCACCAATCAGACTATCTTTGTGCGCGGATACTCTATCTCTGTTTGAGATCTGCAAACGCTTGCTAGCAAATTGCGCTTTATGCCGTATATGAAGACAGCCAAGAGCGGTATGAAGAGCAGCAAGACTCGGCGGATTTGGTCTTCCGTACCCTACAGCAATTCGAAGATGACACCTACTAGAGGTATACTGTTTCGGCATGAGCTACCTCCCGCTCATCCAGTATTATGGATCAACAACGAGAGTTACATTAATGCAACTCGTTGAATAGGAAGATACGTCTGCCTTTGAGGTCAGTAAATTGGCGTTGAACAGGGCCTCGATCGTGTTGACTTTATCAGTCAGGAACGGTCGTCAATCCCAACAGGTCGGATGGATTTCATCTGTCAGAGGCGAATTTATGGATGCGAAAGCGAAAATAGTCACTGAAGCTCACCGGGTCCCTGACTATCACCATTTGGCTTCAAGCCGACGATTCCGCATACACGAAGCTCAAGGAGTACTTTAACACAAAGTATGCATACTGCGGTTCATTTGAATACGGAGAATAGGCGCGTCGACGAGACCAATGAAGCACGGAGTGTCTTGAATGACTTGGACCGTCCGATGGACCCTTACTGACACTTGCAATGCCTGCCGCTACCCACCCACGGCCTCGACACCACCCTCACCCGCTCGGTGACTTTTCCAGGCCATCAAGTGCTCCAGAGACCGTCTGTTTTCAACGGAAAGGACCAGGCGCTGCATTAACTAGATCTACTGTCACCATTGTTGTCTTTCGGCCGTTGCCACCCTCAAATCCCCAGTATCCCACAATGACGACTTTGATTTTCCGGTACATTCACCACACCTGGGATCACTTTTCCTTCACCAGCAACAGCAGCGTATGTGGGGGAGACCATTGCTTGGGTTGTCGTGCCGCCGTCACTGCCATCTCCTTATTCACAGGCGTGTTCTTCTCTTTCCCCCGTTCATTTGATTCTCAAATGAGTTCGAAAGTCCACAAGTGGATCTATGGCCAATGAAGCACAGAGTGTCTTTGTCGATGCAACGTCTTCGAGGCTCTTTTCATTCTTTGTGCACTACGAAATCAAAAGACGCAAAGCCACCTGGAAGCGATGCTGAAATAGGCGCATATAATGCATTCCCGAGCTCGTCACCAAGAATTTGTACGACTCCAAGACGTCGCGATGGACAAAATCCTACAAGACAATCACCTGGCTCAGCCCCGCTTAGCGCTCCTTCCTTTTGTAATGGGGCGCGGGTAATCAGTCTGCCTTTATGAGATGGCAAACAGATGGGCGGAACGACAAGGTCAAGTAGTATGTTTATTTCCGTCGGTAATTGTATTTTGCTCCATGTTGACCTTCCTCATTGTTTGACTAGGACAACGCCGATTGGTGTTTTGGCATTATCCCTTAGGATGAGCGTCCTCAGGCCCGAGTGGCGCCTTGTCCCTGGCTTTCACGTGCAGAATGTAAGGCGCGTTGAAAACTAGTTGTGGTCGAGCTCATTGTGTCCTTCTTGTGAGCGCCCTGTCGTCGTCTTACACCCTTCGTACCAAAGAAGTCAGCAACGCTTTGGCCTCTCCGTTCTCGCTGTTTATTACTGCAGGTGTCTCAGCCTTGACGTTAAACATCCAAACAGAGAGCAGTTGGTCAACCGTTTGACATCTCGTCCCCCTTACCCATCCACTCCGAAAAAAGTAAAAATTCTGGAGAGTTTCTGATGCTCAGAAACTAATCCTGAAACCAGCAGCATACTAATGATATATGGGTATGCGCCCTATCCCGACACAGTCCCGCCCTGGGCGGGATATGCCCCGCAAGTTTCGTAATGAGTTTCTGGCAGTTAGAAACTCTCCGGAAATTTTATATTTTTTGGAGTGATCCTGAATTTGCACGGCTTTTAGAATGCGTAGGCGCCTACTCTCGTTATCTACTGCCTACCGTAATACTTCGTATGGCTTGTCTTCCCTATTGTGCTGACAAAGATTGGCCGGTTACCGTCCCGTCCCGTCCTATCCTTGACATCAAACTATCACTTCCTCGAGGCCGAGTGTTCCATTATCTGATCTTCCTCAACACTATACCATTTTACTTGGTACTACTTCTTGAACCGGCGGTCCCTCAATGGACGAGATGACAAGAATGGAGATTGAGGCAAGTCCTTCACTGAAACCACCGTCGATCCTGAAACTGATATCATATTCTTTCTAGGTACAGAGCCATTCTCCTCCGCTACCTCAAGAGCTGATTGACTGCATCATCGATATCCTGTGTTCCGATATCCCTGCACTCAGGTCGTGTTCCCTTGTCTGTCGCTCGTTCCTGCCTCGAGCCCGCGAGCACTTGTTCCGAGAAGTAGACATCGAGACCTCACATTTGCGCCAATCTTTCCACGATCTATGTGTCGCTTCACCTGATATACCACACGTAGTCGAATCTCTGATCGGAGTCACACCCGGAGAAGAAGGCGGCGTTCCTCCATACCTGATTCTACAATCTCTGCCTCGATTAGAGAAGATCGCGGTCTCCTGTACCGAGTGGAACAGCATGGGCCCAACATTCTGGGAAACCGTATCCAATCTTACTCATCTTCGGTCTCTGAAATTAATTGGCACCGTGATTCCCTCGATAAGCATCCTATGTTCCTTGGTGTCGAGCCGTGTGGAGGAGTTATGTCTCATTGACACTGAGTTTGTGAGCAAGGAAGTTTGCCAGCACGACGGTTGTAAGACTCGGGTGCAGTCTCTCACTTGCTCGGGCAACTATCGACCAATTGAATATGAGAGTGTCATGTCTCTCTGTCCGGCACTGGCGAACACGGCTCATTCAATCGATGTTAATTTGTATGACCACTACCATATCCTTCAAATGAAGGAACAGGTGGAAAAGGGCAACCTTCGACATATCACGGTCCTCCACATACCCAGAGATTCCCATAGTATGTCAAATACATCTCATAAGTCTCCCGGTTTGACTGAACATACCTTTTAGTTCACCGTAATCTCCCGATCCTGCCCATCCGTCGTCTGCGCTCAATTTCTGTGCAGCTATGGGACCACCATAGTCAACCCGACGTCACTGCCGGTTTTCCTGACTTGGGTCTACTCGAATGGTGGATTCAAAACTTTGAGCACTGCAAGAACAGCGATATCCAACGCGTTACGTTTCGTGTCTGCTACGACTCTGTATATAGTCCTTCGGACGATTACTCGGTTTGGAGGAAGCTGGATAAGGCTTGTGCGGCGATGAGCTCCCTTCGCTCGTTAGAGATCGTTGTGCTGCGAGATAGCCTTGCGGGGATGGAAATTGATATTATATTGGCTCATGGCATGCGCGCCATTGAGGATCAGCTTACTCTTTCCAAACAGCGTGGTATCGTCTCTGTGAGCGAGCAGTGACGAGGCAGATAGCTGGTTATTAGATTCAATGTTAAATATGTTGGATTTAATCCGTGCTGTTGCCTGGAAATTTATGTACGCGTTTTTGGGGGGACAAATAGTGAAGATGAAGGCTCGAAAAAAATGAACCAGGATTGGCCTTCTCCATATAGGCTTGTGCGCTTGATATGCGCCTTCGGATAGGCATCAGGCTGCGTCTTCGGTGTCCATCCTGTAGCATCGCTTACGAAGTAATTGGCCGCTCTCACGATGACAACCGGTGGTGTAAGGTGAGTAACCTTCTCAGATGGTGGAGCACGGACCTCGGGCTGACATCCAGGACAGAGAATCGAGGGATTTCCATTCACCATTCGTGATAGGTTTATTACATGAGTCGTTACCTTGTATTGAGCCTCAAGCTCACGCGCATACTATTCCAACTTATGAGCTGCCTCTGCCAGGCATTCTTCATTGAAACGCTAAGGAATGTTAAATAAATGATAGGTACATAGATTCGCAAACCAGTGCGATCTCCTATGCAGTATAAGGCCTATCTAATCCAATAATAGATTCGACCGGATGGTATATGGAGAGATATGCAAGGGAGTCTCTTTAAGCAACCCAGTTCCAGCTTACTCCAGTGAGACGTCCAACGCTGGTGCTGGCAAGCTGCGAGAATGCAGTGGGAGAAAAGTCGAGGTCGTACATTCCGGCGCACCCCATGCATTTGTCTGTGACGGTAACGGTAACTGACTTTCCTCCGTCTACAGGAAACGTATGATTGAGACGCGCCAGTGAATGAGGAAGAAAAAATCACGTACGGGTCGCGACCAATCTCTTGTTGCAAATCGGGTTCCTACACAACGGCAGTGAGTTGATAGAGGTCAAACGAGTTATGAGTTAGATTCGTACAGGTTGGGGTTTGCGGTAGCACCACTTGGAGGTATCAGCTGTAGGGAAGAAAGGCATTGGAAAAGGTGACGTACGGATACGAGTCGTATAGCGAGTGCGAGACCGCTACGATCATGTCCGATGCGGTGTTGGTTATACCACAGGATCCTAGTCCCGGATAGTACCAAGTGCCTATAGATCAAGTGAGTCAAAAATGTCAGGACCAGTTGCGAAATCCCTCACCTTCACCGACGTTAGCTCGGGGAACGAGCGGCAGGGCAGCCGAGAGAAGGGCAGTGACGGAAAGGAAGGTGAGGATTCTTGCGAAGAACATCATGGTATGGCGCAGTGAGGTGGTATAAATGTAAAGAATGAAAGTAGGGGGCGAAACGAGTGTTTGTAGGATGAATATTTTGTCATTGTTGAGGATATGGTCGAATTTATGCGCGCGCGAAAGGCCTGTGTTTGCGACCGCCTTGTGCTACTCTGCGCGAAAAGATGGTCCGTAATCACGGGAGTCGGTAGGTCGCATGGTCCATCAAGAGTTGAAAACAGATGTGTTGTTGAGATGGCATGCCGGGAGGGAGGCAAGACGCCGGATATTTTCTGGGAATACATTTCATTGTGCGTTAATGTCGCAACAAAGGTCGGCAGCAGCGGAAAGACCGGGATTCACTGTCTCTAGTACAGAGGTGCCTCGTATTCATTCTTTCAATGATGGTAGACATCTGAAACAAGTCCATCTATTGAATGTGACGACATAGCAACGGTAAGGAGTGGATCATCAAACTTGGGAAAACCTTGCAGTTACAACGCGGGAGTCGCCACGCCACCCCAAGCCATCTACCTTGCGGGAGGTAAGTACACACCTGTGATCCACCCCAGGGTATGCCAAACAACGTCCTCGTTTGAAAGCCTAGAATTTCTTCCCGAAACCGGGACAATGAATGCAGGCAGGCACATAGGTGAATAACCATAGAACCGGGGATGAAGAGAAGGTGGGTCTCGGTCCGGTCTGCAGACTGAATCCCGGCTTATCAAAATCTAGTTATCCAGGAATCGCGTAATCCCGTGTACTCTGCAGAGGACCAAGTGCAATATGGCGATTACACGTAGAAACATTGTCTTGGGAGACGGTACTATTTTCTGATTTATGAAGGTCCGTAGCGGGGCCTACTGTTGAAAGAGCGGACGCAGGGCGAATGGAACCGGACTGACACCTGACGACAGAGAGGCTTATGTAGAGGGCACGAGACTAGCTCTGAGCACTGTTAGAGATGTAGACCTGGTTTTTCACAATGATAGCACCCACCAACCACACGTATTTCATATTTAGAAAGTGGATCCAAGGCGGAGAGTTGCCTGAAGGAGTACTGTAATCTGTTGATAATCATCGTTTTGAACTTGTCAGTTGGAAAATACCCCGAACCGAACCATCCTGGGATGGAGAATAGAGCCATCATGCGCGCCTTGCTGTTCACCGCAAGGGTAAATAAAGACGCAGGAAGCGAGGAGCACGGAGAACCATGATCTCTGATTGACGCTGACGCTTCGCAACCAGTTCCTAGCTGTATGCTGAATCCGACATAGAGAGATAGGATGTAGCCCTCAATACAATGCACAGTCCCTTGATACGAGCAGTATATAAGGATGGAAAGTGAGGGACTGAGGAGATAGATGCGTGTCCTACTTGACAAAGGTGAAGATTGACTGCTAAGGCTGTCTAAAAAAATACTCCAGCCTCTGTCACTCCGAGGAAAGTGAGAGAACTTCACACCACTCAATGCCACCGTCGTTTTGTCTCGTCAGCCTTATATTCCTCCCCGAGATAAGTTGACAGCAGCCCAGTGTAGATGAAAGTTAACTGAGAGTATCGGATGATCGGCCCGGGAACGGTTTACCGGAGTCGACATTCGAAGGATTCAGAGGGAATGTGCATATTCGCTGTCATTTCGGACTCATGCACTAGTAGATAATGTTGCTACGACTGTCATTACTTCTCACAACGAGCCATCGAGGTCGGTAGGAGTAGTTTACTTCTATTTACCTGAGCTGTATCAGCGGAGATGGCCAATCAATCCAGTTTTCCAGTATTCCCACGGCATCTGATTCTGCCAATATCCCCCTATCTGGCTCATCTCAAATCTTGTTCACTAGCTCCTTCACGTATTCTTATAGGTCTTACGAATGCATATATGTGAGATCATATATAATTTCCGTCTTATATTGAACTTATTAGATATCCAGGCGAGTATTTGTGGACCGACAAGGCCGCTTTTTGTATCTGTCACCGCAACAACGACCAACCCAGCGAATATATCGAGACAAAGGCGAGAGAGGAACTAAAAGCAGCACAAGGAATATTGGACATTGCTGAGCCTGGTAGTCCAGCCGAAAGGACATAGAAAGCCGTGGTCCGCTTGCTGCAATCCCTCATCTCTCCTTTGCGGCGGTTACCCCCAGAGATTCTCCTAGAAATTGCAATCTGCAACGTCGAAGACAAGAGCTATGGTGGATATCCTGGCGGACCTTGGCTCTTTGCACGGGTCTGTCGAAAATGGAAGGCGGTCGCATTATCCTCCAAAGCATTATGGAGTACAGTGATTCTCAACAACACTTTCTTATCCTCCCTCAATTTACGAAAAAAGGCACAAGTTGTCCTTCTTGAGCAGCTTCGGCGCTCAGGAAGTATGCCTCTTCGCATATATCTCAATTTTGAAGACGTCTCTTACTCCAAGTCGACAATGCGCATCCTCACTGACGTCGTCTTGCAGGCTTTCCGATGGAAATCCTTCGAATTTCATGCATCAGTGATGTTCTTTCATTACATGTATCTGAAGGTTGAACACTGCCTTCCTATCCTCGAGCAGATCAATCTTCGTATCACCGACACTGGCACGCTCTCCAAAAATGACGGAACATATCTCATGTTCAGTGAGGCGCCACATCTCTGTGATGTCGAGCTCGACACGAACTCCTCAGATCCTTTCGACTTACCCTTCCCCCAACTCACCCGGTATATAAACCACTTCAACCGGGACAAGTCTCATAGTTAACGGATTTTTTCGAATTTACATCCCGTCGTTCGTTGCTCTTCCAGCATAGTTTCAGTGAATATTAAAATGTCACTCGAGATCCTTTTTACTGCATCGGAGATGGAATCCTTCATCGTCAATTATACCAGCTGAGGAAATCCCAGACTGGTCCTACAGCTTTACACCTCAGCTCTGAAGTCTTTGTTAAATCCGCTCTCCACCTTGCACCTGCGAGCCAAAATGAATGAAGAAAGTTGCATATCCAGTGTCTGACATGCTTGGACGTTCTTTTTTTTTTTGTAGAGCGTGTACTGGTGTACTTAGCAATGCTGCAATTGACTACGTCAAACCAGCTCGCTCGCTTGGGGAGGAGGGGCAGGCCCCAATGGACGGAAGAAAGTTTTAAACGAGGTGACCCGGAAGATCTACACGGGGAAATGCTATTTACGTACGACTATTCAAGTCCGTGTGGGTCTCGGTGCCTTCCTCGCGGCCTTCGTCGGCCCGGCACCATACCCACTAAAACCCCGGTCTGATACGTCCAGTCTTCCGGTAGGGCCTTCTCGTTATACAGCGTTCCTCGCCATGTCGCTAAGATTGTCTTCTTCTTCAGTGCCTTCGATCCATACTTGCATCTGTTGCTTAATAGACAATCTATCATCAACCTACGGTTCATCGCATCAGTCCACAGACTTCTTACTTCATCACGGGTGTGCCATTTTGTGGTGTCATCATCTCCTCTTTGTATCCGGCGCTGACATTGTATTTTCCAGATGAGGTGTACGGTTTCTGTCATCAATATTCTGTACAGTCTCGTCGCACCGCGGTCTACTTTCCCTTCTGTAGTCCGGATTTGCACCAGGGTTGCTCCAAGAGCTACGCCGTAGGTCGGGGGGATCCACGCCTGGTTTTTCTTTTCCCACAACTCTTGCGCTAAATTCCATAGTGTGGCTCTCCCTTCGATTGAGCATTCAATCAAGATATGCTCCATCGACTCGGGCACTTTGCAATGCGGGCATTCTCCACGCGGTGCGTACTGGGGCCCTAGCCGTTCCCAGAAATGTCCTATCTTAAAGGCATTCTGTAGGGCTTTCCATAATGCTTGGAGGTTCTTGTATGTGAACAAGACCAGCAGCCTCATTATGAGTCCGACCGGTCGACTGGTCCATCGTCGCTTGCGAATCGTTTGACAAACGACACCTTTACCGTCACAATCCTCAGGTTCTCTACGCTTACCGCTCAGCAGCGTGGTCTTCACTGCCCTCCTGTAATAGCGGCAAGTTTACCGAGGCCCACGGACAGCTGAGCTGCAGAGGAGAGCAGAGGAAGGTCAGAAATTTGATTCTGGTTGGGCTGATCCTCGGCTGGGGTATCGTTGCTCAACAGCATGGGCGAGAGAGTTGTTCCCGTGGAACAGCGGTAGATGTGCATGACTCCTGAGGCCTGAAGGGCCAGCATTTAAAATTATACTCTAATTCCGCTCCTTACAGTGCTCCTATAAGGCATATCTGTGCGAAAATTGAGCCATTTTACATATCTTCTCATGCTTATGACATCTCCGGGCCAGTATCTGTGGAGAAAGCAAGACTTCTTGTGTCCAACATTAGGGGAGCTCAAAGTTGAGCGAACCAGTTTCAGGACAAAATACGTCGAGGGAGAGATGAGAGCAGAACTGAGTGTCGGCATACTGTACCATTTCGACCAAGTGTTCATAAATTTGGAAAATTTTGGTCGAAAAAAATACAAAAGAAATCGGAAAAATCGAAATAAAATTATTCGTTACTGAACACTTGGTCGAAATGGTAGTTATGGTACAGTAGGGTCATACAAAAGGCAGTAGTCAGCTCTCACGCTCCATTTTCATGTCGCCTCAGGCACGAAATCGTGTCATGAAATTTGTGCTTCAGTTTTTGCCGCCAGCACATTTTCTGTTCATATCTGGCGAGCTTTATATTGGCGAGAAGATAGGACGGTGATTAGATTTCACCTTAACGTGGGAATCATCCCACGTGGCCGCGATGTCGGAGCGGAGCGCCGAGCGGTCTAATAATTGTCTTGACTGTCTTTCTACCACCATCTACAGAGCTGGTCAAGTACAGCAGAACAAGCCAAATGCACATATGTACGTCAATTCGTGATTCTACGCTCACATATTCACTTGACATCCCTATCCCTTCCTGTTTTCTTCTAGGCAATTATCTCACAACAAGCAGCGATACCTTCTGTGTTCGCCGCTCTAATAATTGTCCTGATGCACGCATCGCATCGCAGGCTCGTAAGGAGCTAGAGGTCGCCCAACAAATGTTGGAGAATCCTACGGCGAGTGGTAGAACTATCAGGGTCCAACAAAATGTCGTCCAGACCTTAAAATCGGTTCTCTCGTCCTTGAGATGCCTCCCACCAGAAATCCTCCTCGAGATAGCCTTTTACTTCAAGGATGAATATCCATGCCACAAAACCGAGAGTCCTTTGTGGCGTTTCTCCCGTGTTTGCAAGAAATGGAGAGCAGTAGCTCTATCCTCCAAACAGCTTTGGACGACGGTCATCATTGACTCATACGTGATGTATTCAGACTATCCCCTCGAGGGAGGGGCGGAGAACGACATTCTTGCTGAATACTTACGGAGGTCAGGAGATGCCCCTCTCCAAATCCGTGCTAAATTCGAGGGTATCTATGACGTCGACATTACCATCCAGCGAAAGCTCATTAACATCCTTATCTCGCATTCTCATCGCTGGAAAACTCTTCATTTCACCGCTTCCGACTATCTCTGGCCTGAGATGCGTCATATCCGAGGGCGTATTCCCATCCTAGAGTGCATTACTTGTATCTCTCTGTTCGAATCGGAGCTACCGTCACAGGAACGTGATAAGTTCTTCCCAATATTCTCTGATGCTCCCATGCTGCAAAGCGTTGACGTTATGATGGACGAGCCGATACCGTTTATCCTTCCCTGGAACCAGCTAACACATTACCGGGACAACTATGATGGCCTCAGGTCCCGTCGGGGTCTAGAGGACCAGTTCTTTAGGGGCTATGAGCGGCTTCGCGAGTGCAGCATCCTTTCGAGGACCCCCGCTATGAGCACCTCGCAGTCTCTACTTCCTGACCTAAACTCCTTGGTCCTAGCGTCCCCCGCTTCGCTAAAGACCATCACTGCACCCGCCCTCCAATCCCTAATGCTTTACTACAAGAAACCTAGACGCGCCGCAGAAACTATCGTGGTCAATATGAACGTCATCTCTCATTTCATCTATCGTTCGTCATGCTCTTTGACGGTGCTCGTTCTGTCAGGGAACGTCAATCCGGAACATGATATCAAGGGTGATGATCTCGTTCCCCTGCTGGAGGCATGCCCTCGATTGGTGCAGTTGCATGTGTATGTCGTGGATCTGCAGGCACATTTCCTTCAGTGCCTGACGCTATCCCCTACGTCAGGTGTTGTTCCTATGCTGGCAGACCTAACACTGGACGCCTCTTCCCTTCTGGCTCCTAATATCGGTTTCCTCTTATCCGTGCTGGAAAGTCGTCTTAGAGAGTCAACAGTGTTACGAGAAGTCTCGGTTAAAGGCCCAAGTACCGTTATCATACCAGACGACCTCCTCGGCCGCTTCATATCATTGCGGCAGAGTGGCTTCCGGCTTCATATTGGTGTACAAGATATGGATGACTTTAATTGTGAGTCCCTTCCAGCGTTTTAGGGAATAAATTTCTTATTTAACTGATTCATCGGCCAAGATCTCGAGAGAATGCAGCGTTGGCGGGATGGCTGGATCTAAGATGGGCGATGGCTACGCTGCAGTAGAACCACGCATCTATCTAACATATGTGTATCCAGTCCAAATATATGAGCCATCCTTATTCTTTTTTCAAGTGCCTCACGGGCACAGAGCACATCATATTCCAGCGTTATCCAGCGGAGAGATGGCAACGTTCAGCCGGCAAATTCTCGCTTTCAAGGGCCACTCAACGCTCTTACTGACGAAACACGAAAAAGTTGGTTCTCAACAAGTACGTATTTCGTCTCATACCACGGTAAGACCTCGTGAAGAAAAAGAGAGAATGACAGGAAAGTAAGAGATAGGCGACTGTCTGACTGGGTGAGGCATCACAAGTAACGAACACCTCGTTTAAACCTAGTGGATCTAAGTTGAGTACCTTTGACTTCCCTTCAAGCGAAATGCAAATCCTTACCAAACAGGTCTACAACTACTTCCAATCTATCCTTGTATATCCACGAAAGTTCACTCGCTGGAATCAAAAATGTCAACCTGAGCACCACCGAAATGACTACAAGCCACGTACAGGAGCGACAAGGTGATATCGCCGTTGACCTTGGCCTGGATGGCGATTTCAACCTCGAGGTTGAGGTCCAAACGGAGCTTCAAAGCTTCCTTGGGAGCAACAGCTCCCTGATTGGAACGGCCGACAACCTGCTGTCCGCCGACAGAGGCGAACTCGGAGGGGGCGTATCTGGTAGTGGTTTCTGGGGCAGACATGTTTTAGCTTTGGTTGCTGAGGATTGAAACTGGCGAGGGGACCCCCTTATATGAGAATTAAGGGTACGGCTGACGGAGGATGTCGGTAAACCGAGTGCCTTGCCGTAGGAAATTAGTCTCGAAGGCAACTCGAAGATGTGGAAGTGAAAACCGCGATACGTAAGGTTCTGATTTGTTGACCACGCAGCTTGCGCCAATCGCTGGACCGGACAGTTGTCTGCTGATATCACCTCGAGGCCTTCTGACGACCGACTCGTCGGGGAAGTTACGAGAAAATATAGAGAAGCAGCTGTAGACGCAAGTCGGACAGGTGTTCGTGGGTCCAAGCTCCAAAGCAAACTTGGTCAGTGAGAACGTGCGTCCTCATCTCTTATCAAAATAGCAAATTAGCCCGACGTTGAATGCTAGTCAACTTCTATTCGGAGACCCACTTTGTAACCGAAGCCCTGAAGTGGGGGGCCGTAGAAGAGTCCTCGAACCTAGACCTACAACATGAGGCAGCAACGTCCGTTCCGATCAACACAAAATGACGGAAAACAAAAGACGAACGGTTTGCTTCCCAGCTTCGTGCGTGGCGCAGGATTTGAGATGACGGACTTGAAGCTCGGAGTCGCGCAACAGCGTCGTATGTTGAACCTGGCCATTAACCAAGGTCCACATTCAGATGGCAGTGCCAAGATGTCACCGGAGAAAACCACCAGCAATAGATGGCATACCCTCAATAGAGAGCTGACGCACTTTAGTAACAAGTGTTCAAAGCATTGCCGACCGTCTGATCTTTCATTAATCAGACACGCCCAAGTAAATCGCGGGGGATTTATTAGTGTAGTCTTAGTAAATCCTATTGTGGATAGAAACCAACATCAGAACAGAGCCAGAGATCCGTGAGGACGCACCTTGCAATATATCGACTACAAGATCGGAACATGGTCATTGGTGTGTAACATGATACGACAAATCCCCCTTCGCACGGCCGGCATACTTGGACAGTCGTCTGCCATCTCGGAGTCTTGCGATCTAAGATTATGTTAGGAGTACGGTTGTCGTTGCTTGGGCAGGGTGAGTACCATCTGAAGGTTTGAATGATTGTAAAAATAGCATGGCCTGGACGTAGCCATGATTATGTTGTGTCTTGGCACTTTAGTATTCAACTCGCACAAACCCAGAGGGACATCTGTAGAAGTACGAACAACCAAGTTCTAAGTCTCTAGGTTGAGAACATTAGTTTAAATCAGCGCGGTTAGTGCAGGAAGAATTCATCACTTACTAGTACTTCCACTAACAAACGTCGATCCAACACTGATTATTGAGATTCAACATCCTACCGTCGTCGCAGACGCTACTTCACAAAACGTAATGACATAAAGAATCGTTACCAGACGCACAAACGAATGGAGAAAGAGAGAAAATCCAAATCCTCATCACCAAAGTAGTACAGAGTGACAATGAAGACCTACGCGTAATCGATGTATTGTATATGCGAGACCAGTAGCAGAAACAGAAATCCACTTCCTACATTAACTTCTATCCTATTCCAACCAGCTCGTTGCTTAGAAGCATTCTGAAGAAAATGAAGGATCAGGACGCAGTCTGACATAAAAAATTGTAGGCACTTACTGCGGTGAACGATACCAGGACCGCTTTCGTCGTACTCCTGCTTCGAGCACCACAAGTTCTGGAACGTGGAGAGCGATGCGAGAATAGAACCACCAATCCAGACGGAGTATTTGCGTTCGGGAGGAGCAACGATCTTGACCTGTACAAGATATTAAGTCGGCAGTTGCCTATACATTGAGATGCACTGACCTTCATGCTGGAAGGCGAGAGCGACGTCAGCTCCTTCTGCATACGGTCAGCAATACCAGGGAACATCGTTGTACCGCCAGAGAGGACAACGTTTCCGTAAAGGTCACGACGGATATCAAGATCACACTTGAAGATGGAGTTGTATCTGCATTTGTCATTGAGCGACAAGAATAGAAGACGTAGTAGTGAACATACGTTGTCTCGTGAATACCAGCGGCTTCCAATCCCAAGAAAGCCGGTTGGAATAGTGCCTCAGGAGCACGGAACCTACGAGAAACATCAGTTATACACGTACTACCACAATAGTGCAAGATGAACGCACCGCTCGTTACCGATGGTGATAACCTGTCCATCGGGCAATTCGTAGGACTTCTCCAGGGCACTGCTCTGCGCAGCGGTCTGCAGCTCCTGCTCGAAGTCAAGGGCAACATAGCACAGCTTCTCTTTGATGTCCCGGACAATTTCCCTCTCGGCCGTGGTGGTGAAGGGGTATCCACGCTCCATCAAGTTCTTGATCAAGTACTCGGTCAAATCACGACCAGCGAGGTCGAGACGGAGGATAGCATGAGGAAGAGCGAAACCTTCATAAATGGGCACGGTGTGCGTGACACCATCACCGGAATCCAGGACGATACCAGTGGTACGACCGGAGGCGTACAGAGACAAGACGGCCTGGATAGCGACGTAAAAGGCAGGGGCGTTGAAGGTCTCGAACATAATCTGGGTCATCTTCTCCCTGTTCGCCTTGGGGTTGAGGGGCGCCTCCGTCAATAGAACTGGGTGCTCCTCAGGGGCGACACGGAGTTCATTGTAAAAGGTGTGATGCCAGATCTTTTCCATGTCATCCCAGTTCGTGACGATACCGTGTTCAATGGGGTATTTCAACGTAAGGATACCTCGCTTAGATTGTGCTTCATCACTGTATCGCTAAGATAAGCGGCGTAGATGCGAGAAAAAGTTGAGCACGGACCCAACATAGGAGTCTTTTTGGCCCATTCCGACCATGACACCCTGGTGACGAGGGCGACCGACGATAGACCTAGTTCTGGTGAGTTTCCTGCACGTTATTAGCAAGAAATCGAACTCACGGGAAAAACTGCGCGAGGAGCATCATCGCCTGGAGAAAACTGTGATTCAGCGCCAACAGCAACAAGAGAAAGTGAATATCTGTACCAGCAACTGCAAAAAGATCAGTAATAGAGCAAAAGAGGCGTAAAATGGGACGCACAGCCGGCCTTGCACATTCCGGATCCATTGTCAATAACCTGGAAAGGAGATCAACTTGCGCCTGCATCCAAAGGGCGATAAACCGTACAAGTGCTGCGACTTCTTCCTCCATTATGCTAGTGTATATGTTCTGTATCCCGCCGTGAGATAAGGAAAAAGGAGAAAGGAAGGGCTTTACCTTTTGATGGTCGTGGATGAGATGAAAACGGGCAAAGGGCTGAATTCTGCAGTGCCCTGTCGCACGTTATCGGATGGGTTTAGGGCAGGCTTTTATTTCCTTTTTGGGATGTCTCTGGTAGTGTTTCGATGACTCGGCTTAAAGCCGCGCGCCACGCCAGTCAAGCCGAACTAAGTCACGCCGATGTTGCCGAATGACTTCGGCAAAGTCACACCACAGTACCGGCTCGGCGCGGCTTAGCGCGACTTGAAGTTGCCCGAGCTTCGACTTGAGTAAAAAAATACCGAAATGCTATTTTAGGTCGACTTTGATTTTTTCCCGCAATTTCTCCGAAAATTGTGGAATATTACGTTACCTAAAATCTATCGATGAGCTTCCATTTAAAGCAAATGCATGAAGTCATAGCTTGACCGGCTGGAGCGGCGTGACGGCAACTTGGCTTCAAAGCCATCAAAAATTATGACTTAGTGAAGCCGTTGAAGCCGAAGCCGAATGGAGTCGCGCCGAGCCGCGCCAAGTCATGTTATCGAAACACTAGTCTCTGGTGGCGCGCAGCTTCTTTGGCGCTGACCATTGCTGACTTGCGACGACATCGCCTAGGCTGTGCTCAGTTGATTTTTCGGCTTCTATTTGCCAATCTCTGCCATATTTTTGAGTCCCCTCATGCGTGTATCTTGCTTCCTTAAGTTACTCTCTTGGTAGCGAACAAGTTCATGGCTTGGGACGGCAGTGGTACCAATCAAGTTCTGCCAGTGCTGAGCCTGGTTTTCTAGCTCCTACGGCGCCCGGGATTGCGTAAAACTGCGGCATGACATCACCCATGGGGCCTTTGCCGTAAGTGCTTAATCATTCCAAAGGAGGCTGTCCATATCGACATTGGACTCGTAGTCGCAGGGTGGAATGAAATCCAGTCCAACTTCAGCACCTTACTTTAGGTGATGATCACTTTAGCTTACCTTACATACCTAAATATCTGATACACTAAGCAGGGGGAATGAAAAGGCTACGTCGTATACCTTACTATGTCCAGACACATCTGGCAAATTTGTACTTCAAATGCTCAAAATCGAATGAAAAGGGTAATTTACACTGTAGTGAGATTTTGGAAAGAAGAAACAAGACAAGTTAAAGAATTCAGTACATATTCACAAGGGGCTAGTAGCAACGGGATTCCCTCATTGTTTTCACGTCTGGAGCTGCCTCACTTCTGCTTTACCGTTATGAGCATCATATTATACTCACGTGTATAGTGGGTAACGGGCAAAGTACACCTTGCAATCTGGTATACAAAAAGTACTAAATGATACGCCAGCTTAGTACAGATTGCGCTGTCAAACCAATGGGCACTCGGGTAAGGCTGATGGGATTAGAGAAACAAGGGTGGAATGATGCGAGGAATTCCGCATGACATACTAAATTCAAAAGACACGTCATGTTTCTGATGGTAATAGGAATCACTGCGAAATTAAGTGCAAGAAAACGAGTCCACATGGATCTACAAGGTGCAACAGGTCTTCCCCCGCTTCTGTCTATCCTGTCAGTGGCTTGAAGCCCACCATCTACGCAGATCCAAGTCAATATTAGAGGATTTAGAACTATCTCATGGAATACCAGCGAGAGACCAGAGTCACTGAACCTTCCCGGGTATACTACGCACCAAAACATGACGAAGGAAGGAACGGAAGTTGCCGTAGAACTGCCTGCGGCATTTCCCGCATCTCGATCCATCCTTATCAAGTGTGCCAACTACCACTTCAACCGCAACCACCACCATCAAGCTATTTTCAAGAATGCCGCCCGTTAGCAACGTCGCCCACCCTTCACTATTGCTCTCTGCTTGGCGCGTCGCCATCGCATTTGCAGTTCTTCTTGGCTTTGCCCTCACGCTGTACACGCTCTCCTTTTGCTTTCGCACTACGAGCCCGCCTTCACCGCCGCCAGTGTTTTCCTCAGAAAAACACAGTGTCAAGAGACTGTCTTTGCCGTCGAGCGCATATTCGCTTTCACCGCCTGTACCCTGCGTAACCAAAATGGACGATAATGATATCCCCTTCTTTGCGCCCTATCATACGAACATTACGCCTGCGGACCCAAAGCTTCAGCCGGTGACTGGATACTCGCACGGAGTCATGGCCGCTGGTCGTAACTTCTTGGCTGGAGCGAAGAAGAGCAAGGGCGGGCGAATGTTGTCTCTGCGTTAACACGCTGCGACTGTTGGTTTTCTGTGGTAGCTTTTTGGGATATTGGTTGTACTGGTTTTCGTGCGCGCTTCTTTACATTTATTCATTCCCATCATTTTCATGAATCCCACGCTCCTTCATCACGCCTCATTCATTTTATGTGCATGTCTACTCCACGGTCATAATGATATCATTAGTTCTAGATGGTCGCGAACAAGAGACGATTTTTCCATTGAAGACATCTATGAACAACGCTCAGTTGGCGTGTCTGACTTATCTGCACGTTATCTTCACTGTGCCTTTTCCTCAAAATTCAACCCGGTATGGTGGGGCGCATTAGGACCTGGTTCTCGCGTATACCATGCGCTAAACTTCAGTATTATTTAGCGTTCAATCGGAAGACAGAATCAGATCATTTCATGAAATTCGGTTGGTTTCCAACTTGTCGGTTAGGGCTAGCACTAATCAACATGTGTCATCTGTAGTGCTTTCAGAACTCATCTACAGGGTCTTCCGTACATCCCGTTCTTTAAGGTCATCTCTACCTGCGCCAGTCAGATTCAAAGGCATATATCCACCTCCTTCCGCCGGACAAGCACTGCCGGATGGTATCTTGATGCGGGTAAGTACTCTAGATCCCCTGTCCGAATCAGACGGCCATCTCTATGGCCGTTTGACCGTCTACCATCAGCTTCGCATACGATTGTGGTCGGAGCCGCTTTTAATTCTGACCGCTAATGGTAGTCGCCCTTTAGCCCTTTCTTCTTCCTCCGATAAACCGGATCGAAGGCTCCTCGGATTCTCAGCCAATGTGAGTCGGCCACCTCATCTTGAGGCAGTGTAGGACTTCGATGCTTTTGGTCCGCAGGTTGATGCACCTGCAAATTTTAGGTGTTTTCAGGCTTTCCCGACACATGTGATGCCGTTAATTTACTGGTAGAGCATCGGACAGCACACATGGTGCATCGACCAATAACTCTGCTCCTTGGCGATGATCTATTTTCAGGACCCCGCTATCCTCGCTTTTTCTTTTTCGTTTGGCAAGGATTTACAAGATGAGCATCCCCCCATGTTCTCCGAGATTTAGGCTACACGACTTGTGGTGAGGAGCTTGTCTCCAACCTCGCTGCTCCCTTAAAACGGTAGTGGTTGCCGTGGGTCCTAAATACATCATCTTCTTTCGCTGACTATACATGCAGCGTGTCCCTGGTTCGCGGGATCAGTTGCTTCTTTTTCCTGTCCCCAATTTTGACACTTGGTGATCTACAGGGTCGGATATCTCTCGGAACAGAATACAACCGCTCTTTTGTTTTTTTCATTGGCCTGCTCTCCTCGTTGCCAACTATTATATTTAGGGCATCCCATTCGAGTTGGATGACATACTCTCCTTGTTGCGGTGGCGGCTTACAGTCGTATCAACGGTGAATGCTGTAAGCTATGGATATAACGAGCTGCGACGTCTTCGTGCCATTCATTCAGCAAAGTCCTCGGCATTGGAGAGGTTTGCACGGTCGCGCAGCAGTCTGACGAATCGATGGCCCGCTCTCTAGCCCGGATTAAGATTTCTTCCCTTGTCCATTGATTCTGGTGGGAATGAGAATCAATTTCGCAAGAACCACTGTGAGAAAATAGTCTCTTGCATTCATTTCATACTAGACATCTGACCTGAAGCCGTTCAGAACGGTTCCGGTCCCTCATTGTCAACTCCGCGAGCGAAAATCACGCCATCGGATGCCCGAACCCAGGACATGTGTACTGGTTTACCGACGTCTATTTCGAGATGTAGACGTCACCTCTGGTTCTGGACATAATTTAGTCAGACCCAGACTGAATTAGGCTACAGTTGAAGACTTTACGACTCTTCCATCTTTCTAATCCTCTTCATATTGGAGCCGGTGACATGGGCATACTATCTTTGGGACTCACGACCGGGGAATATTCAAATTGATGAGAAAGGCGGCTTGTCAGAGGTTGGCCAAAATTGGGTTGCGTAGATCGAGATAGAGGTGTTGAGGTACAGTAGGCCCATTGTGAATGTCCAAGTTGACCCTTCCCCTCATTCGTGGTCGTTTACGAAGCCACTTGCGCTCCCGGTGTGATGATGGTTAGACCCGATATTTCCAATGTCGGGCTTTAATTTGTGGGGACTACTTTTTTTTTTCACTAACCGTCACGGCGACGACGTCGTCGTCCAAACTGTTCGACGCATACGCCCATTTACCGGGAAATAGAGTCGGCTCATCCGTTGGAATATTTTTGTTACTCGCTTGGACGATATCCTCCTGGCTAGTTGCCATCAAGCGCGGCTTAGGATCGAATCGGCTCCGTTCCTTTTCCGGGAACTCTATTGTCGGCGGAGGAGTGGACTCCCTTCCGTTGGAGCTCCTCATCCAACGCTGTTGCGCCCTGAGGATACCGCCGGACCTTTCCAGCAAGTGCGCTAGAGTTCAGACGCTACTGGACCGCCCCCCCCGCCTTGCGCCCAAGTCACCTCGCGCCTCAGAAATTCCTCGACCTTATACGCCTTCGCAATCTTTATTCCCGTTCCTCTTTCCAGTAGGGGGCACCAGGAGGGGGGCTACAGTGTAACCCCGGATTCTCTCGCTGCGAAAGAAGGTGCGTCTTCATGTGCTCCTAACTTGGGGATAAAGGCCCATTCATCTCATTTTTGCAGAAAGCGCGCCCTCTGTTATGCGCATCGGGGAGGAGGAGGAGGGTGCTCTTCGAACCAAAGGGAGACGGCAATGCCATCGGATCACAAATGATGCATCAGGGTTCGTCATATGAAGCTGGAAGGTGCTCAAAGTGCCGGGGTCAGGATATTTGCGATAGGCTAATTGAATGGGGCCTCTAATCCATCCCTTTCAGCTTTATCGCATTGACAGACAGGATGAAAGACTCTCAAGCTCCAACAGACCAAGTCGGAAAATGAGGATACATGATTATTGGAGAATAGACTCGTGGGAGTAACTGCACGGTAATTCCCGTTTACGTCTGTGCAGTCGGGCTGATATGCTGGACAGACAGGACTCGCTGAAACCTGAGCTATTCAGGTTAGAAAAGAATAAATCAGGGAAGACCCTATCTCTGAAATACCAAGACTCGGAGTTGTTGAAGTCCTTACACCCGCATAAGACCACTACGAAACTCGGGCGGGGTCCTGTGGTCTTGAGGCCCTGAACCCGGGCCCTGGCTGTTGCCCGTATCGATTATTGCCACATTACATTGTGAGGCGACACTCGGCATTGCGGCAACTTTGTGTCGTTGAGGCGGTCCTCATGGCAGCAACAGCAACTGGAGCTTCAATAGTAATGTGGCGCGACGCGTTCTAGCGTCTCCCTCGTTCGCGCGGGACGGATTACCATCGACACGAAGTAGACGATATCTGAAACTGCTTAACGAATGATCGGAATTAAGAATGATACAACGGTAGACTCTCTATTTCTTATTTGTTCTGGTCGCCTTGCCATGACCGCAAGCTTGTCGCCCCAGAGTTTTTAGCACCGTCTACCCGTTTCATGCGATTATTCTGGTAGTATTCTTGGCTCCATCAGACGTTCGATATATCGGATCCAGTTCGTTGTTGATCGGAGTAATGATTCCAATAGTACGGCACCGGTACGTTATCATGTCATATTTCATGATAATTTGCTTCTGTTAGGCTTACCCGTTTGTGGAAGTCTGAAGGCCTGGCGTCAAGAAACCAGCGTCTTCATTGAGGTTTAGCGTTACTAATATCCGTTATTTCAAGTTCTTGGTCAACCTCTTGATGTCAGTGCGCCCTCGCTCCGCATCATATCGATCACCTCGTACATGCAGCTGGCGCATCGTCTCTTATAGAAACATCGCGGATCTTCCCTCGACCCTGACAAAGTACGCATCACAGATCCCGAGCGATGGTGATGATACTCTAGGTCGGTCTATCTATGGGCATCCAAGGAAACCTTGTGAAGTGTACAACTGTCAAGGGTCGGAGGCGGAGGTCCTTGGATTTCTCAGCGCTCATTTGCGCCCTGTAAACGGAAGTTCGGATGAGTCAGAGTTGATTAAGCCGCTTTCATTACCGTCATTACCGTTACTGAAGCGGCTTTTCAATTGAATGCGGTAATTATGTGATACCCTGGCGATTCATAACAACCTTCTTCCTCCTAGATGATGTCAATAATTTGTGATTCCAACACGAGGCAGTTTCCGAGGGTACTTCTCCGGGTTTGCCTAAGCTGAAAGGTATGTGAGAGTGAAAGGCGAAGAAGGGGCGGCGTCTTTTGACTGTGGCCGAATTCCCCACGACATCCAGGGAAGAGAATCTGTGCCCAGATCTTTTACACGCCTATCGTAGGTCATGAGAAGCCCAGCTGCAGCAGCTGCATGATGTTTGCATCATGCCAGTCTTACTTTGACACTGCACTTTGGCGTTTTTTCGCACTCGCCGCGATGGAACTCTGATGTCCAAGTGGCAGTCTTTGAATAGAGAAAGCATCGTTATTATTTAATGGATGTACTCCGCAGTTTTACTATACATCTTACCTACGTATCCAACCTTACTGTTTTCCTTCGCAAGAACGCCATCATTACTGATAGTACAGGATCGAGGAGCGGTAGAGAGGCTCCTTACGTTCGCAGGACAGCGGCAGCGATCAATATTAGGGCGAAGTGCCTTTTTTTCGGTGTGAACTTCGCCTGATGGATGGGGGTACGAGAGGTAACGAGCACAGATAAAATATGTATATTACACTGTCAAAACGAGGCGAAAAGAGGATATGTGGACGTAGGGAATAATGCAGACGACATTCGTTAGAAAAGGGACGCCCGCGATAGGCACCGTGATCGGGATAAATACAAACAAATACGGGAATTGCCGAATCCAGTGAAGGAATCAAGCAGTCGGAGTTTACCACCACATTTAACTTGCCATGAATCTGGCCTTCTCTTCGTCCTACATCGTCCCCGCCGTCTTTATCCATGCAGCATGCCCACCCTTCTCTCTTTACCAGCAGAACTCATCGAGGAAACTGCGCTCTATGTTGCTTGTTCGACGTTGGAAGGCCCGTCCGAATTCCTATTCGTTCATTTCGTCTGACATGCAAGGCCATTAACAATGTCTTTTTGTATTCAAATGCTATCCACAGGTCGATTTTCAAGAGGAGGAGGAAATTTAGTCACAGCGCCGTAGCTAAGACGATCGTTCGAGCCCACGTCGAAAGAATATTCGCCAGCTGCTTCAACTGTACGACGACAGTCTGCAGTTTTATCGAGGAGCGACGGGGCCTCGATGGGAAGGAACCTGTGGATGCTGATCATATGTCGACAGAAGAGGTCTCTCTGGGTGCTGACGTTCATGTGTTTGGATGACGACGGTGCCAACACCCTCCAGCTGAACACCGTCGGTGCGTACGAATGGATTCACGAACTCGTCACCAAGCGTTTGCATGACGGTGCGAGTGATAATGGTGGATGGCCGCTCGACAACTGCAGGAATTCTTTGGCATTATGGGTGTTCTGGTCCCTGTCGACTAAAGGTATGTTTCTTGCGATATCGAACTCTTTTTTCCCCCTGATGTTGTTATATATAGAGCGAATCCTATCTGAACCAGAAGATGTTTCTGACAGAATTGTCAACTTGATCCTTCCCTTCGTTACCATCCCCTTCCGGTACCCCATGGCCTTTGCACCTCCCAATCACTTTACCCTCCCACTGGTTTCTCAGTCTGCCGACTTCTCCAATGCAAATACCAGTGCCCGTATACCCTTCCGTACACGCCAAACCCACCTTCTCTCCGTTCTTACTCCCCATGGCCCCTTCCCCATCTACCGTTCTACGGACCCGATTTGGCTCCAGGTGTACTTTACCAGGCGCATAGAAGTAACGTGGCCCCTCATCACTGCAGCGGCGGAAGTTGCTATACTTTGCGAGGAGGGAGAGGTACGCGTTGGGCATGATGCCTACTCTTCCTAGAGATCGCGCAGATGCTATACAGAGGGGAATGACAGGCGCCACGCAGGCCGATATCATCGAGATCAATCGGAATCGATTGGGTGGTCCCAACGGTAAGGACGGCGGCACGAAATTGCCCGACAGCGTCACGAATGTCGGTCCTGATGGCATTGATGAACGGTCGCAAGCCAGCAGGCTGTACGATGCAGACTGGTACCGGCTGCGGTTATGTGGGAACGTCTGGGCTAACAGCCATGGTGATGACGATGAAATCTGGAGACGCGTTAAACTGGGCAAGAAAAATGCTGGTCCGACAGGGAAATGGGACTCGAAGGTTAAAGTTTCGACGCGGGGACGTGTATACTCTCGGCTCGTTAACGGGATTGTGGGCTGGACGTATGCTGGTAGGTGTTCATTTCATCTGCTCGTGGTTGGGGCTGGTGTACCTCTTGAAACGACAGAAACGTACGGTTCCTGCCCCCGTTTTATGCCTATTACCGCGGTGATGACGCGCTGGCATCGCCCGGAGGAATAGTTTGGCGTTCACGACTGGGTGGCAAGCCCGCCTGCTCGACAGATATTCCCCGGGGAGTCGTGCTGGGGAACACACAGCCCCCTCCCTGGTTTCGTTCTCAATATGTTTTACTGACCTGTCACCATTCTAGATTCCAAACGAACAAGCTCTTGCTCAACTTCTGATGGTCCAGAACCCGAATCCCCAGCAGCACAACGGTCATCCTGTACCTCTACCCGCAGGTTTCGACGAAATGCTACTGTCGCTCACGAATCGGCCCATATATATGAGATTACAAGAGTTCGTATCGTATGCCGGCGGCGATATCGTTCCTTCTGGTGCACGCGGACCACAGCCGCTGTCCTTTTATGAAGATGCCGAGGGAGATGAAGAGGAAGAAGAGGAAGAAGACATGGACGATTCGCCCGTTCCCGAGATCACCGACCAGCGGCTACTCGAAGAGTTCGACCAGGGCCTACAGAATGCCTATTTCCCTGATGGCGTCACGGAGGAATCCTTCAAGGGAACGTACGATGGCACTGGCATGCGTATGATTTGCGGTGGGAAGGAGTACGTCTACCATAAACTGGGAGGTACACAGCACGATCCTGATTCGTGTGTTGGGTGTGCGATGAGGGAGAAGCAGGCGATGCCTGCGTGGTCGGAGGAGGAGCATCCGGCGGATATGGTCCCTCTGCCTCCTTGTACGGGCGTGCAGGACGTGATTGTGACAGGCTCGACGGATGATAGACACGGGCAAGCGTGGAACCCACTATGTGTACTACGGTCGCGTGCGACGATGGGATGGGATGATTGGGATTCTGAGGGTCCCGCGAGATAGAGGGCTGGGCAAGTGGTTCTTCTATGGATATATTGTGGGTGGGAAGAACTTTGTGGGAACTGGAGGATTACGCATGAGGATCCGGGGATGCCGACGGTTGAAGGAGCGTTTTGTTATCGAAGGTGACGGAGGAGTGATTTGAATATTGAGTATTTACTATATACCCTGTGAACTTTGGAGACCTGTTGTTGTAATTTTATTGTACTGATTTTGTTTTAATGCTATTGAAAGCATTGGCTATTTTGTATCAGCATAATCTGGATGGCAAGCTGCTTATGATATCCCATTTTTGAAAGAACACGAGAACTCGTGAGGGAAGATTTGCACGCATTACGATGTATTTCGACCTCGGTGGGATACTTGACTGACAACCGCCGAGGTACGAAATTTTATTATTACCGTGTACATCAGCAGGTCAAAGACTCAAAGATTCTGGGTTTCGGTTAATGGAATCTGGAAGCGGAGTTGGTATCCGGTTCATTCACCGCCGGCACGGGATCACGAGTTGAGTATTACCCTGAATATCAATAAGGTCGGAGTGTTCACGATGATGGCGGTTAGAATTTGTCTTTCCGGCGGCTGCTCTGAACCGCGGGCGGCTGGCCGCTGGATGTTACCCTGACGCTTATGGCTGTCAAACTTGTGTATAGGGTGGTACTGAGGTGCGTAGGTAGAGAAAAGTTAAGCGCTCCGAGGCGGAGAAGGCTTCGCGTTGACGTCTTTCCATGGAATCCTTGGCCTCTTCCCGCAGCCATCTTATCGTGTAGGTGTGAGGTTCCCGCGAGCCTAGATCAGCACGTAAAAACGTTTGCTACGCGACTAAAAAGTCCATTTACACGCTTCGCGGCCCCAGTTTCCCCCATATTTTTAGCTGTGCGACATGGATGTTCCTGGTTCGCAAAGTTCCTCTCTAAGTCCTGGTGACCCTGACCACGGATGTTGGTTGCTCCACAGAAAATGAGAACGAAACTCCGCGAGCGCGGACGTTTAACGGGACCGATGCTGTGATATGTATGAACGGAGAATGTACAGGGCGTGAGAACGTAGTTACTTCAGATACCGCAGAGGATCTTTGATTATAAGAGCGTGTGAGACGGGGAGGTTCTGTAGAGTTATTTTTGTACTAACGGTTGACAAGAATGCCGGTAAAATTTACGGGAACGGAGGGCTGGGATGCCGTACAATGCTGTCAGAGGAAGTCCGATAGATTCCCCACCTCTCCGTAACATATTTTACGGCCCTGGAATACACGAAGTAATGAACTTCTCGATCCGAGGCACATGATGAGTCGATCGCCGTGAATATGAGAGAAGGCCGAAGGAAGATAGGGTAAACAGAATACTAAGTGGCGTGGTTATCGAAGGCACAACGACCACATGACATAGGCGCAATGATTTCTGATTAGTATCCAAACGAATCACTGGTACAATTTGTGGCTACTCCTTCTTGGGCTTTGGCTTCTTTCCTCTCAGAGAGTACCATATGGTCCCTAAGAGAACCATAGCCGCACCGGCCCACAAAAGACGCATATCAACGTTGTTAGTCGTCTGGCGCATCGCTACGCTCAGAACAAGGCTAACAGCTTTGCGGACAACGAGAACGAGTGTGACGGTAAGTGAATTAACCCGCGTTGTCAAGCGGTTCACACCGGAGACGCAGACGAGCTGCGTGAGAGTGTTGAGGAGGAGGGCAGGGTAAGCGGTGGGTATCAATATAGATGATATCTTTGGCCCAGCGTGGATAAGGTGAAATTGCGTTGCAAGGTCATTTCGAAGGAGAAAAAACATGGGAAGGGCTAGGAAGTGGAGGTAGAACATAGACTCTTTCCATGCCGACGCGCCGGAGTATTGGGAGTATGTGTGGTCCTGGACGAGACCGAGAAAGCCAGAGAGGATGAGGGCTAGCGATAGAATGCATATGCCTGTCAGATATGTGTTGAGGCCCATATTAGAATCATTGGAAGATGAATTGGATGCGGATAGCGTTGTACAGGCCACACCCAGTGTGACGAGAAGGACGGATAAAACTTGGTGTATATTGTACCTAAGATTCATCAGATAATATGACATTGTGAGCAAAGAGAAATGCATACTTTTTACGAGCGACAGACCACCCTAGTATCATGCTAACAACCAAGCCCCCGCTCCGGAATATTATATGCACAGACATAGGTATCTGGTATGCAAAAGCGGCATTGTTCAAGAGGGATATGATATAAAACAGAGCAACCTGAATAAGATAACGAGAGATGGGAATTCTAGTTGGTGCAAGACGAGGTCCGTAAGAGGTCCAGATGATATGCTTTGGGAGACCGTATAATGAAATGATAGAGAACTGGAAAAAGGTAATGAGGGATCCAGCGGAGGGGTAGTCGGAGGTAAGCTGCTCAAGGCTGACGGCATTGCTGCAGCACCCGCCAAATACGAGGCCCAGCGTCGCCAGCCAGTCGTACATTGTCGTGGTCGTGTCTAAGTCGTGAATTCCTCGTGGTCGTCGTGGTCCAAGACTCGAGTGTAACGTGTCACATCACATGATGAGCGCGTTATTTGTCTATATTTTTCACATATAAGAAGGCCTTCGTCGGCTGTCGTTCGTCCCGCCTTTCTTTCCTTCCCTTCCACATCCCTCTTGGCCGCTTGCTGCTTTATATCCAATATTACGCATAATCTATACATTCTATTCCTCATTCTCTTGTGATGTCGGCTCGTTCGTCCCATCGCCGTCATCCGGCTTCTCTCATCCCAATTTCTGCGCATAACCCGTATCTCGTGAATCTCATGGCTTCCCGAATCTCGCCGGAAATGATAGATTATGTTGCTCGCCAAGCGACAAAAGTCATCCGTCTTGACTGTGACTCGCCTGTCAATGGAACTTCGCGAACATCGTACAAATCGTATTTCGATCCAGCGACCTCGCCGCATTCACTTCGAAATTTCATCGGTCGTATTGTCAAGGAGTCTCATGTGCAGGTCTCGACCTTCATGTCTTCCCTTGTGTATCTTGAGCGACTTCGAAGCAAGCTGCCTACGCTCTCCGAAGGTACGTTGGTGCTTTGGTCACCCTTTTTGCATTACCGCTTACATTGATTTACCTCGACAGGTCTGCCCTGCACAATTCATCGCATATTCCTCGCCACGCTTATTGTGACCGCCAAGTATCTCAACGATTCGTGTCCGAAGAACATCCACTGGGCTAAATATTCGAATCTCTTCACCGTCACAGAGATCAACTTGATGGAGATTCAGCTACTATATCTGCTGGACTATGATCTTCGGTTCAACGAGGAGGAAGCGTGTGCTCTGTTTGCTCCGTACATGTCTATTGTAGCTCGCCAGGCTAGTACGCGAGCGTCTGCAGTCGACAAGGTTGCAAAGGCCAGCAAAGCTAGAGCACTCTCTCAGGAGCAGAATCTCCGACAATCTGTCACATCATCGGAGGACGTTCCTCCTGCGCCATTCCCTGTTTCTCGCCCAATTTCTCTGGTTCGTGGACTCGCTAGACGCCTTTCCATGGCTCACATACGTGCGGATTCCGTTGCCCCCTTGCCTATGCCAACCGCTCTGACATCGAAATCAACGTCGACCACCTCGTCTTCATCAACTTCTTCAAGTGATATCTGTTCACTGGTAGATGATACTGGCTCGTCGTCTAGTTCGTCATCTGGAATAAGCTCGGAGTCAGAATCAGAGACCGAAGAACATGTCGAGCCGCGCGTCTACTCAAGCTCGTATGGTGACTACTACCAAGCCCTGACGCAGGAAGAGATGATAGCGCCAGGCAAGAAGCCTTTTCTTCTTCGTCCGTCGCCTGCATATGTGCACAGAAATCATCACATCACTCAGAATCGATCTCGAAAGCCTTCGGATGCGTCCTCTGTACGCACGATAACGGCGCTCTCTCCGACGCAGTGTTCCTCATTTTCATCAATTTCATCGCTCCAGTCACGTCGAAGCTCGGGCAAGCGTTCGGTATCAGGAGCGACGACTATAGCTACCGGTGTCAAGGAGTCATCTATCACGGCTAGCGTGACAATGCCAGCGATTACAAGAAGTGCTGGCTCAGGCGGGTTCCTCAGTAGGATGTGGGGCGCTGCAAAAGGTCAAGCGTTGGGACACGAGAAGAGTGCGTCTTTGGACTACGATACAACCTACTCCGGGCAAGGGCCGAACACGTTAAAGAAACTTGTGCTTGTGCATTCGAGGGCGGCGAATACGCGAAATGGAGGCGCTTTCAACGTTTAGAGAGCACTGCCTTTGGCGACGGCTCGGACGCACGGCTCGGTGCTCGGTACTACGCATCAAAAAGCCAACACTTGGCTCATACTCTCATTTTTCGCATGGACACTGGATTCGGAAAACTCTTTGGTTTATCATCGCTTCGTTAGAAGTGCAAGGACACTACTCATCCTTCATCCTCATTGCTATCGCATCGCATCGCTATCCTATCATTATTCATCAGCATTTGGGACTTTCATCGGGACGTTACTATAGAGGATTATCATACCATTGCTACATAGATACAGTTTATCATCATGTACCATCGCACATTACTATTCTGCTCAGACTAGGCTACATTACTACTCTATGTATTATTCCTTACATTATATACTACTTAGATACTTCCTGTACGCGTCAATAAAGACAAAAATGAAGGCATAGCCATGAGTGTACGGTGTGACGGGTGAAGGCCAGGCGCCCTACGGGTGAAAGGCAAAAGACAAGAAACGCGACTCTGTCATGTCTGGTTATATTTTCTTCAGCCGCGCTATAAAAATTTCTTTACTTTGTTAATATGTTGCAAATTCGAACGCTCATAGTACGCCGATGATAGATCGATTATCTACCATGACCAACGTTTCCTCTTGTATCCTTGGCAGCCGAGCGAGCCGCGTCTTTATCGACGTGAAGGCGGAATGCCGTACATGAACTTGAAGCAAGTGTCCATACTAGGTGGTTGACTCGCGTGGCAGGACAGAGGAAATACCGCCCTGAGGCGGATGTGGCGCGGCATGTATCAAATTATGGAAAGTACAGGGAAACAGTAAGAGCTCATAGAGAGAGTACTAGCAGCTGCCTGCTTTATGATAGCAGTTCATAAGGGCGGAGAGTCTGTTGAAAAACGTCTGCACAAAGTCCTGGCGTTGAATACTAAATCGGGATTATGAATCAGATCACTGAGTATGCCCAAAAAGAAAAACGCCGGCGATCACGTGGGCAGGCGCAGTTTTGTTCCTGCCACCATATCAGTAACAACCATTGTTCTCCGGCTCTATAAATTATTCGACATGGCCGTCCTAATATTTATCGGAGCCCCCCCACCACCTTACACTAGAATGGCGACGCGTTCGTTTACTTCACGGCGTCGGAGTGAACGAATCCAGGGAATCCAGGCGCGCCAGTCTCGCGACGACGATTCACCGTTACCAGACCCAGTGCCCTCCACGCCTCCCAACAGTAACAACTTTCCCTCTAACGATGACGAGCGGCGGCTGGATTCCTCCTCTGATGACGATCTCCCTCCGTTCCGGGTACCCATGTCCAACAAACTCCAGAATACCCCATACGGCCATGGAAGCGCGAGCCACTCGGTGATCGAATTGCAGACGCAGGACGGCCAGAACCACAAAGTCGTTGAAGCAGATGCCTATCTCAGGGAGGACCTTCGTCATCGCGTCTTTGTCGATTTCGAGACCTTTCTTATCAACATTCTACTTCTTCCCAACGACTGGCGTGTCTCCCTCAAGCTGCCCATTGATGCTGTGAAGAAAGACAAAGCCTTTCAACGACTATTCCAGGAGTACATGCGCCTATGTGACACAGTTGGAACGGGCTATGAGAAGGAGAGGAGTCTGTATACTCCTCATGCAGACCTATGCAATCGTGTCATTGACGTGGTTCGACCCAAATCCAAAAATCGACTTTCGAAGAAGGATCTCATTCAGTTTCACCGTATGGACCCTTGTGTTGTCCGAGGGTCAACCGACAAGGTTTCCCCTGACATTGTGGGCATGCTGCGTGCCATCTTCAACAAGTCCAAGAACGCTGCAGCTCGGGATTTTGTCAAAAGCATCGGCAAAGCGAACTTCAAATCAAAGCCTTCAAACGCCAAGTTCATTCCTGGGTGGCCTCATATCATTGAGGTCAAAGAGATGAAAGCTACTGATGATACCATCGACGAAGGTTATGATGCGATCAGACTATTGACTAAAGGTAATATTTTTCTCGCTGGAGCCAATGTCTTGTGTACTGATTCTTTATGTCAGATGGCAAGGATCCCTTGACGACGAGACCGCAGAAGAAACGTAAATACGCAAAAGATGGACCCGAGGTTGCCGCTTCGGCTGGTCCGCCCTTTGCACAGGAAAGTGAGACTTCACAGGGTGCTTCCCGAGGACGAAAGCGCAAAGCGGACCCTAACAACGAGGTATGTGCATACTCTCTCTGTTCTTGACATTCACTGATAGTATATGTTTAGCAATCTTCGTCAAAATATTCTCGGGTAGCAAAAACAGTATCCTCCAAGGGGAAATTGGCCACCAGCAGGGACCAGAAAGTCCTCGATGAAGATGGCTTCGCGCCAGGGACGGATAGGGCAGAAAAAGCTCGCATTCAGTGTGCGCGCTATGCTCTGCAGATACTGTCAAACGCCGGACTGAGATCCCACGCAATCATAACTCTCATCGACCGCGACCGCATGCAGCTCTCCTACTACGATCGATCCATCATCATTGTTTCCCAAGCCATTGACCTTGCAAACGAAGACGATAAAACGCTTTTCATCGCCATGTTGATAGGATCTCACCGTCTTACGCTCAAACAACGTGGTATCCTTCACCATATCATCGAAGACCCGTATATCACTGATTTCGATCGATTCAACGATGATTCGAAAGATCCGACGATGCTGTTCTCTGGCCTCATCATGCACCTTCAGAGGGAAGGCGAGCCCATCAAGCTTACGTTGGGCAAAACTGTCTATCGTCAGCGAGGTCTTGTTGGCCGTGATACGTTTGTCGTCCATGCGACATGTGCTTCATGGCCTGGCAGGAAGTTGGTTGTTAAAATCAGCTGGCCGAGTGCCACGCGGATGTCGGAAAAGGTGTTACTCGACATCGCCAAGGCGAAAGCCGCCGAGTTGGCTGGCGAAGGCAAGAAGCACTGGGTTCTAGATCACCTTCCGGATATACTCCATGAGCAAGACTTCGAGTTCGATGAAGAGTCGGCGCAAAAGCTGATCGCAAGAATGATGAAGGGCAAGTTTGTCGGAAAAGAGGGCATATACGAAGAACGTGTTCTTCGTATTACCGTTTTGGAAGAGCTGTTTCCGATCACAAGTCTTCGCAAGGATAGCGACTATGCACAAGTGTTTGTGGATATACTCCAATGTACGCTTTCATTTCTTCTTTTCCGTTGTTTATTGTTTTGACGTCAAATTGTAGGTCACAAGTGGCTTTACGACCATCCTCGGATACTTCATCGAGACATCAGCATGGCCAATTTGATGTATCGGATCGACAGCGAGGGGAATGTCGTCGGAGTCCTGAACGACTTTGATCTTTCGTCGTTACTTCCCATCGACAAAGCCACGTCCTTCCGTCGCACGGGTACGCCACCTTACATGGCTCTCGATCTTCTTGCAGAACAAGATGATTCTGGTCCACATCTTTACCGACACGATTTGGAGGCGCTATTCTATGTTATGTTGATGATATGTTGTCGCCACTCCATCATCAAAGAACACCAGCCCCGCGGCGCGTCGCAACTAGAGGAAATTCCCGAAAGATTTTCCCAGTGGTTTGACCGGGGGATGTCTTGGGATATCTTGAGCGAGTTGAAGACATCTTTCTTCAGCAAAAAACCGCTCATTCCTGTATCTGAAAGCTTCAAAGCCTTCCGACCCTGGCTTGAACGGATTCACTATGCATTTTCAGACGGCCTCAGCGCGCGCCGCCAATCGGAGCGGACTGTCCAGGTGGACCAGAGCGAAAAGGATGAATTCGATTTCGACAATACTCAACCGTCCTCCGTGTCTGCACCACTGCAGGAGCTATCACAAACACCATTTAATGAAGAGACCCTAGGTGGATTTATATCATATGGGATGTTCCTCACCAACATGAGGAGATTCAAAGGGAAAGGGCTCACTTTGAAGAACAAGGAGCCCCCCGCAGTGGCGTCTTCGTAGATGATACCGTTAATTCAATCGTTGTACTTGTGACCTCACTATTAAAGACCAATTCTTTTTGTATTGGTTACGGTTCACCAGATATGAGTGTGGGATACAGATAATCGTACTTATCACCAAGATGGACAGTCATACTGAAGTCTCAGATGCGAGAAGGCAAGACTTAAACTTGAACTCTCTAAGTCAACGGACGGTTGTGAACGTTCAAGTTCAACTGCCGCACACTCTGCTAATTGCATCACGTGGGGTGACTGACGCGCAATTCAGCGACTCATTATTTTCAGTTGAAGACTGTTTAACATCGAACCCAACACCCATACATTTCGGCGGGCGACTTCATATTGTTAAAATCAAAGAGGCGAAAGCTTTAGAAGAAAACACACCGAGGTGAGATAACATCAGGTCGCGCTAAGTATGCAAAGTCACATTGGAAACGCGAGGAGACACGAGAATGCGAGTCGCGGCATGGATCCGTGACTCCATCACGTGGTGTGACTGACGCGAATGAACTAGATGAACTTGAGATGAACTAGGTGGGCCGGGATGAACTCAGTGGGCCCACCGACGTGTAACCTTACTTACAACGAACTACCGAGGTAGACTAGTTTACGCTTATTTACCTGAGCTGTATCAGAAGAGGTGGCCAATCAATCCAGTTTTCTAGTTTTCGATGACGAAAGTATCATGGCACACCTAGGGAAGAGCGTTGACCAGCAAAAAGCTGAAGCACGTCAAAACACTTGATTGTATCTGAGATTGACCGCAAGGAAGCAGGAAAAGATAAACATGTGAATATTTAAGGAATACAAGGAGATACAGTGCGCATGAGTGATAGTATAACATGGACTTGATGGATGCTGAGATAGAGAACGTAGATGCAAATAAAAAGAGAATTCCACACATTAGCTGGAATGAAGTTCTAAACAGTCGAGGCAGGTGGTGGTATCGCTAAGAGTGAAATCAGTGTGTTGGCAGAAAACGATATAAAATTGTAGCACCTTTGAACGTTTTCAACGCAACAGTTACGACATACCACTCTCCCACAGCTTGTGACTTCTTCCTCGCCGTCGCCGTCCTTCCTGGACTCCGATTTGCCACCGACCTCGCTGTCGCTGTCGGCGGGTTTCTTCCTTTTATGGGATTGCGGCAGAGGAGATGGAGGCGGATTCGTGGTCGTTGTTGTCATCAGATTTGTGTTGGGTGCATTGAGCGCTAGGGCTGACCGGGATGGCGACAAAGATGCTGTCGGTGGCGACGAGGGTGGTCGATGTGCGGTACATTTTCGGGAACATATCACACATGTCGAAGAACCACATCTGAATAACATGTAGTCGTATCCCTTCAGATACCCAGAAGACCCACCTTGAGCATAATATTGCACACGACGTACGCGTGTTAATTGCACGATTACAAGCAATGCATACGAGACCGCCGGCTGGGATATCCTTGACTTGTTCCAAGGACGTCGATGTCTGCTTCGACGACAGCAACGATATCCGCCGTCTTTTGTTCATAGTACAGGAAGAGGAGTGGTATGGCTACTGCCACGATGTCGCGATTCAGAATCTAAATGCAAAAAGATCCATCAAGGTTGCCGTAAATTTGCCGGCCTAGGGTTGCCGAGCTGTCTCAGGCAGGTTTTCGTTTTGCATAATGCAAATCGGTTTGAGCGGCTTTACAGCGGTTTTCATAATTATGTGGAATTCCCGTTTTGAAAACTTGTATGCTCGTATTTGCATCAAAGGGCCTACCCCAGCCCCAGTCCTTGCCGCGTCATCTTCACTCCCCCCCCCTCTGTCTCTCTCCCTACCATGGATCCAGTGTCTGATACTGAGGATACCAATGCGACTCCTAGTCACAATGCTGCTCTCACAGTCCGATGCACCTTTTACAGTACTGGTACCTCTGGAAAGAAGAAGACCGAGAAGAAGGATGTCAAGACGAAGGAGCTGCCTTTCGTTTTCAGTGCGACGCAGAAGAATTATGTCGATCTTCTCAATACCATTTTGACAAAATTCGGAATCACGAACAGAAAAGCAACAGCAAAACGGGTTTATCGCGTAAAAATTCAGATACCGCCTGCGAAGTACGTCCCAAGATACTATTATCTCATTCTCGACCTTATTGTGTTCTTCAGGCAGAGTGAGGCTTGTGATATAGAAGATTATGCCGAATACCAGGAAGCAACATCAAAGATCGTCGAAATAAAGTCGCATCGTAACCGGTCCATCAGATTTTGTTCAAGGGCTTTTGCAGAGACAGTTTTTCGTGAGAAGTGAAGAGTACGAAGGGTATGAAAGAGGGTAGAGAGAGAGACAGTGATGTTACGATGCGTGCTAAGCTGTTCCTGGATTTCATCGAGATAGATGCAGTGCCGCTGTTTCAACAATGAGCAGATGAAGCGCACATCCGTATGCTCAAGCTTCCGCCTCCTGCCTATGCGATGAACATCAGGATTATATGGCTTGCCGTAGGAGCGAAACCAGCTGAGAGCGAGGTAGACAGTAGACTTCTTGATGCCAAGAATGAGGCATATCTCCTTGACAGTGCGGTCTTGCTCATAGAAAAGAATCGGAATCCTGTCCTTGATGTCCTTGGAAATGACGCGTGTAGGCATGGTAACATATCAGATTGTGGTGGGAAGAGAAAGAGGCATGTATTCGCAGTCGCGGTAATTGGCGGGACCATGGCCTTGCGATCCAAATACGACCACATAATTTTTCAAAACGGGAATTCCACATAATTATGAAAACCGCTGTAAGGCACAGCTCCGTGTCCGGATTATAGACCTATTTTTAGCGCCACCTCCGGTCTGGTGTACTTTAATGACTGTACACCCCACATTGAAGGTAGATAATATGGTATGGTTTAGATGTTATATCGTGTAAAGAATGTTGGACCGGTTGCTGTTTACCGCTGGACCACCGTACGTATAAGGCGGAGCTTTGAAAGTTTGATCCTTAAGTTCACTCGCAACGCATACTACCGCTTTCGTGCTTACTACAACTCTCGTAGACAGACACGAAATGAAGATTAGATTAGGGCGAAAGGGAATGATGTTAGAATGTGTGTACTCTCCCCAAAATAGAGCGCATATTTTGTAGCGCACTGTAACAGTAGCCTAAGTCGGACGTATGGCAAGAAATACTGTTGCCTTTCAAGTGGCTCCGATATCATTTAATAGATAATATTTGACGCGATATTTGGCTTCATGATAATTAAAAAATTACCATCACTCAAATTTGATGTTCTCTCTAAATTCTATCGCCCAATTCCATCATTACATCGGAAGTAGTACACCTGACAAAAGCATACCTGCTCGGTATTACCTTACATGCATTGACCTGTGTCTTCTTTCCGGAATAATGGTATCAGTAACTCCTCTGTATATTACCAGCTTAGATTTCAAGCCGGCCGTATATGGGCCATACTCTCATGGCGCGAGGCTATTGTTCTTCGGGCTCAGAAAGTCATAACGGGTTTGTTCACTCTGATATCCCTTGGATATACCATCAAGATACCGGTTGAATATGCCATTGGTCCAGCAACTGGCACAAGGAGTCTGTATTGATTTTTATGCATTAGTTTTACATTTTTGTTGTTGCCCTTGACCTTTTCCTTGGGGCATAAATGCCCAATCCTAATGTCGCGTCGATACCTGGCCCCGTCGGCCCCGGATCCGGACCACCGTAACATGGCACATTTTGATCAATGCCAGTTAAGCTTAGCTTTATCATGTAAAGGCTCTTACAGGAAAAAATATCAGCGAGTCGCTATTATGGGTCTTCGTGAGAGCAGAAAACATGTTTATGAATGTGAATACTGTGTAAATACATGTTTTCCACAATAAAACGCCCTCATTTTCTCCTAGAAACTACGACAAATCTATATTTATCCCCAAGAGGGAGGCACATCCTCAAGCCGAACAGAGCGATTCTCACAATGCAAATCGAAAACCTGCCTGAGACAGCTCGGCAACCCTACGGCCCGATTTATGGCTTTTGCCAAATAAAGTACAACAATAAATCAGTGTGCATTATTGGACTTGCTCTCCAATCCTTGCCTTGGTGGACCTTTCCAGGTTTTGAAATGTTTAAATCCTCTAATAGGTCTTACTCGAAGCGATGCAAAGTTATGGCGTCACGGTCTTGCCCAATGCGCTACACGCACCACGTGACATAGGCACGAATGTCGGACCGCTGCGGAAAGCCGGGCCGCTGACTTACCAACCTGTCATCTGAACCACTGGGTATCTTTCTGTTTTCTTTATGTTTTTCCTCGCCAAGGTTGCTGTACTGGGCTTGTCCTTGCCATTACTTGTAAGGGCGATTTCTCCGCTCTTCGCTGTGCAGAACGATGCGTACGACGCCGGACTTTTCACCCCACTGGAGGATTTGGACCTGCTCTCTTATTCAAAGTTCACCGCCTTGAGTCATCCGGCTTTTCCGAATTACAACGTCAGAATCAAGAAGACTGCCTTTTGCGATGATACTGTTGCGTGCGTCTTGCTAGATACTCTATCTCATCGCGTCGTCTGAGGGACTGTACTAGGGCTTATACGGGATACATCGACATTGAAGCAAGGCATCTCTTCTTCTATTTCTTTGAGAGCAGGAATGACCCGGATACCGACGATGTCATCTTCTGGACTAACGGAGGTACGCGCCCGTCGCTTGGTTCGATTTGTGGACACCATGATACAACTTTTACCCAGGACCTGGTGGCTCTTCAATGCTAGGGTTGTTCATGGAGCTTGGCCCTTGCCGGATTATCGATGATAGAGGACCTATCTTTCACAAAGAGTCCTGGAATTCTAATGCCAACGTCTTTTTCATCGACCAGCCTATTGGTGTAGGCTTTTCTTACGCTGACTATGGCGAAACCGTCGTGAGCAAGTTTAGGATTCTAACATAATCATTACTCACCTTCTCAAGCGCAACACTGAAGAAGCCGCCAAAGATATCGCATCCTTTGTGGCCATCTTCTTCGAGCACTTTACCAAGTTTAAAGGTCGCGGCTTTCACATGGCTGGGGAATCTTATGGCGTAGGGAAATCTTCCTATTTTCTACTTCAAATCTCTGACCTTTCGTAGGGACGTTACTTACCGCTCTTCGCTTCTGCGGTGTATGACCAAAATGCATACCTAATCGATGCTGGCCTTACACCAGTCAACTTGTCTTCGGTCATGATTGGTACGTATTTTGAATGTCCATCAGAATAGCAGTTTGAACGCGCTATTAGGAAACGGGTTAACTGAATTCGCTTCCATGACCTTATCCTATTACGACATCGCGTGTACTGCTGCTTCTGTTCCCCCGGTTCTGAATATCTCGTGTGTTTCCCGTGCCTTTCATTCTCAACGTACCCTGACTATCACTCTTAAGAACATGCATTCGCATGAAACAAGTGGTCAGTGGTTTCCACAAATCTTATCTTGTTCGCGTCGTTGATACCGTTCTCCCCAGCTCCCTCGATGCCAGAAGTGGATGAAAGCCGCCTGCATTGACCAGTTTGACAACATCAACTGTGATGCTGCAGTCAGTTTCTGCAATAGTGAACTATCTGATCCGTACTTCAACACGAGTGCGTCTCCAGTCCCATCGATCCTTGTGCTCCCAAACCTTATCATGCTTAGACAAAAACCCATACGATATGAGCGTCGACTGCGATGGACCTATCCAAGAGACTCTCTGCTACCCCGTAACTCAGTACGCTTCCTTATCATTCCTCTATTTGTTCTTCTGAAGCCTTCCAGGAACATATCCGCATACCTGGACCGGCCCGATGTGCGCACCGATCTAGGTGTCGACCCGCACTTTGACGGACAGAACTTCAGTTCCGTCTCCTGGGAGGTATACAACGCCTTCACAGAAAGTATGGACGAGTACCGCCAGACGCAACTGTATGTTGCGGCCCTGCTGGAGCGCAAGGTGCGGGTCCTCGTGTACGTGGGCAACTATGATTTCATATGTAATTGGGTTGGGAACAATGCGTGGACGTTGGCGCTAGATTGGAGTGGGAAGGAGTCGTTTGTAAATGAGGAGCTAAGGGAGTGGTTCGTTGGGGAGAAGACGGCTGGTTTGACGAGGAGCAACCAGGGTTTGACGTTTGCTACGATTGAAGGGGCCGGCCATATGGTGGGTCTCTCGCATTTGGGTCATTGTGATATTCTAACGTGCATCAGGTACCTTATGACAAACCCCAGGAAGCTCTAGAACTTGTCAGTCGGTGGTTGGAGGGACAGACCTTATAGTCTATAGAGCGCATTGACTCGTCTCTAAATTGATACCTCAATTATTGGTGTGTAACTCTAATTGCCTCGCTCGTCTGCGTGAATGCAGGGTCTCAGTTCACACGTGCGAGTGATTATTGCGCGAGTACCGGGGAGAAGTACATGGAACATAAATACAGGGATTACAATAAGAAATGGCCTAAGCAGGGAGACATTAAAACCAAGCTCGGCCTTGGAAAGTTGCCACTGCGTCGGAACAGAAAGTGAATGTTGTGAGTAAAAAGTGGACAAGTGTCCGAAGGGTACCGGGAAGGCGGGTACACGAAAAAAGCTCTAAACGAAACACTCTATCTGGGGAGAGTGTAAGAGTGAGAACACGAAAGATCAAGAAAGAAACTGACCTGGAGAGAGTGTAAGAGCGATGAAACAGACGCTCCGTTCTCCCCAGGTCTTATAAGTACAATGAAAAGGGGTAGCCGATCGTGTCAGCGTGAAACCATGGAAGGAGGATGCGTTTAACCTCTGGTGCCACCGATGCTCTGAACCGTGACTCCCAGGTCTTTGATCATGACAAGGATCCCGGTCCTTCAAGCCAAGTACAGGGTAAGCCCTTACTCTGTGCGCTCGCGGCAATTAGACTTGCGTAAAACAAGTTTTAAACCCATTTATTTCTATATGCAAATGCTGGTCCTGGATCGGAATATATGCGACCGACTTGAAGAGTACATCAACTGCGAAGAGTATTAGAATGTTATCATCGACCGTGAGATCGCCGGAGGGTCAGACTCTATTTCCTAGTTGAATTCTTCCTGTATCTGTACGACAAAATCAAAGTGATGACCAGAAAGTCCTAACGCTGAAACATACCCATGGTCCGCCTTCATCATAACGCTTGGGTGGCCGCTCCCAAAATGTTACCTTCTCTAAAGCCTCCTCGTTTTTGATGGGGAAAACGATGCCAATCTCATAATTCTTTATCTGCACATTTATGAACAGGTTAGTCTTAAGCTTGAATGTACACGAAACTTACATTGAGGACTGGTCTAAAAGCACTCCCAGAAAGAGTTCCCCATGCCGAAGGCGTGAAATTATGCGATCCTAGGTAGCCCCATCCTATCGGAGCGTCTATCTCTTCGATATCACTATCCTCGGTCTCAGAGTCATCGACATCAATAGCTTTATCGGATAGTAGACCAATGATCATCTGCGAAGATGATATCAGATCTGGTCGTGTATATAGGTATTTCATTACCTTGGTATGCATCAAGACTTTTCCTGCACGACTCTTCGAATCATAGAACTTGTCCCTCGGGAAGTTCTTGCCGTTCCATTGGGCTTTTCGGCAAAATATCGTACCGCCACCCTGCACGCCAAGGGCGCTCTCCTGCACGGTCTTCTTGCTCGGAAATATGATCTTGAGTGGGGGATAGGGAAGTTTGGAGCGTTTAGCTTTGGAATCGTCGAGATAATCTTGGGGGCTCTCCCCTCGCGCTGAGTAGAAGAATTCGTTGACCCATTGGGTGGTGTATGTTCCGATAGAAGAACCCTATACAATGTCAGATCGCGCGAATCCTTGCACTAAACACTTGCCTGGTATTCCACCTCCAGTTTTCTCGTAGCCTTGCCCTTCTTGGTTCGAAGACCGAGATTCCTTATGGCCATCATGAGTCTCGTGTGACCAGTCCTTCACAGCGCATATTAAGAATTTAGATTCAAAAGGGTGCGCAACACTTACAAGGTGACCTCCGGCCAACCGTCATGTTTCCCAGCAAGCGATGGAACCAAATGCACTTTGACCTTTCCAAAGTCCCACCGCGAACGTAAATCCTCAATTTTGCGAAGGGGAAGATTGGGATGCTAACAGAGAGTCAGGGCAACATCGTGAACGGCATGCATAACCCACCTCCTGTAACATCAGCTCTAGTGGCCGCCTTACATTGACACCGTGCAGTACCCTTTGCATTATAGCCGGAAAGTCATTCGCTTTGGGGTCGTTCGCAATCGGAGTTCCACGAGGAGGTATGTCTTGTAGCCATATCACCTGTGGTATAGTTCAAAGTGACATGAAGGCAATTTAAACACAAAACCGTACGTTTTCAATGTCTCTGTAGTCAAATGGGACTAGATTCGCTGAGGAGATCACCACGCGTAGCCTACCCGTCTTGTAAAATATCTGCTTTTATTAAATCTTACGTATACTGGTCGTAGAGAAAAACACTCACAATCATAAACTACAGGTGACCGTGGTCAGAAAATGAACGTATACTAGGAATACGGCACAGACCTTCATATGCATGCATCCGTAGGGCCCGATAAGCTTGGGCACCGTCTTAATCCAATTTGGGAGGATATTTCGCATCCCCTCTGATTCCCCATGGGCGACAAAGATCATTGGGACCTCGCGTTCAAAGAATTGGTAGATCCAGGGTATGTCATGAGCGTAAGTGGACAAAATGGCAAAAGATATATCAGGTTTCTACGAAAACATCTCCCAGGTCAGTGTCTAATATGAGGGGGAAAGAAATTCATACTGGGCCCAAAATTTCTGTTAATCGGAATGTGGCTTTTCTATCTTGCCGAGGCTCTGCGAATCGCGTCGCCGTTGGCCGAATTTCACCTTCGAAGAAAAGCTGATCTGTAAGTGGTATAGGTGCGGATGAGAAGGTCTTCGTATTCTGAGATGTTGAAGGCTCCACAATCTGTATCTCTTCATCATCGTCATTCTTTGGGGCCTTTCCTTTCCCAGTGGCTTGCAGATATCGCTGTTGGCGCTCCCGACGTTCCTTCTCTAGCTGCGCTCTCTCTGAAAGAAAGGAGGATTTGGGAGCCACTACCTCCGGAGGCTTTAAAGGCTCTGCCTTCGACCCCTGGTGTATCTGCTCATCGTCTTCGTCGTCCGAACTGATCACGATAGTCTCAAGAAAGTGCGAAGGTTTGGCTTTGCCTGATGATTCTTGAAGACTGAGCGCAATGGCTCTTTGTATCTGGTCGTCAAAATTCATGCCGATGATGGTGGTTCAGGAGAAAGGGATTTAATTGGCCACTTCCTGTGACGCGCTTGTGAGTCTTGCGCGAGTATCACGTGGGTCAAAGTTTTCCGTTCTTGGGTTCCAACCTTGCTCTGCGTCAGTGCCAGCAAAGTTTGAGCAACAAATAAAGCCAAGTGCCGATTTTCGAACAGCCTGAAGAAGCGCTATCAGCCACTGGAACATTCTTAGCTTGTAATTTTTGCAATAAGTATATTAAAGCTGGTGCCATAGCACGAAAACCATAGTAACCCTCCAAGGTTTTCTTACGAAATAGCTTGGTCCGATAAATACATATAGCATTAGCGGTCATTGACACTGCTGGTGACGATTGGACAGCCCACAATCCTCACCGTTTCATGTGTTGATGGACCTAATCAAATTGATTTCCCACTAACGCGAATCCGGCACACAATAGTAACTTGTTGTCTTCCGTTTCCATCCCAGCACGAGGCGTCTCTAAGAATGGGGCCTTTTCTATTTTCTTGTCAGCCGAGGATCCATCTTATTATTTGACGGTCCTAACATGAAGGCGATACTAGAAGAACCTCCGTTTGGCCCCAATGGTCGCAATGCTATTGTCGCTCGTGTTACAACCCTACCGGATACAAAAGCCAGTGTCCTTCGAAGCCATCGACTTTACGTGCACATATAATGCTGTCAAGAATCATCGGCATGGGACAACAGTGTCCCAAGGTAATTAATCTGCGTCCTAATGCCTCGGTATACGGCTGACCTACTATTCTTTCAGACAGAATCACACACCAAAAGAATGGAATCCCTACCATACAATCCTCCAGTTTTTCCTAGTCAAGATCTCTCGTCAGGCGTCACTGTTCCACCACCTAAGCATCGCCAGACTCGGAAGGATCACCACAGCCGCGCCGAGCGATACCAGCTCGAAAGCCACCTTCTCACTGCTCAGATTGAGACTTTGCAATCTCATATAGCCGCATACATCGCAAACCAGCCTCCCACTGACCTGAGGTACACCCCGAACCCGCTAGCCGTTGTCGCGGCTCGACGTTGCAAGGAACGGCAGGAGGTGAAGCCCTCTGGGGTTCTTGCGAAAGAGGTTCGGAAACTGAGGATGAAAAGGGAAGAACTGTTAGCTGCGAGGGAACAGATGAAGACTGAATATGAAGAACGCCAACGCTCAAGGCGAATTCGACATCCATCTCTCGGCCTCGTCTAGGACAGACATGGTCCCTAGATAAACAAAATTCTGGTACGCTTCCTCGACTCTTGCATCAGGTGATGCTTATGGGCAGCTACAGATCCCCCCGTACTGGCGCGGCCATTCTCGCCTTGGGAATATCTGAGTCGCATGTGACTGTTTATTTACTAGCATGTGATATATAATGCATGCCAGCTTATGGACCTATAGCAAAGCGAGTGAGATGCATTAAGTGATTATAGATGTCCGGACATCAGCAAGAATCTAGAGAAGATATAAGTACAAACGTCCACAGCAGCCCCTCAATCCAGCCGACCAGCCTTGTCTCGATAATGGCGGTCATCTGGAAGATCCGACAAAACCCACTTCCTCACAGCTAAGATAACAGCGACGAACCCTAAACCAACGAAGAAGATCGTTCGGAGTGGATTGTCGACTACGTAGCCTTCGGTGGCTACTGCCTTACCATTTAGATACTGCTCAAAAGCGTCAGCATTCCTTTTACACGTGTAGAACAGGAAGAGCATACCCTCGCTAGTCGTTCCACAAGATTCTCAGAATGTAATGGTGCAATCTTGCCCCGCGCAGCTCCTTCAATGGCTGAAAACATCCCCTTCTCATTCGACAAATTGATGGGCTTTCCCTCAGTGTCGACGTTCCAATAGATCAACGCATGATGATCAGCGATAACCACCTCGACGTCGTCTAAGGCCTTGCTCCGTACGTTCATGCCATACATACTCTTCATCCAGTCCTTCCACCGTTCGATATCCATCCATGCAAATACGACCTCTCGGCTTACACTGCTCTTTGTGCGGAAAGACGCGGAGATCTCTTCAAACCTCTGTTTTACGAGATCTTTGTTCTCTGCGGAAACACCCGCAAGAACGACAAGTGGGTGCGAGGGAGCTTTCATGATCGATTGGAAGGTATCCTGCGTCAGCTCTGATGTCGATGGTAGTCTGTTGGCAAGGAGCCACGGGAGAACGTCGTTAACATCCATAGAGGTGTATACAGACGTCGGTGTGACAGAGTCATGGTCTTTGAACGCGATGAGAGACCAGGCCGCTGAGGCTGGGATGGAATAGCGAGCAGTCAGCGATTCAGGGGCGTTGGCGATGGTGTAGACGGTAGGAGAGCCAAGAAGAGTAGTGAAAGTGGGGGACAAGTAGGTCACAATATCATCATCGGTATGAAGTAGGACGTAGATGATGTCGTCCTCGGCGATGTAATGCTCAAGATCTTGTGGGTCGATGGCCTTCATGGCTCTGAAACAATGGTCAATGTGGTAAAACGGGGTATGGAGATGTCACTGACGGGGCGCTGGCCTTCTCAGCAAAGGCAGTAAGCTGCTCAAGTTTTCGTCCACTGGTATATTCGTTCTTCGTACCGGTGACAGAATAGTACATCAGTGACGGGTATCCTTGTACTTCCTGGGAGGTGCATAACGCTTTGTGATCTTCGCAGTTGACTTCGGCAATGGTCAATTTATTCTGCATTTGTTTTCCTAGCTTCTTCCATGTTGGAGCAAGTTTTTTGCAATGACCACACCTTCAAACAACCATTAGACGAGCTATTCAACATGAGACATCATTACACACCATGGCGCGAAAAATTTGACGAAAACGGGACCCTCGGAGAGGGTAGTTACAAATGTCTTGTCGTCCAGCGATAAAACAACTCCATTCGGATTCGGCAGCTTCTCAGCCATAGGCTGCTGCTGTTGCTGAAGGGGCGGTGGTGGTGGCTCATGTTTCTTGATGAACGGCACCAAAAGGTCGAGCTCTCTGGGTCCCTTGAAAGGCTCAACAATCTTCCCATCCTTGTACAAATTTAATGTAGGGTATCCTTTGACGTCGTTTGCTGAACAGAGATCTACAGTCACAATTAGTAATGCACGGCAATCGAGAGCACCTCAACGCACCTCCATTTACTGCACAGTTGACCTGTGCAAGCTTCACACCCGGCACTTCCTCTACACTTATCGTCACAAGTTGGTCCCAGGTCGGAGCGAAATGTTTGCAATGACCACAGTAGGGAGAAAAATACTCGATGAACCAGACGCCACTGGCGATGGTCGTCTCGAAATTATCGGGTGTCAGTACCGACGTCTTGACAGGTACTGCGCTGCATGTTAGGGCTAGCGACGTGAGGAGCAACGACCGAGGTAGGCCGTGGAACAATCGCCCGAATTTCATGGTGGTGGAAGGAGCGAAGTAACGTGATTGCCGCTTTGATGGACATCTTCACCTTCAGCCACCTCCATCGCAATCAAGTCGCCCACGTCGCGCTATATTCTCCTGTCAACAATGCCAACGACATTAGGAATAGAATCGTGGCCGCTGCCAGAGCAGACGGTCACGAAGGCGAGAAGGAACGAGATGAGATGAATTTTGCCTTTGTCGATGCGACACTGGTCAGTATCATTTCATGCTTCACCAGTTTGTTTGACGATAATGTTCTTAGATTACAAGCCGGCTTCACCTAGAGACTGCGATATACCAAGCAATCCTTACGGAATCTCAGGGATCATTGCGGACGAAAACCGTACATTCCGAGATTCTATGGGCACTCAATCCAACCAATAATGTGTGTTATATACTCTGTAGGACAGAACTAAAGCTCATAAATGTGCAGATAACAGAAGCCATTCGTCGATATGGCGTTTCAGACAAGACCACGTCAATTCTTGTCATTCATATATCAGATGCTGGGCTGTCTCCATCCGCAGTACAAGAGAAACTCGCTCGTGTGGTGGACGGAACGGTGTTGCCATTGACCTCCCTTCAGGATTTCACTGATTGGGCCAGGATCAAGAAAGTAAGCTGTTCTCAACGTTGTCTGTGTGATAGACATTCAAGATCAATATTCATCAGTATTACAAACTGGATCAGGAGAAGGCCCTTATCGCGACAAGAGACGACCTCTCGAAACAGCATGCCGTCATCGACAACATCGTCGTGAGCTCAGTGGCAATGAAGAGTGTCATGGGATGACCATTCTACCTGCTACGCCTATAAAGTGTGATTGTTGCTCCGGAAGCTTCATCAGTTCTTGCCCCCGGACTTCGAGCATGCTTACAACCACCATCCACCGTCGAGGGACCTTCCACCGAGCATTCTTCTTCCGTTGATGGTCTTTGTTCCCGACTCAGGGTGGTTCGATACCTCCTCGAGGCTCGTAATCGATTAAAACCAGATCTAATTTCTTGTAGTCCGTTAACGAGCCCTTGTTCTTTGAGCGTCTGTACCGTCTACGAAAATAGGAAATCTTGCCATCGGTGGTCCTTCTATGATCCAGATCCTAGCCACGCCCCTTGTTTGTCACCAAAAACCGGACTTAAGATGTTATCATCTGTGCCTATAAATGTCACACCTTGAATAAAAGCCTCCATCAACCTTTATCTCAACCATCTATATGTCACCGCAGCCACTCACTGCTGAAGCCCTGGAGGCTCACAACTTTCGATATGCAGTTCAATCGGCACTTCAAAGCTACGAGGCGAGTCTCTCGATGTTCTTCTGTGATCCTTTACTGAATCTGCATGTAGAAACAAGTCACCCAATGGAAAGAATGCGGATCGTCAAAGACAGACATTGTAACTATCCGTTGCGACGGCTGTAAACATCGTTTCCAGGCACCAGAAATAATGAAGATGAATTTACTATGCCCTAGTTGCATGTGCCATGAGGCGGATTCTTTGATGAATACACGGATGAAAAACTCGGTGAGCCACTCATTCGTCATAGAATTCAGTCTAACTCGTATCTCGCAGCGTGATGAAAACGACTATTCGCCTTGGCATAGCACTTGCCCTTGCAAGCGACCCCTGCGCTCCTTTGTTCTTGGCACTTGCACGTCACCTTGCCTAAATGACCCTTATTTGAGGGCCGAAGGATACGATCGATTAATTGCTAAATATCACAAAGCCCTGAGCCTTCTCGAGGACTCCCGATATCAGCTCTATTGTTTCCTCTCTTTTCAGCCACTTCCCGAAAGACATGAGAAATATTTATCGTCCGGAAACGAGTCGTTCATCGAGAAGCAGTGGCCGGGTCTTCCTGATTCGGTCAACATGGAAGCGACGGAGATTAGTCGGGATGACTACCAGTTCATGCAGAGAGCCCTTCGAAATGTGATTGGGGAACTGTATACTTTGGAGCAAATGAAGTTCAAAGCTATTTCGCAGACGTTTATGAGACACTTTCCAAAGGAATTACAACGATCCTTTGGTAATGACGCTCTGGTTCCTAGCCCGCTTTTGAACCATCGAGACATGGCTCTAAGTATATGGACACGATCTCGAAACGAAGGAGACTGGTGGTGTTCTGCGAAGGTGCGTCAGTCATATCCAGACTGTTCAACAACTGAACTCTTGTATAGAATAAATATCTTTCACCTCCGGACAGTTTCAGGGAGTATTGCGACCGTGAACATCCTGAACCAACCGAAAACTGGTATTTCGAGATTTGGGTCTGCTTTCCCGTATCCAGTAAGAATCCACGTTTACTAAAACAATCGAACAGCGTCGATACAAGGATTTTGAAGGTAGCCAAGACGTAGCGCAGGGGCGTGTGCCATTATTGTTGGTAACGAATGGTGGCTCTCAGACAAGCGAAGAAGTAACGGTACGTTCAGTTACGGGTTCTCTATGGGTCGCAATTGATCATCCATCTCTGGAATAGCTCCCCAGTAAACGCACAAAGAGGCCCCGCAAGCGCCAACGATTGCCATCACAGACGACTACAATTACAAGAATGATCCTCGATATTTTATGATGATGTACAACTCCTCTTTGATGTAGTTACAGAAAGACGGGTGTAAGTGATTTAATGGTTGAATTATTGGTGTAAGCTCATACTTTGACACGCAAGACTCTCGTGGGTCCTTGCATATAGTCGCCTGTTCCAGCTTTCTACCGTGCCACAGCAACCAAAGCAGCTGGTTTCTCAGCTTGCTAGTTGGAAACTACTGCGTATCCCGTAAGATCTAAAGGGCTATCATAATTAATGTATGTATGAATTTTAATGTGAATATACTTGGTCCTGCAGTCGAATACACTATCGATTTCTTAGAAGGTATCTAGTCAGGCATAAGTCAAACGGAACCACTTAATTTGTTTTCTCGACTAAGAAAACCGTCTGGGGTATGTTACAAAGTGTCAATTGTCGGTAGAAATCCAGTAATCTCTATAAGAGCAGAAAGGAGTATCTACACTCCGTCACATCGACCCAGTTGACCTGGTAATTATGAATCAAGTAGAAAGTGGCTCCAACTTAATGAGCACACGTCAAAGAAAGTAAGCACTTCGGACGTACAGCCAACAACTTCACGTGGATCGGCATTTGAGCATCTCCTTCTACGAATGACTGGAGGTTTCCAATGAAAAAGCTCTGAACATGATGTGGAGTACTCGTCAGTTCGAAATGGCGGATCATAAGGCAGATAATGATCTTGAACTCCAAGAGAGCTAAAGATAATGATAATATTAGAAACTACTTGTGCGGTGAGACCGAAAATAATAATACCGAGCCGCCATCCAATACAACTACGCGGTCCGTCCAAGAAGGATGCGACGTTTCCGTATGGCCCAGATGGTAATTGAGCAGTTGAAGGTACGCCGTCAGGACGAAGCCATCGCTCTGGTTTAAACTCGGCAGCATCCTCACCCCATACATTGGGGTCCGTATTTTGAACCACACTAGGTATCTGGAAGACCTGGTGATTGTTCAAACGTTCAAGTGCAATAATCAAATTAAGTGAAGAAGACAGACCTGTCCGGCTTTGATAGCGATCGAAGACACTACATTCCCATCAGTCGTTGTTAGTGGTTGGCTCAGAGGGAGGACATCGTCTTCTAGGGCAATGCGATCAGTCCGTGGCCCAGCCGGATGAAGACGCAACCTAAGCACGATTCATGAGTACACGATCCTCGAAAATCTTGATGTACTATTACACTTACCCCTCCCGGCATACAACGTCAAGGTAGGGCAGGCTTTGAATGTGGTCGTAACTAAAATCACTCAAGTCATGGATTTCTTGCCGTAGTCTTTTTTGGACTTCGGGGTCACGAGCGAGATGGAATAGAGTGAAGCTGACAGTGCAGGATGTTGTTTCATGTCCAACCATTCTATGAGAAAGGGTAAATGAAGAGAGAAAAAGTAGGATACCGCCGGCAGGACTTACATAAGTGTTGCTATCTGAATATAATCAGTACGAATATGTACGCAGGAAGTGTAGAACATACATTTTCCAGTAGTGCTTTTTGCGACAGACGATCACCGGCGTGCTTCGAATGTTTCTGGTCCCTGATCAAAATTGAGAGAATATCTTTACCATCTCCGTTTTCCAGATGCGCATGGTTCTGTCGTAGAAACTCTCTAGCTAGCTTAAGAGCCGCCTGCTTCGCAACTCCGTCCGTCTTGAAAGCCGGAAACTTGCTGATCCAAGGGAAAGTAGACATCATGATTGGCAACAGGAATCCGGGCATAGTTCTCCCAAACAAGACATCCTTGTGCCATGACTCAGCGATGTCTTTTGCTTCCTGGGATTCACCGCTACGAAAATCGTGTCCAAATGCTACACGGCCGATAATATCCAGCCTATTATAGGTCAACGAGGTGATTGCAACTGGTGAACGGAAAACCACTGACGTGCATGCAGACAGGAAGGGAGTAATATTTATCGTGGTTTCGCCCCCTCGCGATCCGACATATGTTCCCACTCGTTGTATGAACTGTTGCAATAGATGAGACTGCTGATACTGAAAGATTTGAGAGATGACGATCTACCCTCTGGGTCCATTCGACAACATCATCAGACATCCCTTTCACAGCACCGAGACTGAAAGACGTATAAGTTTGACGCGGACGTATCAACAGACTCTAGACTGACGTGAAGGCCGGCGCGAGAAGTCTGCGTTGGCGTCTATGTTCGTCGCCTGAAACATATACTATACCTTTTCCGAGTTGACTTTCCACTATGGGTAGGAACTCAGGCGCCTTGGCTGTCATGATAAACAGGCATGAGCGGAGGAAGACAAGTATCGGAGGTTACGAACGATATCGGTAAGTATTTGCGTGAATGTGATGCACGGCAAAGTTATCTGTAGCAACAATCTACAGTATCGTTGAGCTAAAATAGAAATAACAAGCGCAAGATACTTATACTTACTATGTCGCGTTTGAAGAATGCCGCCTTAATTCTATACACAGGTCCTAGAGCCATAGCCCACTTGGAGTACATTTTGCCAATTTCATTTTGCCATTCGGTGTATTCGTGGCCCCAGAGCCAGTGTGCATCAGACCTGGGCTGAAACAAAGTCAATATATTCCAGAGAAAAGTCGATATGACTAAGCCCCTCACCGCGCATTGAATTTTCCTGGCAGGATCTTTTCGGTGCTGGATATAACGGACGAAAAACACAAATAGCAGAGCTAAAGAAACAGACAGTGTCGCTTCAACCGACAGCATTGCTGATTTCAAAAGAGAATGCCGTTGAAGAAAAGTAGATGATAAGGGGGGAAAGCCTGTACTTATACCATCTCTACCTTAGTGATCATTGTCATAGCCGTTCACGTATTGAGTGCTTCAGGCCCCGTGGAGGAAGGAATGATTCAATGATAGAAGTTTTCTTGCTTCTTTAAGTAATCGAAACGGTCCGATTACACCATCGTGCAATGCTAATATCGCAGAGGGATGAGCCTATGAAGAACGTATACAATCTTAGTGAAACTAGCGAATGCTGATCGAAAGGATATTACCAAGGGTGAATATGGCGCTGCACCTACATTCGAGGGAAGGGGCTGGAAGAGTTTCGTAGAGTTTGGAGAACCGGTATATGGTCCCGATAAGGAATGCCGGAGTTCTGTGCGAAACGTCTCGAAGATCGTAACAACTGCGCCGCTGTGATATTCACCGGATGTAAAGTCGGCAGGTTTGATAGTACCACGGGGACCAAGGGAAAGATTCCACTATAGGATGACGCCAAGCAGGAAATGTGTACTACTTATGGTTGGCCATGTGAGTACCAGAGCGTTTGTGGGGCAATATACATCGGCGTGCGCCGACACAACGGCCGCATGGTTCCTACATTCGATGTCAGTATCCAATCACGGTGCCTCAGGGTTAATATACCCGAAGGTCGCATAAGGTCGCTCGCTAGACATGCTCAGAAAATGTGTAAGCAGCAAGACTCGAGCTCGATAACACGGTTTGCCCGTCTTACTAGTCATCCCCACTGAAAGATCTTGCAAAGCTCTTCTGTTCGACGTCAGGTTTCAGTAGCTGGTCATATTTATCTAGATATTTCATTACATGGCCCCCGATACACCTGAAAGAGTGCGAAATGAACCAGATCTAAGTGCAGGAAAATGAGAGGGACTTGATCCTATTCACACCGGGAAGATGGACATTTTTGACAAACCTGAATTTTGAGCACAATTGTAATGTTTTGCGAGCATCGTTTGGGGGTCAACAAACATCGCATTTTGGAGGATCCAAAATCCATGCCGCCCGCCATAGACAAATTTCGGGAGCACGCAAATTTTATGTAAAGTCACTGCCAAGATCGACCTCCCAAAACGTCACCTTATTGTGCACATTCTGCTTTCCCTCAAATTCTCATCTGTCCGGTGTGATTGTACGTATCAGAGACGCAAGAACTCACAATTTGGCAATGAAATCCAGGAAATTTTCATCAAAATCAATATGGAAACCCATCAACTCCAGTCGGATACGGTGCACATCTTTTAAGCGAAAATCCTTAGGGCAGTCGATCAAGGCTTGGAATGTTGCAGTACGGTGTTTACCATCCTCGAGCATATCGAAGAGAAAAGAGTGATCAAACATTGGGGATGATGACATGTCAAGAATGAGTTTCCTGAGGTGTGGGACTGCTTTTGAGGCTGTCAAGTATGAGAGAAAGGAGGGTAAGACGTTGATTCTGGCGAGACATAATGTCAGTGTCTTCGCCTTTTGTATCCTTTCGTCCCGAGGACCAGGCTCAGCGGTGGGACAGTGTTCTCTGAGCCACGTTCATTTCAATTATTGCTTCGCCCTCGACATATTCGTTGTCCGGCTGCTCATTAGAGCGCCGAACGCAAAAGGTCTTGCTTTCGCTCCACAGATATTGGCCTGAAGACACAATAAGCAAGAGAAAATAGTGTAAAATAGCTCAATAGTCTCACAGATATGCATATATGCACCTTGCGGAAGCGCTGAAAGGAGTTGAAAAGCAAAGATGTAGACATTGGAGGCAACCCCGAGTCGGGTATTGGCGAGAAGATCGTGGGAATATTCGGACCGGTGCCCCGGAACCGTCGCTTGTTTTGCATTCTTCCTCATTCTTAGGCCCCCAGAAGCTCCCACCAAACTTTGTTCGGATTTTAGCATTTTTGGGCTGGCGCTGACGCCATCGCCATGACATCTGAGCCAATATCAGTCTCGATTTGGATTTCTGACTCCTCTCTGCAATATTTTCCTGCAAAATTCCAACGAAAATTCGTAGTCATATCGAATACAGCTAAAAAGGTCCTCAGAGCTGACGGATATAGCAGAATCAGACGGCTGGCTCCGTGAGGGCCGGGAGGCCCGAAGAAGCGACTTTGCCCGAGTTAGCATACTTTGAGGTTTTCCGTCCATTTCGCTGGGTGTCGCACGCTCCAAAAGGAGAAAAAGAATAAGAAAAGAAAGATTTCGGACCAAGATCGCGCCCCACAATTGGAGACCTCGACTCAGCAATTCAACAGCCTCACGGCCTCCACCAAACCTTGGGAATACCTCTATTTTGGCGTACACAAATTTACAGGGTGTCGTACCATCCTGCAGCCATTGCATTATCATCTTGTAAGTCTTCTGCATGGACTGCACCGCCGGAAAATTGCATTTGAAGCACATTTTTTGATCCAGAGGGCTCGCATACGGTGCGCGCGGTGTTACATTTCATCAACGAAAGCCCTTGGGAGCCTTGGGAGTTGCTTGGGAGGCAAAATATGACGAAGTGCTGGGGGTGTATTTGTGACGGAATCACAATTAATTTTTCCAAGTAGATTTTGAGTCCCAATTTTACAGTTTCAACTGGGGGGAAGCCTTACTTTCATGCATTTAATGTGTAGTTTCTCTGTCGCTCTCCTCCAAAGTACCGTGTTCTTAAGGGAGGGGATCCCAGCTGGTCTCAGTAAATAATGGGTCAGTAAATGTATTTTGCATGACAGAGATTGAAAATTGTGCACCAAAGAAATATATGAGCGCACAGATTGAATTTTTGGAATTAAACCATGCATGCAGAAACAAAATACGGGTAGGGAGCAACAGCGAGAAACGTCGCAGCAGATAACGCCGGGCCGATGGCAGATAACATAGGGGCTATTGGCAACTTTGGCAGGGATTTACCCTTTTCATGATTGTCCACTTACATACCTCGTTTATCACTCCCATACTTTACTATACTATAGACTACATTCTATTCGTCCTATGTACAGAGAATTCTGAGTAAAGGTGAAGAAACGGACGCATGAAAAATCTGCGAAAGCGTGAGATACTGCTGCCCAATATGGGCATGGCAGATAACTGGCAGATAACTACCCAGCGGAACCGGCGGTAAACCTACTTTGAGCCCCAAAAGTTGCATATTTGAGGACCGATTTTCGGATTTTTGCCGGACAAAGTTTGCTGAGAGCTTCTGGGGGCCTCATTCTTCCCACCCTCCCACGGCTACCATGCACACAGCAGAGGCTGGTTCATTTTAGGTCATAAAAACCGAAACTTTAAAAGGTTTTGTTAGCGAAGCCTTTGTCAGTCCCGAAAAGGCCGTCTGTAAAACGGTATGAAAAATCTTTTCTCCCTCTAGAAAGCTCTAGAACAAAAGAATTGAGATAACATTTCGTTTTACAGTACTCAAAACGGAGGCATAAAAACTGAAGCTGCAATAGAAACCTTTTAGAATCCCGTTTTACGCCTTCAAAAACACACCAGCCACTGCAGTGCCATGACCTTTCTCGTGTATTTCGGTTCCGCACAAGCGTAGGCACAAAGCTAGAACTAAGTGTCTGCTAGGTATCTGGGGAGCCTGAGCTCTCTGTCCCGAGCTAGGCTCTGTCGGTCACTTACAATGGACTATCAGAATTTGCGCCGTTTGCGCGCAGCGCGACCATGCTTACTCAGGCTGCAGTTCGGAAAATTGTAATAAATGATCAATGCGATATGGTTGAAAGCTGTGCAACGTACACGCCCCCTAGCATGTCGGATGATACCAAGGTGGCCAAGGATTCTCTACGTAACACCGAGAACGCAGGAAAAATCCTGCAGTTGGGGTGGCCACTGGTTCCTTTCCAGGCTAGCGAACGGAATTCGACCAGAATTATCTTCTTTACGCTGGCAGGACGAACGTAGTTGTATTGCCAATCCTTTTCGCACGTCCATTACCGGAACACTTCAATGTGACGTGGTCCCATGCTCAAGGATAGCCGGTTCTATGCCTGTCATAAGCCTGGATCTCGGATTCGCATTGATTGTCTTCGGATTCGCATCAGAGCGAATCCGAGACGGTATTGTTCGATGGCTTCTTGCCACAGTGTGCGCCTCAACTGTCCCTCCACGCGGGCATATACTTCTTCGCTGGTAAAGAAAATTCTGCCGATTCTTTGTTCTTGCATATATATCTTCTTCCTGACCGACTGGTATGACTTCCAGAGTATGCCCTACTTCGTTCACCGATCTTTGTTTTTCTTCCTTTCTGCTTTATTGGTCTCCGCGACGTCAGCAGTTGTAGAGGTGTCCTTACCTCTCTCTGCACCGTCAACCGCGTCGGAAATCTCTTCCAGTCTCCTGTCGTTTTCCATTGAAGGGGATCGATGGATGGATTGGACTGGAACGACTTCCAGGAATCAATTTCTTTACAACGCCTTGGACAACCTGAAAGCTCTGACAGGGGCACCGCCTAACATCAGAATTGGAGCTGACAGCGAGGATCATACTAATTTCAATCCCAACGTCGAGGTAAGAATGCCGCTAGATGATCCGTGAATCTATACTTAGGTCTTTCAAGTTTTCAGAAGCGATATTTCCTGACTTCACTACGGTCGTTCCCTATCCGGAAGCTACAAATCTCACTGTCGGTGACGGCTACTACCAAACGGCCCGCTTCCTTCCGTCTGGTACGACTTCAGTTCTGACAATATAGTAGATATGGTTAATCATACATTTTGTAGGAACACATATAACATGGGGCGTCAATTTTGGGCAGAAAAACCTTACTGCGGCATTTCTGACGGCACGTTCGATTGCGAGTGCATTTTCATCTTCTGCTATGAAGGACGCTGGAGTGACTCTTGACTTTGTGGAGATTGGTAATGAAGCAGACTGGTATATCAACAACGGCGCGCGTCCATCCAACTGGACTTCCGCTGATTATACGCAAGAGTAAGCGTCTGGAATGATTCCCGTGGTTATCTGTATCCTAATGATTGCATGACTTAGGTGGACTGAGTTCGCCAAGAACATTTCCAAGACTGTAGGAATCTCATCGACCTCTCATACGAAATTTTTCGTTGGTAGTTTTGTGGCATCGACCCATTCAACCATCGGCTTTTCGCCCCAGGCTATCTACGCTGAGGGGATACTTGACTCTGAGCCAGGCGCTTCCATTGCGATGTAGGTTCTTTCCTCTTGAAAACATCGCGCACGCTACACACGATGTCAAGTTTTTTCGCAGCACGGATATGCAGGCGCCTTCATCGAAGGCATGGATGGTCTCCTACAGGACCTGATGACGAAGGCAAATATCCGTGGCAACCTTTCAGCCTTGACCCCAGACATCGAGGAAACACACAACCGAGGCCTGAATTACGTCCTTGGAGAAACTAATAGCTATGCCAATCATGTATGCTTGGACTCTCCTTTCTTCGCCGGTCTGCCTATTGATTTTACGTGATTTCGAAGGGCGCAATAAACGTTAGCAACACTGCAGGAGCTGCATTATGGTCGTTGGATTACACTCTATTCGCGTAAGTGTCGCCTTAAGTTACTTGAATGATGGATTGATTTGTTCGTAGGCAACAGTTGGGAATATCTCGCGTCTTTTTCCACGAAGGTATAGGATACAAATATAACTTTGTACGAACGACTCTTTCAACCCGCTGATAGTGACTTACATTACCCTATCAGATCCAACCTGTCGAATTAACCAGATCCATCCTCGATGGATCTGAGCTCCCGGAACCTGTAGCTCCTCATGTTCAACCTCTTTACTATGCCGCAATCATCATTGGAGAGGCCATAGGTAACTCTGGCCATACTCAAGTAGCAGAGTTGTCAATCGACAACTCTCGTATCTCCGGTTACACCTTTTACGAAGACGGTGTTCTCGCCCGTGCTGTTCTCCTTAATTCTCAAGCATATATGAAAGAGCAATCTACCTCCCGTTCGAGTATTCATCTCGACCTCGATTTTTCAGGAGGCGGACAGGTTCCCACGAGTGTTAGGGTCAAAAGGCTCGCCATTGAGTGCGTTATCAGTACTATTCCAGTGTTAATTCTGATCAACAATTCTAGTCATGCTGACGACGATTCGGGGCTAACCTGGGGAGGACAGACGTACGAGACGGACGATGCGCGCGCGCAAGGAGAGCTGGAGATTGAAACTATTCAGGTTACATCCGGATTGGATATGGTTGAAACGGAAGCCGTCCTTCTCCTCCTTTGAATTTTGAGGTTGTATGGACTTCGGAGTCAAGCGTAGATATTATTGATAAAAATGAATTTCGGCCACGATAAGCGCCGCTACTATACATCTGATTTGCCTTCCATGCAAGATGGTAGCGCTGCATTGGCTGCATCCTTCTGGGATTCGCGTTCCCCAAACACGTAACTTCAAAGGGGTATAGCACGGTAAGACTCCATCTCTCGGGAGTCCTTCTGTCGCATTTTATCGATACTCCTGCGTAGCCATGCCACTGTACGGTATATTCGGTAGCTATCACACGACCACCGAAGAAATCGAGTCATCTTGGTAGGAGAAGGTTCGCGCAGGTAACCCCATTCCGCACAAAATCATCCGGAAGACCAGCCCAACGATCGTATTCGTCCCCAGGACATTCCCTCCCATTCTAGGTCGTACGGAAGGTGGTTGACTACTCGATATGAACTCTTTCCAGTTGTCGGATAAAAATTCAAGAGCTTGAGCGGCCGTAAAGCGGCGTGAGATGTCGTCTGTAACCATACTATCGAATAACGGCGCAAGCATTGGTATGTACTTAGTGAGGTGCTGAATTACGACCAAGACACATAAGTTGAAGAAAGCCTGCATGGGTTAAAACGCCATACCTGAAATTCTAGACAGAATACGATTCCCAAAAGTGCGAACGTCGTACGCGAAAGGATCATACATATACTCTCCTTGCGCAGCGTCATGAGGCCAAGGACCCACAGTGATCCAAGTGTAACTAGCGGGAAGTAGGCGGACGTTTTCTGGCATATGTATCGACAAGTCGAAGTCGAACATGGCGTATTTGATGAGTCCATGTTCACGAAGGCCTTGTCTATACCCAATAGCAGCGGCCGCTCTTGACGGGTGAGCCTCGATATGATTGACGAGACTGTTGAGTAGCGTGATATCCTACACAACAAATTTTGGATACCGTTTGACTGAAAAAAGATGATGGATGTGTACCCGGTGAACGATGGAGTTGGCGTGAAGGTATGTCAGCGCCTGCAGAAGTATTGTACTATTGAGCAAAGGCCAAACGGGTCATTAGACCAATCTTACCTTTAACAAACATAACATATAGTGCAAGATATCCTCTACGCGATGCAAAGGTGGATTACGGGATGCAGAGCCCCACCTATAGTAGGATAGGAGACCGTCAGAAACGTGGGCTAAAAGGAACGGTTTACCGAGGCATAACAACGAGCCAATTTTCTTTGTGTTCAATGAGTTCGAGAACGGGCATGATACAATTTTCTTCCATAGCTTGAAAGCCTTGCGATTGAAGAAACCGCAAGATCCTATATTCTTGGGAATTGCCGCAGACGTGCTTCAGAACAACATGGCGTCCTTCACTGTCCTGGGCATAGAATACCATGGACTGGTCTTTGTGTGAGTATATAACACGTATAAAAAAATGTATATAAGACGGACCCTATTACAAGCACCCATAAAAGGGTCGCGCGGCGAGTCTATGAGCGCATTAGCTTCACGATATGCGTAGGGATATTGGACAGGTCCAGAGAAGCTCGGGAGTGTAGGGACGGATATATATTCGTGACAGGGTCCAGAGGCTGGCTTGTAGAGATGATAACCACGGGAGAGAAGTAACGCCCGACATGAATCCCAAAACACCATTTGCTGGTCCATCGAGAGGCCTCGAAATGCGAAATACTTTTTGCCGTACATTTTCTCGTATTCACGAGGTTCAAAAGGACGACTTAGTCTGCAGAGGAGATTGCGCATCGTGGTAGCTGGATGAAGTGTACAATGTCTCGCATACGTTCACGAACGAAGCGAAGTAGCCTGAGACCCGGGGCGGGGGTAAACCCGTCTGCCCACCAATGTTGGCCATTTTAAAGCTCCGATTCAATTTCTATAGGGAGCGATCCGCATCCTCCACCCAAAAGTTCAGCACTTTCGAGGCCGTTACTCTCTTCTCAAAGTCCACAGGACCTCTAATGCAACTTAGATGTGATCCAATAACGTATATGCTCGACCCTCTGACAATTCCGAGCGAGCCGACGGCCAATAAAAACATTCGCCAGCAGTCAGGTGACCCCCGCCCCGGGTACCAGGCTTTATATACGGATACGAGTTCCGCGAGTATCTAATAAAGCGGCTTGCCAGGCTAGAAGCGAAGGCCAATTTCAATGGTTATCATGTGTACAACCAACTTATGATCGATGACTCATTGACTGATCAGAGAATCAGATAGCAGCAATATGACGCCTTGGATTCCGGAAGCCGCAGACGATGTTCCTCTTCAGTGATCTATCATCTCACTCGTACTTAGGAGTATATACCATACGTAGTAATGACATAGCATCTTTCAGGATGTCGGGGAAGGGGGGTGGGTTATGTTGGAAATGGTTCTGGAATGCAGCTCTATCTGTTGGAAGATCTAGGACAGGCTGTACCACCCCTTAGATGAAACAAATTTGGTGCACCAAGAGCAGCATCCTATAGAAATCTCATACATTTTAATTGTCTTTAAGTCTTCACCTTTCTGGTATGAGTGGGTATCGGTATGTTGGTGGTCTAGTTCTCCGATAAAAATCTTACCCCTCCTGTAGTTCGCAGCTGAAATTGACTGAAACTGTCCATACAGGTCTCGGACCTACTGAAGCGCCGACGATTTCATTAGGAGATCGCTCGAGATTTACCCTAACCGGAGAAAAATTACACGTAAAAGTAAAAACTCCACCAAAAGTAGTGTTGCCATGGCTCGACTTGACTCAACTCTAGCCTGGAACCCAGGGGGTATACTGGTGGGGTCCAAAAGTTGGCCATTTTGAGACTCCGCTTGAAATTTTATAGGGAGGAAATCTCGTCGCCCTGCCATTTTACCATTAAAATCAGTGCATTTTCTTGTCCTCTCTAGAGATCGACACTTTTGTATGTACTCTAGATATCTTTAATTTATGACAAAATACAGAAGCCCTTGGGGCCCACAAAAACTTTCAGACCCTACCCACTCTGGGAATGCGGAAATTTGAGAGAGTCTGATTTACTTGCCTATACCTAAGATTTCATGTGAAAAACAGGACTTACTGATACTGGTAGCCATACTAAAGGTTCAAGAAGGCTTTGAATCATCCCCGGAATGTAAGATATCGGATTTGAATCCAGGCTGCCATAATCGAGTTCTGAAAGCAAAGATTCAGGAATTCCCTGAACTGGTGACGGGGGCCTCTGTTCAGGGCAAAGTTTTGGCAGATGGTAAACCTAAGGTTTGCGGGGTCCCAGAATGCATGCCTAGACCTTTGTTTCCTGTGCTGACATTGAGTATACCTGGTTGTGTAGTGGTAGGAAAAGAATTGTTATCTATGGTATGAGGGTTCAAATTATAAGTATTTGCAGTGGGGAGATTATTTGAGATGTACAGCACGGCTTGTGGGACAGTACAGTAAGGGATGTACGTATAGGTCGGGGGAGCAGTGATATTCATGTTTGAAGGATAGGGAGGTGGGAAGAGAGGGTTGTTGAAGTTCAGGGGAGGAGGAGCAGGGGGAGGAATTGGTGGAGGAATTGGTGGGAGAATTGATGGAGGAGCTGGAGGAGGAACATTGGGAGGAGGAGGTTGCTGACGACGGGGTGGGATAGGTGGAGGTTGTCGACGTGGGGGAGGAGATAGAGAAGGGGAGTTGGATTGTACAGAAGGGGAAGCCATGCCAGTGTGGTCATTATTGTAGCTAGTGGATTCTAAAGTATGAAGATTTTCAGTATTGTAATTTTCGGTGTTTGTATTTGGTATATGATGGGGAGGGTATGTATGCATTTGAAAGTTTTGTGGGTCGTCATGAGGGTTCAAGTACGGATTAGAAATTGAAGGGTAAAAAGCGTAAGAAGGGAAATTTAAAGGCCAATATTGGTGGACTGGAGCGGACTGGGAATGCTGAGCGACGTGAGACATTACCTGTTCTGGAGCTCGTTCGGTTGGGTGAGGTTGGGAAAGCGAGGAGCCGAGGATCTGGTGTAGTCCATCAGACAAGGCACGGAAGTAATTGTGATCCATCATGAGAACGGCATGGAAGCAATATGTTGTTGATCAATGATAAATTCGTGATCGCATACACGTCTAGGAGCCAAGGGAGACCTTAGATCTGTAGAGAAAGTGTAGTCACAACATATTGGTGGATGAAACGGTGGACAGCCATTATACAGGTGGACAGCCTGTTCGTGAAGTGGATATATGCAGTGACGTGGTGACTATATGCATGTGAAAAACAGTGGAAATGGACAATTCGGACAGTTATTGAGTCATAGTAGTCTTGACGGGTCCGTGGTTCGTCAAGGCAAGGTCAAGGAGTACCCATAACCTGATGACTGGTGTACCTAACGAATACGGACACAGTCAGACTAAGTAGTAGGTAAGTTAGTGTACATTCGTAGGTAAAGAAATAAAGGGTGCATACCTTCCTCAGCATCAAGATAGTGATGGAAACGACTGAGGAAGGAAGGAGAAGAAACGCAACGTATAAGGTAAGTAACGGAGCTCCAGCCAAACATCGAGCTGACAAACAACCCAGGACCATATCCTGGTCAACAATCACCAAAGAAATACAAGTTTTAGAATCACTCTAGCTCATAATATCCATAGCATGCAGTGGTGTCACAAATACGCATATGGCAGAGCAAGTAAGAGTACCAACTTCGTAGTTTTGTAGATCTAATATTCACAACGGTGAAGAGGCTGGCTGTGGGCACCTGTGGAATAGTGAGCGGGCTAAAGGGCAAACCTCAAAAACCCACACACACACTCACACAACTACACAAACTACAATCACCCTCGTAAGTTCTAGGGGGAGCGATTATTTCTAATGCGATCCAACTATACTTCAATATCTCGAAGAGTTTCTCTTATTCTCAGTGCTCTTAGCGAAGCTAAGCTTTCTCTAATGACTTCCTAAGTCTAGGAACTTTTTACAGGAAGGTCGTTCACTGGTGCGACGCAACCTTCAAGGCAGATTTGAGTTATAATACACAAGGGACACTGATCCCAACAGAAACAGAGGCAATACATGCCGAAACTTTAGTGAGCTCGCTAAAAGAACATCACAGGCAAGCACTGACTTAGCCCGCTCGCTACACAACTGTATGCAGGGGTTCTCCAACTAACTCCAGCAGGTTATCTCGACTCAAGAACACTTCAGAAGTGCTCAGAAAACAGATTCAGAAACGGAACTTCGACAGAACTGACATGGAACAGACTGAAACAGAACAGAACAGAACAGAACAGAACAGATCTCAGATTTCCACTTCAAAACATTCTCTGAACAGACTTATCACACTCAACAGAACAGAAACAGCATCACTGATTCGTATTCACTCTGACTAAGTTCTCAAAAGTCTTATCAAAAGGGTATCTCGTATTTCTCTGAGTGAGCTTGCTAATTCTATGCACAGCTCGAAGTCACAAACTGCTCCTTTGTTACAGTACCGCCTTCAACGCGTGCACGGGAACTCAGGGGCTCAAAACTTGGCCTCTACCTACTGTAACCAGCCTACTTATACTACAGAGGAATTAGAATTACAAATGTCACGCAGTACCCAGACTCCTACATGCGTAGCATGTTGCCACCGCCACCTTACTGAGCATCCGAGTCGGACTTCCCAGTTTTAGTCTCATTTCTATAGTGAGCTCGCTAAACGTGTGCCAAGAGGTGCTCTCCCGACACCCGTGGGCTTGTTCTCTAGCGACCGACAGGTCTAGGCGCACGGAACTATCAGTTCTGGCATATGTCATTCAGGACTTCTTTCTTGGATTCACAGAGGCTTCTCATAGACATGGCAACAAGTGAGTCTTCGAACAATGGGACTCAGAACAATGGAACGCGGGCTTGCGGACTTCAGCCGAAGCCCATTGCCCAAGCTCGTGCCGGTGATATCTGTCAGCTCGCTTAAGGATTTCCCCGGATCTTTAGGTATGGCATGTCACAGTTAGCGAGCACGCTAAGTGTTCTCAGTGTCAGTGCAATCTTCAAGGTTTTATCTAGCTCCCGTGAGTGTGCTTGTAAGTTAGAGCCTAAGGCATTGGGTATATGGTTTGGCCTTCTCATCATGCATGCCCGTCAAGTACAGTGCTGTGACTAAGTCCTGTTTAGAATCCCGTTGCTTCTTATGCCATAAGTTATATTCCATATCATTGCACCACGTAGCATTAGTGTCGATGCGTAGTTTTAGTCCGCTCGCTCACTATATCTCAGTATGCATGTAAAACACTTTAGATTGCAAAATTACACGTGTAAATAGGCTGCAGTCGCAACAACGGGAACTGGAGTTTGGGGCAGATCATTTTATTTCGGGAATATTGACTCGCAACTCCCGAGTTTAATAAACGTGGTGAAGTAAACCGCATTTACTCCCACCAGATATACGTTTGGGAGCATAATTCATACGTGCGTCTTCTCGGAGTTTGTCTTACTGGTGTGACTCTAACCTCCCGCCAATGTTGGAAGCACAGAAGTCGTAGATCCATTTGAAACGACTTCCCCTGAAGACATGGTGTCGACTTTTGTGGTACTTCTAAAACTTCCTTCCTTCCAATCTAGGTCACCGCCTTCCCGGTTTGGTGGATGCTGTCGCTTCGATATCATCATGATGTAGACACGTTCTTTCCCCAATACTCAGTGGACTATATAGGCCTACGTGGAAGATCAAAACAAGACTGAAATCATCTAATGTCAGTGAGGCTTTCGAAATCCCCAATCGATCATAGGTTTGGCAGTTTTGTGGCACCAACTTTGAAGTCGTGTTTCTTCGACGAAAGATCTGAGCATGCTTTGACTATCATTTTAGACCTGTTCAGCTCTGACACTTACAGTCAATGGCATTCGCTTATCGTCTTCTTCTATTAATTAATCAATATGATTCGTGGTATTCGGCACTTGATACAAGGTCACAAGGATATCAGAAGAAATACAGCGACCTCACGTGATATGATAACCATGGACATCGCATTTTGATGGGCCCGTGTGGATCTACGATTTTGATTCCTTTAAATGTGGCGAGTTTTTATTGCTGTAGCTGCATCGCCTCACTATTCAGCCTGGTTTTGAATCATGGAACCTCTCGGTCCTGCTTTGCAGATAAATCGCAATCGCCTTGCACTCCCTGGCTGATACCCGTTTTTTTTCTTCTAGGAAAATATGATGGTGAGAATCCTTGCCCATGTCTCTAGACAAGTCCCAGATTTCCGAAGGGGATGTCTGGAACTCTCTCTCGAGAACTTACTTCAGACCCGGTGAATGTTACCGTATTTACAAAGTTGTCTCATTGCCTCCAACAATGGTAGGTTACATTCAACTTACCCAGTTGCTGACACTCGCTTAACCTTAATATTTTATGAGCCCAATCCCGATCCTCTTAAAAGAGTTGAACCAGAAGTCAAATTTCGACTGAAATATATGACCACCCATCCTGCCACCTCCTGGGTGGAGAGTGCCGTTCAGCCTCCAGATACGATACGTATGCTCATCCCCCACACCAAATTAAGGAAGCGAAAGGGTGACCGAATACCGCCTGACTGTGCCTTAATGGTGAGTTATCTAGCATTGTTCAGCTGTCTGTCACTCATAATAGATAATATTCTAGAATGGAGATTTGGTGTTTGTCAGTGAAGATATCAGGCTGTTGAATTATGTTTGGAATTCCTGGACAATATTCCGGGATCTCACGGGATCTCGTGAGGCCCCGCAGGATCTTGCAAGATTTCATGAGGTCATCTGAGGTTGCCTCATGGAGAGGCGTCAATGGGCATTCACAATGCCTACCCAGCTGACCACGAGCGTGACCAGGCAACATACACTCATTTTGGCACCGTTCTCCTTGATACCTCTTCTATAAATGCCTTGTTTTTTTTTGTTTTTTGTTTTTTTTGCTATTTTGATTATTTTGATTATTTTTGTTTATAAACCCGTTTCGCACCGCCACGAATCCGAACTTCAACTCAAACCTCAACCATGACTACGGCTCAAATTGAGCACATTGTTGCGACTGCAGCCTATTTACGCGTGTAATTTTGCAATCTAGAGTGTTTTACATGCATACTGAGAAATAGTGAGCAAGCGGATTAAAACTACACATCGACACTAATGCTACGTGGTGCAATGATATGGAATATAACTTATGGCATAATAAGCAACGGGATTCTAAACAGGACTTAGTCACAGCACTGTACTTGACGGGCATGCATGATGAGAAGGCCAAACCATATACCCAATGCCTTAGGCTCTAACTTACAAGCACACTCACGGGAGCTAGATAAAACCTTGAAGATTGCACTGACACTGAGAACACTTAGCGTGCTCGCTAACTGTGACATGCCATACCTAAAGATCCGGGGAAATCCTTAAGCGAGCTGACAGATATCACCGGCACGAGCTTGGGCAATGGGCTTCGGCCGAAGTCTGCGAGCCCGCGTTCCATTGTTCTGAGTCCCATTGTTCGAAGACTCACTTGTTGCCATGTCTACGAGAAGCCTCTGTGAATCCAAGAAAGAAGTCCTGAATGACATATGCCAGAACTGATAGTTCCGTGCACCTAGACCTGTCGGTCGCTAGAGAACAAGCCCACGGGTGTCGGGAGAGCACCTCTTGGCACACGTTTAGCGAGCTCACTATAGAAATGAGACTAAAACTGGGAAGTCCGACTCGGATGCTCAGTAAGGTGGCGGTGGCAACATGCTACGCATGTAGGAGTCTGGGTACTGCGTGACATTTGTAATTCTAATTCCTCTGTAGTATAAGTAGGCTGGTTACAGTAGGTAGAGGCCAAGTTTTGAGCCCCTGAGTTCCCGTGCACGCGTTGAAGGTGGTACTGTAACAAAGGAGCAGTTTGTGACTTCGAGCTGTGCATAGAATTAGCAAGCTCACTCAGAGAAATACGAGATACCCTTTTGATAAGACTTTTGAGAACTTAGTCAGAGTGAATACGAATCAGTGATGCTGTTTCTGTTCTGTTGAGTGTGATAAGTCTGTTCAGAGAATGTTTTGAAGTGGAAATCTGAGATCTGTTCTGTTCTGTTCTGTTCTGTTCTGTTTCAGTCTGTTCCATGTCAGTTCTGTCGAAGTTCCGTTTCTGAATCTGTTTTCCGAGCACTTCTGAAGTGTTCTTGAGTCGAGATAACCTGCTGGAGTTAGTTGGAGAACCCCTGCATACAGTTGTGTAGCGAGCGGGCTAAGTCAGTGCTTGCCTGTGATGTTCTTTTAGCGAGCTCACTAAAGTTTCGGCATGTATTGCCTCTGTTTCTGTTGGGATCAGTGTCCCTTGTGTATTATAACTCAAATCTGCCTTGAAGGTTGCGTCGCACCAGTGAACGACCTTCCTGTAAAAAGTTCCTAGACTTAGGAAGTCATTAGAGAAAGCTTAGCTTCGCTAAGAGCACTGAGAATAAGAGAAACTCTTCGAGATATTGAAGTATAGTTGGATCGCATTAGAAATAATCGCTCCCCCTAGAACTTACGAGGGTGATTGTAGTTTGTGTAGTTGTGTGAGTGTGTGTGTGGGTTTTTGAGGTTTGCCCTTTAGCCCGCTCACTATTCCACAGGTGCCCACAGCCAGCCTCTTCAGCGTCAATAGGTCTTGGTCAGAGCTTTGCCATTCGGTCAATCAGGTTCTTCAGGCTGGCAATGGCAACCCCCACCGAATTCAGCTGCAACTCAACGAGGTTGCCTATTGGGAACAGTATTGGACAGAGGTCTGTCGCAATAATTATCATCAACACCTTATTCTTTGATTAATATTTGCATACCACAGGCCCAAGTCTACTTCTCAGATGACTATGTTGCGATCATCAATGCTGGACTTCTCGTGATGAGGACTTCATTAACTTCGGAATTGTTCATCTCCAAGGATCCTCCGAAGCACGCTCCCCTCCTCCAGCCACGATCCAAGGTATACATGGGATGGAGAGGACATCCACCTGCCGATATAAATCCTACCATTTTGGGAGTGCTCACGGAGAGCCATCGCTCCCCCCCTCGCATCGCTGATCTCTTTGACGTTTGCCCCTGCACTGTCAGCCGTCATCAGGAAAGCAATGGCCTCCGAGAGCCCAGAAACGCGCCCTTCCAAATCCTCATTGATGAACATGGCCAAGAATACATAATCCACACCCCTACAAGACCGCAGATGGCTGACCTGTCTGACGAGGAGCTGGATAAAGAGGTTGAAGAGATCCTTTAACGTTGTCCTGGCTATGAGCATCAGCAAATCAAGTCGGTGTTGGGTAGGCTAGGTCATCATGTCTCTCGACAACGTGTCGAAGCCTCAAGGAAACGCGTCCAAGGCCCGCCACCGAAATTTGGCAGGCAACCCACAGCCAGGACCAACTACAGTGTCCCTGGCACCAACTCCATGTGGCACCACGATGGAAATCACCGTCCGTTTCCACCTATGGTCACTTTTATCATCTACTAATCATCAAGTTCTAGGCCTGATTCGGTGGAAAATTGTCCTCCACATATTTGTCGATGGGAAAACATGTGTTGTGGTCAACATCAGAGCAAGCAACTCCAACTGACCATATGTTGTCCTCATGGTTTTCATTGATGCAACACTTGTCTGGGGGGTTCCCATACGCTTATGTGGTGACCACGGTGTTGAAAACCTGTATGCGGCTCAGTGGATGGAGAATTATCGAGGAGTATTGAGCAACGCATACATTTGGGACCGGTGAGTGGATTCAGTAGCTCAAGATTGTCCTGTATTGATAATGAGTACCATAGCTCAGTTCATAATACGAGAGGAGAGTGAATGTGGGTAGAGACTTCCAAAAGTTGGGCTGATCGCTGGCACGAATTCTTCACAGAGCTCGAGGCTAGCTATGGTCTGGACCATGAAAATTCGGCACATATCTGGTTGGTCCATCACCTGTTTCTTGCCGATATAGACGAGGCTGCCTGCCAGTGGGCGGATGAATGGAATCATCACAAGATTCCATTGCAGGGTAAGCGATCTGAGATGCCTAACAATATGTGGTTGAAAAGTCAGCTCATGGATGGCTTTTGCAGCCTCGAGCACATCACGCCGACAGACCCCCTGGTTGTGGATCCACTTGCAGCTGTCCCTAACATGGGTGTTAACCAGGAGATCCTTACCCTACTACAACAGCGTCATCAGGCTCTTACCCCCAATGTGCTAGCTCACCTTCAGGATGGCCATGGGGACACACCACTACCTGTCATTCGTGAGTTGTCTTCTTCAACCAGCCGAGCACACATTTATGTTACAGTACCCACCCAATCTTTGGCGTATGTGCCTTGCGAGGCCCCTGCCTGCCCCCTCAGCCCTGCAGAGGTTGATGTTCTAAACCAAACTATGGCTATCAGTCCAGGAATGGCAAGCAATACCTGGGAGGCCCGTCGAGTGTGCTGGATTCATGGCTTAGAGACTCTGAATGCCATATTGGCCCACCGGCGGGGATGAGGTTGATTCTCAGTGTTGTGATGTGACAGACACACTGGTGTGACATGTAACACCTCTATGGAGGGTGATGTTTATGTAATCTAGTCAGCTGATTCGAGAACTGCCATGTTAGAATATCATTCCTATTGTGACGTGACAGACTGGAAGGTCTGACCATTCACCCGAGAAACCAGTTCTTCTGTTCTACTATACGAAGGCGAAGCCATCAAGGCAATAATAACTCTGCTTCATCTAAGAGATCATCGTTCACAGTTCCTGCACTCGCCAATTCGACGGCTGTGAGCAGTTCTGCATGGAGCCAGTTGTGGCTCAGCTGAAACTCATACGTATCCTCATCAGCATCGGTCATGACTGCCATGGCCTCCAGGACGTCGGAAAGTTCAAAATCCACGTTGATAATGCATCCTCCGGAGCGACAATTCATCGGCGGCAGGAAAACCACCCTTCCTACATTCGGCGGCTGAATATCATGGTTAGATGGCAGACACTGGATGCCGGATCATGCCCACATACCAAGGGTGTCGCCCAAATTTTGCAGAAGAACTGGGGTCCACAGTATTAGTCAAAGTCGGACTCAAGGATGGTGCTGCTTACCTGTATACGAGAGGATGTGTCCGGTGTAACGTGAGGAAATGCTGCCGCATACAACATCTCGTAACGCAAGGAAGTCCATTCAAGCACGGAAACTCCATGTCCATAGAGGACAGCAGAGTTCCAGTTGATGTGTGTATGCCCCATCCACAGCACATAAGTCTTCAACAAGTTTTCAAGCCCCTCCAAAACAATTTGATACCTCGCGAAGTCTTCTACGGGATGGCTGGGATGAAGAAGAACTATGAAGTTTGGAATGATGTCGACTTCAATCGTCGGGATCCCTCTGAAGCGACCAATAGCACTGTGGGATCCAGTCAGAATGTTGTAACTGGCACCGAAAGACAACATACCGCATAAGTTGCCTTCCTTGTTGTTGGGTCAGATCAACAACAGCTTGCATACTGGGAAGCATGATTCATTGTGGCAGGAAAAGAGAGGTTCGCCCCTATAAGAACGAGCCTCCGTGCCTGATCTCTGTGACGGCTGTTGCCCACCAGATAAAATAACCATAATTTCAATATGTATTTGAGACTAAATACTAGTTTTTGGGCAGTATGTTCTTAAAAAGCAATTCAGCATGTGAAAGGGAGAGGGGTTGTTTGACATGAAAGAGCTCCTCCTCTGTCAATGGGTTCATTGTCAAAGTATCTGCCCGAGACGGCAGACCTTGCCAGGTAGCAATCATTTCCAACATCTCCCACCGCTGCCAGTCCTGTGGCTTGACCTCATCACCAAAATCATAGGCACTGAGATAGTGTCCGAGTGACTGTACCTTTTTCCAAAAGCTGAAGTAGCGCTCAAATGTCTTTTGGGAACATTCAAAGATTTCAACCTTGTGTAAACTAGTCCGGCTTTTCAACCATGCTAGCACACCTGGAAGGCTGCCCTGCTTCCCCATGTGCAAGGCTTTCTTGTTGCTGCCAATCTGTTCTGCAATCGCCATGAGAATCGTCACCCCCAAATACACCTGGAACGGCTCGTTGTACTCTGGGTCAAATAGACTCTGCACCGGTTGGATCGTCCCTAGAAAACGCTTGTCCCAGATTTGCCATTCTTTCGCTTCAGCAGGAGCTTCCACAGTCCCTGCTTCTGATGATGCTGGTGCTCTGTGTATATATACAATGTGAAGCTCATCTTGAGAAAGCCCGGTCTCCACGAGTATCCTTGCTGTGTCGGGACACGTTCAGCACTTGAGCAGGGGAGTCCTGTATAGTGAACTGCCCTCCTCGAGGACCTTGTCCAAGAGGCCAATCTCTCTGAATGACAAATCCTCCCCACCACCTTCATGAAGACACAAAGGTCACGTGGAGGTCGACACCATCCAACCGGAGCGATCTAGCCCTTGCAGAGCACGTTCCATCCTTCCTCCTCCTCTCAACAAGGCACCTAGAGCTTCACCTGCAACATAGGTATTCACCATTAATAGCGCAAACGACATAGTGAGGTTGACTTACCCACTAATCCCTCCAGCATGCCTACATTATATTCCACTTGGGCACGATCAGTTCCTTCCGAGTTCTCCATACAAATGAACAGGTTGACTGGATGCCTGCAATCTGGGTTCAGAAGAGCGTAAATGAAAGCAAAAATGGTCGGACTTTACGACCAGTGCAGGGTTGCCCTCTTCCAGATTGTCCTTTTCACGAAATTCATCATTGACAGGCCCATTGCCACCGGACATATCGCGAGGCAGGACACCTTGTCGTATTGTAATTTTTGTCAGACTGGAGACTGAGACTTGAATACTTACCTGTTTCTCCATCCCTATGTTCGCCATCTGCCCCAGGATGCAACATGTCCTCTTCACGGACAGAATATCGTTCTCAGTTCCGCTGTTGAGCAGCAAGCTGACTGGCAGGCACAATGTTCGCACCTTTCCAATTTTTTCATGGAGGAGACGAAAACAACAATTTCTGCCACTCACCATTCTGAGCAGTTTCTGCTGGAGCTTCTTCATCAGGACCAGGATATAGATCTCTCTCCAACTGATCCAGATCATCTGAGAAATGAGCCCATCAGGATGGGTTTGAAGGCAATTGTGTACAAGTACGAACCGTTGTTCGGGCTCATGCCTGACGCCGAGTCAACATCGTCCACTTCATCGGGTGAATCAGGATGTCCACTAATATCATTCCTTTGCATTGGAGATTCTTCATCGTCTAGGTCTTCAGGGCCTCCGTTATCTATCAAGTGCGTCAGAAGGTCACATCAAGCAGAAAGCAGGTGCCTTACCTCTCCCTGTTGCACCTTCCGAACCCTGGTGATCCCCAAGGCTTCATTCACCACTCCCACCAGTGAATCTCGCACGAAACAAGTCCGATAAAGTCGTTAACGATTGTTCTTCCCCGGAGGTTGGTACACGTCTGCCACTGACCCTCGCACTAAACAGGTCTGATAAAGTACCAGTGTCAGTTTCGGTGCAAGCATGTCATGGGCGCCATACCAGTTGCGCCCCAGCGTGACAGTTGATCCAGGAAATCAACCTGTCCTGCCTCCTTGCCCGTGTTCCTCCTGTTCCTGTTCCTCATTCGTGGACTTCCCTCAATGACTATAGGCAAAGGTGGCCGAGGAACCAAGGGTGGATCACCTGTGGACTTGTCAATATGTATACAGTGGAGGATAATGAGCCACGTACCTGGTTGTCTCAAACGTGCAGGCAGCTGCCATTGACGGCCAGATCTGGTTGAAGAGGTCAGTGGAGGAGGGATGAAGTCAGTTTCTTGACTTGAGGCCATTTTTTTGTGTGGTAGGAAAGAAAATAGGTGATACAGGAGCTCCAAGGATGGCTTGGTTGCCGATAATAGAACTGTATCGCCATACGTCACAAGTGTATGGTTTGTCACAAATAGTGTGACACATTCATTGGATTCATCGTAACTACAAAAGTACGCTCTCACGGTCCCTGGAAAACATCTGTGCTAGAAAGTATAAAATGTCTAATCTGTAACAGTTTGCGAACCCTGCTGAAGAAAACATTCCATCACGGGAGGATGGAGGAGCTCCATAGCGCATTAAATGCCAGGCGAAGGCAATAATGTAAACTCCGCAACTGATGGAATCCTGCTGCCATGGGATTCCCTGTACATTATGAGTATGGGTAGAGCCTCCCTGGTTTTTGGAAAGTGAGACTGACCTTGGCTATCTCAAAATGGAATGTATTGTCAGGATCCAGAACCACCAACTTGAAAGACGACCAAAAGCTCTGTGGGGCGGTCCAACGTCAAGTGAAAATGGCGCTAGGACGTTTATTTGGAGAGGGCTTATGGAATAGATGGCTTCAAGAATGCCTTTATCGGTATTCAAACTATTGTAGCAGGTCACACTCCGGCTGGCGAAATCCAAGTGGAAAAGCAGCCAATGCTTGTCATGGTGGACTGGGAGAGCAAAATTTAACTTGCTGAATTCCGTATGTTCCTGCAGACTCGTGATAATCAGGTCACTAAGGAAAAGCTGCTCGTACCTTCAACAAGGCTCTTAATCCCTGCGGCACTGCTTTCTTCGAAGTCACGACCAGGGAGTCTGCTGTTCCCCAAGACGGATATTCTTGGCACAGTAGACGCAGAGTAACGCTGACCAGGTCATCATTGAGCCATGACCCTTTCACCTTTAGCAGGCGTCTCAGGCTATCCACACTCAGCATGGGTCTGGCACTCAAGAAGTGCTATCCCGACATGTCATTGATGTCAATGACATTGGAGACACACTAAACAAATTTAATCATCCTACCAATGCAAAGGAAAATCTTGGTCATGAACCTGGTACAAATCAGAAGGATCTGTGACACCTTGGACATCCGTTAGAAGGGGATGTACAGGCTGATGGTTCTCTAAGTAGGCCTGCAAGGCCTGTTTAATCTTGTCTCGCCACTGTGAGATGGCCTCGGGAGACTCCAGTTCAGATTCTATTTCCATGTCTGGTTCCTGCTTGCTTAAGTCGAGAACTTCTTGATTGTCAGGGAGGACTGGGGTTGGCCCTCCTTTCGAGTGCAACTGGTCTGCTGCGTTGACTATGTTTTTGACCAGGTCAGAAGGCAAAGGATGTCCCGTCAATCCGGCGAGACTTTGACTGGTGGATTCGATAAGATCTTTCAGATCGGGAATATCCGCTACCTGCGTTGCTCTTGTGCCATTTGAAGTCCAATGCTTCCGTTGGGTCGTCATGTTCCAAACCACGTTTCAGAGGTAGGGGTCGGCAGAGGAAATGAGCTTGACAATGGGAGGTCCAGCACCATATCGACCATCGGCTCAAGTGAAGATCCTGCTCCTGGCGACGGTGCTGAGGGAACGGCAGGCAGCTGATGACCAGGTACAGACTGGGGACCGAGTTTGGGAGGCACTGACCTGCTCAGGTCTTCAGTTGGCCAATCGATATCTTCTGGAGTGGCGTCAAGAACGGGCACTGTAACGTTCTCTCGACAATTCTGCTGCTCGAAAGGCTTGCTCCTCTTCAAATTGTGCCCATTCCTGATCAAAAAGCACACCCAGGGGACAACGAATTCCTGGGACTCTTCAACACTTGCCATCTCTGCATATTCACTCTGGTCGCTTTGTCAGGGATCAGGATCGTCAGCAGTCCAATTCCTCGTCCATGTCTGCCATGCCATGAGTGAGCGCATCCTTCGATACACCATCCTCATCACTAAATCCTTGAAGTCCATTGTCATCTGATTGATCACTGCCCATGTCATCTGTGCCATGAGTGACCAGGACTCTAGAACCGTCGTCCTCATCACTGTCACCGCAGAGCACATCTTCTTCCGAATCTTCCTGGTCTGTGTCATCGCTGCTACTGAGCGAAGATGCACAACGTCTCCTCCGGCGTGCAGTGCTTTGCTTGGATGTAAACGACTCATCACTGTCGCTACTTCCAAGTGCTTCATCCTCTGATTCATCACTGTCCTTGCTACTTCCAGGTGAAGACTTATATCCCCTACTCTTGCGCAAAGCTTTCTTCCCCTGTGGACTGACAAGAATCAGAGAAGGACCAATCTGAGAAGGGCCTCCTGCATCATCCCCCCACAAGTCGCTTAAGGATGAGAGATCAGATTCAGGGGCAGACTGCCATGTGAATTCGGCATAGGTGAGGATGGATATTTCTTCAGGGATCTCTGCAAGCCACATTAGCCGACTGCTCCAATTTTCGTTACAGCTACTCACCGTTTACCGAAACCACTCAAAACAGGTGGTTCCCAAAAGAGATGGGCCTCCTGCTGTCAATCTCGCTTGCCGACTTCTCGACTGTAGCTCACGGCCGAAGGTTTCATCGAAAGTGGTCAAGACGTCGGCTTTGAACCACTGTCGGTTGAATCTTTCACCAGGTTCCACTGCTTTGTACAACTGGCTTCCTTTGAGAGAGTCATGATAATCCAGTAACCCAATTCCAAATTGCAACTGCAGACAACTTGAATGCCACATGAACCTCATAAACCTTTTCAGTTTCGTTTAGGCCAGTGAGCACCAGTCACTCATTGGCCCAGGACACAATTTCCCAATACTGGGCGACAGCGAAACGAAGATCGTTCCAGTACTGATCTTGTCGACCAGAGAGCACACAAAGGTAAATAATGAGGTTCCTGAGGGCACAGATGTCTAGGAAACCCGCTCGGCTTGTAATGTCGGGCACATGGCCATCATGGTCTGTGAGCAAGAATGAGAAACCAAGTATCCAGCAGCATGTCAGTCATCACCATGAACCTTCAATGTCCTCACCATCAGTGATGACCTTTTTCCAGTATGCCATCAGGCGTAGTAACAACACCCTCATGTCCCGGTGTTCTACGTTGGTGATGGCAAAGCACAAGAATGTTGTGTGAATCCAACCCATGATGACTGAACATATACCTGATGATGGAAAGAAATGTTGCCCGAACACTAGGCAGTTTGACTCCATAACAACAGCATGTAAAGTGTTTGGACATTGAAACCTGGTTTGAATGTCATTGGATGAGATTGCGATGGAATTGTCATGGGGCACATGGTGGAAGCCCAGTCAAACGCACTCACCAAAGAGAGCCTGGCTCGACAATTATCACTTCACATTCATACACATTTGGGTCAACCTTGCTATCGGCCTGGAAGTCATGAATGAATGTATCCCAACTCATGGCTTCGCTAGGCTCATCCCTCTTCCGGATTATAAACCAGAGTTTCCTACCGACCAGACAGTGTATTTTCACAGCCGATCCTCCATAGTCAGTGTGAGGGGGAGTCACTGCACTGGCTACAGTAGCCAGTCCCCAAGACAGAGCAGCAGCAGAGAACAGAGCGGCAAGGAGATCAGTCTCTATCGACCAGGTGACTTTACACACCTCCAAATGTGAGGTGGCCTGACTGTAAATAGGGTCAGGCTGGGTCATAAGATCATACAACAGTAACCTACTGAAAGAATGGGCTCTGCAATGTGGTATCGGGCATTGGCAGGGTAAGCACGTTCAGCACTCTCCCAGTGCATCCTTTTGAACCCTCTCAGAGGACCGTTCGAAGGGTAGAAGAGATCTCCATGGTCGGCAACATGGAATCAGGGGTGGCATCAGTTACGTGCCATATGGGCTCTGTTCCAGACACCAGTATCAGGTATGCTCGATGACGAACCAGTTGACTGTGAAATGCACCATGCACAGGAATCTCCGTATCCAAGTCCCCCAGCTCCCATGCAGTGCAGGCTGTTCCATCCCCAATTGTGCCTGTCAGTGGGCACCCCAGTCACCAGGACACTCCTCTCACGAAAATAAGGCTGAATGTTTAAATCACTGGAGTACCGCATGTGGGCAATTTGTGATGACCCATCCGTGTGATTGACCCAGGGAGGGGGATGTTTGTCGGGTGAGTCCTGTTCTATAGGCAAGCAGAGATTTCATAATATTGCAATCAAAGGGGTCCTGCATGATTGAGAGGTGAGCACCTACCAGTAATGAGCCAATGGAAACGTCATACTGATGCCTTCAGGCAATCAACACTAAATCTCTCCCAGCGCTCGGTGGTAGGACTGTAAACTTCGATGTATACCGGCACTTTGGCCCTTTCAATGTATTCGCATCAATGCTGGGTGACCTTGGGTGGTGTGAAGCTGGTGGGCTTACATGGACTTGAGGACGCCAAGTACGCTTAGGGCACGGTACAGACCCCATTACAGGCCCTCTTGTTGAGTTGACCTCTAAATAGCTTGTCCTCCAGACAACGTCCTCGTCATCATTGACCTTCTCAGTGTGCTTGGCCAGTTCTGCCTTTGTCAGCCAGAGACGAGGTGGCTTGTGTATACGGACATATGTGCCTTCGCTCTCACTGGGGTTGGATTGGCTGTTTAGCTCGTGGATTTTCCGAGGGACTGGCACAGCGGATGCCTCCGACTCATCCTCACTGATCATGGGCTTGCTCTTCATCTTCTTCCGGTTCCTCCTACTCTTTTTTTTCTTTGGCTTCTCTTCTGGGAGCTGCATGTTGCCATCCTCATCATGCGACGGTAACAGTGTCTCTGTCAGTTTCTGCCTCCTGGGTCGAAGTCCGGCTACTGCGGCCAGGTTCTCGGCAGCTGGGTCTTCTTGAGTGTCATCTCCAAAATTGATCGCCGCTACTATGGAGGTTGGTGAAGATCGCTGTGACGATACTTCAGGTTTTTCCTCCTCACCAATGGGTGCAACGGCGATAGCGTTCTTGTCCTCCTCTTGAGGGGTTTCTGAGGCAGTCTCGATGGAGGAGCCTTGCCTGCCTTTGGGTGGTTTCAATCGAACATCGGCTTCAAACCAGGGCCTCAAACGGTTAGGCTGCGTGGCCGCCTGTATTCTGACCTATACGATTTGAGAAAGAGAATAAGCCCCTCTCAGCGCACTGATCCCTCAGAAACCGCCAACAACAAGGACCAAAATCTGCACTCAACGTTACGGAGTACTGGGGGCTTGTCTCGATCATCAACCAAACTGGAGTACTGAACAGAACACATGCATCAGTCCCAGCCTGCAAAATCGAAGAAGAGATCCATACCATCAAGCACTGAACGGGCAGGGGGCTGCATCCCACACCACTT